CTCGAAGACTTGAAAACGCTGGCTCCAGCAGAGTTTCACGTCTTATATTCTTACCGGATTAGGTATTCTTTCTACCTGCTACTAGGCACTATCCCTTCTGGAGGACAAATAAGTGGCAGACCGTGTACACCAGCCAAAAGTATAATACTCACTTTCTCTTACTTTTACACCTTAAAATCTAGATATTATATAATAAAAAGTTTATAAATATATAACCTAACTATTTCTCGTTATATGTACGAAGTTTAAGGAAATTTAATAGAGGTACTCGCTATTAATTCTACTATCGAAAAGTAGGTGTCGCATAGCCTCTCGCTTCCTATCTGCCACTTATTTTGTCCTCCGGGAGTATCCCTTCCCCCTTTCAGGAGCACCGTTCCGCTCAGGCCTCCGAAAGCGGTGGTTTAAGCTTTTTAGCGGTCATTAATTCCACGGAAAGTAGTATATTTGGCTACATTTGCACAGCTTTTAGCTGTCTAGCCAATAGAGGAGCTTTAAGAATCTACTTTTTCGCTTCTACGTTGAGATCGCTCCATTATTCGCTCCAAAATCAGAGGCCTGAGCGGAAAGGTACACTTGGGAGGTGGAAGGAATAGGATGTGTACGCTGTGGTATAGACTTCCTCGTGAGCTATGGGTTTCACAAGCCTGGAACAGGCTCAAAACACTTGAATTACGCATAAGAATTCGATTCCAGTACTCCCCAAGATATGTTGTGTAATTACGAGCCGATACGACGAGGTAGATACTTACAAAAGTAAGTGTCATGATTCCATACATTTTTTCAAACAACGCAAAAAGCATAATTCGTCGTCGAAGAAATTTTTTCTCGAGTTCGTATACTCCAATAAACATTGGTAATTGCTACCTTTCTAAAGTAAATTGAATAATGTCCTCGAAATCTACCTGATCGTCGAAAGCCAGTAAGAGGGGCAAAGAATTCGTTCTATAGACACAATTATGTAGATCACAGTGCACGCAAAACGATTGGAGAATGTCTTGACATCGGTATCTGTTCTTTTGCCTTGTCAAAAGTGAACAATGCCGGACTCTTTGCCAATATGCGACGCTGGCCACATAAAGAGAGCCGTATTCGAACCTCGCTATTTATAATACATAATCTCGATTCAAAACAGAATTCAATATCAAACAAGAGTATGACGGGTCAAAAGCAGCTCTAGCTTAGAAAATACACAGATCGAGGTAGATATATAAATGTAAAACTAGTGTATATATACCTCCCACATGCTATAAACAAACTTCGAAGTGCAGATAGTATGGGAATTAGTTTATGGCCCTTTCAAATTAAATTGTGAGATTAAAACACCTAAAAATCTCCCTTTATTTCCCTTCAGTCTTCATCTGGTCATGAGTTTCACGGCTTCATTCTTATCGGCCAACTCTAGAAATATTTAGTTCTAACCGTTGTTTTAAAAAAGCTCAAATCGAGAGAGAGCTAAGGAGGTGTAGGAAATTGGTATTGTCACTTATGTGATATGAAATTCGTATAATTAGTGTTCAGTATTTCATTGGATATTGAACAGCCATAATCTAGACAACTGCCAGTTCAGATTCTATCTTGCTTGATGTAAGAATCCAAGGGGACATTAATTCTGATCCGGACTGAAAATACATTTTCTTTAAGCAGAGTTGAAGGACGTGGAGTCATAAACGTTGTAAGTGTATTTCCTGCAGTTCCTTGAATTGAAGAAAACGAGTACACTCTCAATAATGTACTCATAAATGATGTATAGTATCACCTACCAATTTACACTGCTCCCATTAGACAGTCATCTGAAACCTACACACTACGACAACAACACCTGACCACAACCACAATTCCAAAGCCGTACCCAAATCCCATCCCTCTCATCCAAAATCTATACCGTCACTAAGCGAACCTCATGAGCTTCGTCGTAGGATCAGTAGAAATACTTCGGCATAACAAATAAAACATTCCCCCCCACCACCAAATTATGCCTTAATAACCCCTCCTCAACCCACTCGACCGACCAAATACATCTCCTCACCTTGGCCTCCCAAACACTCTTATCTCAAAATCATCTCATGATCATGATCGCGATCCCCAACCCCAAACCCCTTCACGATCTCCCCACCCCAGATCAGCTCATCAAGCATCCAAGTCACAAGTTTCACACCCTAGAACCCCTCACCCTTTACCAAAACCTCACACCCCAAACCCTTACCACCAAAATCCCACCCCGTAACCCCGATATCACATCTCACATCAGATACTCCGTATGAGAAAAATGCGAAGCTGCGAACCCCGCATCACGCACGGGGTATCAAGTTGATGAGCTTCTGCGCACGGCCGGAGGGCTTGGACGTTGGGTGCGATGAAACAAATTGCTCGTGAGGCTTACAGGCACTCGAGAGGGTGGCCGAGGTTCAGGCAAAATTGAAAGATGAATGTGAATGCGAATAATTGTGAATGTGAAGGTGGAAGGTATGAAGATTATGTGGTGATAGCAGGAAGGACAGTCAAGTCATTCGCACTACCTAACCATCAACATTGCGAAATACCAAAATCGGACAAGCTCCATACAGACAGGAAGATATCACATTTCACAAAACCCCCAAGGAGAATAAAAAATGTCTCATCACAATTCACAAGCCTCCGATCTCCCATAAAATCTTCCGAGGTTTTTCGGTCTCGTGACTACGTGATCTGAAGACGCGTGGCGGGTTTTGTTGCATTTCGCGCGTGCGAAAAATAAGAAAATGTCGGTTGTGGTAAGTAAATAAAGTTAGGCGATGCGAGGTAGCGAGTTTTGTGTTTTAATCATAAATCGGATCGTGAATTAAAACTTACCTCTACCCTTAAGCTTATTACGACCGCTTGCAATATCACCATATGTGCGAAAATCACATCTATTTCCATCCTCAAAACACCACGTCTCCCATCTGCCTCGGGTCTTTCCATCTCCATCTCCATCTCTCCCATTTCTCAAAAAGTAAACAAAAACAACCCCTATCCCACTTCCCCTTACACTACCATCCTTCCAACTTATTTCTAGAACAAACCCTATTCAACATGGCAATTCTAAAACCTTGGAATCCCATCAGACAGCTGTCCAAAAAATCAATACTCGAGTACAATGACATCAACGCGTGCGACCTCTTGATCGGAATCTATGAATGGGATCGAGATTCTGTGCGGCTCTTGGCGGGTAGATGGCCAATTATATGTATGGAAAAGGGAAGTGGATAGGGATGTGGGGTTGGAGGTTTTTGAGGTGCAGAGCCAGGATGGGTAATCCAAGCGAGGTCGAAGTCGGGTCGGTTCGTTCGTGGTTGTCAGAGTGAATTCGAAGGGTTCTGGTGGTGCGAAATGGTCGGTTCGAGGTCGGGTCGGGAGTTGATGGGATGTACAAGTACAGTACCTTTGTATGGATGGTATATCCTTACATGTAGGTTTTCTAGTTTGGGAGATCGGTTTTTAGGATGCGGTTAGAGGGAGCTATTTCAATCGGATTTTGCTAGTAGAAAGTCACATTTGAAGGGTTGAGTGTCAGGAGTTGTAGAATTGAATGAATTGTGAGGTGAAATCGTTCGTGAGTTGCCCGGTGAGTTCTGGGGTTTTTGGGTTGATTTGAATCGCAACTATCACACGAGGTGTAGGACAATTTCAATTCAATTGCGTATGATGAAGTTGTATACTTCCCTAGAAACTTCTATACTTCTTCTAAGTATACAGTACATCTCAAATAAACACCACGCCATCCCAATCCGTCACCACAAACCTGCATTACATGCACCCTAACTCATGACGGACATCTGCAAGATTCTAGACCTCTCCACCGTCTCCATATTTTCCTCACCTCACACTCAGTCACCCAACGACGAGGCTGAGCCTTCTCACCTCGTCGTCGCATTTCATAGGCCAATCCGTAACCCCGTTGCCCAGTAAGAAAAACCTCGTCAACCACGGCTTTTCCTTCCCCTTCCAATCGAAGCTCCGTCTCCCCGCAGCGCACGGCGGTTGTTGACCGGGAGCCCGAACGAACGTCGTCGGTAGGGGAGTTACATTTGTTTCATGGTCGAACAGCACGTCAGTGAAGATGTTGGGTTGGCGGTTATACTGCAGTTTAATGAGATTAGATGTGGTATTCTACTCGCCCACCCCGAAAACGGGACAGGAGCAAAAAGGTTTTCTCTCTTCGGGCAATTCAGGTGTGGAGGGGAAGGGAAGGGCAGAGCTGAATGAACAAGGACCCCCGCCCTTAGCGGCACGCACATATTCCTTCTGCGGCTGTAAGGCGTATCTTTTGGGCTTGTTGGATGGGCGTCACGCTGGGTGGGAAAGCAAGCGATGAAAGGATTTAAGCTTGTCATTGGATAACCGTACTCCGTATGATAAGAGCAGGATGGATGACATTGTTCCGATGCTGCAGCTGCTGCTTTGGGAAGGGAGCTCTGAGTTGGCGGTGAGGGGGGTGCTTCGTGATGGTGATCCGAGCTCAGCTGTGGTTTTGGTGGGGGAGACGCGATTGTCAATATTTACTTCGCGTCTTCCGTGGTGTTGATTTGGAGAGATCGTGAGGGGAATGAGAGATCGAGAGGGGAGATGAGGGTGATATAAAGGAGAGTTTGGAGGTTTAAGTAGATGGCCGTCACGAATTGACAGCAGTTCGTTTTCTCATTTTCCTTTGCACAAACGGCAAGGAAATCGTGGTGCGAGGTTGTGAATCCCTCTCGACTTTCTATAGCAACGCAGCCTGGTCAATAGAACCATCAACAAAATGTCCGAAGGGTCTGAGCTGAGCAGTCGAGCGAGAAAAACGGATCTTTTACTGGGGATGTGAATTACCCAAAGGAGTCATCATCATCATTTGTGCTTTTTCGGTTTTATGCCAGAGAGGACGGCGTGTCAAGAAGGTTTGAACGGGGAAACTTGGTCTGCAGACGGATCGATAGATGGGATGGAGGGTGGGATGGACCTGAAGCTTGGGATGTACGGAGCCCGCCTCTTGAGGTAGCTTTGGCGGGAATGCAAGCACCCGAATGATAATTCCTAGCTGCATCAGATGCTTCTTGATTGTTCATGTACAATTCACAAGTTTTTGCTAAGTTCACTTGGACCTGAGGCGGACCAGACGGTTGATTTTCGTCTCCAAAAATCCACCTTTCCTCACAGCCTACACCAGGCACAGCAGGGCTTTTCTTACTCGGCTGAGCGCTGGAAACAGTCCCCTTCCCAACCCAGATCCCCGCCAAATGGAGCGATTGGAGCATTTCGTCGACTGGAGCTTCAACACTGGAGCAACGAGAAAGCTAAAACATTTTGAACGGGTTCCAGCAGGGGGTTTGTGAGGGATTTGACCACTTGACAACGATGATTGACGTGAGAAACGACTCGGAACCGTAAGCCAGCACTAAGCAGACAAAGCTACGGATCAAGGCACGTGGAGATGGAGAGAAATGGCCTTTGAAAACTGCGCTTCTCGGTACAAATCGTGTGACTAGTGACGTTGGTCAAGTAAGTCAGGTTTGATGCTCCTCTTGCATATGCAATAGCTGCAAGAGCTGCATAACCGTCCATAGGGCAACCGACCAAAACAACCACCTTGGTTACTTGGTTGCCGCATCTGGGACGCCAAAACATCGTAGAAGCTGTACGCAATCGGGTTGTCCAAGGCCAGAGGCTCTCCAAACGGCCATCTCTATTTCAAGGAAACAAATAGCCTGAAAAGCGACCTCCTGACGCTCAGCGATCCCCGATGGCAGCGTTTACAGGGCGTGCGAGGCCCATACAATAGCCTGGCCAGTCCGCCGGGGGGGGCCAGGGCCTGATCTCACTGCGACCTGTAGAACCCCTGCCTGGTGTTGCGCTTGCGCTTGAGCATGAATTGTGAGCGTGAACGAGGGTCGAAGACGAGCAGATGCAAGGAACGGCTAGCAGCTCTTAGTGATTCGACCAATTCTGCTGGAGACGGCCGTCGCTTGCGTTGCAGCTTGTGAGATGCGGATGCTGAGTGCAGAACAACCCCCCTCCCCCCGGTCTCCAAGAGCGAGCAGCGTCAGCCAAAAAAAGCCAAATCGTCCCGACAACACGACCCGCTCAAATCCACCTACCAACCAAGGTTTGGAATCCTTCGTTTTAATAACCTCGCCCGACTACTTCTCACTCGCTCACCCACCTCTCGAACCTCTTCACGAGACTTCATCCTCCTCAACTCCTCACCGGCAGCCATTGTACATTACGATAGGACAGTTCCCAGCCTTTCGTTCAATTACATGTGCAATTCGACACTCCGGTCTCTCTACTAACACCAGCAGCCAGACGGATCAGCCACCAAATCCGAAAACCACCACTCCCGCATACCTCACGCACGACGATCCCCAGGTCTCGATGTACAGGACATTCCAATAGCTTCACCCAACCAACCGTCCGTCCGGGTCTTGCAGAAGAAAAAAGTCATTCGCCTTTCTGCTTTCTTATCATCTGCTTTGCAGCAACGTTGGATAGTTACGCTTCATCCCCCTCGCACTCGTCGTAGTCAGCCCTCCCGCCGAACTCTTCGAGCCTCCGTCGAAAACGTCGAAAACAATTACGATTTCCTCTTTCGATAAAAATTCCCTGCAGTGGAACAGACATCGAGTTGGACAATTGATCAGTTGAATGCAGACGTTTTCGAATCCCTCACCCCTTCGTCTTATCACCCACCATCATGGAGGCATCTTCACCATTAGCTGCCATGCAGCCTCCTTCCTTCATGCACGGATGGGGACGCAGTGACATGTATACTTCGCATCCTCACGCACACATGTCGGGTGCTCCATCCTTTGGTCCTGGAGCTTTCAACTTTCGGGATCTGAGCATGAAGAGATCCAAGCCGGATTATTTTAGTATGAGACCGGTCCGCGGCTCTTCCCCAACAGCTAGTCTGGCAGCAGACCTTTCACAGAACTTCCACATCGATATGAGGTACGTTGGGAATTTCCATTTCCGTTTGCAGCTTTGCTAATTGATTTATCAGTCCTCAGCTACCCACCCCACGTCGGTCGCTCTTCACATCGAATCTTTTTGGAACAATTGATGGTCGGGGTAATTTATACAACGCACATATACATGGTGGGACGGAAGTTAATTGGTTTATAGATTGTGTTACGACACCCCCAATACCATCATCCTCCCCAGGGTTGGAAGAGCGAATGGACATATCGCCGTTACCTCACAAACAGCCTTATTTTGCTGGAATCGAAATTCAATCTCCAACGCCCGGACATACACCCGAGCTTGAGACTCCCGAAGAAGTAATGCCCTCCTCGCCTCCACGGCCGGTGGTGGAAGCTCCGAGACCTACAAATGCCATGGAGTAATTACACATTCCAACACTCTGTCTTTTTTTATGATAGCTAATTTTGAATTTCAGACGAAGAAAGTCTATATTACTTCGACCGTCCCTGACAAGGACAAAGGGCTTCTCGACCAATTCCCTTCCCACTCGCAATCCCGAACAATTACCTCCCTTCCGCTTCGGTGCTGGAAGCAGTAAATTGTCCACATCGACGTCAATGTCGTTGGGTGAATGTTTTATGGAATCACCTCCACAAGAACGTCGCCCACAGTCCGCCAACAGCCCGTCGGTGTCAATTATGGGACCTCCAAGAGCAACTCGGCCTTTTGGAAGTATGAATGGGAACTCGAGGACCAACGGCTCCCCTATTGGGAGCCACACGCGCCGTCCTTCGAATCCATTGATCCGACCAAGGAAACAGTTTCGAAGATCGTTGAGCATGTTTGAACACCCAGGGGATATCATGAAGGCCAAGGCAGAGGAGGCACCTGTACCAAGTAATTTACAGACTGTTATGGATGTTGATGAGCTTCACCAACCACAGCTGCCACATTTCTTTCAAGAAGGTCAACCAGATAGCATTCCTAGAATCACCAAGGATACGCTGCTCGAGGTGCTTGATGGAAAGTTTGACGGGACTTACGACCAGCGTATGGTCATTGACTGCAGGTTCGAATACGAGTTTGATGGCGGTCACATTGATGGAGCGGTCAATTACAACGATAAAGAGCTTCTCGCTGGCCAATTGTTCGAAGCCGCCCTTCCTGGAAAGACTCTTTTAATTTTCCACTGCGAGTACTCTGCTCATCGTGCACCCATCATGGCCCGTCATGTGCGCAAACAAGACCGTACCACTAACATTGAGCAATATCCCAAGCTCACCTACCCAGAAGTGTACATCCTTGACGGTGGATACAGTACCTTTTTCTCCCAACACCGCGAACGGTGCTTCCCCCAGAACTACGTCGAGATGGATGCCAAGGAGCATGCTTACACCTGCGAGAGGGAAATGGGTAGATTACGACAGAACCGATCCAAACTATCCCGTGCTCAGACCTTTGCTTTTGGTCAAGGTGGAGTTGACGACAGCCCAACCGCCCCAAATAGATCCAGAACCACAGCGAGCTGCGACTTGATGATGATGGACATGACTTCATCACCTTGTCTAAATTACGATCGAGGACATGCACGACGCATGGTATCATACTAATAACCAACCCTTGCATTGGATTCGGAGTTTCATGGCATCTTTCCGAATGGCGTTTTTGGTTTCTCCGTTATCATCATCTAATAGATGCGGCAGGTCTTGCTCCCTAGATCTGTGCAACCTTTCGAAATACTTGATTCGCCCTCGAAGCATTGGATCAGTTTGTCACGATTCATCTTTGACAGATTGACCGGGCATCCAATTTTCTATTTGCTCGGGCATTGTATTGGCATACAATTTTGACTCTCAAGCGGAATTTTTCTTCTTCCCAATAACATCTCAATCATTACTTGTGTTGGGGTAATGATTTGGGATAATTTCTTTCTTGGATCGGGAATCCTCGACCACACTCTTTTAATGGCAATGAAATACGCATTGACCTAATACACACCAACACAAAACAACATGACAACACGATCGCATATGAGCACATTCATCATGATCATTATCCGAATATAAATTTCGAGACAACTATAACACCGAAACAACATTTCCTACGAATTCATGTCTCTGTCAATCAGTGAAAACCACTATCGACACACCTAACCATATCCGACCTCTGAATATCGATCTCAATCAAGTTTACGATACAACGCAAAGAACGTACATAGGACCTTTTGCATCCTCCTTTCCATCCTCTCAGCATATCATCGTCTTCGCCTGCTATCCAGACACCCGCGATAATTTCCCTCGTCATTCGACCCTCGATACCTTTCTTGTTATCTTGCACTTTTCCAATACCCTCCTCTTAATACCCATAAAATTGGAGTTTCTTGTGCTTTTTGAAGCTACTTTTTTCCCTTTTCGTATGGTTTCGCATGGTGGTGTGTTTAGTCGAGCGTAGTGGTGGTGCATACATGCATACAGACAGCTTTTTGTTGGTTTTCATTTGCGGCATTTATTTATTTTTTGGTATCTGCATACGTTTGTGGGAGCGTGCAAAGTTAAGAGGTTTAAGCATGGAGATGGCGAGATAAAGGGACGATAATAACTGGATCGTCCAGCAGTGGTCGAGGTGGAGGATGATACCTATTTGTGCTAAGGCAGGCAGTCAGTAGAGAACTTGAGATCGGTATAGAATTGCCCCATTGTGTTGGGTCAGAGAAGTTACAGGGTGGCTTGGCTTGTAGTATCATACATATAGTATAGAGGGGCTAGCTTGCTGCGCGGTGTGTTGAATGGGGGGTTGGTAGTTTTTTAAGAAACTGTTGATATTGAGAATACACTATCTTTACAAATAACTCTTTACTTTTACTTTATGGCTTGGTTGCTGTGTTTAAACGTGTGCCCTACTAGCTGTGCTTGGAAGCGTGGTTGATGAGATGATGGGAGGATTTCGTTGAGAGGCAGGTCGGTTCGTATCACGGATGGGCTCTTCTAATACCGGAATGGAAGCTGAGCATCTCGAGTGAGCTTGTTGGTATGAGTGGGTTGTACAAACGTCAGGGCGTTTTTTGTTTGGTCGTGAGCTCGTACGTGAGTTCTATCATTGGGTTGTTTTTTGGGGAGGGGGGGGAGGGGGGATTCTTGTGAGGTATTTGTATGTTGGATATGGGTATTCCCAAATTCCGGATTTTTTTTTCTCTTTTTCTCGTGGGGGCAGATGAGGAAGAGGGCACGCACGAGTTGGGTTGGGTTGGGTTGGGTGATGGGATTTATGAGGTAGGGGGGGCTTTTTGGTAGGAGACGCGCGAGTTTTTTTCTTCGGCGAGATGTTGGGGATTTGGGGGATCGATGGGGTCTCGAGGAAGGGAATGTTTTTATTTCTGGTTGGCTACGTTGTCTGGGATGTTTGGAAGAGATGTCGGTTCTGTTGAGGGGTGTCACGAGAGCTCGAAATCCCTTGCGTGGTGGAGTTGTCTGGTCTGGTCGTACGTTCGTGTTGGAAAGGTTTTGCGGGATGTTGATCGTTGTATTGAGGGGGGGAGGATCGTTGTGTTTGCGAGGAAAATGGGGGGGTGTAGGGAAGCTCGCGGAGGACGAAATAAGTTGTCAGTTACCTGCCTACTAATTTTGAGACTTAATCAGTCGACTTCAAACAGACGCATTTACGTGTAATAATTGACGAAATAAGTTATATTGTTCCAAGTTAATCCGCTGAATGCCGATATTTCGTCAACTTAATCGAAGAAATATCCTGCTTCGACTACCACTTATTTTGTCCACCGCGAGCCTGGGAATATCAAATTTATGAACTAGATTTAGTAAAGCCCTAGGTGAATGTTTACGAGAATACAAGTTCACTTCACATTTAGCCTATTATTTTACATCACATATAAAACTATCATATTCACTAGGAAAGATGTGGAGTAGATTATGCAAACCAGATCTTCGTTTTTTTGCCCACTCTGTTTCTGTCTCTGATCGCGTCTTCCGCGTTGTTTCCTCCACAACAACTTCTCTCCTTAACACCAACAATGTTACTTCGCCGGATCCGCAAACCTTTGAACCAGACTGACGGATGCATTATGAGCTCACCCGAATCACACGACAACAGTAGCGACAATGAACCTTGTTGGCTATTAAAACTACCACGCGAGATTCGAGACATGATCTGGACTCTAGTTTTGGAACCAACAGTATTGTTTTCCGTGGACACCCGGCCAATGTCTCTCCAGCATGGCTACCGCCTCAATTACGGCGAGGAGTTTTGTGATACAGCAGAGTACATGCAGAATTATACCAACTTCCTTTTGCTCAATATTGGCGTCGGACCTCCGCCTACGCCTCCCATATGCAAAAAAGTGACTTTCGGAACGTTTGCAATAAATGGCTACCGCACCGATGGGGAAGAGCGTCTGGATAGAACAGCATATATACAGAAACTTTTCGACTTTTACTTCCCCGAAGACGGTGTCGCTCCTCCACCCGGGCCTCCCAGATGCGAAAATGTGAGTTTCGCAACATTTGCAAGAAATGGCAGGTTTATTTTCGCGAATAAACAAGTGTGCGAAGAGGCCAGACATATAATTGATGACTTGAGAGCCACAATTCTATCTGGTATTGTTGGAAGCACGATTCGAGAGGATCAGCCATCAGCAAAATTTTCTCAAACTTTTGGCAGCTCACAAGTTCGAGTTTGATTGTCATCCTTACGAAATCTACAGCTTTCTGGAAACTACGTCGGCGGCATTTCTCAAGAACATCAGGTCTATTGTTTTGGGAGAGCATCTGGTCTCGGATGACCTCGACTTTTTCTCCGAATATTGTCAGACGAAACTCACACTTGAAGCGGCCGAACCGTTCAGGAGCGTCAGTCAGTTGCCCCCGTACGGCCTGGGTCTAAATCGCGTGTACCCTTACGCTACCCCCGACCTTGAGATTGACTACCACAAGTACAAGAAGTCGCGTATCATCCAGCTTCTTGACTCTCAACTCCCGTGCCTAAAGGAAGTTGCATTGTGTGCACTATTAGACGAGTTGCACGGCTTCTTCTACCCGATCGTCGTTCCGAATTTCCTCAGGATGCTGATTGCTGGAAGGATAGACAACTTGCAGCTTTTATACGACTACAGCGGTGATTGGGAGCCTCCCATCTTAAGCGAGCGCCGGGATATGGCGGCATTCTTCGTGGAGAAGATAAATAAGTTTGACTTAAGCCCTGAGATCCAGAGCGTCTTTCCAGACGAAGTCAGCCATTTTTGTCTGAAAGAAACAAGAACCGAGGGCCTCACCTGGTGGTGCGAAGCGGAAGTTAATTGCAACGATAGGGATTCGGAAACTAGGTTGCAGGAAAATCCTGCTCCAGAGGTTCAGACTGTCATTGATATACGCAGGGTGTTGTTGTCGGAGGAACATGATGACAGTGTGAAGCGTTCTAGGGAAAAGACAGCAAATAAATTGCGACGTTCGGAACGGATATCAAAAAGAGAGAGACTGTTGGATGCCGATAAAACTGGTTGAAGGACCCGAGCTTATCGTGGAATATGTGTTTCTGGAAAGACAATTCGCGCGCAGATGTGAGATGAGTACGAAGAATCAAGTTTCGTTCTCATCGATTGGTTTAGGAGTCTATGGATTGAAATGACCCAACCAACTGTATTTCAATGTCTGATCATCCAGCATATACTCAACGTTTCGTTAGTGTGCAAACTTAATGGCGTTCGTTGCTTTCGGACTGGATCATAGTAATAGAATAATAAAATCTATTGCTGTGCTTATCTTTCTTATCATACCTGTCTAACCTATTAATCTATATTCCAAATCTCCATTGGAGATTTGGAATATCTGCTGCTGTACCATAACACATCCGTGGACTCCCCATTAACTTGACTTTTGGAATGGAGAGCAAACCACTAGATTTTGATTCCTGAAGATAAATAATTCATAAAAAATCATAAGTGATCGGCTCGTTTTGAGAAGTACGGATTCGGAAGACCCGGTCATCACTAATTCGTTCGAACTGTGTGCATGAAGTAGACATCAACAAAAGTCATTTTTACAATCCCTGGGAGTTTCATAGCCCTACTTCAAATGAAGACCAAAACTCTCGTCGGGTTCTCGAAACACTTGGATGGGTGTATACTAGCTTTTGTCTGACATGGTCGGCAATCATGTTCTAGATCGGTGAAATAGTTATGATTCAAGTGGACAGCAACCAGAATTCTAACAATTATGTAAACAGCTAAAACTACTCTTAAATAAAAGGCATTTAAGTGTGAACCAGCTAAAACTCAGCAGCTTGTAGTCTTTGATTCTTCCCTGATGAAATCATATTAGCGTCATCTTCCAATATCTTGACACCTAAACAAAAGAATTTGAGACTTTAGCAAAGGCCAACGGAGAAGGTTTAAACTGTCTGTATTTTAAACAAAAGCTTAAGTCCCTATTTTCTTCATCCGCTCAGACGGAGCGAATTGAAGTCTGACATACCGTGAAGGACGTTGGATTGCAAAATGTTCTGCAATCCAAATACATTTCACTTCTTCTCAATTCACCACCCAGGATTCCAAACACTCAAAATAAATAGCCTGATATCCCAATCAATATCCACCCACGAATCACCATCCCTCACCCATCAACCCCGTGATTTGCCAAATCATCATAAACAATGGTGGTCAGCAGTCAAGAAGCCCCACACCCATACAAAACCAAGCTGGTAAAGATGCACAAGGTGGTATTCCATCTAGCTTCGGCAAATAAGGATATGCAATATGGGACTTGCATCAAACCCACTACCCCGCAATGGTTGAGTGGATGGGCATGTATATACCGACTACAACAAACAAAAAGCCCTCGATTTCTGGTTCTCATTGTGGAATTTGCCATAAGAAATCGAGTCAAGATGTCGGATGATAAGGAAACGATATCGGCGAATCGCCGCGTGTTTTTTGCGAATGCGGTGGTGATCATGGCGAGTTTTCAGTATGGGGTGGATTTTGGTCTTATTGGCGGGTTGCAGGCTATGCCTGGGTTTCTTTCGGTAGGAACTCATAAACTTACAACCCAAAGAGATTTAAGAGGTCAAACTGACTGTAAAATTCAGGTCTTCGGCTTCCGCGCTCCCAAAACACCAAGTGGATGGAATCTCACAACCGAGCGCCAGCAACTCATCTCCTCTCTCATGACCCTTGGTGCCTTCGTCAGTTCCTTCACCGCGGGTTGGATCGCCATTAAATTTGGCCGTCGTCACGCCTTATGGCTTGCTTGTATCATCTGTTGCGTCTCGAATATCATCATGATGACGACGGAACATATTAAAGTGCTTTATGCAGGACGATTCTTGAATGGATTGGCGAATGGCCTGTTCATGACTTTTTCGCAGCTGTATATTCAGGAGAGTAGTCCTGCTAAGTTTAGGGGGTTGTTTTTGACTGCTTTTCAGTTTGGGACGTCGTTTGTGAGTTTTGTTGTTTGAGATATGTTGGTAGTGAAGTACTGACGGTGGTAGGGGACGTTGATTGGAACTATTATTGATTACGCTACTGCGAAGAATTTGGGAAAGTCAGCATACCTCATTCCTCTTGGTATTATCTATGTCGTGCCGGCGGTTATGTCAATCGCTCTGTTCTTTATCCCAGAATCGCCTCGATGGCTGCTTCTACAAGGGAAACGAGAGGAAGGTGTAAAGTCTCTGGCGCGACTACGACCAGATGGTACAGATGTCGAGGACGAAGCAGCTATTATTGTAGCTGCTATCGAAAGAGAAAGAGAACTCAGTAGAGGTGTTGGCGTTGTAGATTTGTTCCGAAATCCGATCGATAGACGGAGGACTATCATTGCTGTTTGTGGTGTTACTACGCAAGCGGCGACTGGTTCTATGTTTATCATTGGTAAGTTTTTGATCTTCTCAAAGTCGTCCCCATTTCGATACTGTCACATACTTACAATTTTCGTCAGCATACAAAGCGTATTTCTTCACCATGGCGAAGGTGTCTAACCCTTTCGGTATGAGTTGCGTACTTAGTACTCTCGGACTCCTCGCACTTGCCATAAATTCCTTGATTGTGGTTCGTTACGGTCGACGCCGTGTTCTTCTGATGTCAGGATTGGTCACATGCGGTATTCTTCAGCTGATTATCGCGATTACCTACCATAAAAACCCTGGAACAAAGAAAACCGGTAAAGTGCTCGTAGCACTTTCTTGTCTATACATGATGAGCTACAACGTAAGCTTTATGCCACAAATTTCTTTAGATTTCTCGAAACTAATTTGCCTTTCCAGGGAATGGTCTCACCATACGCATGGTTGACAGGCGGAGAAATTCCATCACAACGTCTCCGAAGTTATACATTCGGTCTCTCAGCTGCAATCGGATTCTTCTTCGCATGGCTTACTCAATTCACCGCTCCGTACTTTATTAACCCGCTTTCATTGAACTGGGGTCCACGATATGGGTTCATCTGGTTTCCTTCTGCTATCATCACGGCCGTTTGGGTGTTCTTTTTCTTACCTGAGGTTAAGGGGAGGAAGCTAGAAGAGGTTGATGAGATGGTAAGTCAGGTGTTTTCGTTGATAAATATCAATTGGATCTAAGTGCATGTTGTGAATCTCACTGACATTCCTTGCAGTTCGAGGCAAAACTTGGTGCGAGGAAATTCGAGGAGTATGTTTGTGTTGGCCCATTGAGGTTGTCGGAGGAAAAGCTCAATGAAATCGAAGAAGAAAAGGAAGTTCATTCAGAGGAGAAGGTGAGTTTCACACTTCATTTATATTTTGATAAAGTCGCTGACCTTCCTTCTCCAGCCTACAGTGGAGACTGTTGAAGTGACGAAAAAGTGAATTTGTTGATTGGTGACTACGGATCAGGCTTTGTGCTAGTAGATGATAGACTTCATAACCCGAGCGATAGTTGTATGAGAGTTTGAGTGAAATGATAGACTAGCATTAATAATTCCTTGCAAGAATATTGAGCCTAAAATTTTCTTATTTGATTTCACGATATAGAACTCGGCTGCTGGAATCACTTCTAATATGACTAAACTGCTGCAAGAAACAACGCAAACTAAAATAAGCCCAAGCTAAAACCAAGGAAGACCACACTTTCTCTAGTGTCAACAATGACTGAGCAAGATTACTAAGATAACAGAGTTATGAAAGACTCGTCTGCTTGGCCGATGCTGGCTGACGAGAAACTCTAATTTGAAGTGTTCGCAGGGTTGTGACATTTCGGCGTCCCTCCAAAAATTTAAGAATTTGTCATCAGGGACATTATGATCGAATAATTGAAAAAGTCTTGAGTGGTGTTCTTAGGTTTTCTAGTATAACGGCCTAGAATGATGTAAGGCGTGGTTGCGATCGTCATATTCCAGTGAGTCCCCACCACTCCCGTCAACTAGCCATTAAGACACTATTTAAAGTCACAACGTCCATTCTCACACCAGTTTCTTCTTCCCGTCTTTCATCCTATCTTCATTCAATCCAAAAATCCTTCGTCCAATCGCTCTCCGCGCGTCTTTTGTCGGTGCGTTTTATCATCCAACCTATCCATCCAATATTTTATCCACTCTCTCCGCCAATTCATAATTCAACCTTCTTCCATCCATTCCTCACACATCTTTTGTCTAAATCTCTCGGCCAACATTCCATGAAATCCATTCCTCACCCATCGATTGTCGTACAAGTCAAAATGTCCTCCAAAGTCGACATACAGTCGGGCCCGTTGTCAAACGAAAAAGCCTCCTTCGACAACTCCTTCGAAGCCTATCAACTTGAAGTTATTCCAGCCAAGAGTCTACCAGATCGACCAGACGACGAGGAAACCAAATTTCTTGAAACAATTCGGGGACATCTATCTGTGCAGCGCTTGAGGGATCGGCTTGCCATATTGTTCATAATGGTGGGCGTTGTGATTTTCACATGGCCTTTTTTCTATCTCGACTCCAACACGATTTCAGACTTCCAAGTCAAGATTCGAGCAATACCATTCTGCATATCCTATATTGCATCGGCTCTCATATCTCTTGCCGTATTCCGAAGAAGGGTCGGGCAGTCAGCCCATCCTACGGGATTGATGGACAAAAAACCTGATATCATTGGTGCTTTTCGGAAGAGGGTGACGGAAAATTATTTCAATGTGTCAGATCCGATGTACTACTTCCTGCGACATGCCGCAGACCCAAATCTCCCAAGAACCGGAACTTTCGATAAATTGCTTCGTCGTGAAATATTATGTATCTTAGGAATGCGCCACGTACTCAAGATCATCGTATTGGGATTTGCCTGCCTCAAGTACGAAGACTTCCTGGATGCTCCGATAACTCACTGGATTTGGCTACCGTGTTGGTTTGGATTTGGTGCATGTGTGGATGAGATGGCTGAGGTTGATTGCATGGGCTGGTATTGGTCTCAAAGCAGGTTTCTTCAATCTATTAGAAGGGAATGCTTAATTTTATGTGCGAACAACGACACTGAGAAGGCTTTCCAAAAGCAAGTCAAGCCCGAAGTCTATTTGGCGGAATGGTTCGAATTTCTGATGGTGGATGAGAAGGAATCAGAAGAAGCCCAACAACGAGCACGGATGTGCCTTAAGGTGCTGGTTGAGCAAATCAGGTTCCCAGCCACCGATGACGCATCCCAGAGACTGAGGAAGCCCAAGGATATTCTAGGTCTTCTTGCTTAGACAAGAGTCGTGGAACAAAATGGAGGCGTATTGGAGTTTCATTCATTTTAACCCGTCCTCTCGCTGAGCAGTACAGCCTGTAGTGAGAACGCGAGATGGTGTCGAACAAGTTGACGAAATATGGTATATTTTGTCCGTTAGTTTTGGGGAATAATAACCCCCTAGACTTAAATTAATTCAAAATGAAATTACTTATCAGGAGTGCTTGGTTTTTTTCTCAGGTTCTTCATCAAGTTACTACAAGAATCCAGCAGTTCCTCTCCGTCATTTGCGAGGGTTGTGTAGGTAAATGATGTATAGAATTCCGAACTTTGTCATGGCCAAGCCCGTAAGATTAAAGAGCTCAGTTTATGTATTCCAGAACCAATACAACTGATACAAGTCTCAAAATAGATACCCAAGAATCAAATTTACCCAGAATGATCGACGAAATATGCGATATTTCGTCAAAATTTCAGACTAATTATTTGTCTCATCCACTGACAATTTGACCCAGCGCGGTAGTAATTCAGCTAAAGCCAGTGAGAAATTATTAGCTCCCCTCCTTCTTTCTGTTGAGGGATAAAATTTCCTGCTGGACTTAGATATAAACTCGGATTTTTTTGAAACTGCTTAGAATAAAGATGCGTTGGTATGGTAGAAAGTTTGATTGAATAGATGGCTGATGGCTACGAAAGTCAACAGCCTCTTTGTCATGTATGACATAACAATCAGGACTATTCTCTATGATAACCAAGTATAGCAGGTTAGTTTGATTGGTAAAACGATAGATATGATGCCCTGCTCCTCATTGATTATGATTATTTTACTTATTCAAGTCCCAAGAAAATTTTCACTGCACTTGTCGATTCTCAGATTACCGTGAAAGGGAAGGTGAAACCTCCAGTTTTTACCAAGAGCTATCGATATTCTAGTAATTTCCAATACACGATATCAACCCGTAAATCGTACATCATTTTTACCTGCCCCGTAGCCATTCGAAGAACCACCAGACCCACATCACCAGCGCAATTACCTGGGGTACAACCACTACGCGAAACCAGAACAAACACCAAAATAAGCCTACCCATTCGGAGTCTTGATAGCTGCGGTAGGCTCTTGCTGCGTTGTATAACACAGAATTTTTCAGTCCTTCACCAAATTCCTTCCAGGTAATAACTTCTTTTTTCTCCTCATCTTCTTCGTCCTCTTCGTCCTCTTCTTCTTCCAAATCTTCCAATGCAGGAAGCTCCAGGACCTCAGGTTCCTGGTAGCTGCTATAGTCTCTTGTGAAAGTACCTACCCTAGATTTCTCATTTGAAGTTTGTTGCGCAGAGCTGCTATTTCCTCGGGGTCAGAAGGGACCTCAGCGTCAGGGTCAAAGCCAGAGTCAGGGTCAAAGTCAGAGTCAGAGTCAGAGTCAGAGTCAGAGTCGGAGTCGGAGTCAGCCCAGTCGTATGGTGAAAAAAGAAGAGGGTTCTCAGAAGTCATGATGTGCTGTTCAAAACCAAGCTGCTGAGTCTGTTGTTGTGTAAGCTTAGCAGATTCCGAGAAATAAAATATATTTCGAGTCAGATTTGTGACGACTTGAAGTTCGTAAAGTTGTCTGAGTATGCGACGAATTAATAGTAACTGATGAGTTAGACTTTGAATAAGAGAGTCCGACTAGAAAATGTGCGGTGTAAGTCGTCTTTTGTACCGTCAGTTAGCTCACTGGATTTCCACCAGGTCCATTCCAACCTTGGCTTGGGAAATGGGGAAAATAGAGAGCATATTCTAATGTCATATAGCGCCCCACAAGAAACAGAAAACAAAGACCAACACAGATTTGGAACACATATAGTGCGTACACTAACTGCAAAATTTGGCAGACTATCTGGCCATTAACGGCTACAACCGCTTCTCCTCCTGACTTGGTCAAGAACTCCTCAACATCCAATTCTGAGCAAGAAGAAAACGGACAGGTAGTTTGTGATGGGCTCCTTCGATCTGGACAAGATAGGTAGCAGTCGAGACATAAGATTTCGTGGATCGATTTGAGACAATAATGTATATTTAGTCAATCAGGTTGGAACAATATCATGCATTTCGTGGATTGTTTCGAGGAAATAATATCTTGTCAAGATCTATTCGAACTGGACTTATCCGGTCGGACATTAGTGGGCAGCTGGTTTGAGATGTTGTCATCTGCGATGCCGTATTCTCGAACGATGAGATAACCAAGTTGAGTGGTGGCAGGAGCGAGCATGCATGCTCATGGAAAAGCGATAGATAGAAATAAAAAGAATTGTGTCGCAGAGCAAGTTATCAATTGTACAGAAGACTGCTGAACCGACGACAAGCTTTTCCGAGTCCTGGCCTTGGAACTGGAGGAGCCAAAAAGATGTCTGATGAGGAAGGTACGATCGTGGAACGCCCAACATCAGCGTCGAAACCTGTGACTACCCTCCCGCCGTGCAAAAAACAAGACCTCAAACCGAACACCCGACCATCACAGAATCTCGCATCTGCACGTTCGACAAACTCGATCCAGAAAGCATAAATTTGAAACTCCAAGCATCGTTACCAAGTCATCGAACACCGCGGAATATATCTGCTACCACACTAACCACTACGCGATGGAGAAAGAACAAGTCCCCGGGCAGAACGACATCACAAGAAAGGTCACTCCACCCCGTCCGATTCTCAGACGCTCGCCATACTTTCAGAGCGAGAATGGCAGAGATAATACCGCATCTCAACACCCTTCAAATCTGCCAGCATCCGGATCATTGAACTCCTCACGAGACACGTCCCCCTATCGAATATACAACTACCCCCAAGAGATACATCCCAGTTTGGAAATGGTCTTGCCATGGGAGAAATCACCCAGTAGTTCAATGGCCCATGAGTCAACACCAGAGAGAGACGCGAAAAGCATTGAAGATGGTGATACGGATATGGACGGGGGTTTCGCGTCGAATGCCAGTAAACCGTTGAGACATATGGGTAACTGTCGATATGTCTTGAGATCTCCTGGCAACGTAAGTTTCCACGACTGCAAACGCGGAATATTACTGACCGCGCTAGAAGTCCAGACAAGACAAGTATGACGCCGCATCGTCGTCTCCCGTTCGAAGAATAGAAAACACGCCAGAATTAGACGATGAAGAAATGGTCGACCACCTTACAAATGAATTCCACGTCGTAGCATTGGGACGAAAATCGAGCGGTCCGCTGCCCGTAAACCCTCTCGGTGATGATCTGACAATGAGTCCCATTTCCAGCAGCCGGGAGGATATGCCGATAGTATCAGTCACGGAGATGGAAGCTGAAGATCCCGACCTCGATAATTCCGCAAAAATTGACGATCTCGTAGACATCTTCGACACGGCACGCGGAAGACCGGATAGGAGAAATACGCAATACATCCGCGAAAAACAAGAGATCGCCGACAACAAACGCGTTCTCACAACCCAGGATATCCTCCGTATCTCCCGCTCAAACAGCACCACGCTCCCGGAGATCCAGGTGAGTGAGGAGGAACTCCTCAACACGACGTATGTGAATACGAAAGTTGCGCCGTGTATTTGCGTGTTTGGGGCCTGGAAACAGGATGAGAGGTGTCAGTGGCCGTTTCATACGCCGGCTGAACCGGTGGACGGGTTGTGGTGGGATCAGGGCGCGAAGAAGATGGGTGGGATGGAGAGGAAGAGGGGGAGGGAGAGGAGTGGGAGTGTGTCGCCGAGGTGTGTTAAGAGGAGGAGGAATACGTTGAGTTGAGCGAGGGGTATGGAGTGGATTGAGCTGGGTATGTTGTTTGGAGATGGGTGCGACGAGTGGTGGGAGGGCGTGTTGAAATCGGTTATGGTGTGCTGTTTTGTTTGGTTATTGGACTTTAGAGGGACTTCGCTGAGGGAGTCAGAGATAGCATTGTTGTCACTACGAAAATGAGAGCGTGGGTCGTTTTTGGTTGGATGGTTTGCCCGGTTTCGTGTTATTGTCAGCTCGTTTGGGTAGAAGTAGGGTATGAAGTAAACTTACTCGTATCGCATATCATCTGAGTGGCGATCAGCGAAGTCAAATACCATGCTTAGACCTGCTTGTGATATTGATTTCTCGTCAAACGACAGTAAACAGACAACCTTGAAATCACTACCTCTTACTCAATGTATTAGGTATATGTAGGTATCTATGTAAGTCTATATGAGTAAAGATGACAACCCACCAACGCTCCAAATATACAAATCCCGCTCCACCTAACCACTACGGTAAACTTTCAAACTCCTCCTGTAAATCCTTCAGTTCAGGACTCACTGCCTCTTTCGAGCCCAAGGTCAATCCCGCAGCCTTCTGCGCCAGATCGATCAAAGAGCTATCTAATGCCTTCCCCTTCGCCAATCCCGCCGCCAAAACACCCAAAAATGTATCTCCAACCCCATTCACACTGACTATCTCCTTGACAACCTCTTGCGTAGGGAAATGTCGCATATAGACCCCGCCGACGGTTTTCGTTCCGTTCGAGTTACGCGAGAGGATATATCGTGTGTGTTGCGAGTCCGTTAGGCGTGGGTCGTGAGGAGTCATGAGTTGGGTCAGGAGAACACCGTCGGCGCCGAGTTTGGTGAGGATGGTGGGGATATAGGGGAGGAGTTGGATTGTTTGGTGGGGGATACCTTCGTCTGTCATTTTTGCGTTGGTGATTTGCACGAAGCGATCGCGTGCGCCGGTGCTGGGGATGCCGAAAGCGTCGACGAGTGCCCACCATTCTTGGCATTCGAGGAAGCCGTTTTCTTTGGCGGCAGTGTACATGGCTGATAGTTCGAAGGTGTTGGGTGTGGCGATGTCGACGAGATTGTGTGGGAATGCTTTCTCGATGGTGTGGTATGTTGATTTTTTGAAGAGGTTTGCTGCTTTAGGGACGGAGACTGGTTCGAATATGGTTTTCAAGGATTTGTTTGCTTTTTTGAGAGTGATGAAGAGCTTTTGTAGTTCCATGGGATCCCAGTTTCCGTCTACAATTGCCACTTTGGCGGTCATGGCGTTTGAGAGTACCCACGAAGGTTTCGGCTTGGCTTCACTAAGAATTTTCATGTCGGACATTGCAAGCACGAGGTCTTTCTTTCCGTCGTTGATTGCAACGTATTGTGCTGTACGAGCCTCAGGGTGAGTAAGGATACCAGTCGTATCCAGACCTTCGGCTTCAATGGCTGTGAGTGTTTCGCTACCAGTTCTACCTACGATTAGCACGAGATTAACTAGATAGATTAGAGAATTTCGTACGAATCTGCGCCCACCACACTACAGAGCCGGACTTTCAACGCCCCTGATGCAATATGAGCGGCTAGTGCAACATTGTGCCCAACACCTCCAATTGTCTGCTTGATAATCGAAGGATTAGACGTCTTCATTAAGGGCCCAGCGTCTGTACTATTGGTCGAATCCACGGGCGAATGATCGCAAGCAAGATCTACAGCTAATGAACCAAAGACGACGAGATCTGGAGGGCTTTGTAGTACAATCTGAAGCTCGAGCATTAGCGAAGAAAGGAGGGAAGATTAAATAAGATGACAAACCTTCTTCATGGAACTCTCGTTTCTAGCTTCAGAAGAAATAGTAGGTGGATCTGAATTTTCCTGTGACTGCGTTTTTCTTGCCGAGAGTTAGCTGTTGAAACATACAAATGGATGCAGTGTACCCACTTTCTATCTTTAGAGGAAATCATAGCCGCAGGTGGGTTGTCTCCGTATTTGTTTCTCCTTGTCAAAAGTTAGCTTCCGGGACGTACCAGTGCGTGCATTGGTCTTACTCCTCTGCCTTTCTCTGAGCGTCTTCTTTACGATAGAAACTTCGAAGCTTCTCAAGCTCTATAGCTACCTGCGTAGCCACTTTGACATTTGACCGAATCAATGCCCTGTTCGCAGGGATACTGTTTCCCTTGGTGAGGTCTTTGATACGCGCAAGAATGAATGGAGTGTTTGAATGCCCGTGGAAACCTTGATCGGCAGCTTCTTGGACGGCTTGATTGATAGCAAGGTCAATCTCAGCTTTGGGAATTGAGAACTCTTTAGGGATCGGGTTTGCAAAGAGTAGCCCACCCATGACACCTTTCGTGCTGCGCAGATGAGCCTGAGCAACTACGACCAATTAACTCGTGCTCCGAAAAGGTTTCACAGTCTCTTACAAATCATCGCGGCTGCTTCTTTGGCATTTTGAATAGTGAAAGGGCTTTTTACACCACTTTCACGCGTATAAAAGGCAGGAATATCAACATCCCCCGTACGACCATCTGCGAACGTACAGACGGGCACTCCCTGCGTCTCGAGGAACTCCAAAGTTCGAGGAAGATCAAGGAAACTTTTGCAACCGGACGACACCACAGCAACGGTGGTACGCCCAAGCTCGGTCAGGTCAGCAGAAATGTCCATGGTATCCTGACCACCACGGTGTACTCCGCCCAGTCCGCCAGTGCCAAAGACACGGATGCCAGCTCTCTGTGCAATCATCATTGTTCCTGAGATAGTAGTGCCTCCAGTGATAGGCCGCCCAGCGAGTCGCTAAGAGGATGTAAGCAATGAACAGACCTCGGGAAAATTCACGTTATTTTAACTTACCATTCCCGTGATATATGGGAGATCTCGACGGGATATCTTCATTGTTTCGGGTTTCCCAGCAGCGGAAGCAAGACGAACAAGCTGGTCTTTAGTCATCCCAACACAGATTTCGCCGTCAATAAAACCAATGGTCGCTGGCACTCCACCATTATCGCGAACGACCTGCTCCAATCCAAGTGCCAGGTCGACATTGTCTGGATAGGGGAACCCATGAGTATATATCGTGGATTCCAGTGCTACCAATGGAAGGTCTTCCTGCCTAGCTTGCTGCACCTCATCTGAGTAGCGTAACGCTGGACGTAGATCGCGGTATCGGTATTTGTTTGTCCACGTTGTCTCTTTTTTATCAGATTTTGATGAAGAGGTACTAAAAGTAGGAGCGAAGGCCCTGAGTTTATACGAGGAGCGCGGTAATCGATTGAGGTGAGCTGCCCTCCATATAGGAAGACATCTGATGGTTCGCGACGCCACCATATCGTGTATGCACTAGTGAGAGTCCTTCTCCCTCACAGCGATAGGTAGTGCAAATAAAGAAAAGACTGAGGTGAAGGTGTGAATCCTTGAGATGAGATGAGAGCTATCACTGGGCGATGTTGATTTTCAGAGAGATCCCGTGATTCGTGCCTTAACAGGGGGGCTTCGTTCTGAGGCGACGATTCACACTCGCTTCCCAGCCCCGTCTTCTGGAAGACGGGCCGCAACGGCAGCCCATCCTCTTTTGCGACTCTGCTCGTCTCACCATGATCGGACCAAATACCTTGGTGGGGATCTTGATCTTCCATATTGCCCACAAGGCTCAAGCTCGAACAAAGATTGATCTGTTAAATGATCACACGTCAAGGATTTTATTTTGGATGGCAGTTTTGTAACCCGAAAAATCGACCATCTTCAATGCGTTATTTGCATGAATGGGCTCGCCAACCAAGAACCTTGATATAATTCTCCGACGGTAAGTTATGGTATGATATTCGGAATCTAATATGATATGGCACAGCTGCCTCTTTATCATATATGACCCGTTAGTCTCTCTTAGCCACCCCTCCATTTCTACTTGTCTGCAGAAGATTGCGCATTTCGTTAGCTGTCATCATGTTCAAACTCCATTTACTGCTTCTTCCTCTGCTGGTGGGATGGTCGAAAGCGCAAGCTGTCGTAAATGGTCAAATATGGACACCAGGCATCGTTTTGGTAGATGCGCCCCAGCCGAACACACCGTTGGGTGGTGGTGAGTTATTCGGTCTCGTCATCTATTGAAGCAGTTCTAATCCATCTAGATAAGCTACATGTCGCGCTCGATGTCACCTCGAACGGCCAACTGCAACTCCCACCGTACCCTTCGAACCCTACATCTGCGATTCACAACATCACGATCTTCCTCTCGAGCTATGTGACCGGAAAGAACTTCACGGTGTCAAATGGCACCGCAGGTGCCGGTAACGCGAGTTTGGGAGAGATCATGGCTCAGGAGCCTTCGAGCACAGTGAAGCACATAAATTGGATGTGGCCGGACTGCTTGGTTGGCGACGGAAATCCTGACGGATCAAACAGTTCTCGAGGAGCTTACAATGTATTTGGTTCTAGTTGTGCTGTCCAACATCACTCGCTAATGAAGATTTTCAGATCTCAATCCGACAAAACTTTCGCATGAACGGGTCGGAACTTTACACAATATTCGACCTGCCGATTGCAGTGACCAACAGCATTCCCGCCGATGTAGCTCGTCCTTCTTGCGATAGCCTCAACAATCCAATGCTCGATCAAGCCACCTTAGCCGCCTCTGCTAATACCTTTACTCGAATTGCTGGAACCATAATCGAGACAAACGGGCAGGGTTCTGGATTAGGAGGTAGCAAGCCGGGAGCTTCTGCTCAAAACGGGCTGGGAGCTGCTGGTACGACTGATTGGCATACAAATGTCCATGCTTTGTGGATTGGTACATTAGGGCTCTTCTTGCTCTGGTAGCTGTCCAAGTCGAACCTAGCGTGGATCTACTTGTCATTCGCTTGTAACGCTAGTCTGACAGGTATACTTGAATCTTACTGACTATTGTCATATATTTCACATCAGTTCGGCTTTCCTGCCCGTCACGCTTGAACATACATTTCCATATCTCGTATATATCGGCCATTTCTATATGTACGTTAGTATTTGATTAGCACAGTGGAGCAATCGCAATTGACGCATGCCAGCCTCAATGTGGCATAGCTCAACCCCGCGTTTCAACCTTGGGGGGCCGGATTCACCTCGGTACGCGTAGCTTCGTGTTCACCCACATGTAAACTGGGCTTTTGGAGACGCCCGAGATTGCTCTGAATGGCTGTAAATTCAGCCAAGCAGCAATTATGTTTCTCTCAGATATGCAGAGTACCATGCAGATTGCCAATACGGTAAGGTACAATCCCCGCACGCATTTGATATCTAGTCTAGACGAGGATGCTAGCTTCTGTCTCCAATATTGCCCTTCTTCCATCTTCTCTCTCCGTTATCAAACTACTACGACTACATGTTAGCAACTGGTAAGACTAGCCATTGACTAGTTACGAGTAGATTCAATTGTTTTATAGACACTGTCATACTAGCTTGCGCTACTAACCGTTAACATGCCTTTTCACAATGGCTGGCTGCCTCGCGAAGGTAAGTAAGTAAATTTTCACAATCAGTACATGTACTAACAGAATTAGGATTCAATAGCCAACCCCTAGGCGGCTTGCTCAAGAAGACAGCTCTTAATCCGGCGTTTACCCTTCTCTTCATTCTCCTCGCTCGATATACCAAGAAAGGCTCAGACTTAGCTATCCTCCATGAGACTGCGTTCTCCCGCCTTCGAAAGCTTTTCTATTTTGGGCTGGTACGATGGGCTTCTGGATATCTCGACACGGGTGTGCTGGACAATTGGACGAGTGGAGACTTTGACTGGACCAAGGAGATTGTATTAATTACTGGTGGTGCGGGAGGAATCGGTGGAGAGGTTGTGAAGCTGTTTGCGGAGCGAAAGATCAAGGTTGTGGTGCTAGATGTCATTCCTATGACATTTGAGACTCGTGAGTATCATTTACCTACTCAAATATGCTGATCAATTCTAACATTCCAACAGCCGAGGGCGTCTATTACTACAAATGTGATATCACTTCCCCCTCAACCATCGCCTCAGTCGCCTCCGAAATCCGCAAAGACGTCGGCGAACCAACTATCTTAATCAACAACGCCGGCGTCTGCCGCGGAAAAAACATCCTCGACGCCACCGAGAAAGACGTCCGCTTCACATTCGACGTCAATACTCTCGCGCACTACTGGATGGCAAAGGAATTCGTCCCGTCAATGGCCAAAAAGAACCACGGCATGGTCGTCACAGTCGCTTCCTTCGCAGCCTTCGTCACAGTCCCCAACATGGTCGACTACGGCGCCTCCAAAGCAGCCGCACACTCCTTCCACGAGGGTCTCACAGCCGAACTCAAAACCACCTACAAAGCACCTAAAGTCCGCACCATAGTCATCAACCAAGGCTACACCAAGACCCCGCTTTTCCAGGGCTACAATAATGATTCCCCGTTCCTGGTCCCCACCATGGAGGTTGAGACTGTTGCGGAGGCGATCGTGAAGAAAGTGTTGAGTGGCCATAGCGGACAGGTTATTGTCCCAGGCTTTGGGACGACGCTTACGATTTTGAGGGGCATGCCGCATTGGTATCAGGATCGGATTAGGAGTAAGGGCGCGAATATTATGCCGAATTGGAGGGGGAGACAGGTGTTGGATCCTAATGAGATAAAGGAGAAGGAGGAAAGCCAGGGGAAAGAAACTGAGTAAGCTCGCTTATGATGCCCTTTTTGTGTGTGAGACTGATGTTTGTGCAGATCGACGGTCTTAGTACCGCCTCATGAGGATACTTAGGCGGACGGTGATTCGAATTAATGTTGGGGGTGCTTCGTCTTGGTGTACTTGGGAGTTTCTCGTTTCTGAGATTTTGTCGATTTGCTGTTATGTCCCATATTTCAATCATCTAGTAACGTCAATGGAACCTAAAAAATCACTACCTTTACCATTCTCCCCTTTTCATCGAAAAAGCTAAGCGCAAGAGTCGATCTATTTGAAAAGTCTATATCTAGAAATTATCGCCTACTATCCACCCCCCTATTCCAAAAGCATTATTCTCAGATAGAGTAAACACCAATCACATGGCAATCGTTAAGCGAGTCCACCTGCAAGCTTCCAGGTTGTTGTCCTTGCATAGCTACTTACTGTCTGCTTTTTTGCACAGTACAGATGGATGATGCAAGAAATTGACATCATAACTCGCTGTCCTCACTCAAAGTTGTTGTTTCAATCCGGGGTTTGGGATTCCAGCTTGATTCAGGCAGGATTACTGGCTCCTTCTGGGGCGCCGGTTTTGGTCTCTTTTCATTCACACTTTGAAGTTGGTGGAAATTTCAAAATTGAAAATGTTGGTGGGAAGTTCGAATATGGGAAATATGAAAGTCGCATGTCTTTGCGTCTCATAGGTTTGGCAATTTCAGAGCTAGGAATGTTGTTGAATCGCTATAATATTATTAGTATCAGGCGTGCTGCATCAGCCCTACTTCTACCCATGCGCTTCAATTGATGGTATATGAGGTGGGAATGTTGTTGAGCAGCTGGATCATAGCCCAGGTTTGATGAGAGAAGAATTGAGAATGTTGTTGAACAGTTGAAATAGGTGGCAACCTGTAAAAAAAGGTTGGTGTAGTCAGATGGATCGAGTCCGACATTTTACGTCACATTTACATCATGCTTGTGATATTCCTCCTTTCCCAATCTTCGTTGCGTGGAAAGCACTCTTCAGCTCTTGGTTAAGGTGTAAATGAGCCGTGGCTAGTCGTTTCAAAATCTGATAATACCCCTGGAAAGCTCAACGATAAATAAATCGAACACTGTACACTTCATTTACAGAGATCTCAGGATCTCTCTCTTTTCTTTCTATGGAAGTCTTTCGTTAAGTCTTGTGGTTTCCCTCTGCACTGCGCTTTTGATTAGGTTTATCTCTCCAAGACTTGTTTGACAAGATATTCGAATCATAGGTGGCAATCTGGGAAGTGGTGATGGTTGGTGAGAAGTTAAACTGTAATTAAAATCCAACATACAGTACCAACATTCCATGCCCAAAATTTCCCTCCTTTATTGGTCTTCATTCTACATGACTCCTCTTCAATTCCTGATCATGATGCATGTGAGCTGCTATTTTGGCGTAGACCATAAGCAAGTCCGCAACCTTATATCCGATGCACATAAGGTGTTGAATTTCAGTCATTTATTGGACTCAATTCTAGATAACCCCTTTCAATTCCCCGACCACGATGCATAAATATTTCAATATAAATGGGCCCATGAACACATTCACACCTTGCGTTCTATGGATAAAATTCTGGGGGTTTTCTTCTTTTCACATGAACCTGACACTTTAAAAAAATCGATCTAGACGCCATTGAGCTGCATTTTGAATTGGAACGTGATCGGCTCCGACACTTTGCGTTATATTCAGACGTCCTTGCGTTATATTCACACGTCCTTGCGTTCTTTGGAGGACTCTCTCATGGAACTAACTCCCTAATCAATAAGTAAATTGTACTTGAGCTGTCATTTTACTTTAACTACGAACATGTCTAACACCTTAAAAGTTTTTGTATATACGTATCTAGAATTTCCTCTCTCGCGCACTACATCCTTTGTCGAACGGATTAGAGAGACACTCTTGAGATGAAGGCCCCAGCCTTATCATCGACTGCACAAAGTTCATTGGTGGGAAGGCTTTGGTCTCGATATAAAAGCGGATTTATTGGGCCAAATCCTTCTTGGGCAAGAATCGACTCGAGCTGGGCTGTTGCATTGTGTGGAGGTTCCCACTGCTGTTAGACGAAGCGAAGAGGAAATATAGTCTTATAGGGAGATGGCTTGGTCTTGAAAGAAGGAGCAAACAGGGCATGGTTTGTTTTCTGGTTAGGATATTTGCTTATGAGTATCAGTTAGAGTACTGGTCGCCCGGAAGAAGTCCAGAGCCCTCAATTCCAGGTTCTGTGAGGCTGCGATACGATTTGGCTCGGTTCTAGGTTGTGGCATAATATGCACAAGGCGTTCATAGCCGAGTCTGGATCGTTTGAGAATCTGAGGATAGGTTGAGGGCTTTGCGAAACCCTATGATCACTGATGTGGATGAACCTGAAAGAATGCATGAACCTACCTCTACGCCCGGGAGAGGTTGAATTACAGAGTGAAGTTTCCAATACTAGAAACACGGCTTTAGCTGGCCTATTACTAGTGACTCTTTCTTTGAGCGATTCTTGTTGTCCTGCAATGAGGCGTTCAGTATGCAGCTCGGGTGACCTTCAGACAGCCTCGTATTGGTGCCCGCTCCTGATGAGTTCACAGGACTTACGAGGCAGATTTCGCGCTAGCAAATGATAGAAGGAACATCTATCTATTTTGATTTGAAATTTTTTGGTACCCTTGCCAGCTAACCAACTAATTAATTCCTATCAGCTTGCTGGCACACCTCGAGTGGGGGCGTTCCCAGCCCTTAGCATTATATATTTGGTGAGGCGCCTCGCAATTTCCTGAGATATACACAAAAACTTGGTCCGAAACCTATTTAGACTATCGAAAAATCGCAGTATCCTGACACTTACAGAATCTTAGCACAAAATGGACGACTATACTGATGGTTACGGTGAAGACCCTGACTACCAGTGGGAGGAGCACGGCGACAGAGAACATCGCGTATATGGAGCAGAGAAAAGGGAAGATTCAGAAGCACGACGCGAAGAACATGAAAGGCAAACAGCAAAGGCAAGAAAGGGCCGGAAGGACGGGAAAACCAGGCAAAAGAAGGCAATAACTGGGACTGCTGAGAAGTTTCGGGCACGAGACAAGCTAGAAAATCCCCAAGAAGCTGCCAATACCGAATATTCATTACATTATAGGTATGAATTCCCTTTTAAGTTCTCTTACGATACACTTTCACTGACCTGAACTGCCACGTATAACAGACAATCCCAAAATGGACCAGATACCAGCTACCATTCCTCCGCTTCAGAACCCCGACACCATATTACTGCCGACATATACAGACAACAAGAAGGTTTGCAAACACGTCAAACGTTTCATCACATCGGAAATGATTTGATGCAAGTTCCGCTTGATGGGGGATCACATTTGCAGCAATATCAAGCTTTCCCACCTGTAGCCGTAAGTAGATCGAATTTATAGGTTGTATGGTATCCTAATCTGAGATTTAGACGTTCAATCCCAATGGCGCAGGCACTATCCACTATCAGCAGATGCGAGACGAAAACGATCAAATTATAGACAATGGGTTAGCTGTGGTTACCGGTGTAGATGAAGTAGAATGGAAAGGCAAATATCTTTATTGACAAGATCTGTGTTGCTTCGAGAGCTAAGGAGAGTAGTCAAAGCTTTGTTATAATGAAGGTGGAAGTTCATTTGACATGATATGTCTTTCGGTTATAGCTAATCTTCCGTTGCTCGTTATCCCCTGACCTTTTCCGCTTCGTCTCACTGGATGGTCCCAAGTTTATTGCGTTTGTGCGTCTTTCCTGAAAAAGAGAATTTCTGCTGATGACTACGACTTTCATGTACTGGATTACCGCTGTAATATGACGTGGCCTGTACAAATATCATCCCTTTCCGAAATCCCATGACAGCCACTGGTGAAATTATTGTAAGCTGAAGTACGTCTATATGTAAAGAGAGCCCTTGATTGATCTATGCTACTTCAGACTTTGAGAAGCCCAGCCAAAGTAATGTGGTAAGTTGTACAGCAAGGAGGGACCGGACTCGCAGCTTGAGAGAAAGAACAAGCACTTTGATCTACCTTCACATGTTCCAAGGACCTTCGAGACCATATCAATGATATCTACAAGAAGACTTCGTACCAGCCTATACAAGTTGGTTGGAAGATGGACCGTGTGAAGTGGAAATGTTGCATACCGTCTAATTCTAGCCAGTTGGCAGTCTCAAGAATGTTGTTAAACAGCTGGACTATAGGTGGCAATGCACAACTTCGGATTGTTGCATAAGCATTGCTTTTAATCATGTAATTAGTATGATATTCTATGAACGAGGAATGCTGTTTTACTCCTTAATTAAGATATACTAGTTTTATGTTTTTAATCGGTGGCTTTTTAATCTAGACAATAATTAAGCCCGACAATTGAGATTGTATTCGCAATCCCTTTATGTTTTGATATAATTTACTTCCAAAATTAGCTTTCGATTAAGAACCGCATAGGCTGTAATTCTGGTTGGTACTACAAGCAAGTCCACCACTGTGCGTTCGAAGCGTGTAATTATTAAAGTTTCCCTCTCTTATTGGAATTAAAGTTATATAAGTCCCTGTTGGTTCTTAGTCAAGATGTATATAAGCTGTGTTTAAAATGGGAAAACGATTGCGTCCGAAGCTTTACGCTAAGTTAAAATGTCCCTCACGTTTTAGAATGCTTTCTCGTAGGGCTGGCTATTGTATCCTCGATTAATATATATTTAAGCTACATTTTCTAGATTGGAACATGATCGAGGGTAACACCTCCCTTTGCATTCACAGCCCCCTCACCTTTTAGAGTACTTTCTTACGGAGATAACCCTCCAATCTACGCCCGATATACATTTGAGCTGTCATTTTACTTTAAACCATAAACATGTCCAAAACCTTACATTCTACTTCCATGCTTATCGGGAAACGCCTCACCCGGGCGTGCAATCATCTCTTTAAACCGCGAGAAAGTTACATACTATAGTTGACGAACTATAGTTTAAGAGTTTGGATCACAAAGATATCCAACACTGACAACATTTCATTCACATAACTCACGTTGGAGTTTCCTGGACTGTTAAGACCTTAAGATCAGATATCATCTCTTTACAATTCTCGATCGCTATGCATAAGAGCTGTATCATATGATCAAACCGGACACCTTGCATCCTACATAGAGAACTCTTGGGGTTTTCCTCGCTTGCACATGGAATCTGCTCTTTCGTCCCCGGCTAAACTTCTATTGAGTTGTATTTTCAAATGGATTCAATTTCCATTCCGACAATTCGCGTGTCATTCACACAGCAAGCCGCTGAGTTTGACCCCATCTCTCATAGAAACAAACCTGCAATCCTTGACTAATACGCTTCGATCGCTATGAATTTGAGCTGCATTTTGACTTGGACCATGATCGAGCCAACGCTTTGAGGCCATTCACAGACACAAATGTAGAAGGGCTCTCTCAATTCCCATGGCATTTAACGTTTCATCCCTTGATCAAGATGCATTCGAGCTGCATTTGAAATTAAAATTCACTTTTCCTTGCTGTTAACACCTCTTAAACCCCAAAATAGAGACTGTGATGCTGTGATTCGAAATGTAAATGTGCTCAATTGCAAATTGGCAGGTCTTCTGCTCCTGTATAAAAACTTCCTTTGTGCCCGGTGTGCTCGTTCTTCTTTCTCTCCATCTCCGTCATCAACAGTTCCAAGAATCTTGTGGATTCTTCCTATACTCCTGTCTTGATTTTGGATATTGCTTTGCTTTGACTTCTCGCCTCTAATTCCCAAACGATGGTTTCATTCAAGGCCATCTTCGCCGCCGCAATGGCACTCGCCCCCGTCGTCCTCGGAGAGGATGTCGTTTGGTTCGAGAACTACACCCCCCAAGAACGCTGGATCGTCTTCTCCTCCAACCCACCGTGGAACAACCTCCCCGATATCTACCTCCCAGGCGGATCTCGCCAGAATCCAGGAAAAGTCACCGTCAACTTCGATAACAAGGGTCCTGATGACCACCGAGGTAATATTCCCACCCTACCTCAAAGCTACATCTGACTAACTCTGCATTTAGACTGGGGCTGGCGTGGAAACTGGAAAGTCCTAGCACCGGGTCAAGACCACGGCGCGCTAGCCATCCTTGGCGAGGTCTGCTTCCGCTGCGACCAAGGCTTCAGGTACTTTGATGTCTCCGCTGTGCTTGATCCAAACAGCAACATTGGTGTTAATTATCTGTTCCCGTTCTACGACCATAGTCCCAATCTGGTGTCTGGATGTCCTCACTTCCCTTGCCCTTACTCGTACACCAAGTTCGATGATGTTCAGACGAAGGTTACTTGGGATACACATTTGGTTTGCCAGGTCAAGCCTTACTAAGTTCGTCGACCATACAGGTAAATTCTTCCAACTGACTGGCTGAACCTAATTACTAATTTCTGGTCGCTCTAGCTTTCAATCTTGGGGATCTACTTGACAGTCATCTGCTTTTATCTGCTGGGAGTTACTCGACTGCGACTTTGGATAACAAATTGATGAGTTTGATTCTTTGGATAGCTTTACCGTATCTGTCTTTACCGGGTCGATTTTTGGATATCTCATTGCAACTCGCTCTGACTTGAGCAATTTTGGATAGCAAGATACAATTGATCATTTTGCTTTTGGATGTGTGTTTGAGTGATGTTGAAGTGTAGGTGAAGTGTCTAAAACTTTCAAGTGACAAGGTGTTGTCATATTAGGGGTTCTCGCTTAAATGACGATTTATCACTTCTTTAGAATGAATTCACTTAAGGCCTTAATTCACTAGCAATGCACATTAAATCGAGCGGAAATTCAATGACTGAAAGTTAATTCCCAAAATTATGGTCAACCAAATCCAAGTGACCATCACCAAATGCTTCCATACCCAAAAACCAAAGCTCATGACCTTGAAGTCCAAATAAGGTTACCTTACTTCCGCCACCAAAACCCTGACTCGAGCCCCGCGCTCACCCCACCATAAACATCCCCATCCTCCAACAACCATCTCTTCTCACAACCCAAACCAGGCACCTCATTCTACAATTCTCAAAATGCCACCACCATCCCCCCTCGCCATAGCGACCTCTTCAGTAAACCGCCTCATCAAAGAAGAAGCGTCCTACCACCGCGAACTCCTCTCCCAAGAAGCGCGTCTCGCCAAACTCGAAGAACGGGTCGCAAAACTCGAAGGCAAGACGGACGAGGACGAGAATGCCGAGTATGAGTTGAAGCAGGAGGTACTTGGCGCTCCTCCCTATTTCAGCATCGTGTTTATGGTGGTGGTCGTGATCATATGGTGGGTTGCTGACTTTTGATTTTGTGGCGGACAGCGTACGGCGATTGAGGAGACTAGAGCCGTGTTTCCGCCGCTGAGACAGAGGATTGCGGATGCGGTTGCGAAGTTGGAGGATAGACTTGAGGAGGGGAAGGCGAAGGGAGGGAAGGAGGGTGAGATTGCTGCGGCGGAGGAGACTGTGGGGAGGGCGAAGGAGGTTGGGAAGTGAAGTGAGTTATGAATGTAAGGTTGAGATGTTGATGGATGGTTTATGAAAATGATACCCCGAAGAGAAATAGAGCATACGATTGTTTTTTAGTAGATGGGTATCATACTTTTCTATCTATTTTACATGGGCATATTTGATCTGGTGTGAAGATGATTCTAGGTTGTGTCCATCTTGTCTTCCGCCTCTCCTTCATCTGGGCTTGGCTCATCAACAGTTACTCGTGGAGCCTCGCCATCTGCCATGGGTGTATCAACAGTCTCTGATACCTTCGCAGTATGCTCTGAAGGTGTTACATCATCCCCTGCCACTGACGCTTCCCTTCTTCGTTCAGGGCCAACAGAACCTGCTCGACTCGTTGCTCTGCTTCCGCCCCTAGATAGTGCTTCCGTCGCCAACGGATGTGGTTTCGACGGTTCTAAACCGCCTTGAGACTGACTCTCTGGCGCTGGTGTCGCGTTCCTACTCATACTGGCAGGCTTGGGCGTTTGACCTCCACCAGATCCCTCACCAACCTCTCCATCCTCATCTTGATCGTCCATACCTTCCCTCCGCTCGACTTCTTCCTTTTCATCTCTAATGAGTCGTCGCAATTGCATGCCCTCCTCGACAATCCTTCCAAATTGTTCTCTGCGCTCCTTCCATGTCTCTCCATATGTAGCACTTTCTCTTTCCAACTCGCGGCATTCCTCCTCCAGCTTCCTCAGATTGATTTCCTGATCTGATCTTGGTCGCAATAGCTTATTATTTGTAATCTTCTCCGTCAACTCATCGAATTTCTTCCTTTGCGCCAAAGTCTTTTTGGCCTCTTCAAGCTGGACCCTCAAATGTGCGGTATTATTCCTAACTTCCTGCGCCGTATCTAAGATCCGCTGCTTATCCGCTTTATATCGCTCTCGCTCGCGTTCGTTGCTGTTGTACAAGAATTGAATGCGCGCCATACTGCTATCAAATGCAGCGAAGTCGAGGAGTACATCTTCGCGGAACTGTCGTCGCTCTTCCAATTGATTTTGGCGCTCAATCTCAGCAGACTCCTCCGTAGCATCCGGTGGAGGAGTAGGAAGCTTGCTGGGTGTTGAAACAAGTGATCCGGGTGTCAGAAGCCGTTTGGTGATGCGCTTGAATGGCTTTTCTTCCACATTCAAGAGACGGGTTCTGTGCAGCTCATCCTCTTCACGGGGATCGAGAGGTTGGAAGGAAGACATGAGGATAATATTGTGGTGTAAAATTTGGAGGAGAGCTTCTTGTCGCGTCTCCCTTAACATTGACGACTGAAGTTCTAGGCCGTCAATAGTTTCTGCCGTCGTACACCGCCAACAACCCACCATCGATTGTACCTGACTGAACCCCGGTCGCTCATCCGTCCTCCTACAATGTATTTATTCCCTTTGTTCTTCCACATATATGAATACTCGCCTGTTGAATCCGGCGCCCTGAATGAATAAAGCAGGCCCCTCGATTTTCTTTCAAAATCATTAATCACAGTGTTGTAATTCCATACCTCAAATTCCTCGGGAGACCACGTCAGCGCTTCGAATACCGAAAGTACGACTATTGCGGTTCTCTGTCACCTGTGCAGCACGAAGAACCCATCGTTCGACCTGCTATCACGCTTTCAGAGATCCCATACATACAGTAACAATGTATGCTCAACTGGGAGCCCCAAAATTGATTGACTCTTGTACTAGAGCATGTATCAAGAACATTCGGAGTAGGTACCCTTCTTAAAATGGAATGCAGTAACTAAGTCAATAGGTCTTACCGATATTGGTGATTTCGAATACCGGCAAATCAAAAATATCCTCGACCGCATCGACTCACCCGAACAATTGCATCAAATCGAGATCAACTCTCCTCAAATCCGAGGTGAAGATGCCGAGTTGTGGCAGAAATTCATAGCGCGGGACATACCTAATTGGAAACAAAAGAATTGGGCCCCCAAAAACCCTACGAAATGGTATGAAGTTTACGTCAAGTATAAAAAGGACCAGGCTCAGGAAATCGCTCGGGATGAGGAGATCCTGAGGAATGCGATGATGGGATTGAAGAAACACAAGGCTGGAAATGTTAGCCAGATCGTGTCTATCCGAGATAGAACCCTACCAAAACTGCCGCGAGACCCTAGGATGATCGCGAACAATGGCGGTGTTCCATTGAAGGGGAAGAGTAAGAACGGACCAACCTTGGCCAAAGCTCCCCCTTCGAGTTTGAATTGGACGGCGGGAAGTAAGACAAAGATGTCCGACCCCAAAGGTGTCCTCGCAAGAGCAAGACGGGAAGCCGCTCAAATCGCTCAAATGGGGAAGCTCGCCACGCCAACACATCAACTCGGACAAAGGAAGAATCAAATCAGACAAGCACCAGCTGGTATGGCGAATGAATACAGATTAGCCGCGCAACCAGCTCTCAAAATTCTGTCCGGCAAAAGAAAGACCACAGGCTCGTATAGTGGAGGAGTCGCTGGTCCCTCTTTAGAAGAGCGAGAAGCGAAACTTCGTGCTCTAACTGGTCATGCTGGGGCTACAGCCAATTATGTCGGTTCATCTGATGACGACGACGACGATATATTAGCTGGTGGCTATGAATACGATCAAGACGAAGAGGAAGAAGATGGCGATGATCTCTTCGACGAGAAACCGGAACGGTCGTCTCAAGGTTCTTCGCAAGCAAGTCGATCGACACCGAACAAATCTCAATCTCGTTCTATAGGGAGCGCCTTGTCACCAGCTTCAGGCAGCTCAACCAGGACTTCAAGTCCGGCACCGCTGAAACCGATGATGCCGAGGAAAAGACCTCCTGTTGATGTTTTCAATAGAGGGGCTAAGAAGGTGAAGAGGTAGGAAATTGGTGTTTCACAGTTTGGCGTTTTGGACATTGGGATGAGATGGAATTGGGGTTGGCTGCATTGGGACGGGAATTGCAATTTGGGATTAGGAGTCTTTTATATCGGCGTACTGGGGGACTCATACAGGCTTCAGCGAGTTTACAAATGCCTAACAAGAAATCAAATCGTATATCGAATCATCTCTTCATTCAGCGTCTATCGTGATATATCATGCCAAGCCAAACAACGCTTTCGTCATCATCTCTTCTCGTGTATCGTCCTGTATCTACACCATCCAGGTCTGAATCTGTGCTCCTCCCAGCCCGTCTAGTTCCCACCTCTCAGCGCAAGAACCAAATGCAGTGTCGCGCCGCCTAGGAGTTCGTATTCTTCTGCTGTTTTGTCATCGGCCCTATCCACAGCGTGTTAGCAGATCTTCCATATACTCTGTATCTCTTCTGCAATGTGCTGAATCCTCGACACGCCGTTGAGTTCTGCACATCCGGGTAGTGGTTGAATGTCCACGAGGATTGGGGTTAGATGTAGATTATGGACTGAATGTGGATGAATGGGATTGGAGGTCAAACGTACATTTGTTTCCCTCCGAAGATTAGTCGCTGTTGGACTGGTGGAATACCCTCTTTTTCTTCGACTTTTTCTTTGATTTGGGAGACCTTGGAGGAGGTTAGCTTCTTTGCACAGACTCGGGGTTTTGTATGGGGATAGGTGATGAGGGATGGAGCAGGAGGAGGAGGTGTAAAGAGGGGTGTTGGATATGGGTTGGTGTGGGATATGAGATTGTGTATGGTGTGGTGTCGTACCTTATAATGCGGTTCAATATCTAACTCGATTTCTTTCCCTGTGAGGGTTCTGACTCTGTTTGAGGATGGGCGTTAGCAGATACTCTTTCTAACAAATTTCCCTTTCACAAATCCCATAGATCTTCTTCCTCATAGCCATTCCCTCTTTCCACCCTCCTCTCCCCTCCTCTCCCCCCCCTTTGCCCTCTCCCTTTCCAACAGAAACCAACTTACTTAATAAGCATCTTGACTCCTTTCTAATCACTCCAACTTTCGATATCGCAGTCCCCTTAACTTCTTCACGAAATCGAAAACGTAAATTTCCGGCCTCGAATGTAGGAGCGTAATCGAAGTTCAGATGTGCAGAGATCGCGTGCAGGTCTAAAGAATTCGTGGAATAAGGTCGGGTTGGGGAGTGTAAAGGCAGGTGTTTTGATGGGATGGTGGGGTGAAGAGGATTCAGATTGCCTTCGCGTGCTTCGCGGGTTGGCTTCAGCCTTGTGGTGGGTGGGGTCTGTGCGTTTTTGGTGGGGAGTTAGGCAGCGCGGCGGGATGGGGAGTGAATGACTAGGTAGCTAAAAATGAGAGGTGGTTTAAGTGAATTAGAGTAGATTAGTGAATTTGGAGGGAAGATGGGTGAACTAAGGGATTACGTTATCTGAATATTGTGGTTGGGCGAAGTCGGTGGAATAATCCAATGAGAACATCATGGTGATTTCACCAGCAACTTGCTGGCAGCAAGTCACACTCTTCCTCACAACAAATCATCTTCATTCAAATATTCAGTTACTTCGATCCTACAAAGCCGGGTATATAACACCACCTCCAACTAGCACCCTAATAAACATATCTGAAATTCATATTCTCCTGATCCGTCAAATCATCAAACGCATGCACCATATCCACATCCACGCCCCCAATCCCCGAAGCCGCACGCTCCGCTTGAATACGATCTTTCTTCGCATTCTGGCTCTTCAGGTAAAATCTGAGGAAGATGAGAACGAGCACAAGGAGGCAGTAACAGCCCATGTGTGTAGCGAAAGCGATGAAGTAGCGGGGTTCGTCCCAGGCGAGGAAGACTTGGGGACCTAGTATAAGGGTTAGTGGGAGAATAAAGGGGGTTAAGAGGAGGACGAACCGATAGCGTTTCCGGTGGCCCAAGAAATGAAGTTCGCGGCTACGACGATGGTTTTCTTGGATTGACCTGCGATGTTGCGGGAGATGAGGGACATGGCGACGGTTTGGGCGGCCCAGAAAGAGAGGACTAGGTAGTATGAGAAGAGGAGCCCGCCTTGGGTTGCTTTGCTTGTGTTTTGAACGGTCATGAGGACTATGGTGCCGACGAAGGAGCTAGGATGATGTAAGTATGTATTTTGGGTGGGAACAAGGAGGTTGACTTACGGAATGACATAGACCATCATGACGAGAACGTTTTGTCCTGTTCTCTTGATAATCCAGTTACTGCTAAGCAGCACCAAAATGATGTAAGCACCCAAAACCATAGCGAGAAGCTGTGTTTGAAGCAGCGTAAACTTGAAGCCCTTGATAATGATATTGGCAAAAGCACCGAGTCCACTGGTAGGAAGTGTGGTGCAAATGGCAATCAAGCAATAACAGTACATCTGTGGGTCTTTGAAAGCTTCCACGACTTGATATCTTCTAAACTGTCTGTTTTGCACGCCGGTTTGATTGGAACGGACACGTTCGACCATGAGTTTCTTGTCTTCTTCGCTGAAGCACTTCGCGCGCATGGGGGAGTCAGGCATCCACCAGAGCACAACAATACCCCAAAGAACGGAGAAGGATCCGTAGGTGATGAAGATTGCTTGCCATGATTTGAGGGGCGAGTTGCCTTTTGGCGCGGATTTGATGAGGGAGAAACTGTAGGCTAGAAGACCGCCGACGATTTGTTGCATACCGTTCATCATGTACCACTAATTGGCAAGTTAGCTTGTGTAGGAGGTACTCTTGGCATAACAGTTTCCGAACATAGCGCAACACCTTCGATACACCGAAAGCAATTGACGAAATATTTCGTCAATTTCTTCGAGCAAGTACCGTGTTCCGAATGCCAGTTAAAATTGATTACCGCGAGTCAGAAAAAAGTCATTGTGGACTTACGTATGTAACAGTAGCTGCCTGCTCCTCTCGTTTGTACCACATAGAGCTCAAGAAAACAAAAGCCGGCTGACAAACTGCCTCGAAAATACCGAGTAAAGTTCTAAGGACAAGGATGTGGGTGAAATTCTTAGCCACAGAATGAAGGGCCAGAACGACTCCCCAGATAATGATGGATGAACCTAAATACTTGGCGATTGGAAGACGTTGAATCATGTAGTTGGTGGGATACTCGACAAAGAGGATGGCAATGTAGATACAGGTCGTCAACCAAGAGAACTGTTGTCCGACGAGATGGAGATCTTCTTTGACACCCATGATGGATGTGAAACTCATGGTTCCTTTATCGAGAGCCTGGAGGAAGTAGGTGAAGACCATGATACTGAGGACTCGTTTATCGATGAGTCTCTTGAGCCTGGAGTTCTCTTCTGGTGTGATATGAATGGCGACATCGCTGGTGTACTAATATAGATCTGTTAGTGATGCTTTGGCGAGGGAAAGAGGCATTTTGCCAACGAACCTTAGCAACTTCCGCGTCGATACGGTTGTAGTCGACGTGATCTTTCTTCAGGTCATCACCTCCCATTTCAATGTGAGAAACCGGGTCGACGTTTGCTTTCGAGATTCCTCTCTCGCTCCCGCCATCCACTTGGGTGTTCACGATCTTCTCTTCGGCCATATTTGAAATGATAGCACTGCAAGTAAACAGAACGATGGAGAGAAAGCAACCCGAAAAGTGGATGAAAAGCAGGTCTTTATCTACTCAGATACATATTGCACGAGGGGTTAAGCGATCGCCGTATACCCCCGGAGAAGTTGCAGGTCTGGGGAACATCCCCAGAAAGTTTCTCCGCAGATTGAACCCCAGACCTCCAACATCTCCAACTTTTTCACAGTTTTCGTTCGTGGAGATACCCATGTACATCGAAGCTACTGCCAACCCAAATTAAGCCCCATCCACATCTGACTTGGCCGGGCTTGTTTAGCTTGTCCCGTTGTGACAAGATATTCCAAGTCGGCAGGCTTATGCACCTTTTCACGTGCTATTCAACCTATCGGACCAAGAAATACCTCCTGGCATGGACCCGGTGGTGTTCTTGGATGTGATTCTCGCGGCTAGATGGAAGGTGTCTGCGTGGTATTGCCAAGATGCCTGTCCACTTTCTCGACGCCAACCATTCGGTGGCTCGGTGCATCGCCCAGCGCGCAAAGGTCCACGAATCGGAAGCAGAGGGGAAGTGAAAAAGATCTTGGACATTCTTGAGCTCGGTGCATAGTCAAGCGAGTATTTTTATCTCCTGGATATACATAACTCGAAGCTTCGTGGTTGCTGATTGTGCAAAAAGCAATAAATCAAAATCAATCAATATGCCGCCAGTCGCTTATGAAGTTGCCTCCGCCGACGTCCACAAGGCCACCAAATCACTGATTCATGGTCTTGTAAATATCAAGGACGAAACGGGCGAGTTCTTGCTCAAGCTCGAAGATGGACGCGTGATTGATACCAAAGGATGGCAGGGTTGGGAATGGACTCATGGAATAGGTCTGTATGGATTGTGGAAATACCACATACTTACTGGATCTGCCGAGCCTCTGACCATCATTGAGGAGTGGTTTGCGAAACGCTTTGAAGAAGGCGGAACCACCAAAAACATCAATACTGTGGCATCGATGCTCACTTTGGCATTCGTGTACGAAAAATATGGAAACCAGACATACCTTCCATGGCTGGAGAGTTGGGCGGAATGGGTCATGTATGAGCTTCCTCGGACGAAATACGGTGGTCTTTCCCATATGACATATAACTCCAAGAACAGCGAGGAGCTCTGGGATGATACCCTCATGATGTCGGTGTTGCCTTTGGTCAAAATCGGTCTGATTCTCAATCGACCGCATTATGTCGAAGAGGGCAAACGACAATTCCTCCTCCATATCAAGTATCTGGTAGATACCAAGAGTGGGCTTTTCTACCATGGATGGACATTCGCAGACGGCGGTCATAACTTCGCGAAAGCTTTATGGGCACGAGGAAACTCGTGGCTGACCATTGCGATTCCTGAACTGATCGACTATCTCAACCTACCTGCCAATGATGCTTTCCGGGTTCATCTCCTCGACACCTTCGAAGCCCAATGCCGCGCCCTTCTCACGTACCAAGAGGAGAATGGACTCTGGAGAACACTGATCGATGTGCCACAATCCGAAGGGTCGTATCTCGAGAGTTCTGCAACTGCAGGATTCGCGTACGGAATGCTGAAAGGCCTGCGTATGCGATATATCCAGGGCAATGAATTCAGGGATTCGGCTGTGAAAGCTATCAAGGCAACTCTAGGAAAGGTTAGCCAGACTGGAGAGCTGGAGTAAGTCAAACAATTCATACCTGTTAATCTGAGGCCAGAGCTTATTGCTAATTCGCACCTTGCAGTGATACATCATTCGGCACTGGTATGGGCCATGACCTCCAGCACTACAAAGACATCGCAATCACAAGTATGCCGTACGGACAGGCGATGGCGATTATGGCATTTGGCGAGTTCCTTCGTGTGTATATATAACGCAAGAAAATAGAATTAAACTCAAAATAAAATCTGTGTAACAAATTGTTGTGATTCGTTGGACGTTACGGGTATCATTTTTTAATTGAGCGCGATGCGATCATGCGAAGGACTATGGTTGGAAAACAAGTGACCACACACCACTGTCGAACTTGGCCATCAAACCCCATGTTCCTAAACTAATAGGATCCGACCGCAAATCTGTATCGAAGTATATAAAGAGTTTAGGAAGCAGACGAATGCTTGTGTTGCAAAAATCCAGCTGAGTGTGGTGACGGAATCACATCCGGATGAATGATTCTCCTTGCCGGTCCAGTCTGCTCTTGAACGCCAACGCGTCTTCCTCGTTCGGACCTTTATTCTCATTTCCACTTTCTCTCTACAGTTCCACCATATACTTAAACGAAACATACCGTATTTCACTTTGGAAATTGGTCTTCATTTCTTCCATTTCAAGAATATATGCATTCCATTTCCTGAGTTTTTCTTTTACTAGTCTTTCTATATGACAGCTGTGCAGGAAGCTCCTACTTCCAGAGTCTAAAGGCTCTCCTGCAGTCTGTGAGATGATTACTTTGTTTCGTCCGACGAGTTTCAAAAGTCTTCTTTGGAGATATGTTAAGAGTACGAGGAGATTTGAAGTCAATGCTCCTTCTTCTCGTGCTTGAAAACATGGTACACCATTTATTTGGTGACTTCTTGTAGTTTGCTGTGTCACTATCGTTGCATTCGGATTTAATGCGTCAGATTCTGTGTTTCGTGGTTGTTTGCTAGGAATTCAATTTTAGTTTCACATATTTGGTCGGGTCTTTTATGTATTAAGCTTTTTTTTTGTTGTTTTATTGTTTCGATTTGTCGGTCATTGCAAAATTGTACTATGGCTGGGCTGCAGCAATTTGGAGTCGGCTGGCAGATTTCCCCAAACTGGCCATCTAAGGCCTAGCTTGGTGGTCATCGAAAGCTTACCATGGTGTCTTGAATGGATTACTGTCAAGATCATTTGCGTGCTCACCATAGACACCACCTCCAGCATGAAGAGACATCGCATCGTAAAACTCGTCTACGAAACGGAAATCAACATCTGGCTGCTTCTTCCCCTTGACATAGAATTGAAAATGCGGGGCGTGATCCACCTCGCAATGATTGAACATGTCGTTGTCGCGGTCGACCTCATACTGGAGGAACTTGGCGGGTGTTGGGCATTTATTCTTGGCCTCGTTGAATGCTGGCATCATGATGTCTGTATTCTTGTTGTGAAGTCTATAGAAAAAGACGACGACGAGATCACTAGAAGCAATTACTCGATCGAATTGAGCTCTTGCAGCAGCAGCCTTGGCCATATCCGGGTCTTCTTCACTGTCAGATTCTCTTGAAGGGCTACCTCTTGATGAGCTGTCTCTTGGACCTCTATTTGCATGAGCGTATGGAACGGCAGCCGCAGTCAAATGTCTCTTGAACTTTCGCACATCGTCCTTGCTTTCGCCACTCAATTCGCCTCCTGCATAAATTCGAACAGATGGCACTGACGGTTGATCGTGGTATTCAAAGAAACCCTTGTGGTGATTGACGTCCCATCTGTAGGTTTTAACTGGCGCGCCGCAATTGTTAACCACCTCTTCTACTTCACGAAGATACTCATTGGAGACATCGCTCGTTTTGTCAAGGTATAGTGATACTACTATTTCGTAGGTAGTAAGGTCCTTCTCAAATGTGTCTGCGTGTCTAGAGCGCTGTGGCTTTTCCTCGTACTCACTTTCATATTCCTCATCACCTAAAGCACCAGCTGCTTCCAATCTGGCATAGGTTTCAGCCCATTCTTTGCGTGCCGCGGCAGACATCCAAGCAGGAGGTTCGTTTTGAGACATCTTGAAAGTTGCTTAGTTTGCTTTTGGAGTTGATGTATCTGTTGGTTTGTTTTGTATCGATGATCAAGATGATCTGGATTGATGATGAGGAAAATACTCCCATCAAGAGGACATATGCTTTATAATTCCAGACCCTCGAGTTGTCCTCGATTTGTTTTCGAGGCTGGAAATATCTTTGCATTGTTCTGATTAGCCAAGGTGCTGTTCCAGCGTTCTTTGAAAGGGAGCATTGCAAGCCCAATAGCACAATGGAGAATGCTGAAAGGATAGACGCCACTGTTGTGGAAGGACCCATTCAAAGCCCTTGTTGTTGACAAAGAGCAACGCAGCCCTCACTTCTCAAAGGACAAATAAAGTTGTCCTTTAGTGCAGATTTCGAGACTCGAATTGCCGAGTAATAGACAATTCTGCGTCCCACCAGTGTGCTGCTAGTTTAACGGGTGATTCGTTTATATGCAAAAGAACGAGTTCTACCTAAAAAGCTGTATTTACTTATTACAAATATTTTTGAGTAAGTATAGGATGTTGCCTCTATTGGGAAGGGGAAGTATACCTGTTAGGAAAAAAAATGTTAGAGAGCGGGTTTATGGCGTTGATACTGTTGGGGGCGTGTCCCGTCGGTCTTGCAATGCAGTGATGTCCTATCACATTCTGACTTGTGCTATCTTCTAAGATAGGTCGAGTTTTAGTTTTAATTTCAATGGAATTTACATGTGGTTTCGTCACTTTGCTCTCAACCTTATGGAGCAAAGAGTTCCGGCTTCATCAGGCACTTTTGCATTTTCCAACATCTGCAAAGCGCCCGATAACGAGAGGCATAATTTTGGCGTTGTTGTCACATGTTTCTTTAATTTTAGTTGTAGTCTTCATAAATTTGTGGTTGACTTATCTGTGGTCTCATTGAATCTGACGTAATATTCTCATATTCTCACATTGGATGGTTGGAAGGATAGATGAGATCAAAATAATTGTTCGTAATAGCGCTTGAGTTGGTTTCTCTTTTGTTCATGCAGTCTTAAAATTTAGACTGTCATTCCCCAAGATAATTTCAGTTTGCTAGGCCAGACATATTGCCTCACTCACTCTGGTACAACGTGTCTAAAAACTCTAATTTCAGGGTAGGAGATTGATTTCGATTTTTTTATTTTTGTTACTATTTTCTTTTGACAATTTTTATTCATTTCCGGGAAACATTTGAGGGAAAAATACGATGATATACATGACAAACAGTCGATAAGTAGGTGTTCTGAAATCCGAGACAGCGAGCCATTACGACTTCCACTATTTTCTGTTGATTTTAGGATCTAACGGTCCACCTTTCTCGACAGCATTGAGATCCCAAGCAGCGCAATACTCTCGGGTGTTACACCAGTCAGGATAGTCACCTTTGCAATAATGCGTAGGAGCCAGAGCCTCAGCGAATTGAGAAAGAATAGCCTTCTCAAATTCCTTGACGTTGCCCCCCTCATGGGCCCCGACTATGTCGCCTCGTTTGAAGAACATGACAGTAGGAACCGTCTTGATCTTAAAGTAATCGAACATGTAATCATGTACTCCCTTTTTGAAAACAACATACTTGGACGTCGGAATCCTCTGAAAAACAGCATTCTCAGCAATGACAGCGCTACTCTGGGCCATCTCTAAGAAACTCCCCAACATGCCCTCCGACGCATCATTACCCTCCTCATAGCACAACACGCCAACACACTCAGTCCCGCCACACACCCTCCTAAACGTGCCGAGCCCAAACTCCCCCGGCGCAATCGGCGTCGTCAAAGCCGCCTTCCTCATCGCCAAAAGCAACTTACTAGACACATCCGTCCCCGCAAAGTACTTCTGCGCCATCGTCACGAGTCCAGACAAGTTCGTGCCCACATGCATGTCTTTCTGCACACCGTTCACGAAGATGAGAACGGCGGGCAAGAAGGGGATGGCGTAGTGCTCGAAGACGTCGATTTGGCGCTCGGCTTGATGAAGGTTACGGAGGAGGGGGAGTGTTCGATTAGTTCGTCGAGAACGGGCATGATGGTTTTGCAGCCGGGGTTGCTAGGGGTGTGGCAGATTAGGAAGACGAGGGGGTGGGAGGCGATGGTGGAGCGGATGGTGGGGAGTTGGCTTGTTTGAGCCATGATGATGGTTTGTTGGAGGTGGTTTGGTTTTGGTGTGATGTTGACGTTTGTGTGATGTTGTATTTGTGGTGATTTTGGATTTTGGAAGTTTGGAATCTGGTTCAATTGGAATGACCTGTTTGTTGTGAGGAATTGTGATCTGGGGAGTTCCACCCCATCATAAATAAGAAAAATGTCGTGAAGATTGTATTCTGTTCTTTTTCTTCTGTTTACTTGTCTTTTGTAACACCGACTTTGACGGAGCAGGTAGCAAAGAATGATTTCTTCCTGTACATATTTTTCTTTGTCACGCATTTTTCACTCCTATTAGCATCGAACAGATTCCTTGTTGTCTCACACCGTCAGAGAAATTTCGTCGGTTTACTGTTTCGGATTAGACTACGGATTGATCTAGGTTCGTATAGACTTTGAGAGGTGATGAACTAGCAGATCGGGTGGCCATTTCAGTTACATTGTCGCTTGTTTCGTCGTTAATACTTTTTCTTAGATATCTCGACAAACCCAACTGTAATCTATAAAGAATCTTTTGTCGTGGTGGAAAAACTTAGAGATCTTAGTAGCTGTATTTCTTGTAAAAGATTACTTATCTTTATAGTTAGATGTAGTTTCACTTGAGGACGTTCGGGATAATTTTTACGACTACTTCTAATAGTCACCTTCCAAGTCTCATCTTACGTGAAGACAATTGTTTCGCAATTAATAATAAATATCAATTTCAACCTCGAGTTGGTTTTGAGATTGGCTCTATACCATACCGTATCAATTGTAAATCGCACAAAAAAGCCACTTTACGACGACATTCCGGTTTTGAAAAGGAGAACTGTGGTCTATCTAATTTGAATTTCAAACCCCTAAAACATCCTTTCCACAATCAAATACACTTATCAATCCTAAAATAGCCCATTTCAATTCTTCCAAATACCTCCCACTCCACTCCTCTCCGAACCAATATTTGAAATACCATTGTCCAATAACCGAGCCTGCCGAAGACGGTGGTGGGGCCACTGACGCACGCGGTGGTGGGGGTTGAGGGGTAGCTTTGGACCTACATATACTGGTTTCCCCTGGAGTGAAATGCAATATATCTTGCATATACTTTTCTGAAGCTCATATATTTATTTCATACTTTGAAACTTTAGAGTTGAATCAGGATATTGCAATTTTTCAGACGCCAAAATGACGATCAAAGTTGGAGATTCAATCCCCTCCATCGAGGCGCTCCAAGAGAGTAAACCTGGAAATGGAGTTGATTTGAAGAAGGAGATTGGAAGTGGTGATGCGGTTATTGTTGGTGTTCCGGCTGCTTTCAGTGAGTTTGATTTCCTGTTGCAATTGAGACAAGGTTGAGGGAGGGGAGAATCGGGAAGGGCAGGGGAAGATGTAATGGTGTGATTGCTGACGAACATCAGGTCCAACATGTTCAGACTCCCATATCCCAGGCTACATAAACCACTCCAAGATCAAGGACGTTGGTAAAGTCTTCGTTATCTCCGTTAACGATCCTTTCGTGTATGTGGTCGTCCTTTCCATTCCCCTTTCCCTCTCCTCCATCTTTCCTTCCCTTCCCTCTCCCTTCCTAACTAACATCCCCAGCATGTCCGCCTGGGGCTCCTCCCTCACAAAACAATTCGGCGACTCACCAATCCGCTTCCTCGCCGACCCAGCCGGAAAGTTCACGCGCGAGATCGGTCTTGAATTCGAGTCTGCGGCGATGCTGGGCACGAACAGAAGTAAGCGATATGCGATCGTGGTTAAGGGTGGGAAGGTCGAGAAGGTTGAGGTTGAACCGGATAATGTCGGTGCGGTGGTTAGTGTTGCGGAGAAGATTCTGGGATAGGTTTAGAATATAGAGAAGGGGAGAGGGATTGGGTATAGATTGGTTGGATATAGATGAATAGAAGAAATGTTCGATCCGATTTTGATGTTTTTATGGATTCGGTATAGCATCTCACAGCGTAACTCGATTTGGCAATAACCTCTCTCGCAGAGGATAAATTAAAAGGCGGAACCTCCCTACTATTCCGAATACGTATACTATACTCTTGAATAGGTAAGTAGTTTAGATTGTGATCTCGGTGTAGACAAAATTAAAAATGTTATATTTACTTATAATTATTGAGGAATTACTGTGAATTTTGTCAATTGTTCAGAAGCAAATATCGCATCTCGAATACCCCTTAATCGTTCACCCACGACACGCCTCCCCCTTTCGTAAGCGAACTACCTTAGCGGGCGGCGACAAAATGTCTTCATCATAGGTCAAGTTGAACCATACTATCTCAGCTATAACAAAACTCGACATCCCACCAAGATCTCCTCAACCCATCAATCATCAATAAGCGACCTACTCCCACTACTAGAACTATCATCACTATCACTCTCATCCAACCTTTCCACATCAAAATACCACTCCGCATCCCTCAAAGCCCTTCCCCTATCCTCCACATTCACACCATCATAGAGACTCGTCACGCCCGCCAAAAACCCATTAACCACATCCTCGACCTCCCGCGACGACAGCTTGAACTCCAAGCTCCCACACTTGGGCTCCGTGTCCGCTATATACCCTTTTCCAAACTTCTTCGACTGCTTCCACGCAGGCGGAGGAGGAGGCGGAGGCCCAACCCCACGTCCCGGTTGTTGGAGGGATAGAATGATGACATATTCCACCTCCTTTTCCTTCTTCGGTTTCTTGAACAGGCCTCGGAATCCCCCCACAGGGCTTGAGCGCGGAGGAAGCAGGACGCGCGGGATAACAGCATGGATTTCCCATTTATCCGCCATGTAAACATGGCTCGTGATCTTAGTCTTGATTATATCGCCTACAGCCGTCGTTACGTAGGGCGGGAGTGTCAGCAGATCATCTACGCCTGGGAGAGTTCTCGTGTTGACGCGCATGAACTCTGCGATTTGGGGCTTGGAAGCGGGGAGTCTGGCGATGTGGTAGGATGTGTTGACGTGGGTTTCGTTGCTGTGGAATGGGAGGATGGAGATGGTTTTGGTGACGGACCTTTGGGATATGTGGTGCTTTGTGAGACGGTAGATTTCGTAATCTTTTGGTGGTTGTGGTGGTGGCCATACTGGAGTGCTGGCTACCACAGGTGCTGGAATTGGAGGCTTCTTGATTGAATTTGTGCTGCTGAGTTTCAAGTCATCCAGAGAACCAGAGAGTGTCGCAGTCTCAGAGCCTTCATTCGCTTCAATGTTTTGTTTTGCTTGCTCAGAGATTTGAGTCGCATTCAAAACCTCTTCAGTATCGCCAGTAAGCCTGAAAGCCATAAGAGAACCAAGCTCGCATTTTCGAAGCTCTGTCAAGATCTTGGGCATGAAGTCCTTGCAACTTCGAAGTGTAGCTTTCTCTGCAATAGTAAGATCTCTTCTATTCACGCATGTCAGTTAACGTTCAGCATTGTAACTAAGTATAACTTACCCTTGTGCAGTCTTCTGAACAATAACCAAAGAAACAAGCTGACTCAACATCCAAGCCTTCCCGAAACACCCCTCAACCCTCTCCTCAACAACACTCCAATCCCCCTTCTTCAACTCCAACGCCCACAACACCCTCTCTCTCAATCCACTAGACGGCTTCCACAAAATCCCCCCCTTCACCCCAAAACTCTGTTTTCCACACTTATACAAATCGATAATCTCCAACGCCAGCTTCAGATCACTGAAACACTCTCTAACCTGCGCAACCACAGGATCGAACGTCGTTTGGAAGCTCGGTTTGAAATACTCGTGGTGTATGTTCATCCGTTTCCCGGATTCCATGAAGAGGGATGTGCATGTTGAGATTGCCTCGACGAGGTCGTAGAGGTCGGCTGCGGGGTCTGTACGTGCGAAGAGGGATGTGACGAGGGTGTTGCCTAGGTCGGCGGTTGAGAAGAGGAAGGTGCCGGGTTGGGGGGTTGTCATTTTGATGGTGGTTTGGATGTGAAAGTGGATAAGGCTGTATAGAAGAGGGGTTCTAGGCGGTGCTTATATATTTGAGGTCAAAATTTACGGACTCGTGGTGTCGTATTGGGGGCTGTTGGGATTCAAGGCTGAGTCTAGGCAGAAGGCGGGGTGGTGCATGATGCATCGTGACACCACAGTTCTATTGGATGAGCATGGAAAATAAAGCGATAAGAACTGATAAGTCTCTTCTTTGGTATCGGTAGGTCAATATTCAATTTCGTTATCAACAAAATTGACGAAGTAGTGCTACGCCAGCTGAAATATGTAGGATGTCCCTCATGATTCGCTTAATTATTCCAATCTGAAGCCAGCACTAGTGCCAGCATATCCAGATCCAGAATCATGGGATGCAAACGGGTCTTATGAGCCTAAAGTGCAAAACGAATACCATCTGAATAGACTATTGCTTTCTTAGCCTTACAAATGATATCTCTAAATAGTCGAAGTCATTGCGTTGACTTTGCAAATTACCTTTCAACTCGAACCAGTCAAGGGATTTCAATCTCGTAATCCAAACTCACATTCTAGGTCACGAAATATCGCGATACTCATCTGAGATTCTCTAATTAATGAAGATCCGAAAGAAATTCAAGAAATCATTCCTCTAACATCCAAATATTGTCACTCAATATATCAGCGACCTGCCCATAGTCTTGGACTGAACAAGTCGACTGCGAGTAGAGCTTAAAGATTCTTATTTACTTAAATGAATAGAAGAATTATGTGATAATGTGCCAAGTTAATACACTAAATAACGATATTTCGTCTACTACTCTTAAGTAAATATAGTTTTTCGACTACTACTTATTTTGTCTACCGCGACATAGGCTAGAGATTACAGTCAAGAAATATATAATACTATGCCAACTTAATACACTAAATAACGATATTTCGTCCACTAATCTAAGTAAATATAGTGTTTCGACTACGATCCAGGTTTTCTACCACGAGTTGGGCGAGGAAACATAATCAAGAGAGACTTACGGATATATTAATGTGCCAAGGGTCTAGGAACACTATAGAAATAAAGATCTAGAGTACGTAAGTAGATAACAATGAAACTATTAGCGTAAAGAAGATGGAATTCTGGACGAGGTCGGAAAGTTTGAATGGCGTGGATCTGCAATATAATATCACGATCAAACCTCATATTTCAATGTTTCAAGTACTAAGAGACTTTTTATTACGTTATATAAACAACAAATCAAGACCATTCACCGATGGGTTGAGCGATGAGCTGGGTAACGGGTAGCCTGGGATTGGAGTTACTCCTCTCGCTTTATCGACCTCTTGTATCGTGACGGTCACGTCTTCGAAACTTCCTTGTCTCCAAAAAAGGACTTTTGGCGCCGTGAATGGCGTTTAGTTAACCATAATTTCCCTGATCGTTCTGCTGCTACGAGTTATTCCGAACCCATTGGAAATTCGGGTCGTAATTCTTGCCTTGGCATCCCAATGGGCTGGGATTCTGGTAACTGTTTCCTGGCCGTTGGAATCCGTTCTGCTGATTTTCCTGGTACGGTTGGCTTTGGTTGTTTGTGTTTTGGGGAGCCGCCGGTGGATCTCTGACTTTCAATCTAGCCATAGCTGAGGCCATCACGTTACATACACGACAAATCAACATCGTTTTTTCTCGTTTGTTCTCTCCGGCCTTCCTTTGTGTCTTGTAGCTGCTGAACCATGCAGACTTTCCATGGTTCCGCACCTAAGGTAAGGCGGTTGTTTTTTGAAAATCAGATCCATACGTTGCCGCAACCTCGAGGGTCTTGATCTTCCTAATAACAATACTCATCTTTTCTTTTAATTCATCCTCCTCGAAGTCCCTTTGGGCCTTCTTCCTGTTCTTTTCCAAGGTTTGTAACGTAGCTTTGTATCGATATATTATCTTTTCCGCGTATTATTAAACAGCTTTTTCGAATTTATCTAGCGTTAAGTCGGGATAATGTCACCTTTTGTTCCACCGTGTCTTGTGCCTTTGTTACTTTTTTGTTAGCCCGTCCTTCGCCTTGGATGACACTTTGGTCTGTTCTGGGTGGTCGTTCTCCTCATCCTTATCTTCTGGGCCTAGGAATTTATTCTCATATCTAAGTGTAATAGCTTTTTGATCAGTGGATCAGCTACTTCATCCTCTAAATACAATCAACAAACGTTCAAATACATCATTAACTACTAGGTCAACAATATCCACGTCATTGAAGTTAGGTAGGGCAAATCGTATCCATTTAAGTATGCATTCGAGATATTAACCAATGAATTCTTACTGTAGAAAACAGCACCAGAAACTTTGTCCATCAAGGTCCCAAAATCTAGAATCTCTTGTATAACCTCACTGACTTCCCATTACTGACACATCATTCCCACCCTCGCCTCTTTCCAAATCTCACAGTACGTCAACTGACTACCTGCAACCCCCCCCCCGCCCGCCCGCCCGCGGCCCTCCCCAAAATCTCTTTCTAAACCTCACAGTAAGTCAATTAACCCCCAACAACCCCAACCCCTTAACTCCCCTTATGAACAACCGATTCTAAACACACGGATCAAGTTGACAGAAGACAATATCTCCTGACTAACAACAGCTAATCCACACTCACCAACCCCCTTCCTACAACCCCCCAATCAAAACGACGAAATATCTCTTATCCCCTCCTCCATTCCCAGTAGCCCCCCTCTATAACACAACACCCAACAAACCCCCCCGCTTCCCACTCAAACCACACCCACAATTCCATCCCAAGTTTCCAACCAACAAGCAAACTTACCACCGAAACATCGATCTACCCCCCCCGCTCCGTCAAAACCTCTCTTCTCTATGACAAACTTTTAACCCTCTTCCTCCCCCCAATCCACCCACAGAAATCGTACGTCGAATCCTCATCAACCAACCATTGAAAACCCAGCAACCCACGTCCCAGCCAACTCACAACCGGAACATCTCATCAAACCATCAAGAGAAATCATAAAGTTAACTCTGAACAATCTTTCAAGAATCTGATTTAATTAAAAAATACCGACGGAATGGCAGTCATGTTAAGTTAACCCGCTAAATAAACGATATCAATCAAGAAAATCTTCTCTTTCGACCACCCCTCTTTGTCCTCCACGAGAAAGAGTTTGATGTGGTGAAATACGCACAATGGAAACGACATTCCAAGCCCGTGATTATGTATTTCGGTTGTCCAGTCCATCTCGTGGAGGACAAAAATAAGTTGTCAGTCACCTACCCATAATAAGGCGACTTCGAATAGCGCTTAAAAGGCTTTGTTTATTCAAAATGTATAGACAGAATATGTGATAGCGTGCCAGGTCAATTTACGATATTTCGTCGATTATTTTGAGGAAGTATCGTGTTTCGACTGCCACTTATTTTGCCCTCAGCGAGTCCATCTATGTCTAGCAGATGCCAGACGAGACTCAACTGGTCCGGGATGGGATGGTGGAAGGTTAGTACTTGATAGTAGGGTGGTCGGTCAATGCGACAACACTTTAAGAATGTAGCATGTTAATGATGTGATTCTGATCTACATCTCTACAATAATCCGTTTCCAAACCTCCATCTCATATCAATACAACCCACCTCTGTCCCCCTTTCTACTCAAACACCCACATCCTATATTGGATATCCATCCCATTCAAACAAGCAAAAAACGCCAATTCCCAATAACACAAACCCGTCTAGCAAAAGATCTTATAAATCCTCTTCCACTTTGGCATCTGCGCCTTCTCCACCCGGTCCGCCTCAATAATAGCCGCCAGATCCAGATCCCTGCGTCCGGTATCCACATCCATCATACTCGTCTTCATAAACGGCGTTTTATACCAGAGCTTATACGGGACGTAAAACGCAATAACGACCGGAGCAGCGAGATACGCGAGGAAGAAATCCTGCGCGATGTCACTTGCGGAAAGTTCGCCGTAGCCGACTGGCCAGGCGGCAGTCCAGAATTGAGCGACGAGAACGAGACAGTTGAGGATGAAGCCGATCCAGGAGCCGATGACGCCGACTTGGGAGCGGAAGGCGAGTTCGTTGAGGGAGTGGCCTTGGGCTTTCCAGCCGGCGCGGAAGCGGATGTGGGCGAGGCAGATGGAGGCCCAGGTGAAGATGGAGGAGAGACCCGAGAGGGAGTAGAGCCAGTTGAGAGCTGTGGCGGCGGTGTCTGGGCCACCGGCTACGACGTAGCAGAGGAGACCGAGGACGGAGGCGAAGATGATGGCTACGAGGGGACGGCCCTGTCGATCGATGTAGCCGAAGATCTTTGGTGCTTGATTCATTTCTGCGAGTGCTGCGAGAGTACGGGAAGATCCGTAGATGGAGGAGTTTCCGACTGATAGGACGGCAATGAGAATTACCACGTTGAAGACTGAAGGTAGTCCGGAGATTCCAGCGTTGTTGATGGCGATAACGAATGGAGAGGCCTTGGCATCAGTGGAACTGGCACCAAGAAGACGACCATCACCGTATGGAATCAAAACGCTGACGATCGTGAGACTGACCATATAAAATAGACAGATCCTCCAGAACACTTGTTTTATAGCTGTAGGAAGAGATTTCCTTGGGTTATCTGCTTCAGCGGCTGCTAGACCGACCAACTCAGTCCCGGCAAAGGAGAAGGCGGCGGTGACAAAGACACCACAAAGGCCCTTGAAGCCGTTGTGGAACGAGCCGGACGCGATGGAACCAGGAGCCTGACCACCGACAGTGTATCCAGCATAATCTGGAGCAACGGTGTTGGGGTACCAGTATCTTGCTCCAATGTAACCGCCGTTGGGACCACCACCGCAGTTCAGAATAATACCGAGGATAATGAAACCAATGACCGCAACAACCTTGATAATGGCAAAGACGAATTCGGCCTCACCGTATCCGCGAACACCAAAGAAGTTGATAGAGACAATGACAATCAAGAATATTGTTACCCAGGCTGCGGAGTTTGTGTCTTGTGCGCCAGGCCAGAAGTCTAAAGTGATCGATGCGGCGACGATTTCAAGAGGTAGAACTACGAGCCATTGAATAGCATAACTAGAATGGTCAGATTTGCAAAGCCAAGGTAATTGGGGAAACTCACTTCCATCCCATAGCAAAACCCCATGCTGGGTCGAGAAAACGGGTCGAGTAGGCAGAGAAAGAACCGGCGACAGGGAATGCGACAGCAAGCTCACCAAGAGCCTGGACGGTACAGAACATGAGAATACCGATAATTCCGTATGCGATAATTAACGAAGCTGGACCACCTCCAGCAAGAGCAGCGCCTGAAGTGACAAAAAGACCAGTACCTGAAATATGTTAGCATGACTTTTCGCGCATTCTTGCTTGAGCGCTGCATAACTTACCAATAGAACCTCCAATCGCAATCATCTGCATATGTCTCCCTTTTAATTTCTTCGCAAGACCGCTGTTAGCTGTGCGCTCTGCTGCCGCTGCGTGATCAAAACCGCCATGTCCTCCAACCGGTGCGCCAGTGTGTGGATCGATAGCCTCATTTGGTTTTGATACAATCGCATTCGGATCGCGCTTGAAACTGTCGACGAATCTTCGAGTCCATGGCTCTTTCGTCTCATGTGTATCCGCGAAATGAGGACTGTCGCCATTCGAATATCCGGTACCGCCAACCGCGGACTTCTCCTCGTCGTATTTCTCAGCCATCGCGCAAGACCCCAAGTGATACTGAGTGGTATTCAATAGGTCACAGTCGAAGATATGCGGCCAAGGTTGTCGAGCAGAATGTCAAGACCAACAAGAAATACCCAAGACTGCACGGAAATAATAAGAAATGCCAAAAAGCTTGGGGCGGAGGGGTGGTTATAAAACGTCGACGATCCAACGGCTGAGGTCTTGACATGAATTGACTAGCAATTATCTCCTATCGGAAGGAACGCAGGGTCCCCGATTGAATCTTATCTCCCCCGTCTAGCCAATGTTAGCTGTTAGCGAGCGAAGAGAGGTCTACTCGGTCGATTCGAAGACCCTCCAAAGGACTAAATGAGACCTATCTCGACCACCAAGGTCACACCTTGCCGGTCTGCTCCACCTAAACTTCCTTGCGAACCCCAAGATTTGGTGATGGGGGTTACAAACCGTTCGGCTTGCCACGACTCTGCAAATGAGAATCGTCCTCGATATCTGCAGTATCAGCACTAGTATTAATTCTTACGACATAGTTTTGCCCAGAGACGGTCCATCGCAGGGATAAAGGCGGGGAGTACGCCAGCGGCGCCACCTTGAACGGGTAATGATGTCGCATTGAGTTGGAAATCATGATCGGTCAGGGGCTGTGAGTGGTAGAGAAATTGCTTCTTGACAGATTCTATGCGGTCGATCGTGGAAGCTTTTCAAACAAGCTCCGTCTTTTCGTGTCAGCATGACCTTTGCGTACGAGATTGTTTCAAACATCTCTTCGCTTTTTTGAAGAGCATTTAATTCCTCAACTTGAGATGGGAAAAGCAGACTGGTACTTCATCCCATCCGTCGCCAAGTCTCTCCACCTGAATAAGCGTTTGGATGTGCAAGAGGCGAACGCCTCTGCCGTCGAGTGACACCAATGATGATATTCTGAGACAATCGCATGGGTTTGGTTGGTGTTGGAAGATCCTCCGGCAACAACGGAACGCCCAGGTTGCAACAGTATTGCCCGAAATTGCTTGGCCTTCGGAACGCTGCAGCAGCCCGCAGAAATGAATGATCCACCACGCGACCACATCGAAGAGTCGAATCTTGGATCACGAAATACGAAGTGAAGAGTACAGCTTCACTATCTGCATAAGGAAGGTGTAAATCCCTAAGCATTCGAAGCTGACATCGATAAAATTGAGAGTGCATTTTTTCGAGAATGGTTGATCAATCGGACTGGCTCGCACCTGCATTTGCTAGCCTTCACCGAAAAGGCGTCACTTCCTCCGTACTCCGTCCATGACCCCAACAATCCGACTCGACCATAGCAACCCCTTGGCCGTTGGACAACTCGCGAGATGTATGGACGAGAAATGAGGGGAAGTTGAGTACGATCTCTTATTTTTGGCGCTTGGTCGTCAATCATGGAGGGTTTTCCTTGACATGCTTTCTCCAATATATTCTGGATTGCGCTTTTCCCAGAGATTAAGCTTGCTTGGAAGACGGACAGCTTGAGAGGATAGCAAGAGGTGTTTCGATCCCGATTTTCATACTGTCGCTGCCTTTGCATAGGGTTTCAATGGCTTTTCCCCCATGTCCGCAGAATCCGGGTTGGAACTCGTTGGGCGTCGAGAATGTGTTCGCATCCGAGAACACACCAAACCTAGGGATCTTCATATGCCAAATTCTTCGCTGAGAAGTTCTCCTAAGAACCCGTTGAGGCTGTTTGCCCAGAAGAGCAAATCCTAGAGTTTCCACCGTTTGGAGTACCTGGTTGCGAAAAGTGCATTGGAAGATTTGCAGATTTGTCGGAATCGCCGATTTGACCATTATTCTCACTGAAGAATCCTTGCAGATGTGGAATCAATGACAACTGCCTTGATGAGCAGATGCAGTTCGTCCCATGGTTTGCGAACTCATCTATATCTCTTCTCTGGTTTCGCTTTCGATCCGATGAGGTTGCAAATACCTAGGTAGCCCTCGTTAGGTGGCATTGATCATCGTTAAGACGTCGAAGACTAAGGTACTACCATTATTCTTTATCAGCATAGTTCCGAGCACGAGTGGAAATTACTGGACATAGACTTTGGAGTGTATAGTCTATGCTGCGAACCAATTCGGACGACCGTTTGCGGAAAGAGGGGCGCAGAACTTCGAAGTGGAAGTTGGATATCGAGGATGATACTGTCCATGACAATACCTTATCTTCAAAACGGGTAAAATATATGGCTTGACATCAAATTCCTTTACCATAGGGGACCGAAAGACATAATGCACACCGATATGTGTCTACCATTACAATGCCGCGAAGTTGTAATCGAGCCACCGAGCATTTGAAAGTTCTAGCGTAAGGTGAGCAATGCTTATATTGAGAGAATTGGCAGGTTTGAACCGCTAAATCGCCGTATTTGAAATATACTAGTTGTGGTAATGAATGGCTGTCTATGTCAGAAAAGTCATAGGTGAGAAGATCAAATAGCACTTACTATCCAGATGCCCCCTTCAACCCTGCCCTTCATTGAACTAATTCTTCGAACAGATCTGAGTATGTACCGGCCACCTGCATTTTTATTCTATCTGCGACAGAATGTGCCTGAATGTGTAAATGGCGGCTTTTTTGGGTTCTGTCATGAAAAGCGTCGGGAAGCAGTATCTTAGCCCATCTCCGAAAGCCATTGTACCGCGAAAGTCTCAGCGTAATCCATTTATTGCGATGTTTTCATCTCTTAGCAGTAACGTGGGTTCTGTTCGACCTTTTCGACTCATCACCTCTGCTAGCTTTTCCAGGCCCTCTTCCAGGCGGAAAGAGCCAACACTTCCGCGTTCTCGAAGCAGAGTGCTGTTACTTCGATCCGAAACAGCGAGAAAAGTTGTAGATTTGAACCACAGGCTGAAAGCTTGCGAGATTTCAGCTTACTGAGAAACAAGAGACGATGCCCTTTTGAGTTCAAGAGAATAATATACCCGAGACAATTGCACATTCAAAAAATACAAATGCGGCCTGCATTTTCTCTGTCCTGTTTCTTTAGATTGTGCGATAAATTCGAATGGTTTCTGTGACCTGGATGTTCGCAAATGTGATGGAAACTATATTCTTGGAAGCCTGAAAGCATCACAACAGGAGACTGGTCAACGCGTCGGGGATGAAATTTCATGACGCGACTCGCTCTTCTGGGATGTCCAGATTTGGCAGGAACCTGGAAGATGTTGATTCTTGTGGTCGGAGAAATTAATGAAAATCGAGAGGACCTGATACGGAACGATGTTGATGATTGTAAAATGGACGTCGGGAGATTTCTAATCTCTGTGGAATGAAAACATCTGCGACAAACGGGGCCGGTTTCCGAGGCGCTTCGAGTCGCTCACCGCACTCCGATTATCTTCACCGTTCACACATGCAACAACAGACTTTCGTCAGTTCGACACAAACGTCTTCAAAACTTAACCAGCTTTCTTTCGCTCTCATGCAAGATGCGGTTCGACCAACCGAAGAGGCGTTCCGAGCCATGTACGAGAGAGGTTATCGTACTTGGTCCAATCTTTTCGAATTGGCAATGGAGGACATGAAAGCCTATCCTACCGAACTTATGTTCCAACTTGAGACCGCCTTTCCGCATCATCCTTCCTTTCCTACGAATCTAAACACAGACAAGAGATTTGCAGATACTGTCCTTGTATATGGAACCTCTACGTGGACAACTACACAGCCGCCTTGCACGCTGCCATCATTTGATGAAACATTCTCCATTCCAGTAGCGTCAGGCAGACCTACCAAAATCACGATCTCCGACTTACCGCAGTCAGCCTTTTCATACTCGCGGTTTGCTAATGAAGACGACGACCATACCACGGTTCTCCTACTTGCATGGTCCTATATACTCACTGCTCGCTGGGCTGAGATCATTCCGGGTGCATCTGCTCCGAAGTACAGCGATTTTGAGGCAGCGTGGGCTGGCGAGGACAATTTCGAAACAGGAGGCTCAAAGAAATGCATTGTAGACGTAGGTGATGTTGACAATGATGCTGCGCGGTGGTGGGCAGCTATTCTAGCCCTTGAAGGGGGCTGGGATGCCACTATTCTGAGCAACACAGGTTGCATCCTCCATTCGCCTTGGTCTACCAAACTTGAATCAGAGCACCATTTTCAACTCCTGCGCGGGAAAGGGACTGCAGCTCATCATGATGCCGCTCAATACTTTGCTCCATCGTTCGCCACTGCCTTGCGTTACTTGTCTGCGTACTGCGAATACCATAACGCCTCTGCTCAAAGCCAAACCGCGTTGGCTGCGACATTGATGCTACCAACTGCGAAATTTGGAGGTCGACATGTTCGGCTGCCCATCCCTAACATTCGTCTGAAGCCAACCCCTGAGAAGTTCACAATCAATGTGTTTTCCTGGATGGAGAACGTCAGCCAATTGGACAGGCTCATCACCTTAAGTTGCAACGCGAGGGGGGGTGATGCTATCCTGGGTAGCGTTTTCTATGCATCTGATATTGACTGCAATATCTGCGGAGCATGGCTTCAAGGATCCTTCGCCTTTCTTGACTCCGATGTCGTACTGGATCCACATATCTTACTACGAGTTCTAGTAAAAAGAGATCCTGATGTGGGATTCCTGTGGCTCGGTGCTTTTATCATCGGAGCGCAAGCGTATTTGTTGCGAAAAGCGCAAGGAGCTTCGTGGAAAATCGATCTGAGTACGTCAGCGTGGACTGGGACGTCTATGTCCTTTATTCAGCAGCCTGTCTCAGTATTACCCACTGGAATACAGGAAATCTCGCGTGCTGATGAGTGCCGGCTGCTATACCTGTCGCATGATCCATCATACACGACTCCTCCCCTCTTCCCATTCGCTCCGTTTGGGTCCACAGCGATTCTCGACACCAATATTGAAGTGCGTGAGCATATAAGCTGTGGTCAACCTCATGGTCTCCAATACAAAGGATTGGCGTGGCACTGTCGCGGCAGTAAGCGCACGATGACATCGTTCACACAGATCCCACTGCGTGCAAAAATCGGAAACGCGACGGAAACAGACTTGATTGTCAAATATAACGATCTCGATTACGAAGACGATGACACCTCCATGAGGGGTACGCATCACTTATTCACTTGGCTGCGCGATGTGGACGGTTTTCCCATTGCTGAAAGAGCTATTCGAGAACATGAATGGATAGAAAATCTGGATTCTGATGATGACTATGAGGAACCAAATGACCGGTGATGCTCATTCTACAATAGGAGGTAACCTCCATGGATGGTTACTAAAGACGACGACGAAAAGATCGAACTCTCTTTAATCGTGTTGAGAGCGTTGTCATGTTGAGTGATAGTCCATATTCTGCTTTTGATTTATTCACCTCAGAGCCAGGCACCTCTTCTCTGCATTATATTTTCTGCGCAATTTACCAGTTCTTTACATCAGGTCTCATTCACCGTGTATGCACATAATATAGCTTGGCTCATGTGGCGCAACCTTCAACCTTCGAGAAGTTGAAACTCTACTTCTTCAACGGCGATACCCGACATATCGTCCTCAATTTCAACTCTCCTGATATCCAACGATTGCGACCATCCGACTTTAGTAAGTGTCTTTGTTGATCTCTTGCACGGACCCGATACTCTATGTTTGCAGGCTGCGTGGATTAGAAGTGGCATTCTCGCAAATCTGCGAGACCATCCTCTTTGCATCTTAGCACAACGCTGTTGACCCCCAGACGATCTCTCTCCTCTGGCTGTGTTACAAGCTTCTCTTCTCATTGCTCATCCGTATCTTGGCGTTTAAACACCAGTTAAAATATAACATCGTCAACTTAGGACCATACCAACCAACCAACCACAGCTCCGATTTAACTTGTCCAGACTTCGCACTATGGGTCATCAGGCTAGTTCCCCGAAAGGCGGCGATACCAGCGGATATAGACCAACACCCAGCTCGCAGACTGCGATCAAATACAAGAAACCTTACATACCACAATCTTCGCAGGCGACAAGATTCACTTGCTTCCCAAAGCTTATCCCGGAACTCCGTATTTATATTTGGGAGATCGCCTGCTTCACGACCAGAATCGTCGAGTTGCATGTCACTCCCGCTGGCATAGACGAAGAAAATGCGGAGACCCTGAAAGATGATTATGGCTGCCCATCGCCTGCATACCGCGTCCATACAAGAATGCCGCCTCTTCTCACCTTGTGCAAAGAATCTCACCAAGTGCTTTCCAAATATTACACTCAGCCTTTGGGACACCCTAAAGATGCCAAAAAGAAATTAGTGAGGCTGCAAAACTCATCAATGGATATTGAGCTTTTCGGTCGAATTGACATCAACTGGGCTTCTGATATCCTTTTATTGCCGCACCTAAATCATCTTAAGTCGCGTGGAGTACCCATGAAAATAGTCTTGATGCTAATAAAACTACTTGCAACGAGTTCTGAAAAGAACTTTCGACTAGCATTAGAGATTGCCGGACATCCCACAGAACTTTATTCTCGAAGCTACTGGGAAGGATATGTTGCAATTACTCTGAGCAACTCCATGCAAGGCCGGCTCAATTCTGCTCGCCACATCGAGTTGTTCTTCGTCCCTGTGAACAATAATCATGAGAACGCAGATCGCTGCTTACGCCTTGGAAATGGCGCGGAAGAACTTTTCCATTTTCGCGTATTGGCTTTACGGGGCGAACTCGATCAAATTTATCCTTACATAGCTGAATCATCGGCCAGTGTTCATGAGATGCGGGTGGGTCTAAGTCTAAGAGGCTGTGCTATTACATTTGAGCGCCAGGAAACCCCTGAAAAGCCAACAATCAGCATAACTGGTCTGGAGATTGCGCTGCCGAGGGAAAGCTTTCCGGGAGATGATGGATTCGCAGTTGAGAGTGGATAGACGATTTAGCGGCATGCGCCCAGAGATATATACACGTGGAGGAGCTACCATATTACCACGACATAGGTGGCATGCTTGAGTGCCATGTCAGCCATGTATCTATCAAAGAAATAACCCTCCTAGCTACTATACTAGTCAGTACTGGTTGTCAGTTTTGTTTAGTGGCATAGATGGGAGGCCTTGTGCCTCAATATGAGAGGAGCGTTTGGGAATTTTGGTGGAACTTTGATCTCTAGCATTCAGCTTCTTGTCATGGGATTGGCATAAGCCTTGGATTGGGACTTTTCCTGGACAAAGCACTTATGGAGGGCAAGGGATACCATATTGATACTTTCTCTCAAGATGCAATATTCAAGCAAGATTACATATCATGTCAACAGAAGCCAATATCCCATGATATGAATTCTCAAGCAAATTCTCCGAGCATATCACTGAACAACCCTCTCACACCACTTAAACCCACCCCTCCATACCACCTCAACCTACTCCCTCAACCCCAACCAATGCCGCAAACTCTCCTCAACCTGTTCCTCAAAACTCTTGAAGCTCACCCCAAAAACCTCCTCCGTCCTCCGACAATCCATCTCAAACCTCACACTCCTCACCTCCCCTCCTCACTAAACCACCCCCCTCTCCAACTCCCCCCCAAACTTCGCCCTCACCACTCCCTTAGCAACACTCCACTCCCGCTCCCCCGCCGCAACCAAATACCTCCCCTCTTTAACCTTATCCCCTCCCCCAAAACACCGCCCAACCACCCCCGCCAACTCACCCACATCCACCGTCTGCGGCAGCGTCCGCATGGTCGCCTTTTCCCCGGTCACATACCGAATCAGCGTCCGCACCGTGGTCGCCAGCACGTCGTTGCGGGATTCAGCGAGGTAGTTGGGTCCGAGGACGAGGGAGGGGAGGAGGGAGATTAGGGAGTAGGTCGGTGCGTGGTGGTTGATGTATGATTCGGCGGCGGAGAGGGCGAGGGATTTGGAGGCGCCGTAGGCGAGGAGGGGGTGGGCGTAGGGTCTGTGGGGAGGGTAGAGGGGGATGGGGTCGCTTGCTGTGGGGGGTTAGCTTTGTTTTTGGGGGAGATGGGAAGAGGTTTACCGGTGAATGGTTCGTTTTTTAGAGTTCCGGTTGCGAATTTATCGACGTCTAGCAATGCGCCGATTGAAGAGATAAGGACGATGCGTTTTATACTTGGGATTTTTGAGGCGGCGGATAGGATGTTGGTTGACATTTTCACGGCGGGCTGGATAGTATCGCGTTCGTAGTCGTCGCTCTGGATCATCAGTCTCTTTTCCCCTCCTCCTAAGTTGAATTAAGAGAGGGAACTAACCACATCCATACCCATCGGACTAGCGACATGTGCTATATATTCCACGTCTTCTAATACACCATCAAAAGCGCCTTCTGCGCTTAGATCGGGGATGATTATGAATTCGACGTTTTTCGCCAATTCTTCATTCATTTCACGGTTCGAGTTGAGATTGGAAAGGGGAAGAGAGCGAGCCAAGCCGCGCTGGATCTTGGGGATTTGAGAAGAGGTGCGCAGAATGGCTTTTACGTTGTAGTTTGAGGTGAGGAGGCGGGTGAGGGTTGCGAAGCCTATGAAGCCTGAGGAGCCGGTTAGGAGGACTGTTGGCATATTTTGTGGTTTTGGGAGTGGTGGTGAGGTGGTAATGTGAGTTGTGAGGGTAGGGAATGGTTCTGAGGAAGATGAGGTACTGCTTTGAAGAAATGGTGAAGGTATAGGGATTTTGATCTAAGAATTGACATCTCATATATACATCCTCGCGGCACCTTCGGACTCGGCCATGACAAGTAACCCTCCGAATTTCGCACCCGACAAACCTCTCTCCTATTTCCTATACCGGAAAACGGATAACCATTCTTTTTCCACTACTGCAGAATACTGTCTTCCTCCAATTTGATACAATTGTGATCCTTCATCATTTCAGGACATCGACATTCTCCCGAAGACCGCCGCTCCTATCTTCAAACATTCGGAGTCGATATGCATAGCTCTTTCCCAATCAGGAGATTATGCCTTTCTTAGTATCTATTATGTCTCCTTTCGTAATCCTTAGAACTGGAGATTTGAAGGTGTTGGTCGGAGGTGATCACTCATCACTTCGGATCTCGGCCCAACACACGTTCCCCAAAATATAGAATTGTCTTTGATTGAATATTGTTGCAATCTATTCTTTGTGGAAGTCTATTAACATCAAACGAATGGAATATATCTAAGTTTTGAAGCAAATCGTGCAATTCGTCTCGAGTCTCGACGTCGGATTTAAGTTATCGCTAAGAAGCACCTGGCATGATGACCACTGCAAAGCTATTTATGATGGAAAAGCCACATAAATCCGTGTTTGTGAACTATATGGCGTTCGATAACCGTGCTTGGAACCTTTTCTGATTCATCGCGCTGAATCTTCCCTAATAGTAATCATACACTCATTCAACGTCATAGCCGGCGTCGTATCGCCCGTCCCAACCGCAGATTTTTCATCCCTATCTTTTTTCACTCTACGCCATTCCGGTCCCTTCTTCATCAACATCATAAGCACCGGGCTAAACCCCATGAACAGAAGCGCCAACAACGTATATGCCCATCCGGTTCCAATTGCATTCATCAATGGCAGAATCACTGCGGTCAGAACCGCCCCCATTTCGCATCGTACGATGTTGTTTGCTGCCGTGGCGGTTGATGGTTTTCCAGGATATATATCGACGATAAGAATATTGAGGACCTGGGAGCAAGCGGTAAGTCCACAGCTGAGAAAGAAAAGCGCGATGACAGGTGCAGCGAGCATGAGCTTTTGCATCATGATCCAGGCGTACGCGATAGTGAATGTACCAGCCATAAAAATCGCGGGAAGGACGATTTCAATTCTCGCTCTTTCGATAGGGAAGTTGGTGAGATCTTGAAAGCGATTCTTGATGACGGGGATTCCGAGTTTGGCGGCGTGGCGGCGATAGTTCCAGTCGACGGTTTTGCCGATGGTTAGGACTGCTAGAATACTTCCGCAGCCGAAAGGGATGAACATGAGGGAGATTTGTAACTGGTTGAAATTGTAGAGTTCGTGGAATAATTTGGAGGTGCCGGTGCTGGGAAGGAAATATGTTAGAACAGTCAGATATATGACATGAAGGTAATGATTACCTGATTGCATAGAAGCAGCCAAATGAGAGACCAGTTGTTGTCAAAATAATTGCACTCTCAAGGTCGCCAAGAACTTTGAGCGTAGATAGCGGATTTGGGAGTCGAAATTTGTATGCCCTGCGAATTTCCACCTCTTTCATTTTGTCATATTCTAATCCAGCCTTTCTTCGATTCTTATGACGCACCAAGTCGGTCAAGTTCTTCGAAAAGAATGGCGGAGGAATTGACCCGTTATCAACGACATTCCGACAAGTCTCGGGAAGAAACAGGATAAGCGGGATATTGACCGCAGACGAGAAGATGAAAAGAAACCAGAAGAGAAAATGCCAGCCCGCGAATTGTCCAATAGCACCTCCCAGAAGAGGTACAACCATAGTCCCGAAAACAAAAGCCATTGATGTGAGTCCGATGTATTTCCCGCGTTCTGCTGAAGTGGTGATATCTCCAACAACTCCATTCGCTAAGGTGATCGTGCCCGAAGACCCGGCCGCTTGCAACACTCTCAAGAGGAGAAGAGCCCTGAAGTCGTTTTGCAATGCCAATCCGATGTTTGCGGCGTTGAAAATGATGAAGCAGAATATATACATGGGGCGTCGGCCTAGGTTGTCGGCTAGATCTGCAACGAATGATGGCGCGATGCCTTGGATGACCTGAACCTTTTTTCAGCTGCGTTCGGTGATTTTTGAGGGGAAGTACGAACGAGAAAGAAGGTTATAGTAAGATTTATATGGGTATTTGAAACGTTTAAATCTCTTGAGATTGTGTCGAGTGACGGATCTGACTCGGTTAGGAGCTGTTGTCTGATGAATAATATATCTGAAACTCACAATATATCGAAGTTGCCATGGGAGAAAAGATAGATGCGAATGAAGCTGTAAAGATTACAAGTTTCTTTTGTTTGCCGGTCAGAACTGTGAAGTCTTCTCCTGACTGCACTGGTTGTTCCGAAGCCGGCTCACGAGTTGCATCACCCCCTTCTTCATTTTCGTATATCGTAAGAACACTTTCTGATTTCTTTTCGACATTGTCATAATTGTTGCTTTGGATTACAGATATTGCGGGCGTCTCAATATCTGTAATCTTGTTCACAGCCATCTCGTCGACTTTGGATGAAATAGCTGACTCCTCGTCCATTGCGGTTCATTGATAATTTAAATGAAGAAGCGGTCAAGTGAAGAAAATTTAAGTGAGAAAAGAGTGACTTGTGTGACATTTCATGCCTCGTATTTGTCTAGTGTATAGTTGAGAGTTGCCGTGATGTTCTTGTATAACTCTCATGGTAGGACGATGGAGGGGACTTATTCGGGACCCACCAATGGCAAGCTGTGATGCAACGACGTCACATCAACTTCTCTTGTTCCTGCCGTTTGAAATCGGATGCTTACATAGCGTCATACCAAACTACATCATGGCTTACGGCTTTGTACAGCAAAGGATGAATTCTTCCAACGTCTTGACGTTCGAGTTTGACAACAGGTCCTTCATAACCGATCACTGACAATCTGGAAAATCAATAAACTGATCATTAGAACTACCAAGCTCAGACTCCTGAGCGCCTTTTCTCACATGAAACTATTGAAACTCAACTTCATAGACATTTCTCGATTGAAAACAAAGTATAACTCTTCTAGTCTAAAATTCTAAATGGAGCTCTGGTGGAAGTCGCCTACAGATAGGACGCAAGCAAATCCGATCTTGCGAATCAACATACAAACATGGAGTTCCAGGAGAAGTATTGCAATTGGTAGAAAAATCAAAACCTTCCATATTATTTGGCACACATGTTCTGTTGTCGTGGCTTCTGGATCAAATGGTACCTACCTTAAATGGCAGGTCTCTCATAAGCTGCGACTTCAAACCTCACTTTCAAGCTGTCATTGACTGAATGATGTCCAAGCACTTTCTGGACTCAAATTTTCTTGGATAGAAAATCCGCACTACTATCCCATGGTCCAACACCCTTCGCGCCTTCCTATCTTGCCAAAAAGCCACCAGGTGGTGCTCAAACGAGACGTTCGCTTAATCTGTCACAAAGTCAACACAACAAACCCGAATTGACTTGCTCCATCTCTCAACCTCTCCAACCACAACACACACCCATCCACACCCTCAAACCCCCACCTGCGGCACCATCGCAATACGGCCTCCATTATGGTGACGGCAATCTCTTCCGCCCCTCTGCTGGGTCAAATCGCGCCATTCGGAGACGCAGTTTTCCTCGTCGGTCCAGATGCAGTGAGACTACAAGTCGTATCCATCTTCGTTCGCACACATTCCAAGGTGTTCGAGGCAATGCTGGGGACCAACTTTGCAGAAGGCCAAAAGAGCATTTCGAACAAGACAAAGACGATCTCTCTCCCAGAGGACGACGCGGACGCCTTGTGGATCATCTTCAGTGCTATGCATGGAAGGACATCAGATATACCAGACCCACTTGAGCCAGATATGGTGTTGAGAGTTGCTTACATGGCGGACAAGTACGATTGTTCGCAGTGCTTGAAATACCTCATAAAGTCGTGGATGGAGGTTGATGATGCAAAACATAGGTGTAGGAAATGTAGGGCACCCGATCAGCGGCACTGGAAACTCATGGCGGCAGCCTACTATTTTCGAAACGAAGAAGGCTTTGAAGCACTTTCCAACAAGTGGATTACAGAATACACTGAAAGCTACCTAGCAGTGACTGAATATGGAGGCTTTCTGGACCCAATGGTTCTCGTTAGACTGTGTGGTAAGTCCCGTACACAATCGCAATCGAGACAATTTCTGAGATCAAAGTAGTCATCCTACAAGAAAAAAGGGTCGAATACCAAGTACACTTGCTCAATACAGCGGGGGAAACTTTGATGGAATATTGGGAGAATTGTTCTTGCTCTGCCATGTTCGATGAGGACGAGGATGTCCCAACTCCATATTATCAAATCCACGACCGATTTTTGGTCGAGCTGAGGAGTGCAGCACCTCAACTGCGCGACATCATCCATAATACTCTGAATATCATCGATTATGCCACCACTCACCACATCCCGGAGTGCCGAAATACTACAGAAGATAGGTTCGTATTGTTAAATAGGGCTTCATCGGATGTTTCAAGTGTTGCTTGGACCGGGAAAATATGTATGGACTGTATCAGATCTAGCACACCGCACTCTGATCATCCTCTTGCACCTAACTAATAAACTTTCTCCTTGAAATTTGGTTCTAGTGTCCGTGGAAAAGGGTGAAGGGTGTTGCAACGACACGTGATCATGTCGAATACGTTTACGTTTTGCAAATGTATGAGCTAATATGGTGTTTGCTGTTTTCGGAGTCAAAATAATTGCTACATAACAAGCGAAATGTATATTAGCATTGCAATTTCCTAAGCACATTTGGCGTCAATGGGGATAGAACGGATGGCTCTATCGAATGTACAAAAGATTTGAACAAATTCATTCAAGATGCCTTCTTCGATACACATCTCATTGGAATCGCTCAAAATAGAATTAGTCTTATTAAATAAATCAAGATTTACAGACTGAATTTTCGTCTCACCCATAGTAGATATAACTATCCAAGGATAAGAATCATTACTAAGCTCCCCGGATAATCGGAAATTTCTACCTTAATATCTCTGCCAATGGACCACATAGAGAGTGAGACTATACTAATCTTTGAGATTACACACATCTAAATCTCAAAAGTTTACATCGTGTCACTGTTTTCTTAGTTCTCAGTTATCCGGAACTATAAACGTAACATCAGCGCACTATGTTGTTGTATAAAAGATCTTTGTAGAATTGTAAGGGTAAGTTGTGAATCTTCAATCGCAAGCTTTGTACCTCTTCACCTAGGTTTATTTTCATAATATCCTCCTCTAGCTGTAAAATGAATATTTGGAGTGCCCTCATACACCGAGGGTCTTTATGATTTTTTAAAAACACACCTTGCAATTTGAATTCCCACACACAGAATTTAGTCCAGAACTAAATCAATCCCCAATTTTCCCTCGCACTCAAAACCCTCCTTCGCACAAAAGAATCGTGTCGCATCAGGAGGTGAGGAAAGGGATGGTGTATATATGGGTACAAGTATAGTTAATGGGACAGAAGTAATATATACAAATTAGAATAAGATATTAGGCGTTGCGCAGGATATCAGTTCCTTCCATTTTCTCAATTCCTTCGATTTTCTTACTCTCTTCAACCACACACAACCTCTCCCTTTCACACCCTCAATCAATTGCGCAACCTCAGTAGTACCACCCCCCACCAATTCTGCATACTTATACGCAACTCACAAGCACTCGATCCAAAACTCCAGAGTCTCGGCCCTTTTCAACCAACTCAATGCGTATCTCAACCATTTAAAGGGTTCTCGCGCGAGATTTCCCGCCGCAGACTACCCCTTCCATTCGCTACCACATTGCAAATCATATCAGAATTCAAATCTCCAGAGGTTCCGTCGGTTTTTATACGCTTACCCATCGTAGACCATTTCAATACCCCAGCATCCTCGCTTCACCACCTCAACCACTCACAAGCCCGCCACCGTTTACGGAGCGAGCTGAGTGGATTTGCTGCCAGCTCCGCATATGATTTCCTCAGGTCTTCGGCTTTTTAACTTATTTAAACCATGAAGGAAATCCTTTTGGGGTGATTATGGTGAGCTGATAAGGGTATTTAAGGTGAGATGACGCTCATGATTGGTCGTGTGTTGAGGCTTGTGCTTACTCAGATGGGAGATTTCAGTGGGCTAAGAATCCAGGCAGGGAGGATTTGGGGGTTATAAAGGTGAGGTTTGCCCAAATCTTGAAAATATAGAAAACACGATCCTCATCTCTTCTGGTTTTGTTTTAGGTTTCAAGATCGATCAAAAAAAAAACCGCACGAAATCAAATCAAGAATAGCAATCATGGCACTCTCCTCAATGTTAACACAATACTTCCCTCCCCCTCCAACACTCACCGAATCCTCCCTCCCCTCGCAAAAGGGCAAAATATTCATCATAACAGGCGGAAATGCCGGCGTCGGTCTCGAGCTCATCAAACTCCTCTACCCAACCGGCGCGACCATCTACATGGCATCTCGCTCGTCCGAACGCGCCAGCGCCGCCATCAAAACTATCACCTCATCCAATTCGGAAAACGCAAAGAATTTGAAATTCCTGCAGCTCGATCTGAATGATCTCCACTCCGTGCGCGCTGCAGCGAAGAAATTCCAGAATCTGGAGGGGAAATTAGATGTGTTGTGGAATAACGCGGGGATAGGAACGGTGCCGGTAGGCACGAAGACTGAACAGGGTATTGAAGCCAATATGGGCGTTAACGTGATCGGTCCCTTATTATTCAGTACATTGCTCGTCCCGCAACTTCGCGCCGCCGCAGCGTCTGCTCCAGCAGGAAGCGTTCGCGTCGTATGGACGAGCTCGTGGATGATGGAAGGCGGTGCGCCGAAGGGCGGGTACACTTTATCGGAGCTTGAGAAAGGGGGGAGTAAAGACGCGACGGTTAATTATTCGACGAGTAAGGCGGCGAATTTTATCGTTTCGAATGAATTCCAGAAGAGGTACGGGAAGGAGGGGATTGTGAGCGTGTGTCAGAACCCGGGGAATTTGAATACGACGATTTATGATAGTGTGAACCGGGTTGTGATGGTTTTTGTGAGGTGGTTCCTGTTGCATCCGGTGAAGATGGGGGCGTATACGGAGGTGTTTGCGGGGTTGGGGGAGGGGGTGGGGGGTGGGTATGTTATTCCTTGGGGGAGGGTGCAGGAGAGGAGGAAGAATCCGAGGGGGGATATTTGGGAGGCGATGGAGAATGGGAAGGGAGAGGTGTTGTGGGAGTGGTGTTTTAAGAAGATTGATGCGTGTAAGGAGAAGGTATAGGGTGGAGAGAGCAGATGGTAATGTGGGAAGGTGTATATTTGATGAGTATTGCGGAGCTGGGAAATGAGTAGACGATAGAAGAGCAATCTCCTTCGAGTAATAAGTGTTCAAAAAAGAAGCGTACCTTTCTCACCTCGAGTTGTACAAATGTCTCGTTTACGCCAACCAACGATCGATCGCTGACGTTTATGCTTATTCTTTCAGCTCTCAGCTGACTGGTCCCAAGAACGACGAAGGAATCGACCCTTGCAACAGTGCGCATTAGGCACGGCATGTTGCCTCACTCCGCTTTTGTACGTATTTCGGTCTTCTGGAGCCTTACGCAAAGGCGACGGTATTACGGCCCAAAAATAGAGGCAAACGTCGGGCAGTTATTGGGCTGGAATTGAGTCGCCCGACCAACAAGAAGCCGACGTTGGAATTGAAAACAGGACGTTCATATACGAAGATTTGAGTCGCTGTTGTTGTAGAAGGATTTCTGAAGTATGTCTGTGGTCAATCTGGCTTAATCCCGTCACTTAAGAAGAAGACAGAATATTTTGCATCCGTAAAATTGAGCGACTTACCAAATCTGTACCCAAGATGCCCGCTCCAATACTAGCTCTCCCCTTAGAGATTCAATTCATGATCGGAGCATACCTAGGCTTGTTCGACATCCAAGTCCTCCGAATGGTGCACCATCTCTTCCGATCCATATTCCCAGCAGCAACCTACGACCAACTTCTCGAATTCAACTGGAAATCCGATCGTCTCGTCTGTTTCGGCTGCATAACACTCCGTCCCATGAAAGCATTTCCCCACGAGATGATCATATTCCACAAACACCCTCCTGAGTCCAAAGCGCCAATTCGCATCTGCAAGGAGTGTGCACCACAGATCCTACATAATCGCGGCTTTAAGTTCTTTTTGCATGGTCACTGGTGGACCTTTCGGGGTGTAACGTATGTGAGATGTTTTAGCTGTTTGATGATTCGAGAAGGGGCTGAGGAGAGGGATGTAAGGGTATGTCTGCCGTGTCGAGAAGAGGATGCGAAAAGTGGCGGTGATGGGGTGGTCGCACCGCCAGGAACTGCGTATGGGAAGAATGGTGTGCTCTTTATACAGTGTTTGAGGTGTGGTGGTACTGGTAAGGATGGTAATGATAGACCTTGGAGGTTGTGTGAAAGTTGTCATCGGGATAGTCTTGAGACGGAGTATGCGAGGCGGATATGTGTTGCTCGTAAAAGACAGAACAGGCAGAGAGAAATAGATGCAAGGCGACAGCGCCAAAACAGGGGATGCTTTGCGCATAATCGTGTCCAGCCTGGGGATTATTGGTCCCCCCGAGGAAGGGAATGTCATATCAACCGGTATCATACTACTCGTGGCGATTGTTGGACTCCGCGCGATAGAGGGTCCTAGAATAATATTAGAAGGTGCCGTGACAAGAATAAATTGATGAAGCAGATTAAAACTCAACTCACTTGTTTCGGCTACCGGCCGTCAATAATGCACTTCTCGTGCGCATTCTTTTTCCATCATCAATACACCGTTCACCCCTTCTTCTTCCGTACATCTTGGATATGCACTCAAGTACATAGAGGGTAGAATTAGCAGACACCTTTGGAGTGCGGTGGGATTGTAATCCTAACAAAATAAATTGACGAACTGTTTAAACGTCCGGATGACATCTTCCGATATCCGAGTGAGCTCTTGCTATTTCCAGTTTTTCGTTGTTGTTTTGCATTCCTTAAATCTTTTTGACTCGTCTATTTGTTCCAATGCTAGTGAGAATTGCATGTGAGATGTTCATCATGTTGGCCATTTTGGCTATATTAAATCTCTTGATTAAAGCAGTGGCCCCAGCTCCAATTCATCGTCGGAAGGCTTGCATCTTAACAGAATAGCGGGAACCACGAGGAGAACGACAGTGACGATGGTGTTACGAGTTGCCACATATCTCTATTCTTCTCAGGCTGACAATATGCGAATTGCCATACGTCGTCCGAAGTTTGGCGGCGATGCGAATAGCGAAGACGAGAGACTGTTCGAAGGGAGGTATCAATGATTGTCAATTCGACATGGAGGACCGAGCAAGTTATCTCGGTTTTGGGGGCGCTTCGAACTCGTCTGGCTTCCGTGTGTTATCTTCACTTTCATTTGTCTTCTTTACGGTTGTCGTGTGTAAATGGTCTGTTTACAAGCCATGGACCTGCTAGAGAATTTAGCTTCTGCAACTGCAACGACGAAGTGTTCTGGATCGAGGCTTCGTGGCTACGGTAATATTTCGACAGCACCGAAGGATATCCAAACATCGATCTTGATCTTCATACTGGAGTCGACGGTCCATGGCTATCGGCAAAGTGTCTGTTCGTATCGAACTTTGCCACACCTTTCTCTGCACACGCATATTGAGAAGGTCTGGAAGCTTCGATGATCCATAGACACACTTCAATCGATGTGCCGCTATGTGTGGCTCCTGACTGTCGAATATGAAAAAAGCAAGCCATGGAACTTGCCTTGTGTGTGGTATTCGGGGCTCACAATTGGTGCGGCTGCTAGTTGCAAGCACCTCTATGCAGATGATTGGAATTGTAAGACAGTTCTGTTCAGTAGAATCAAGAATGTCCGACCACCGGTGCGATGTGAACAGGAAGAGTTGTTCTCTGTAGACCACCTTTCTGTCAGAAGATGACTCTTTTGCTTATCACTCACAAGTATAAGCACATGCCTACCACTGCACCTTTGAAGATGGCTTGCTTTACCTTGGTGGCGTGTTCGAGAAGAGATTCTTGCCATCAGTATCCTCCATCAGCTGCTCTTGATTCCACGGGCTGATCGATGCCGAATTGAAAAACTCGGCTGAAAGCAGAGTAAGACGAAGTGTGATTCTCCCGGTATTATTTTGCACTTGAACAATGCTTTGAAATTGACTCCTTCATCTGTCTGATGAGATACCAATAGCGGGAAAGAGGTTTCAGGGTTACAGACATTCCCTGTGTGTTGACGCGGCGCGACGACTGGTATAAAATTGGGGTCAATGGCATCGAACGATGACTTGCCGCGAACATTTGGAAATGTTATTTGCTCGATAAAAATCAGGTCAGGAAAAGAAGGTTACGTGGCCTTTCTTGTGAGAAGTTTCGAGAGAGAATACTGCAACCATCTGCATGTAATGAGCTCAGTCTATGTGACTTGGACTTCATAGTAACATAGTTCGGGTATCTTGAGCTGCAGAAGAGGATCGAATGGAAGATCTGGTGTGAGGACCATAGAATGTGACAAATAAAATGGATGTGGAAGTCAAGTTACTCGTACAATTATTAAGATCCGCCAAGTGGGTGTGATCACAATACGCACTGCTCCTCCATAGCTATTCGGACGCTGGTGGAGTTACGCGTCGAAATATTCGAATCAACTCGCGAACACTTCGACAACAAAACAACAGCACCAAGTGACGAGCAACGACACCTGGACATCTTTACCTTTGATATCGCAAGTACACTTGACCCCGTGAATTGAGGTATTCTCCTAATGCCCATCAGTATTACAGTGAGATTCTTTCGCAAGAAGTTCTCCGCATTCTAAGCCGCCTTCTGGCCCTTCCTCGCCGTGATGGCTGATACATCACAATCACACCGCGCATCCAAATCAATAACTGAAGGCATTTTCCGAACTTGATCGCGGCAGAGACTGCTTTTCAATCAAAATCATTACGACTCCTCACAGAAGCCAATTTCATTGGCATTCATCTGTATCTGAGAGCCTCAGTTGCTGACAACGCCGAATGCAAATGCAACTCACAAACCGGCGGCTAGAGAACTCATCTACAACTGGACGCCACATGTTACGTCCCGATCCGTGATATGCAGTGGTGTGATGCGGTCGAGTCGGAAATTCCCCCCAACATGGCGTCAGGGACAGGTCTCTCAGACCTCTCGATTCCCGTGTCGGGGAGATAATTCGATGCCAAATGGGCTACGGAACCTGAAGCCTAAACACAATTCAATTTATCAAATACCGAAAGCGAAAGGGTGCATACGTTTGATGCAGTCATCTCAGACATCACGAAATTGTGATGAAGGGAGGAGAAGAGCTGGTTCAGGGAATTCACCGAGTGCTTTGATCGCGACGGAGAATTTCTACTCAATGTGAAAGTCTCGCAAGGTTTCAAGAAAGAGAGCATTTCCTTTCTAGGACAGACGAAGCTTCCAAGCTTCCACCCGTCTTCTCTCAAACGAGACCCAACTCCGCAACCACATACTCCGTTCTTTAGCGGGTTGTGTCTTGAGTCTGAGGTTGCTCGTTGAGGACATCTCGAGTCTTCGACGTTCTCTCCCAGGTCACACCATCCAGAAAGGACTGCTCGTCCATCCCTGGTCATCCCATTGTGACAGCCATCCAACGCGTCCTCGCTTCAAGATCCTCGACATGCATACACCGACTACCCCACACTGTTCGTGAGACCGCAATTGGTGCGGGCAGTCCCTGACGTTCCCGGGAAAAGACGAGCACGCCACTTTCAGCAGGAATCGATTGATGGACAAGGCTTAGTGTGGACGAGGACCCTGGAAGAAGCTCGCCGACCATTGAGGATTGCATGTCATCGTGGGCTGACGGCAGGGACCAAACCGAAATCGAGATTCCACATCCAAGTCTTTCCCGTTAGCAGGCAAGGTCAGGGCGCTCCGGGGGGCTTCATTCGTCTTTAGGTGCCTGCGAATTCCTTTTGCGTCCCGTGTATGGAGATTTTCAGCACGCTTTTCTGGTAATGCAACGCAGGCCTGTCGGAGCACCAACGGCATACCCCTCGCCTATACCGTATTCCCAGCCAAGTCCTGCGATGCCCTTTATCCAGTTGGTTGCGTTCGCGCTTAACTGGACTTTTGCAGTGTCACCATTACACAGCGTGTTCTCCTCTCGCCAGAGTTCGCCAGAGAGCTGACCGAAATCAAGTGTTTCTGCGGGCTCTTGTACGTAGATATGAGGCCACGAGGGAACCCAAAAACGACAGACCTGCTCGTCGGGCCTCCCTGACCGTTATTCCGGGTTTCAAAGACATTGGCCAATTGATCAGCTTCAATGCTTGCTCTTTCGGTCTCTCTGAGCAAGCTTCGCCGCGGCGGATGTTTACCCTGCAGCCGCGGTCTCTGTGCGTTGACCTCCCCCAGTCGGTCGGGTATTCTGCCACAGGGGTGTTTAGCCAACCAGTTGGCACTATCTTTTCCCAAGACTGGATCCGGTAAGCATCTGGGCCAACATTTCGTCCACCATCGCTTCCACGTTGCATCTCCTTCCTCTTAAGTTAAGATTCCCCCGCCCCCTACTTCAATCCTCTTCTCGTCTCCACCCCCAAGGTTCGACCAGATCAACGGGTTTTTAGTCGCAAAAGCAAGTCTACGATCTTTTCGTCGTCATTTTTGTTTTGTGTAATTTTCGCGTTGAAAAGTCTCCCACGCGTTCAACAAACTGGAGTAACAGGAAGAGTCTTGTCTCCAACGTCCAGGAGACACGTCTACGGACCGTAAATCGTTATGAACGGATATCCGCCGAAGCCTGATTATGGAGTAGGCCACCGACGTTCCAGGCGTTCTGGTGATTTGCTAATGTTTGTCGTAGGACTACTCTTACAGAAAGGATATCCTTTTGGTGATCGATGTTGTGCTCGTGGGCATCTCATCGATCGTTGTCCTCTTGCGATTCTATACAAGATGTCAAATTAGCAGATATTTCGGCCCTGACGACTGGTGGATGCTTTTGGCTTGGGTAAACAATCCTGTGTTTGGTTGCGATTGCCTTTCTCGACCGAGACTTCTGTTTCCAATCACCTACTAATCAAGCTTTGTGATTTTAGCTGCTAGGTCTAGCGAACACAGGTCTTTGGATATACTGTAGGTTGACCGTTTCTTTGGAGGCTTTGTAACTGACGTACTTCAGATCTTGAACTGGGCAGCTGGAAGCATGTTACAGATATTCCATTTGAGGATTTTCCCGAGATGTTCAAAGTAAGAACTACTTTCCAACAAGCCGTTCTTTCGACAAGCTAGTTCTAACATTCTTTACCAGGTCCTATGGATGATTCAATGGGTATATCTCATCGCTACTGGAGCTGGTAAAATGTCGGTGCTCGCATTCTACCTGCGTGTCTTCCAAGGCCAATCTCGACGGTTCCGACATATCATATTTGCTTTGATGGCATTGGTCGTGGTTTCATCCGCAACCATGGCTTTTGTACTCATATTTCAGTGCGATCCCGTGCACTCATTTTGGTCCCGAATGTTTGGGGGTGGGAAACGAGAATGTCTAAATCCGGACGTGTTGCTTTACACGTCATCTGGTATCATTGTGGTTACTGATGTTACAGTCTTTATACTTCCCATGAAGCACCTATGGCGTACGTTGTTTGATATAAATAATCTGCTTCCACTGACACACTGCAGGGCTCAGCATTCCAAATCGACAAAAGCTTCAGGTAATGTTTTTGATGGGACTAGGTGGTTTGTATGTTGTAGACTCTTGTGCTTGATTATTTCTTACTGATAAATTCTAGGACATGTGTCGCGTCTGCATTCCGCGTCTACTACCTATCTGTCTTGGTCAGCAGCCAAGATCGGAATTGTAAGTTTGCAACCACTGTCTAGGGAATGTACTAATCATTGGCCTATAGATGATGGTTTCGAGTACAGCTACTGGACCTCAATCGAACTTTTCGTTGGTATAATCACGACATGTCTCCCACCTTGCAAACCATTCTTTATGAGATTATGCTGTGCTGGCAGGACTCGATCCGATCATTTTACAGATGAATTAGGATCACAAAGTTATGCACGAACGCGAAGCACGACGGTACCATCGCTACGATTTTCGAACGAGGATGACAGGTCGACCCCTACATCGAGCCGAGATCAATATCATGAATTCCATTTCCACAAGACCCGAAGTCTTTCGCCGGTACGAATGGAGGATCGCTGAAGATGGAATGTGGAGCTTTTAATTTTTTCTACGAACATCGATCGTAAACACCGACAACCGTAAAGACCCAGGATCCCTGTTTTGACGACCAAGGTGCCACAAGTGAACAATCGGGAGAATTCGTCCTTTGTTCAGAGTCCACGATGTATGTTTGCGGAAGTAATAGTCGAGTCTTTCTGCGGCCTTTGTTCGTTTGCCAGGAAACATACGCGGAAGTTGAACAAAGGTGCACTTCGTTGAAACCAAATTCTACGAGCATCGACCAGGCTGAGGACTAGATTAGGCACTACGGGTTAAAATCCCGTTTTCTCGCTCGATCCTCGTACCCACATACGTCAAACACAGACTCGAAAAACACGATAGCACCATTAAACGGTGGTTAACCATGCCTCTAGTATTGAAACGAAAGCTGAGCGATGATGGACTGGACCGTAGGAAACGAGAACAATTGAGCAAGGAAGAGGATCCGGACAGGCCACGTGTAGTATTCGGACTTGAATTGGAGCTCGACTTTGTGGTAGTAAAATCGGTACATCAAGCCTGGACAGACGAACGAAGGCATCCGCTCAACACACCTTATAAGTCTAAACGGAATCGGATTTTGGAGTAATGAAGACTTTCGGCTTTGGGAAGAGCTTTTGGGCAGAGAAGGGAAAGTCAGCACACCGCGACAACAAACTCTGAGGCATGGGGAATCTTGTTGTCATTAGCCGAGTACCTTGCGATATATCTGAGCCACGAACACGAAACTCAGACCAAGAAAGCTGGGCCTCTCGGACGGGTGATATTCGCTCAACATCCAAAACAAGCGCGATCAGATGCCTGGCATGTAACAATCGACGATAGTTTGAATCCCGATCGGCAAGACCTCTCGAAATATCTGGATATTGATTTCGTAAACGCGAAGGCTAATTATCGCGTATCAGGCGCCGAGCTCGTCAGTTCGGTGTTGGATTATGAGGAGGAGGAAACCTGGTCTTCAATGCTAAAACAGATCCAACAAGGGCTAGCCTCTCATTGGTCTAAGTTTCAAGAGACAAGACTCCCTCAAGACCTGTCGGAACAATTTGCCTTTTTTGAATCTATGGGAACGGAAGCTTTGCATCTGCACATAAGTCTACCAGATGTGCCCTGGGATAGCCCTCTTGGAATCAGCTGCGTCAAGAATATCATGGTTTTATATGGACTTTGCGAAACCGAGATTGAAACCTGGTTTTCTAGCAGATTCAGAAACGATCAGTGGTGTCAACGATTGACCGGAGGGACAGAGTTCGATAAATCAGAGTTAGTCGATGCTAGGTACGGGCTGTATTCGGTAACAGAACTTGGCAGTCGATTCACTCCAAAAACCTATACCAAAGCGATCTACGATTGCGAGGAGCTCTGGGATATTAAATCGTACGTGTCTGGTCAACGAAAACCTGGAACATACGCCAATGGTTTGCCAGTCGTTGTTCGCGACATCGCCCACTACACAGCCATTAACATCAGCCCATCTCGACCGAACAAGCCATGGACTCTCGGGTTTCGTCAACACCATGGAACCATCGATAAGAAGGAAATCACATGGTGGACGACATTTTGCGTTGCCTTGATCCGATATGCTTTTCTGATGGCTAGAGTTGGGATAACGGTGACGGATGCGGAAGAGTGGGTTTGGCGACGGAGTATACTTGATACGATCAACTTTCCACTGGCAGGCGTGGCCCATTTCGAGGCGCAGAGGGATAAGTTTTTTGTGCCATTCATAGCTGCCAAGGCTTATCCTGAACGAGAGATGATTAAGGAACGGATGAGAAAGGTTGAGATTGCAGAAGCGAAAGCTAAGGCAGAAGGAGAGGAAGGAAAGGATTTGCCAAATGACACCGACGGTCTCGAAACCGAGGAAGACAGTGCAGACCTGAACACACAACAAGACTCTGACACCCTCGAATCCAACACCCAGGCAGCGAGCCCAAATGATATCCAGGATGCAGAAGACCCCTTCGACACCGAAGCAACGTCAGCCACAACAACCCCACCCGCTCAAGAAGAAGAAGAAGTCCTCACCCTCGGCGCCGCCATGGACGAACAAATAAGGTGCATGCCCTCCTACATCGCCGCCGCCGCCATACCATGCGAGTATGAAGGTGCTCCTCCCGGCCGCTCCCCCCGGCCGCTCCCCGGATACGCGGGAGCAGCGCGCAGCGAGACGAAATGCGCAGTGGAGCGAGTACAAAGGGGTTCTTAGGACGTATGGTGTTCCTGATCATTTGGTGGATAAGCTCAGTTATGAGGATGTGAGGACCACGGTTGGGTATCTGAGGTGGGATCGCAGTGATGAGTTTCGGGAGGGGAGGAGTGAGTGACTGAGTGATGAGGGGAGGGGAGGGTAATGATGTTGAAGGGGAAGGGGAGGGTGTAGATTGGGGGGGATACGATAGCGGACGCTAATTTCTAATCTCATAATTATCACTCTCAATTTCCCATGTCTTTGATTTCGTCGACAACTTTTCTTACAAGTAAGCTTGCAGCCTCTTGCATCTCATCTTGAATGCTTCACCGTCTCAACGATTCCCCACCACGATCATGCAAATCCATCTATCTGCCGTTCATTACCCCATACGGCAGTATGTCCTTGTCTCTTGCCTCACGCCACTTGTATATGGGCTTGTCCTTGCGTGATGGAGCTTGGGGTGGTTCGTGCTTTGATGGCCTTCCAACCCGCTTTCCTATCTCTTATAGGTTGCTTCAAATTATGTGAGTTAGGCTTTTACACGCTCAGTTCTTTGCGGGATCATATTACTTGCGCCTTTGCTGTCAAGAAATGGGTTTGAGATATACAGGAATCGGAATTGAATGGGAGGATTTGTGTGAAGAGGTATAGCGGTCTGTGATGGGGAAGAGGGATATCCCTTGTGACCCTTGCTAGGTAGGGAAAGCGTATTTTTGGGATGAGGTGGAAGGATCATCCTTGCGCTCAACTCGGGGAGGTCCTGGGAGGGCGGTATCTACCGATGAGGTGGCGTGGGTGGTGGACTGATTGGGGTATTTACGAGGAGCTTGGGAGATTTGGGGGGTCTGTAGGTTGGGTGTGATATCGTTTTGGGCGGTAGGTGGTGTGGGAGGGAGGTTTGTGGGTTAGGATCTGAGGATAGTACTGTAACTACCGGAGAGAGGGGGTAAGGTAGAGAGGGAATACTGTTAGGGAGTATAGGGATTAGGGTTGAAATAGAGGGATTAAGGGCAGTGAGATGCTGGAGGTTCGTGAGTTGGGCATTGTTGGGCTGAAATTCAAGGGCTTTTAGGTTTACCGGGGGGTGAGTTAAGGTTTACGGGGGTTATGAATTAGGGTATCTTTGGGGGGGGGGGTTAGGTTTAATATTGCGATTAGGGTTTAAGAAGGGTGGGTATTAGAGTTTTGGGAAATTTCCGTGTTGAAGCATAAAGGACACTTATTGTAAGGAATGTGAAAAGGGGACAAGTGGGGGGGGGAATATAAGGCATGCTGTTACAAAGACTTGGGATTATAAGTAAGCTATCTATGTGTCAGAGTTGAGAGTTGGAATTATATATGATTTATTTGAAGATAGGGGATGCGGATGCTTTATGTATTATTGTTGAAACTTGCTTAGAATGGGTTCAAGAAATACGTTATTGGGTAAGAGTATCAGGATGTTTTTAAGAGTGCGTGGAAGTGGGTGTTTTTTGAGGTTTGGTGAGAGGTTTGGGGAGAAGAAGAGGAGGGGTGATGGATGTTGAGGGGGTGATGGATTTAGTGTTTAAATGGGTAGAGTATTGGGCCTTTAAACTCTACTCATAATCTACTCACGATTAGTCCGAGTGGGTTGATTATTCCATTACTGCGCTCGGAAGGAATGTGATGGGAAATTTCTATCAGTGCTCGTGAGGATGATATGTTGGGGTGGCAGGGAAGCTTTTTTTGAAGTCTGAGATTGAGATGAGTTTGAGATTGGATTTGAGATTTGCATTTTACGACTGGGGAAGGATGATGTGGATGTAGAAGAGATGAGGTGGAAGAAAGCTAGGGTGCGGTGGTGTCGGCTTAAGTTGGGTTTGAAATTGGAATGAGTGGTTAGGTTTTAGTTGTGGTTGATTGTGGGGTTGGGGTTTGGAGGCTTTGGAGAGGTGGGAAAAGGATGGGATGGGTGTGGAAGGGATAAGATGGTTGTGGATGCGGTTGGCTTAATGGGGAATTCTCAATTTGAAGTAAGCTAGAATACGTTCTTGTTGGTTTAAGTTGTGTTTGAGATTAATATTTTAGTTGGGATTTGATATTGCGTTTGGGTTGAGAATTTAGAGTTTTGGGGGGATGTGAAAAGGATGGGGTAAGATGAATGTGGAATGGTAGAGGATGGGAAACTTCCATTATTAGATGTGTTACCGGTAAAGTGACATGGAGGTTATTGTTGTTCATTCGACTTTTGATTCGACGCTCATAGTTAGGAATAAGAAAAAAAATATCAATTTTTAAGCGTCGTCCGAGGAGGGCTGCTGTGGAGGAAAACTCAGGAGTTAACACTTTGCACTGCACGGCCATGCTCTCTGAATTTTGTTGCGTATGGATTTCCAAGGCCTTCTGATTTCCTGAAAATAATTCAAGAGCTGGAAGATTGATGATATCTGGGTAAGAAGGGGATGCGCGAGGGTAGATTCAGGTTTAGGTCTGATGAATGGTGATTGAGAATGGGAAGGATAACTGATAGGGGGAACTGGGAATGATTGAACAATCTATGAGTTCTGGATGGCGTGTTACTAGTATATTTCTAGCCGAAATCACTTTGCCTTCCAAGCTCTTCTCTTTTACATCAGACTTGGTATTGCTGCGGCTACAATCCACTACGTATACTTAATGTTCTTTAGGTAGTCGAGATAAGTGATAGAATGTAGCCTTATATTGCGATTTCGGGGTAGTGGTGACTTCCTGTTATATTACCAGTCAATTATCAGCAAAGCTGTTTATTTCTAGTGATATGGTACCAAAGAAGCAGATATATCTTCTGCCGTTGATTATAATGTTGTTGTTAGTATATTGGCACACAATTTATTGTTCGGGATTTCAGGAGGCTCATCATAAGTTGAGCTCTAGTCTATAATTATAATTGGGGAATGGCAATTTGTCCATTGTACAAAAGCTTGAAGGAAGATGGTAGATGTCGGATTGGATGTGAATGTAGATAAGGACGACAAGATAAAACATGTGCCTGAACCGCTGAAGATTAAGTAGATATAAGGGTAATGTAAGGATTGTCATTTGATAACACTATGCAGTTGGAGTATATCGGAATTAGAGTGCCGTAAACAGGTATTTCTTGTATATATATTTCAAGCAATTACTATAGGAACTATTATGTATTACGACTATAAGCAACTCCAGCCGAAAACTTGTTTTTGGTGGAACATACGCGAATTATACAGTATGTTTGTTAATTTCACGGCTCGTGTAAAGTGGGAAATGTATGATGGAGCGAAGGCACTGGGGGACTAGAGACGGCATTTTATCACGTCTGATCTAAGCAGCCAAGATATAAGATTAAGTGGCAATAGTAAGGCAAGATGTTAGTTGCTTGAGATTAGTGTAGCCTTGGTTGTGAAAAAGGACATGGAGAATAATTATTAGAAAAAAAAGTACTAAATACTTGAGATGGGCGTAGGGGATAATAAATAGGCGGGGTATAAATGAATATATTGCAAAGAGAAGATTTTTGAGTTTTGGGAAAGTGTTTAAGATGACTGTAATGTTGGGTTTGCAATTATCATCAAAGACATGTTTTATGGCAGTAGTATACAGTTTCTTGCGATTTCTTTTTTTGCTTCGAATAGCGCTAGAACGAAAGTAAAAGTTCAGATTGCTTAACGGAATCTGCGCACAAAGCCCATCCGCTATAACTCCCCTTCAGGCTCAGTTAAGTGTGTACTCTTTCAATACACAGACTGTACAATTAGAGCAGCTCCCCATCCGTACTATAGTAAGGATTCTGGTTTTTGTCCTTTCCTCTCTACCCATCTCTCCTCCTCTCCTTCCCTCGCTCTACCGACCATCCCTCTGTCCCTTATCTATCCATTAGTTTAGTACTGTGAGTATCCGGGTTTACTATTCCCTCTCTACCTCGTGTTCTCTAAACTGACTTTCGGGGCCACATAGAGCGCCCAAATCTGTCAGCCTAGGCGACCAAATCCGGTGAGCAGTCGTATTTACAACCTATTCTCACTGAATTCTGCGAAACTCTACCCAGTTGCCAGTCACTGATTCTACAACCCAAATCTGTACGTCTATACTGCGTCACAAAGAAAGAACGACGAAGATTCTGTCGTGGGTGTCGTAACTTCGGAAGATGAATCGCTACTAAAGGGGTTACTAAAGCCGTGTTACTGTTTCGCTGACCGTTTGATTTTGCTATATTGCGTCTATGCTAATGGCTGTAGGCCGAGGAATCATACTATCTAACTCGATCCTTGCACTGATTATTTATCGTTTCCTAATTGTATTCCGATTCAAGGTTTTTAAGACTGCTAGTAGGATATTTTCTTTTTCTGCCCCCGCATACTCTCCAAACAGCTTACTATAGTCGTAGTAGGTTTTTGCTTATTGATATTACGGATATCCGTACTAGGACACAGGTATATAAGTGTTTATTAGTTGGATCTATTATTCTGCGGTAATCCAGAATTGTCGTTGAGTGCGAAAAACCGGTAACATGGCCTTGTATATAAAGACCATCACCTCCTTTCCCTCTATAGTAGCGAGAACGACGCCGATCGTGTGAAATTCGAAGGGGGTGACCACTTAGGGTTAATTAAGGTTATCGTACGCATCTTCGATATAGATTTCTGAAAACTTTTGAATTTTTGAGATTTTAGTTTCCAGTTCTGCAAGTATTTACTTATCTATTACGGAATTATCTAATTTCGCACAGTATCAGTCAACACAACAAGAAATTAACTAATTCCTTAATTGCTAAGTGAGATAAGTGAATGTTCTATATATATAGAGAGAGAAGCTATAATCCCCTAATGATAGAGAATTGAAATATCTAAACTTATTAAAGTGTTATTAAGTTTAATAACGAGTTGTGGTAAATTCTCAGGTATCTTAATGTTAAGTGCTAATTAAGTGTCATTTACATGGTCCACTAGTGAGTGCATTGCAAGTCTGACGTGATACCTCCCTACGGCAGGATAACGGTACTCTACAACTCCGTCCAAACACAACACGCTATAATTACCTTTTTTTTAAGTAAACATATAGTATTCTGCTTATTGAAAAGTGGAAACGTAGCTATTGGGTAAGGGTGTTCGAAGTTGTTGCCAAACATTATTGTACCTGGATCGACGCACTGATGGTCCTCAGCGAGGCAGTCACGTTGTCGAGTCGCACTGAATTATTTCATTCAGGGGTGTTTACGCGAATGCGAACGCTGTAGTAGAAGGCTCACAGGTTGGTATCCAGCCGGTGCAAGGATACTGATGAACACTGCAACCTGCCGGTTAAGTTGGGTTGGTCCGTCATCTTCCAACATGCCTCGGGCCCCTGCCTGGGAAGTAATCAACAATCCTATAAACTTTCGGCTGACCCCAAGATGCATGTATCATTTTCCGCCATAAAGTAGATACTCAAGTTGGAATTTATAGAGCGAACCACCAATCAAATCGACTTACAATCATCATCACGCCGTGGAATCATGTCTGCAACGGACAGCATCGAAAAGAATGCTCAGTTACACAATACAAACGACGATGCAATACACAATGAACCTCAGCCCAGGGAAGCATCAGAAAAGGGATCTGGAGATACAAAGAGTCCCGAGAACCAAGTTTCTGTAGAAATAGAAGACACTGATGAGGAAACTTACGATTCCTTTCTTGATGGTTGGAGGCTCCAAGTTCTGAACATAGGGTTCGTCAAGCACCCTCTAGCCCATTTTCTTGCTGATAACATTGAGCAGCGTGCTTTTGTTTGTCTGCTTGTCATTTCTTGAGATGACGATTGTCGGCACATCGTTAGTCTCGATAACCAATTCCTTAAAAGGCTTTGATATCGCGAGCTGGGTAGTTTCGGCCTACTTAATCACTGACACTGGTAAGAGTTTCTTTCTCTAGAATCTGGATCATCTTCTAATAGTAATCTGCCAGGATTCTTGATGATCATTACAAAACTTAGCGACATTTTTGGACGGAGATCAACTATCATCGTTGTTCTTTGCTTTTTTAGTATCATATCAATTGGCTGTGGGTTCAGCCAGAATATGACGACCTTGTAAGCTGGTTGAAATTGAAGCCTTTTCTGGCTTGGCTAATCTTTACAACAGAATCGTACTCCGCGGGTTCCAGGGAATGGTAGGTGGTGGACTGTTCGGGATGGCATTCGTCGTTCTTCCCGAGATGGTTCCCGTAAGCAAATACCCTTTGTATTCTGCATTATTATCTTCTACCACCGCCCTCGCGAATTTGATGGGTCCACTCATCGGTGGTGCTGTCAACCATAATCCAAAGAATAAAGATGCTTGGAGGTGGATATTTTGGTTGAAGTAAGACCTTTTGTTACAATGATTTGTAGAATGATATTAACCAAATATATAAAGTGGACCAGCCGGCACCATCGCCTTGATTGCTACACTTATTGGAATGCCTTCTCGCTTTCCACACCAGAGGACGCCACTCCCGGATCGAAAGCAGAGCGTGCTAACAAGAAATAATTTTCGGAGGGTAGACGTTCTTGGCTTTTTCTTTCTATTGGGCGCATCAATCCTCGTCGTTACAGCCTTACAAGAAGGCGGCACCAGATATCCGTGGACGAGTCCGGTAACCTTGGTACTTCTTGTTGTGGGAATTGTTTTCTGGTTCTTCTTTGGTTTTTGGGAATGGTATCAGTCAAAGCGAAAGACGCCCCAAGAACCAGTAATGCCTTGGCGATTGGCAACAAATAGATATGTAGCGGGCCTGTTTTTGTAAGTTGAGTTCACGCATCACCGGCCCTTTACCGCAAGTATAGACACTAATATTCAATCGTTTTTGTCTGATAGGAATGCATTCTTTAGTGGCGGAACTTTTACAGTAACTATAGTAAATTTACCTCAGCGTTTTCAAATTGTCAATGGCAATTCGGCTTTAGAAGCAGGATATCGGCTTCTGACCCTGTCGCTCGTCGCATCAATGGGTAGTCTGACAACTGGCATTTTGATTCAAAGATGTCGCGTACCACCATTTTATGTGCTACTCGGAGCTGCACCTTTGCAGATGATTGGCCTTGTGCTAATGGGGTACTTGGGTCACGACTATGCTATAAACCCTGCTACCTATGGTTATCAAGCTATAGCAGGAATAGGATTCGGTGGAACTATCGCTACAGTCATCATGACAATTCCGCTGGCTGCCGGCAAGCAAGATGTTGGTACGTTCTACTTACTTTTGTTGCAAAGGTCTTTCCAAACCCTACTTCATTCTCTAGATGAAAGTACAAGCTGACAGGCGACGGAAGCGGTCGGTATGGGTGCCATTGGACAACTCCGTTCTCTCGGTGCCTCGATTGGTATTGCAATATGTACGAACATTCTCAATCGACACGTTTCTTCGTCACTTTCCACAATTATCTCACCCGAGCAGTTGCACGCACTTATACTCTCGACACAAACAATCGAGCAGTTCCCGCCTGAGACAAAGGCCTTGATTCGTCGTGCTTACTCGGAAGGATTTGATACCCAAATGCATGTCATGGCTGGGTTCTCAGCGGCTTCACTGTTGTGTGCGCTACTGTGCTGGGAAAGAACACCAAGACGACAAATTGCTTTGTAGACTTAGCACTTTGGTAAATTTGCCAAATTGATCATGAATGAATGGAAGGCAAAACATATCAACATGGTTCTCAACAGGAGGTAGTCTTCAACGCCAAAAAGAAAATATAATTAATACAACATCCTAGGTATGACGCTGTACACTTTCTTGAAGTGCAGCGAGTACGTGCATGTGTTCCTTTGAGATGGAACACTACTACCACCCACAAGCCACCTCATACCTCATCGGATTTTCCCAACTCTCCAAGCGTCAAAATCCAACTCAAACTCTAACTGCCCATCTCCATGCGACAACTGCCACCACCGTGACGAGAAGGTAAGGACCCAGGATTTTAACGAGAGAGAAAGCAACAGCTACCCTAAAGATATTGGCGGCATTGTCGCCTTTATTAACGTATGGAAAAGGCTCATTGCCTGCAGGTGGTTCCTTTCCCAGAAATCTACAAAGTGGCTCCCAGCCATCCCTGGGGTGGAACTCAAGAAGATTTTCTGGTTTAACTAAGGATCGGACATGGGCCACATGAGTGGGCATATACTTAGCTAAAGCCTTGCGGTCTCTCCAATCGTTGGGAGCCGTCCAGTCTGCTAGGCCAAGCTGCAAGGTCTCTTCAACATATGGCCATCCTTCCTTTTACTTGTCAATACTCACGATTCACGGTATAATTTCATGGGTGACTTACCGGGGAAAGCCACTTCATAAATGGCCACAGCCTCCAGCTGAGAATTGTGTAGAATGATGTCTCAACGGACTTCACCCATGACTCGGGATCGCGTTGGGTGAGTATGACCTTTGCATTTGGGAAAGCCTCGACAAGCTCTTTTGCGAAGTTTGCACATGGCATGTCGGTCACTGCCTATGAATAGATGTTAGATTCAGAATTCTCGTATTGAGGTTCGTGAGTTGGAATCGAACGGAAAAGAAGAAGTGTTAACGAACACTGTACTCTTGAAGAATCTTATCGAAGTCTGCCGGTCCGTAGGGTTCGCCTTTACCAAGGACCTTGTATCGTAGAGCTTCAGCCCAGCACTTGACGTGCCCAAGTTTTATATTCTGTGGCTGAACAGATTCGGTGAAATGATAACTTCGGTAACCTAATTTGTTCACGGCCGTATACATCGCTATTCAAAAGCTGTAAGACAAGATCTTGTCTGCTCGTTGCGTTGGAAGGACATACTCATGGTTGCTGTTCGAGACAACCCAAGACATAATACTTGCATCTCCACCGGTCGGGGCTTGATCGCCGGGATCTTGTCAACGGCTCTATCTGACGACATGATTGTATGAAGTTGCTGAATGATAGTGTCAAACTCCTATGAGCGATGTGAAATTGTGTGAGAGAGGCGTCGTGGAAGGATTCTGGAGACTGGGCAGTTGCCGAAAGGTACCAACAGAAAAGTTGGCTGCTATTGGCTTACATTACGATGAATCCAGACATGTTCCCGGATAAGTTCCAGTTTTACCAACCAATTCGTCTGTTACACAACATATTTACCCTTCAATTCACCTGTTACACAGCATATTTTTGAAAGCGAACCGCTTGGCTTTCACGGTAAATGCCGCAAGTGAAACACTTAACACTTTATCCTTCCAATGAGAACAATGCGGGCCTCTAGATCCCGAAAATGAGAGAATCGCACAATCGCAATTATTAAAACGCTTTTGTGAGGCGTAAATAGGGAGCAACAAATCATCCAACACTTTGATGTGGTAGAGCAGTGCAGCAGGCGTCAAGATCGGCATCCTATCTCTGCTATGTACTACATGAGAAGCCTGGATCCTACGGCTGGAGTTTGATAAAGAGCTGTTTTGCATGGTATGTTCACCTGGTGTTTCTACTTTGAGCTTGAAGATCGACATACATACATTGCGGCAAGCTGGTCAAGAGGATTTTAGCCGTGTTCTGCATTGTAACTTCACATGGGGTAACAAACCAGTCTGCGCGCATCAAGAATACCAAGAGCATTTCATGAGGGAAGTCGCAGAAGCATAGCCACCAATCATACTCAAAGAGGTACAGTTACCAAACTATCTTTCAAATGACAAACTAGACCTGGTAAGGAGTAACAACGGATTTCACGAGTCTTGACAAGGAACTTGGATTCTGACAGACAAGGCACGGTGTGTTGACCTGGCTGCAAAATACGGGAACCCCCTATAAATCCCTATGATAGTTCAAAAAGATAATAGGACAAAGTGAAGATAGTGCCGTAGTTCCCTTGGCTTTTGAACTGTAGCTATAAGCACTCCATACAGCCAGAAGAGTATATAGCTAATCCCCATGAGAGCTGGATCTCACCAACCGCAAGACTGTAATTACAGGTAATAACAACTCACGCGTCTGTTGCGTGTTTTTTCTGCTGGCATTCACCCTATCTTGTGTGATCAGATAGTGCGAGTCGTTTCCCGCTCACGAATGTTGGTATTCAAGATTTCGATTTTGTCATCGTGGAAATAAAAGGATGATGAGACGAGATGAATATCAACTTCCTATTGTGGGGTGGATGTCAAAGTGTGGTTGCAGTCTTTGCTCGGTGAAGGTTGTCATCGCAAAATAAATATATGGGGGTGGTCAGCCTTATGCCTGACGTGCAGGCTGCAGCATAACACTTACTTGATGCTGGTGACTGGCTTATAATGACAGTCCCACTTGCTGCAATTCAAGTCGTTTAATAGAGCCAGTAGGAGGATGCAGTACATAAGATCAACCTGGCCTGCGAAAGGGGGTGTTGGGCAAGCGCATGAGAGTTGCTCCCCATGCAACCACACCTCTCGTAACTCTAAGCTGGGGTCGAGTAAATAACTCGCAGATAGCGGTAGGAACCGAGTTTGATATGATCCTGCAGCACAAGTGCTTTCGCACACGTCCTTTCGCACACCGCTTGCAGAAATGCCTGGGAAAGGATCTCAAGCGATGGCTTCCAATCTCACCCTTCCATATTTGCTTACATCTCCTCCAGACTAACTAGTTGTCAACATTCCCACGTTTTCCCCCGGGACCCTCACACCAGGTTCGCAAGTAAGGCTTACAATTACATCGACAAATATTCATAGCTCTCTGCTCGCGCCAATTTACGATACGTTTCAATCGAATTATTCAACTTCCACAATGACGCTGTCGTATAACACCAATGTGATCATTATTGCCTGTGTATCTATTCCCATTGGGACACTTGCTGTTGTTATGAGGTTTCTTGCAAGGGCAAAAACCCATCAGAAGTATCAGGCAGAAGATTGGTTCTCTCTTGTGGCTCTTGTGGGGTTTCTAGTCTTTCAATCGCTAGTACTACACAGTATGCCTTATGAACACTGCTCAAGATGACTGTTGCTAATCTACACTCGCAGATATACACATGTTAGGCGAGAAGACCTTGTACCAAATTCATCCTGATACCCTCACTAGCTATCTCAAGGTAAAATCATCGCTTTACGTGGTATCAATACACTAACACGTTTAGTACCTCATCGCTGCTATGATTGCTTGCCCGATATCTTTTGCCGCCGCAAAGTTCAGCATCTTATTCCTCTACATGCGAGTGTTCGGAGTAAATCGACATTTCTCCCTCGGTGTCAAGATCGTAGGAGTATTGAACTTGCTCTGGATGCTTGCAAGTGTCCTCTCACTGATATTTCAGTGCACTCCTGTCCGCAGGGCATGGAATCCTATGCTACCCGGCACTTGCTTTAATCTTAGCACATTTACTGTGGCTGTTGAGGTGCCCAACTCTTTGCTGGACTTCGTTATGATGGCTCTTCCAATATCCATGCTCCGAAAGTTGAAAATGCGTCTCAGGGACAAGATCGTAATTGGCATAACTTTTCTTCTTGCTGGCGCGTAAGTAAAACTCCAGAGGCCATTCACGAAAGGTCAAGCTGATGATTTGAAGGGTTGGCATAATCGGGTTCGTTCGGATTGCAATAACCTATCATCCACATTGTAAGTTGTGTAAACCGATCTAAGGTACAAAGCTAACTTGTTGAAGATAACCCTAAAAATACTGCGCCCTGGATGGCAATTCAATTGTTGATGGGGGTTGTATGTTGCTGCCTACCAACTTACCGACCATTGTTTCATAATGTCAAATTCCTCGACTCCTTGAGGTCAGGCTTTACAAGCTTGGTAAGAGGGACCGACAGATCGAAGAACAGTTCAATCACCGGCGAAAACGATATTTCGTTGACAAGGGGATATTTCCGACAAGCAGACGGGGGATACAAACTCGATGATCACACTCCGGAGAGAAGCGTGTCAACTCATGTAGAGGGGACCGTCGGCAGAGATACTCGTTCGGGGGAGGAACATACAAACGACAAATCTCTCTATACGAAAGGTATCAGTGTTCAAAAAACAGTTGAGATTGTGTAACCGCTATAACAAAGCGTGCATGGAGAAACTTGTGGCACAATTAATTTCTCACACGAGCATTCTTTAACTCATCTGGAGGAGAGACTATCGATTCAAGGTGCTGGATCTATATGTTTTATCATTACTGTGCTAGAAAACTTTTATTTGCTCAATCAATATTTTATGAAGGAAAATATCACCTCCCTAAAAGCTATTGGTGATGTTAATGGGATTGTCTCAAGAGATATTTCAACGTTGGAAGCCTTGAAAGCATTTAATATTGGATTTGAATATTACTATGCAGTATCATCATAGCCTTTTTAGATGACTGATTGCCCTGTATGATCTGATTAAAGACATACTTCTGTATACATGGCTTTGTTGGGAGTCGATATATACTTACTAATAGGATTAAAATAGCAATCAGAAGTAGTATTACTAGCAGCTATTTTAGGGGGCCAAAATTCCTGCAAATAAGATCTCTTCGATAAGATCTGCATGTTGGCAGAAAAATGAAAAACGTAGAAACGCTTCCAGGGAAGCATCGAAATTTAAATGAAACTACCTCATCCTTGTAAGTAGTTACACCGGTTGAATATCTTTCAGTTTATCCTTTTCTCGTGTGCCAACTTCGGATGTTGAGAATGCAAACCCTTGATTTATGTAGCCACAATCACCGGCCACCTACCTCAGGCATTTGCGCTCCAAAAGAGGCGCATTTTCAGAATGAAACCCTGAGAATGCCGGTGTGTGTGGTGACCAACTTACTTGCGGCTGTGTATGGTTACCTTGACTCGTAACTCGTCTCTACTTGCCATTGGTGTTAGTCCAATGTCGATCTAGAGACAGGAATTACCTAGTAAAATACTGCCTGGTTGCCAAAACATTTTCCTTTCGCAAGAATTCAGTTTCGATCTTTTAACGTCACCAAAATAGATCCCAGTTTATCGTTCAAGACTATTTTCAATTTTAAAACGATCTTTTATTCTCGAAGTATTATATCTCAGAGCAATGAAGCAGCATACTGATTGCAAGAAGGCCCAAAACATGAATGGGAGCCTTTTTGGTAAGGTGGCAGATTCCGAAGCCGTCGCCGTCATTGGTTTATCACTTAGATTCCCCCAAGATGCCAGTTCACCGGCTGAATTTTGGGAAATGCTCATGAAAGGGAAAAGTGCAAGAACGGAAGTTCCAAAGGATAGATATTACATTGATGGAATCAAGCAAGCTGGCAAAGTAAGCTAAATCCAAAGTCCTGAGTGTTCTTAGAACAAAATTTGAACAGTTGAATTAGATCAATGTCACCCAAGGTCATTTTATGAAAGAGAATATTTCCACGTTTGATGCATCCTTCTTTTCATTTACAGAAGCGGAGGTAATCTCTATGGACCCTATGCAAAGGTGGCTCTTGGAAGTCACCTATGAGGCAATTGAAAACAGTAAATCATCCCTCTTGACAAACTACATAGCTATATACGATCTGATACAATTTTAGGTGGACTTAAAATGCAACAAATCAAAGAATCTTCAACTTCAGTTTTTATTGGGTCTTTCTTGGGAGAATATGAGAAGATTCTCGGCCGAGATCCCCAGCTGTCGAGCAAGTATAAGTCTTCGGGAGCGGCAACATCAATGCTGGCAAATCGTATCAGTTGGTTTTACGATCTCAGAGGGCCGTCACTAGCAGTAGATACTGCCTGCTCAAGGTAAGCCATAAGTAACAATACGAGGGTTTTCTCTACTTCCAGCCTTCTGATTTCTGCTATATCGATTTTGTTCGACGACTAACGATCTTACAGTAGCATGTACGCATTCCATCTTGCATGCCAAAGCATTCGCTCCGGAGAAACCGAAATGGTAAGTCTTTACTTATCAGCAGCCGTGCAAAAAGCTAATTGATTTCAGGGTATAGTGGGTGGAAGCAATGTAATGCTAAATCCAGGTACCACACAAGACCTAGCAGACCTTGGGTTCCTCTCCCCAGATGGTACTAGCTATGCTTTTGATGAGCGCGCAAATGGTTATGGCCGCGGTGAAGGAATAGGGGTTGTCATAGTGAAAGCTCTATCAAAGGCGATACGAGATGGTGATACTATCAGGGCAGTGGTCAGAGCGACAGGAGTGAATCAAGACGGACATACTCCAGGAATTACTCAGCCAAGCCAAAGTGCTCAAGAAGACATGATACGCGACACATACGCCTCCGCTTCTCTGGACATGGGCAAGACTGCATTCGTGGAAGCCCACGGAGTCGGTACAACACTAGGGGATCCCACGGAAGCTACTGCCATCGGGAACGTGTTCAGAGACTCACGTAAAAATGATGTTCCAATATTGATTGGAGCAGTAAAAACAAACATAGGTACGTTCTCCCCAAGTTATTTGGACGTCTTATACTAAATTTTTCTGAAATAGGTCATCTGGAAGGGGCAAGTGGCGTGGCAGGCTTAATAAAAACAATCCTCGCTCTCGAAAAGGGGGTTATACCACCAAACATTTGGTTTGAGAGGGTAAATCCCAGCATTGATGTTGACCATCTAAGAATTGAAGTGAGTTTAGTCGTAACGATACCGGAGGCAATTGCTAATGATGTTGGAGTTTCCAACTAAGCCAAAGTCCTGGCCAGTAGATGGAGTGCGAAGAGCCTCGGTTAATTCTTTCGGGTTCGGCGGCGCCAATGCCCACGCCGTACTTGACGACGCCTACCATTACTTGAAACATCACCAGATTGATGGAAATCACTCAACAGTAATATCACCATCGCCATGTAGTCGGCTTAACGGGTTTCATCAGAAGATTCCGAATGGCATTACCAATGGTGTTTCCCATAACCACCATGGCGACGACTCAGAAGAGGAACTCGAAAGGCAGTTATTTGTATTTTCCGCAGCGAGTGAAGCGAGCCTACAATGCTTGGTAGAAATTTACTTCAAGTCATTGCCACAACACGGAGACAATTCCTACTTGAGAAATCTAGCCTTCACCCTCTCCGAAAAGAGGACCTCCTTGCCATGGAAGTTATTCTCGTCGTCAAACTCGATAGATGATCTCAAAAAGACTCTGTCAAACAATGCCCTTGCCAAGGTCAAGTCATTAGAAGTACCAAAACTGTGCTTCATTTTCACAGGACAAGGGGCAGCTTGGTATGCTATGGGTCGCAAACTTCTGTCTCATCAAGTGTTCTTAAACAGTATACAGACCTCAGAGGCATTCCTACATGCCCTAGGCTGCCAATGGTCAATCACTGGTCAGTAAAACTTCTTTATACCGAATTTTTATCACGGAAAATAGCTAACCTTTGCCAGAGGAACTTTTGAAAGATGAAAAAAGCACTAGGCTCAATGAAGCCGTAGTCAGTCAGCCCGTGTGCACAGCTCTCCAGATTGCTATACTACAGTTGCTTGTAAGCTGGAAAATCAAACCGAAGTATGTCCTCGGCCATTCATCAGGCGAGATAGCCGCCGCATACGTAGCCGGAGGAATCTCACATGAATCCGCTTGTGCCATTGCCTATCATCGAGGTCAAGTGACATTACTGAAGCAGGGAGATAAACCTGAGTCAATGCTAGCCGTCGGCCTTTCAGGTCCCCGAGTCAAAATGTATTTCCAGTTGCCAGAACACCGCGACCGATACATTTATATCGCTTGTTACAATAGCCCGACAAGTACAACAATTTCAGGAGATAAAGCAGACCTTGAAGCTTTTCAAGTGTTCCTTGAAAAAGAAAATGTTTTTGCGAGAAGACTCCCAGTCAATATCGCATACCATTCGCCTCGGATGAATGAAATTTCAGCACAGTACAATAAACTAATCCACTCGATATCGCCTGGGACCCCATTATATCCTGATATAGCGATGATATCCTCCTTGAGAGGCTCTCAAATTTGTGCAACTGAAGCCTCCAACCCACAATACTGGGTGGATAACATGGTTTCGCCTGTTCGGTTTCTACAAGCCATGGAGAGTCTACCAAACTTTCAAGTGGTCAACGGGCACTCAAAAGAAGAGCACAATCTAAACTTCTTAGAAATTGGCCCTCACTGTACACTGAAAAGTGCCGTACATGACTTCTTGGTTTCTAAATCAAAAGAAAGTGGCGCAAAGTACACTTCCATACTCATGCGTCATAAGTGCGCATTGGATACTTCTCTCCGCGCTGCTGGAGAGGTTTATTGTTGGGGTCATAGTGTGGACATTAATATGGTTAACCGGAAAGAGGGCGCTCCACCACCTCGAATGTTGGTTAATTTGCCATCCTATCCTTTCGAACACGAAAAGGAGTATTGGTTCGAAAGCAGGATCGACAGGAACTCTCGATTCCAGTATCCAGCTCAGAAGCTTCTCGGTAAGAGAGTGGAAGACTGGAATCCCTTAGAGCCAAGATGGCGTAATATTATCAGAGCATCAGATTATCCTTGGATTAGGGATCACAATGTTTGTCTACCCATCTATTACCAACAGGGAGAATCTATCTAACTGTTTTAAAGGTAAACAATACTGACTTATTGCCCGCTGCTGGTATGCTTGTGATGGCACTTGAGGCTTCTCGACAACTTTCGGACAGCACCCGAAAAGCGAAAGGGTACGAATTTGCCGATGTTTCTTTCAAAAGACCATTAGTAATACTCCCAAACGACGAAGGAGTCGAGATACAAGTATACTTGAAACCCGGAGTTGAGAGAGCGGGCCTAACAAGAAGCTCGTTTCGTATCTGCGCTTACGAAGACCGAGCATGGTCAGAAATTTGTGATGGGCATATCAGTATCGAATTCATAAACGAGAGCAGCAGTTTTGATGAGGGACCCGCGTTAGAGTGCGTCACGCAATCCTATGAGAAAGAATGCACTGAGCGCAAAGCTAGATGCACCTTGTCATTATCTTCGAAGGAATTTTATGCCCGAATGGTGGCGTACGGTTACAATTTTGGACCTAAATTTCAGTCTCTAAAGGAATTGAAGCACAACGATGACAAGGAAGCAGTTGCTATTATAAACCTTCTAGACTGGCAACTCGAAGACTATCTCATACACCCCACAGTCTTGGACTCATTTCTTCAGCTATCTCTGTTAGCAAATACAAACGGCGGGGCTGAAAAACTACCCACGATGGTCCCGACAATTTGTCGCAAATTTTGGATTTCTGCAGACATAAATTCTAAACCTTCCACTTCGACAATGCACTTGTACGTCAAAGGCCAGTCACAAGGGTTTCGACAGGCACGATCAAACATCATTATTCTCCAAGGGGACCGAAAAAGTCTTGCTGCACATGGAGAATTCCAAGCGACGGTGACTACTGAATCATCCCCAACGAGCCCCAATGACTTGGAAAAGCATAAGAGATTTTGCTACAACATGGAATGGAAACCCGATCATAGATTCCTCAGTCAAGAAAAGCTCATATCGTACTGTACTGACAAAGTGATCAATAATGTCCAATGGCTCAGCACAATAGAAGACAGAAGCTTACTCGTCCACATGGGCTGGGAAAGAGTTGCTCGAGAGTACGCAAAGAACCCGGACATGTTACCACACTCAAAACCTCATCTCGAAAAATATCTGAAGCTAGGAGAACGACGGCTTGCAGCCTACCCCAAGAAGGAACTCCTTCAAAGCATGACTTTGACAGATGGAGAGTTTGAAGACCTGTGCGTCACTGTTGCGGGCCAGAATCCCGAGGGAATGGTCTTAGTCAACGTACTCATGAACCTATTCTCCGTTCTGACCGGCAAGCTTGACCCGCTTGAACTCATGTTCAAAGATGGGTTGATCAACAAATTATATGCTTATATGCATGAATCTGTCACTTTCCAAAGTCTTCTCGGTTATGTGGAATTGCTTGCCCACAAAACTCCGAATATGAAGATTCTTGAGTTGGGTGCAGGAACAGGAGGAGCCACACAGGGAGTCATTAACACACTTACGAGCACTGGGACTTGTCTTTTTTCCGAATACACCTTTACTGATATTGCACCAAGTTTTTTCCAGGCTGCTGAAGAGAAGTTCCGCACTCGTGGTAGTCGAATGGTATACAAGCAGTTGGATATTGAGAGGGATCCTCGGAACCAGGGGTTTGAGGCTGGAAGATACGACGTGATCGTGGCTTCAAATGTAAGTGCAAGATACCCGTGATGCTGCAAAAGCACAAACACTAATTGCAGTTCTTTTAAGGTGTTGCATGCAACAGCAAGTCTCAAAAACACTCTCAACAATGCACGTATTCTTCTCAAACCGTATGTTTAAAAGGATCAACAGCTAGAACTGAGCTAATTGTCGTATAGAGGAGGAAAACTTCTAATGTATGAATACACTGACATAAACGAACCGGTTTCGAGTTTCATATTCGGTTTACTGCCTGGATGGTGGCTTGGTGAGTCGCGTGATAAAATTACTAGGAAGTTGCTGATATTTTCTTTAGGCACCGAGGATGTGAGGAAATGGGGACCCACGGTACCAAGAATCGTTTGGGATGAGTATCTAAAGGATTCTGGATTTACTGGCATTGACGTTGCCTTTCCACTCCATGAAGATTTTGAGCCGTTCAGTGGGATGGTAGCAACAGCAGCAGCAACTCTTGACGGAACTACCCAGAACGATGCAAATATTGGAATTTTGATAAACTTTAGATCTATATCACAAAACGAAATTGCGAAGAAGCTTCAGGACCTCTTTAGGGAGTCGTCGGCGAGATGCGATATTGTTTCGCTGGAGAATGTCGGGGATAACGACTATAACTGCCACAATCTATGGATATCACTGCTAGAAGTTGGGGAGCACTTCTTGTACCAAATATCAGACCAACGCCTTGATACGCTACGAAAAGTAATTTCAAATGCCGAAACAATTGTTTGGATAGGATCCCAGGCTTCCAACGAATCCGGGCCACAGCTGCTGGAAAACATGGCAACTGGTTTCATCAGATGTATGAGGGCTGAGAATCCGCAGACGAAGTTCGTCAATATCATGATGGGGGACTGGCATTGTGCTACTCCGACACTCGAAGCGTTGTCCAGCATAACAATGGCAACGTTTGAAGCATCGCTAGACGAATACGAACCGGAGTTCTTGGAGAAAGATGGAGCGTTCAACATCAATCGTCTGGTCGAGAGTCAAATGAACCAAGTCATCTCAAACAAAACTACAGAGCAATCTGCCTATATCCAAACACTCGGACAAGAGCCGTCGCGACGATTGAAGCTGAGTGTCGCACGGCCAGGAATGCTGGATTCATTCCAATACATTGACGAAGTGACGAGCTTCGCAGTCCCACTGGGACCCGACGAGATTGAAGTTCAAGTCAAGGTAATGGGGCTTAATTTTCGGGATGTGTTGATCGCCTTGGGACAAGAGCCCGCTTCGCACTTCGGGTTCGAATGCTCGGGCGTTGTTCTCAATGTCGGATCAGATATCGCAAATGAAGTCAAACCGGGTGACAGAGTAGCTTGCATCAAAGCAGGTTGCTTCCAAACGGTTGTTCGATGCAAGTGGAACGCGGCACTGAAGATCCCGGATTCCATGTCTTTCGAGACAGCAGCTGCATTTCCGATTACATACAATTCTGCATATCACGCCATATACAGACTTGCATCCATGAAACCCAAAGAAAGTATTCTTGTACATTCAGGTTCCGGCGGCCTTGGACAAGCTTGTATACAATTAGCGAAGCTTCTCGACGCCACTATATACGCTACCGTGAGCTCGGAGGCAAAGAAGCAATTCCTAATTGACAAGTACGACATCTCCCCGCAACGAATCTTCTCCAGCAGGAACTTGTCCTTTGCCGATGGGATTATGGCTCTTACAGGTGGCCGTGGGGTGGATGTGATTATCAACTCCCTCTCAGGTGCGGCTCTTCAACGTACCTGGGAATGTATTGCACCATTCGGTCGGTTCATCGAAATGGGAAAAAGAGATATCCACAACTTTGGGACTCTTCCGATGTTCCCTTTCTCTCAGGGCGCTACATTTTCGAGCTTCGACCTCTTTCAAATGTGGCATTTTCCAGAAACTGCGAAAAGTGTCTTTGAAACCACCATGAAGCTTCTTGTAGATGGTCTTGTGACGATCCCAACACCTTTACATGAATATCAGGGCACTGAGATAGTAGAGGCGTTTAGATATCTAGAGAGTGGTAATAGCTGTGGAAAGATCGTTATCCACATTAATCCAGATGACAAGGTTATGGTACATACCCTCCAGCCCCAACCGCCAACCGTTCGATACTGACATGAATATAGGTTGCACCCAGTAGCCAATGGAAATGCAAATTTGATCCAGCTGCTACGTATTTGATCGCTGGAGGTCTTGGAGGAATCGGAAGAAGTATAGCTCAGTGGATGGTAGATAACGGTGCAAAGAATTTGATACTTCTCTCTCGAAGTAAAAATCACAGTGAAGCTGCCAGGAGTATGCTGGAAGGATTCCGAAATAAGGGTATCCAGGTCTATACACCGCCGTGCGATATCAGCTTCGAGACTTCATTGAGGAATGCTCTTCAGGCTTGTGGTAGCATACCGCCAATAAAGGGATGTATTCAAGCATCGATGGTGTTAAGGGTGAGTGATTCATTGCCTTAAATTGAAATAAAGACCCAGCTAACCTCGCAAAAGGATACTCTATTCGAATCGATGACAGCAGAAGATATGGCAGAAGCCACCAAGCCGAAAGTTGACGGCTCTTGGAATCTCCATAAACTCCTCCCTACCGGTCTCGACTTTTTCGTGCTTCTATCTTCAGCTGCTGGGATAGTCGGCACGCTATTCCAATCAAACTACGCCGCAGGAAACACGTTCCAGGATGCGCTAGCAGCTCACCGCGTCAACAGCGGAGAGAAAGCTCTTTCTCTCGACCTCGGGATCATTTCCGATGTAGGTCATGTTGCTGAAGAGGACTTGACCGATGCCCTTGGTATTGAATATTATGGCGGGGTAACGAAAAAGGATATACTTGCGATGCTAGACCTGGCGTGCGACAATACTCAGTCATTGCAAGCTGCTCAAGAGATCATAGGGGTTGATGCTCTTCGTGCAAACAAGTTCCGTGGGAGTGAAGGCACAATTCTACTACGGCGTCCCTTGTTTAGACATCTATTCCAGATGTCCGAGCAGGAAACCAGAGACCAACAACATGATCAGGAAATCAACAACTATCGAGATACGATCATGGCGGCACAATCAATGAAGGAGGTTCGCGAGATTATCTTGAGCGCGTTGCTGGATAAACTTTCGAAAACGTTAGCTGTCGACAAGAAGGGCCTTGATATAGTAAAGCCAATGCATTCATACGGCCTGGACTCTCTCTCGGCCGTCGAGATGAGGGCTTGGTTCGGTAATGCCATCGCTGCTGACGTCGCGGTTTTCCACATATTGGGCAATAGTAGTATCGAGCAAATGGTGACGAGTATTGCACCGAAGAGTAAGTTCTTGTCGGAGAAAGTAAAAGGGGAAGTCAGCTTTTAAGTAGACGTATCTTTGCGGTTAAAATAAGCTACAAACCCTGTTATCTGAATGAACCTGATCTTCGATTCATTAGTATTAAGGAGAATGTAAAAGCATAGGAATGGATTTATGTACCTGCTTTGTATTCCGGTGTGACCAGTCGACTAATTGCTAACCAAAGAAAACACCAACACCACGAGGAAGTCAGTAAAGTAAATCCAAGAAACCAATATATGTTCATCTCCCAATATCTACCTGTCACCCAATCATCTATTCCAACCAGTATACATTACTTCAACCCCATTAACCATACCCATATATACACCTCTCCTTCCGTGCCCTGCTCCCCAAATCACCTAGATATACAATTTCCCTCTTTTGCTTTCCACCTACTTTCTATTTCCCTCCCCACAATCCAAATACACCTCCCTTCTCCCCTCCCCCATCCACCCCCTATCTCGACTTCCCCATCTACACAATCCTATAAGCAATCTTCGCGATAAAAAAGCACGAGATGCCAAACACCAACAACCCCGCCGTAAGACACCAAAACCACGTGAGATCACCCTCGTATTCCTGTCCAGGAACCCACACATTCATACCCCACAATCCCGTGATGATATTCATAGGGAGCACGATCGTGCCCAGCACCGTGAGTTTGCCGAGGACGTCGGCGGTTTGCTCTTGCCGCTCGTTCATGCGGATGTTGATTTGGGCTAGGTAGTTGCCGTGGGAGCGTGCTAGGATTCTAGATTACAGTGGTTAGAACAGATGAACTGGGATGGGATGGGAAAGGGGGACGAACTTTTCATAGTGACTCAAATTCCCAGTCATAGTAACGATGTGATCTTGAATATCACCCAAATAAAGACCAATCTCAGATCTCGGCGCGATTTCCCAGTGTTCGTTACAGCGCTTTGCGAAGCCTTTGATGACATCTGCCTTATTACCTAGTAATCGATATAGACCCATGACTTTCTTTCTGCAATCGCCTACACGACGTAACATGTCACCGCCGCTCTCGCCAGAAGTGCCATCGCCGTAGACAGATCCTTTTTCGTTGTCTTTTGAGGGCTTGGCTTCCGAGCCTGGAGAGTGCAGTTTCAGAATCGCATCGTCGATATCGTCGACTTCGTCTTCGATGTTTTGGATGAGGGGCGCGAAGACATCGGTGATATCATCGATGATGGCGTAACTGATCCAGTCAGAGGAAAGGATAAGGAAATCCTTGAGCTGACGGACTCTTCGTCGAACATTTGCCGGATGTGGCGTCATGGAGAAATGGAAGCTGATCACACCCTCTCTGAAGACGACCACATACATATTTACCGGCTCCAAAAAGTCTTCATTATTCATATCCTGTTCGAACGATCGATAGTTGACAAAGTAGTAGTTTCGGAAGAGCTCAACTTTCTCACGTGCTTCCTGCATCATGATATCTTCTGCTGTGAGAGGATGGATGCCGAAAGTTTTCGAAATAACCTTCATCTCAGCATCTGTTGGCGAAAGTACATCCAACCACCATGTTGGTCGATCACCATATCGTTTTGTCTTTTCTCCTTTAGGCTTTGGTGGCTCAGGCGATTTGATACCCCCATTTGGTGTGGCCTCTCCTGAAGCATCTTTCGAGCCGTTGACAGACTCACTACGCCTGTGATGATCCGGCTTTTGCTCAAAAAGAGAACTTTGTCTCGTGGGTACTCGAGACTCTCCATCAAATCCTTGTACATGTCGTAATTGAGAGTCTGTTCTTGGCTGTAGTCCTTCATCCTCTGACTCGGAATCAGAAGAATCCTCCAGTTCCGGCGGATCTGGAATGAAAAGTTCTCGGAAAGTGCCTCCAGGTTGCACGAGCTCAGAAATAGTCTGACTGTGAATCGTGCTTGGAAATTCCTCATTAAAGTAGGTAAATCGATAAGGCGCATCATCTTCCGCTCGATGCCAACCTTTATGTATCGGTCTCAACCGGCCTCCAATCAGTTGTGGCTCCGTAATCTTCTTTGCTCTTCGCTCATCACTTCTTCCTTCCTTTTCGAACCTACTCCAATCATCAAGCATAGCTAGATCAGGCCATCTGGACCGTCTCCTTCTAGACTCCCGTCTATAAGCTACTTCGCCTCTATGTGGCGTCTCATCGTCTGCTACTTCAGACATGTCCTCAATTGGGAAGCATACATCTTCCTCAGCTTGCAGGGCAATGGTATGTCTTCGTTCCAAGCCGCCTTCTCGTCGCGGCGAAATGCTCCTTCTTGACATCTGGTCATCGTCTGGAACCGCACTCTCACTAACATTATCTCTGATACCTGAGAATTCATCTCGAGCCATCAAATCGCCAAAATTCATATCCCGGTTTGAAGCACTCAGGGTCGGGCTGCCAGGCACCGAAGGGGGATAATTCACATTATACGCCTCATTTCGGCTTGGAAACGTAGGACTTGGTTTGTCGTAAATATTGCGTCTACTCTTTGAAGAAGACTTGCTTGATGGTCTTCGCCGTCGTCCGGAGCTTGCAGTTGGCCTCGAGGCCCCTTCTCCACCAAAAGTATATGTAGCATTGGAACTTTTGGCTTTGGTGGAGGAGGAGATAAGAGGTGTTCGCTCATTGCCAGGACCTTCATCCGAATCGCTATCTTTGTTTGCAGTTTTAGGTCTTCGATTGACATTCTCGGATGACTTGTGGAAAGGGTTTTGGTAGGATGGTCGATGGGAGGATGGAGGATCGTATATAGGCACACCGAAGGCACTCGAGCCCATAACAGATTGGCGGCGAGGTCGAAGGCTTTGTTGCGCACTGAAACTCACATTAGCACGATACTTCTGTTTACTAGACAATGTATCTTACCGATGGTCTAATAGCGCCTCACTCTCAAGACTCGTATTGCTATTTGGGGCATTTTGAAGTCTGTAAAAGCTAGCTCTCGCAGCATTCTGCTCGTCCTCATCGCCTCTACGTCCTCGAGAAGAATCTTGCAACCCAGAGCCCCCGTCATTCGGAAGCGCAAAAGACTGCTTCCGCGTCCTCTTCTTCTTTCCTCCTCTATGATTTCTCTTCTTCTTTGAAGCGTTATGTGTCATGCTCGGCCCTTCGGGTAGAATTGGGTTGTCTGAAGGCTGAATTGCTGTTGGGGCCGGACGCGGGGCATCTTCAGACTGGTCTGAGGATGTAGGAGCTGTCGCAGTGACTCGAGGCGGTGCTGACATCGTGATAGCTTTGTGATTCGCTGTACTCGTGAATGTGATGATTGGGGATTGTTGGGGGTCGAAGTAGGTGTCCAATTACCACCTTGCGATACCACAGGAAGATGCTGCGGATGAGAGAAGTCGATGCCGGTCAAAACATGCACTTTTGCATCAAAGAAGTTGTATGCGCTAATCAGGGCGGCCTCTGAACTAAGACGAAGATTTCGAGATTATGACTAACAACCTGTCTTAGCCGATTAAACGGTATGGCAATAGCTGATTATATCAAATGCGATACGAGCAAAACATATAATACAATAATTGTTGCAGAATGGAAGTCGGCACGGTCAATCGAGAGCATAAACAGGAAGCTCTTCTTGCGATATGAGAATCGTCATTGGCCAGGGGGCATATTTTCGCCGGGCCCCACTTAGATTGCTGGCTTCATCGACTTCGAGATATGGTCGCGTGACCATCTTCTATCTTTCATTGCTCCTTCACGAATGGGTTTCAGGACATCTAGAAGATGTCCACGGTTAGATCATGAGAGTCCCTCAAACATCCGGTACTAATTCGTTAGAAAATAACCTTTTATAGGCGTTATATCCGACCATTCATCTTACGAGCAAATGAATTAACAGCAGATGAAGAGACTCGTAAGAGTGTTATATCTCATTGGGATATAGGCAACTTATGTAGAGGATGACCTAGAACTAATCGCTTCTTTCAGAGCGAAAAACAACGCCATTTTAATCCCTGACGTATGTAGCAAAGTAACCGGAACTAATCAATCCTAATAGAATGAAAAGTAACGTACTCCCCCCAAACGCCAATCTCAGATGCAAATCTGTAAACCCTCCCTCAACGCTATGCAAATCCCAAACCTCAGAATCAAAATGAAAACCCCCCTCACTTCTCCGCTGCCCTCCCCAACAGCTCTCGTCCCCTCCTCGCAATATCAGCATTCTCCAACGTATCCCGTCCCCCCTCATCCCCCCTAACCGCACAATCAATCAACGTAGCAGCAACCTCATCCACCCTAACATTAAAACTCCCCACAATACAGTCCGGCAACATCTTCCCCTCCTTCGGTCTAATGCCTCCAGGTCTTAAGATAAACGTCTCGAAAGCGTCTGCCTCCTTCGCATACTCGATCAACTTGGTCTCGGCTTCGCCGCCGATCTTGCGCATGTCGGACATGATCCAGAGGTTCTTGTCTTGGTCGCGCTCCGTGATGATGCCGGAGGTGTAGGCGAGGCGGAATTTGGCTGTGGGGGATGAGAGGGGGAGAGTGCGGAAGGCGTTGCAGGCGGAGAGGGCGTAGTTGAGGTTTACGCGACGGGTTTTGTCGCCGCCGGTGGATTTGGCTCCTAGGGCCCTGTGAGGATGTTAGCTCTCGATCTTGAAGCATGACTTGATTTTATGGATGTGTGGACGTGATATGTGTGACTCCAATATGTAGTACAAGGCACAAGTGAGACCTACCAACAACAACCCTCAGCACCCTTAAGCTGCTCAATAACCTCAGGTGTATAACCCTTCTCAAAATCCTCAAGCACTACCACTTTGACTTTAGGATGGTTGAACGGCGGTTCCGAAAGCGGTCTTCTCGAAAGTGCAATGACTGAGGTGATGGATTTATGAGCGATAGCTTGAGCGACGACTTCACTTCCTACGAAGCCTGTGGCTCCTGCGACTATGAGCTTCATCTTGGATGGGTTGATCGTGTTTGAAGATCGGTTGCGATTTTCGATATTGTAGATATTTAGATATTGCGGGGTCGAATTTGAATGTTGGACTCTTTGTTTGGATTTGAGCAAGTTAGGAAGTCACCTGGGCAAGCGTGTTGGTTGTTGATTCGGCAACCGAGGCAGGTGAATTGAAGGTTGGTGATGATGGTGAATATTAATCCATCAAACCTTCCTTCATCTTGATATATAGACGAGAGATTCATCGTCGTCATTTCGATGTTGGCAAGCTTAGGTCGAAGTGTCAGAGCATGCGGACGTAAGGGTGGATTGCGATTCAACCGGATGTTGGTATGTTTGTTTTTAGCCTTGGCAGGATGGTGCATCAATTAAGCCGACCACGTGATGAATGGGATTGTCATAGGAAATTTGTAGATAACTATCTGCATAGTAGCATCTGCAATTTTTACTAGACTGAGTATTAGAGATACTGTTCGTACGTGCAAAGTGTTTCGGCGAGAATTGATTCGTTCACTATGATGTACTTGAATCGGAAACTCGAAAGACTCACTAAAGGCCAGAGCCCAACTCCCTCATCCTGGAGGCTAATGTAATTGGACGTTGATTTTTTCTAGTTTTCATTCTATTTACAAGCTCGCTATCCATCGAGTATTTCCTACAAGCTCAGGTGGAGCAAGAGAATTCCTATCCACCACGCCCGGGAATCGATCCTAAAGGGCACGGCCAACAAAAGTTGTTCGGTTTATGTGACATTCAAATGAGTTCCCCCAATGCGCCTTAAAATATAAATGCTTATGTTCTCTTCGCATAGCGCCTTCCTCATACCTTCTTGACGATGTCTGTGACTATCATTATATTTCCACGGAATACACTCGTTCCATCTGAACCGCCTCCAAATCAGGTCTGCTTGAACCAATAGTCTCTATGCTCCTTCACACAAGTTGTATCGAACAAGACTTTGCACCTTGTGCTTTCCCGGATGTTTTCTGTCCCACCCATCACATGCTCAAATTTGTCCTCGTCGGCAGCAACACCTTTGCCATCTGATTCTGCGACCAGACTGGTATATCCCAACTCCTTCGGTGGTTGATAGTGATGCATGACTTCCGGGTTGACAACTAAACATTTGAGGTCCTTGGTTTGGCATCCTTGAAGCATCCGAATGTCGAAGGCTTCGTTTCCTCCTTTTCCGGCCCAGTCCAGAACTTTCTCTGCTCCTTTGAGCGTCAAAGCGTAACCAAAAGAACAGACGGGGTTGACTCCGATCTGGATTGCCCGTTTACCGGCGTCGATGTTATACATATACTTGTTTGCCCATCCGGTATAGGTATTTCGAGGTGGTACGGTGGCATCTGAGAACTCGATCCGAGGGGTATCAACAGATGTATGTTCCCCGCAATGACCAATCCACAGAACATCCCATGCTTGGCCATATGGACTCTTGTCTGTGTTGTTTATATCTGTAAGCTTTCGCAAATTATCAGAAATCAACTGCATCTGAGTCTTGATGTTGACGTCCCAGTCGACATCATCCTCCACAATCAAAACCGTCTCCATGTTATTGGTAACTGCATGTTTGATAAGATCGAGGTGTGCAAGCCATGCATAGGCGGATCCGGACGAGGGTTGCTTTCCAGTCTTTGACGGAATGTTTTTAAATGCCTCCACTAATTCAGGTGCAATAAAAGGTTGTTTTGGAATTTGGATATCTAATCCACTGTATTCCGCGGATGCTAAAAGTCCGCGGGATCTCCAGCTTGGCTTCACAGAAAGAGCCAGTATGCTTGAGAACTAGCTATGGTCAGCGGGATCTTCTCAGAATTATCGAATCACTTACCCCAAGCGTGGAGTTCCCGGCATCTATCCTCGGTTTCGACAAGTCTTTAGAGATGGTGTCGCATGCCGAGCCGAGTGGAAGGTTGAAACTGTCAAAAATGAATGTGTAGGCCAAGCAGGATAGAAGAAAAGCAGCCACCAAGACATTAAGCCTGCTGTGTAGCTTTCTTGCACTTCCTCTGCCATACAAGGTAACTATCCTGGGTTGGGATACTGATTTAAGCATATTTGCTTCATCAGAGGTAATGAACTTGCTGAGAACTGAAATAAAAACGTGGTTGACATAGGAAATTCAAAGTGACAGAAATGAAGTGAAATTTTGCGTAAGACGGAGAGCTGTATTCGAGTAGATTGCAATCTTTATCAAAGAATCCATCCGAGGGGATCGTCGAGTAGACGCTAAGGCTCCCACCGATTAGGTTATCCCTACTGGACTCCGCAATAAGACCCAACCCGGTCATGTTCGAAGGAGTTTCGTGCCTTTTGCGGTCCCTTGAGCGGCTTGTGCGAGGGGTTTTGCACCCAAACGAGTCGAATAATTGCACCGAAGAGTGGAGGGGTGATTGAGATCTGCGAGTTAGCCGTATACCTGAAACGTACGTAGGGACTAGGAGTGGCCTTACTATTGGTCAGAGCGTGTGAGCGCCCACTGAGCGCGCGAGAAGCGTGTGGCGCGAAGAATCCTCCCAAAATGTCAGCGCCACGCTCCCGCTGCTGCACTCCACTGTTGGTGTTGCAGCTCATCTCGCTGTCGCCCAATAATCACCCAATTTAGAAAGTATCATCAGCCTCACACAGCCAAAAAGAGAGGAGATGAGAAATGCAACAACGGCAAGATCGCCAGATGTTCGAGACAATGTAACCTACGTCATTGAAGCCAAGGGCTCGACGCAGATCATTGTGAGCGTCCTGCCGTTCAACTCCCGAGGACGTTTGAAGGGCTGATCAGACTGATCTTCTCCATTCGCGGCTGCGAAGAAAGGGGCATGTGAAGTCGGCATAAGCGCGCGCCGACCATATTCATGCTTCCAAAGGTCCATCTATATTCGCGACATCCGGGTCGTATTTCGAGGATCGTGTTTCGAGAAGATGTGCGATTGATTGCGTGGCGTGTTGGTGTTGTTGGTTTGGGCGAGATGCAATTGCCCAGTGTGTTCATATGATCACATGACTTTGGTTGGGTGACGATCGCGTGACTCCCAAGTCAATTTCTTCTCCATATGTAGGAACTCACTTTACCGCTACATCATTTATTTAGTCTTTTCTCGAATACCGTCGGCTTGTACTTTATCTTGTTCAACATAGGCCACCTCCACATATCAACTTCCTAGCAAAAAACTGAAGGACGATTTCCACTTATGTTAGGACGACGGATTGTTTTCTATTCCAGAACAGCAGCTCTTCCGTCTCTATACCACTGAAAGGATATATCACTTCCGGCAGGTACCTGTCAGCTATCTGCCTCCTTAGAACTCAAACTACTAGATGAACACCAAAAATGCAGGAGGATACATTGATGGACACCTTCCATGGGTATTTACTCCCCTTGACTTCAGAGGTAACGTACACGATATAAAATGACAATTTGAACTCCAGTTCTTTCATAAAACTGACGTAGGCTCAGAGTGAACTTTCGCAATCATTTTCTCACTCTCATCAACCCCCTCTTTCCATCTTCCATACTGCGTGTCATACCACTTCAAAACACCGGTCGTCCCATCTTCAGAAATACACTCCGCAAGTCCTACACCGTCTCTAATAGCCGCATTCGCACCATTTCCGCCTATGATCGGCTCAGCATGAACTGCGTCTTCCATAAAAAACACCCCTTCCCTTCCCAGCTCTTGCAGTTCAGACAAGCTGACCAGAATCGTTCGCATTAGCCAGTGTAGCACACGCTCCGACCTCAATTTATTCGCGTTGAATATTTCCTTGAATGGTTGTGAAAGATCTTCTAGCGCACCAATTTCTTGATAGAACTCCGCTGGTATGGCGGTGGCGCTAGAGAGAGGTCGATTTGGTTTGTGGAGAGCATCGGATGCGCCTCGAGATGGTCTGGAATAAACCCAGGACACGCTGAATTGCTCTGGGGTTTGCTCGTTGACGGAAATATTGAGTATGCTGTCCTTTTGCTTCACCTCAATCACGTTCGAGTCCTTCATTACCGGGGCATAGACTTCGTGGAATAAGGCGCGCGCAACTCGTCGCTTCCTATTGAAGGCGACCAAAGGAAGGATGTTGAACTCAGCCGTGGGTAGAGTTTATTTCCTGGTGTTGGAATGAATGCCATCCAGGCCAATAACGCAGTCGCTCTGTACTTTCTGCCCATTCTGCCCATTCTGGAAGTATAGTACCACATGGCTATCTATTGTCTCGACCCGCTCCAGGGTATGCTCCCACCGCACATCGAGGCCCTCACGAAGCAGTTCCTCCAGCTTTCCTCGATGAGCGCGGAAGGAATTTGAGCTTGAAGCGCTCTGCTGAACCAGTAGCTTTGCGTTGATAGCACCATTTCCACCCATTGTGCCATCAACTGCGACGCGACGCTTGAAGGCCGACTCGTCTATTTCCGGGACATCGAGAAGAGGTTGATATGAAGATTGAAGAAGAGTAATTGCATAACTGTGTCGCGTACCTGATGGCATGTTTTCATACAGAACGATGGGTATGTTGCGCTTCAGCAGACAACGGGCGAGGGTTAGACCACCGATGCCCGCGCCGATGATACTGATTGATTGCGGCGGCGCCATAATTGACAGTTTTGGGAGTCCCAATACGTGCAGTTTTGTTGTTTGGTGGTGTTGCGGCCTTCACCTTGGACGAGGCTTCCTCTTCTAATGACAAACAGACTGACGATAGGCTCCCTTTGGACGACAAATTGGTATGTTCCATATGATTTGGTTTTGGAGCACGTCGTGTTTCTCTCTGTGATCGATCAGCCAAAGCTATGTCGTCGTCGACAGTTCGAGCTTTCCCGCCACTGCATGTTGGGTGCGGCGGGCCGTCCCGTACGGTGCTCCGCATGGATCGTAGGTTACTACGTAGGTACCCTAGGTGGGCATACTACATAGGTAAGTTACATCACGGAACAAGAAGTAACGGTATTTTCTGGTTATTATAGATTTGGTTGGATAATTAACTTTGAGGCAGTAGCATTTCTAGACATACTTCCTACCTAGCAACAGTAACTTCCCGCGATGGTTCGTATGACCTTAGTATAATTTATTGGTTTCCGACGTAACTATGTAAAGACGTTGTGGTCGTAGTTTTGACATTTGTTAAAAAGACCACCGATCATCACTTACCCTATTTCTATTCTTCATCGGAAATATGCCTATAACACTCTGTTATTATAGTATCAGCTCATTATCTCCCATGTTGCAACTCTTTTGCTAACGCTTTAATCACTCTGTAAGCACGTCCACATTTCGGCAGCTGATAAATCCCCTCTGCTTCCTTCTGCAACCGCGCCCGGCCAGCTTCTGTCTTCGTCTCGATGAGCACTTCTCGCAAGCATTCTGTGCTCGCAACAGATTTGTCACGGAACACGATCTATTCCTCCAGTTCGTTGCCAACGGAGACATCAGCGGCTTGTCTTGCTCTGAGCTCAATCTCTTCCTCGTCCATAAGACGAACCATAGATACTGTAACGGCCAACATGTACCCTAACTTTGCGATGGCGAATGACTCTTTTCGGACGAAAGTTTTCATAAAATCTGGGTCGTAGACGTGGTTGGGACCAATCCACTCCTTCAAAAGTGCTGGGAGTTGGCTTTTTTTGTCGAAAGGACCTTGCAGTTGATCATCTACCTGCCATCCTGGCTTGAGTTCATCGTCGTCAATACCAAACGTAAATCGAGGAGGAAGCCTAGGCTTGAGTACACCGTATCCTTCCTCTTTGACGCGGTTCTCTTCCAAGATCGTGCGGTGCTTCTTGCCAATTTTGTACATCTTCTTGCAGGTCAGTCCCAAGCAGTGAGACGCGTCGAGATCGCCAGCTTCGAAGATGTGCAGGAGAATTTCGGGTATGATGCCGGTTATGATGTCTTCTGTGGGTGGAGAGATCGTGGTAGCTGGCGCAATCTGTCAGTTGTTTACGTATCGGTATGCGGATATGGGTTACCTGTGCAGTTTGCGTCCACAACATGTTGATCAGCAAGAGCCATTTCAGGTTGACTTTCATTTTGTGTATGTCCAGCGGTGACTTCCATCTTATCAAAGTTATCGGTGCGGATGCGAAGGTCTTGGAAGAATTTTATCTATGATTTGAATTTTTGTTTGGGGAGGCGTTGACGTTATTTCAAGAGGCTCGTCCGCTTCTCCTGAGCGGTGAATGTTCATTGAATATCGAGTGACCCTTCAAATATTACTACTTCTAATGTGGCACCGCACTACTGTGGTTTTCTGTGACCTTACTAAATTTGAGCATATGACGGTTAAATGCATATTCAGCTAGTATTAGGTCGAAAGGTAGATTTCAAGAAAGGAACTTCTGTTTGTAACTCGCACGACAGAATACCAACTGAATTACCACAGACTATATGCCAAACACATCATTTGCTTCCCAGGGCCTCTGACATGCAACATATATTCCGTCTTCCACAACCCAGCACCACTCACAATCCCATGGTCAGCCTCCAAAACAACTTCTGCACCTCTTACACTGCCTTGACAAAACCCTCCTCCTCCCACCCCAACAAACCCAATCCCAAATCCACGCCCCCCACCCCATTCCCCCCTTCCTCCTCACCATTCGATTCCTCACCCACACCCCTCTCCGCGTATCGAACCTCCACCACTTCCCAAACCACTCCCCCAAATACATCTTTAGCGAAAACACTGCAATCCGTTTACAACGCGGACATTGATCCTCAAGCTCCTCCGTGGGATGCAGCACCCAGAACACTGGTTGTTGCATGTAAGCTGGGACGCGCTGATGGTGCTTGGGCGTGGGGTTGTAGATGGCGTAGAATTGTTTGCAGGTTAGCGAGAGGAGGGTTGACCAGAGGGGGTTGAGGTATTGGAGGATGTGGAGGTGGATTTCGGTGGGGAGGGTTTGGAGGGTTGGTTTGAGGGGTTTGTTGGGTTTGTTTGTAGTTAAGAAGAACATTGGATTGGTATTTTAAAGAGGTTTAGATGGAGGGTTCCAGGTGTTGTTAGTCGTTGATGGACAAACTGAGGAGGCGCGTATCACCTATGAAAATCTTTTGGAACAAAATCTGTGTGGGTTTTGTCAAATTACAGACTTCGAACGACAGATTAATCTGCGGGCCGAGTATTGAGGGAAAAAGATAGCTGAGGCGAAGTGTATTTGCGAAAGGTATAGATGTATCATGACACCCTCAATGCTGGCAAGGCAGCCCAGGGTACCTGAAAGGAAATAGTGTATGGGACAGCGGGTGTCAAACTTGGATTGCGAGACAATCGGGCCGAACTTTCGTTGTAAAGTATGGGTTGAGTGGTGAATAGTGTATACCTGAGATAGTGGAAATCGGTAGTTTTATTACTATTGCTTCCTCACCGCATACGTCAGAAAAGCCTGCGCAGTAATGAAATCGAAGACCATTCTGTGAAGGCAAAAACTAGGCTTTCATCACAATAAGATTCAAATCGGTATTGTTATCATTCTTCTTTCATGTTGAGTGGCCGCTGAAGGAAATGGAAATTGACAAGCAAGAGGATCTGGTCAATTGAAATTTGTGATGATCTTGTTTTAACAATCTTTGGTAGGCGATTCATAGTTGTATACTAACATGCTTTTGTCATAGCGAAGACAGTATCCAACGGTATTCCTGCTGTCCCTTTAGACGAAAGATAAAAATTATCGAAGAGATAATTGTTACTGAAATTGTGAAATGGTGATTGAAGCCACTTTTTGGATTTCGTATGACGACCCAAATGACAATGTTCATCTCCTGATATGTTTGGTTTGAATCCACAGACATTCCCACCGGGTTAATGAGTTTTAGGTTAGCTTATTAGTAGTAGTAGCTGTAGCTTTCCTACCTGCCATGTATTAGATCAGAAACCAAAACGCCGTGCCTTAGAGATTATCACTTGGATCAGCTACCTAATAACGAGAATGAAGCTTATTAAAATGGTCCCATCTTCTTTCACACATAACATCTTATTGACAGAGGAGCTCGGTCATGTGATGTCTACGTTCCTAATAGGTCTAGACGTAACCCACTTTCGTGACTCATCCAGCTCCGCCTCCTCGCCGATGTTGAACTTGAATCCAAACTGAAACGTATAACCAGCCCAATTATGATCTCCTCGCAACCCCAGCATCTGCTTACCAGTAGTCGAACTATTGACTATGTCCATTTGCGATGTTTGTTTAAACCTTGACTGGAACCTCTATAGCACCAGATTACTTGTCCGTCCTCCGCTGAGCGAGTCGGACAATGAATCAATCCAGTCACAAGATGATGACCCGTTGTTTAGAGATGAAATGATCGAAGATAACGACGGGATGGAAACATTGGACGACGAGACAAATCAAATTGAAGAGGACCTAAATCCACCAGAAGATGACATGTACCAAGCGCAGGACGACATGAGTCTGTCCACAAATGAGACGAATGAACTGGAAAGATCACCAACACAAGAGAAGCGCGTGAGTACTGATTCCACCTCTCTAGCTCTTTCAGCTAGTAGCGGATGCGAGTTGTGTTCTATCCTCCATCAAGGTCTCGTAGCTTTTCGACAATACACAGCCTCGCTCCGAGATCCTTGGAAACCATGGGATCTCGGAGGTCCTTGTAAAGTTGATATTGAGCTACGCCGCGGACGAAGTCTATCTTTGTCTCTTAGCAAACGCGACTACGGCTGGGAAGAGGAACCTGGAGAAACCTCCATTTCACAGCTGCATTCTGAACAACAGCAATCGCTGGGTCGTGACAGGTACGAGCTTTGTATCGAGTTTTTCACATGTGCTGGTATGCCACCTGCCTTAAGATTGGCCTGGCCGCGTCAAAAATCCACTGACTCTTGCAGACTCACCTACTTCCCCATGGACCGCCTTTGGAATAGGGAAGCCGGTAACGGAAAACCTAAATAGGACGCTGTCTGTACAGCTCATAAGAGAGTGGCTCCATTCCTGCACGGAAGAACACATTTGTATTTTTGAACAATTTCCAAAACTCCCGACGCGGGTTCTGGATCTTGCACCTTTGGCAGATGGTCATGACTTGGTATTGTTTGAGTCGAAGACAGAAAATGCCAGTTATATGACTTTAAGCCACTGTTGGGGGGAATCGACGATGATCGAAACACGTAAAGATACTCTTCGTGAGATGAAAAGCGGAATACCGTTGTCATCGCTGCCTCAGACTTTCCAAGATGCGATTGCTATTACGCAAGATCTGGGTATTCGGTACCTCTGGATTGACTCTTTATGCATCATCCAAGACGATATCGACGACTGGGAAAAAGAGTCTAGCAGGATGGCCGCGGTCTACGCAAATACATATCTTAACATTGCCGCAACTTGCTCTAGGGATAGCAGTGACGGGATATTTCAACCACGATGGCATGAGGCCATGGTAGTGCGCGACGTGTGGTCTTGCCCGGTGAAGGACGTTAAAATAACAGGCACTCATCAAGGTCAGCCATATGATGTGTTTGCTCGATTTGAGATGTGGAGGGCGCATCGTGACTTCTTGATGAGTAACGACGTTAGTGACATCCACCATCGATCGCCTCTGTTAGCCAGATCGTGGGTGTTTCAAGAACTTTATCTCTCTCCTCGGACCATTCACTTCCACTCTTCTGAGTTAATCTGGGAATGCAAGAAGTCCCTTCGGTGCGAGTGTGGAGAATTGGAACACGAAGTAGATGAAGAAAATGCGTTATCAAGACACCGTTCGTTAAACAGCCTGTCCACGCTCAGCGACAACCAGCGGTCTTATTTATGGCTTTCAATCGTCACCGAGTATTGTCAGCTTAACTTGACACGCGAGTCCGACAGGCTTCCTGCTTTGGCTGGTCTGGCCAGTCGCTTTGAAAATCAAAGTACGGGAAAATACTTCGCGGGATTATGGCAAAATGACCTTGTGCGAATGCTATTGTGGTCTTTAAGTCAGTCCAAAGCGACTTGCGAGCGAGATTTCTCGATAGCGCCATCATGGTCATGGGCGTCTATTGTGGAATACAACGACCCCAATGCAAGAGGTGATAATTCGCCAAACTACGTTCTCGTTAGAGGAAGTCCCACCAGCTTCAAACAAGATGCCAATGTTAAGATACTGGATGTCACTTGTACAGTCCCCGGTATCAATCCTTACGGCCAAGTATCTGATGGAACGATTATTATCCAGGGCAGCGTCATATACGCAACGCTTGTGCGCAGAAGAGTAGAGACCCACGTAGGCAATAACGATGTCGGCACAAGTATATCTCTGCATTGGGATAACAGCATCGGCACAGGTCATTCAACTCGTTACTTCTCCGAGGCACAGGTTTTAAAAGACCCTGCGATCTGTGTTGGCGTAGATGTAATATTTGAGCTTGAGGACAATGACTTAAGCGTTGTGACTCGTGAAAGTTTCATTCCTGATATTTGGATTGGGGACCGCTGGGAGGTATTGGATGGAGACGAGGTTCTTTGCTTGTTTTTGGGCACTAGTAAGATTGATTTCAGAGATGGAGCTAGAACTATGGCGTTATGTTTGGTGCTTAGGTATTCTGAGGAGCGGGAAGGCGCATTTGAGAGAATTGGGGTGATGATGTGTGAGACGGACAGCGTGATATTTCAAGAACAGGAAGGTTGTGTCATTGAGTTGATATGACTAATAGCTTAGACAAAAAGTATGACAATATGCGTTTGGCTTGAATAGCCTCGTCTTTGCTATTGCACTTAAAAGAGTTATTGTCGTCTGTTAGTTACGAAAGAGGAGAATCATGGCGTTCCGTCCTACACAACTCACTTCTTTCAGTTAAACTTTGTTTGCTAGCTTTTGAGTACGAGTAGCCTGGTTGAGTTGTTCCTCGTGGGATATTAACTAATTAATTTTGTAATACCCGTATCGCTCAGTTGGTCTGGTGGGGTAATAGTGACCGTTTACAACAAGAGAAAACTATCATTATAAATCAGGGAAAATTTTAAGTTACATCGTTGCCAAGTAGGCTGTTAACCAGAAAAAAACTATCCAAACGATCCTAAAAGAAAACCTATAATATCCAAAAGAAAAACTGAAACTATCCACCATCTCGCAGAGATATACAAAAAGCTAGCCAAAAGAAAAACAAAGCATTCTACGCCACATACAAAAATAACCCAATCATCTCCATATACAAAAACTCCATCCCAAAATTCTCAAAACACAGCAATACTTTCTGAAATACACCAATCCTCAAAAACTTGTAACAAATCCAATCTAATACAGAGTTCTTTGGTTCCTTCGCTTCTCCTCTTCCTTTTCCTTCCGTCGCTTAATCATCGCTTCAGCTTTCTCTTTACTGAGTCTCTGCTCATTAACCCTTGTCGACTTCGCGGTATCGAGTCGTGGTTTTTTGGATGCTCCTTCTTGGAGACTATCGCTTTCGGTATCGCGTGCGCGTTGTGGTGATACAGTATCTTGCTTTACACCGTTTTCTTCGCTTGCTGGTTTTTGGCTTTGTCCAAAAGCACTTGCCGCTGTTGAGGTTGCCGACCCCTCGCCATTCTTGGCAGTTCTAGGTTGGGTGTCAGAATCTTTGAATTCCCCCGTCCATTTCATATGTCGCTTTCGACGTGGCTCTCTTGTGGTCTTTTTGTCCTCGAGTTCGCCTTCTTCGAGGTCATCTCGGGATCTCTTCTTTGACTTCTTGTCAGATTCATCCTCGGATGTCTGATATCGTCTAGCTGAGGCTTCAACCCGCTTTTCATAGTTATATTTGCTTCCTAAGCGTGGTTTCTTGGAAGCTGGAGGGGAAATGTTCTTGTTGTTATGATTGGTGACGTCGACGTTAATCTTCCTGTTGATAGGTCGAGGAGACAACTTGTTAAGTGCCTTTCGTGCACCATTTTGGGGTTGAAAAACAGGTTTTCCTTTCAGAGGCTTTCCAACTCCCTTATCACTTAGATCAGTCTCCTTATCATCATACTTTCTCTTATTAGATAGAGCAACATTTTGTGCGGAGCGTTGCTGTTGTACTTCGTTTGGTCGAATATTGGTAGTTGGGGACTTTTTGGCTCTCTCGTACTTTTGAGTTTTCTCATTAAAACTGATGCTCTTTACGCAGACCAAGAGGACGTTATTTCGAGCAAGCTTGCAAATCTTGCAGATGGATACGTGTTTATCGCCGTGTTTCTTTGGATCGAATCGCTTGAATGATCCGTCTTTGCATTCTGAGCATCTCCAGATTGTGGGCAAGGCGATTGGAATATGAACTCGAGGCTCTGGGACAATACAGGCCTTAGTTTCACTCGACGACGTTGATTCTTTTGGTGTGAATGGAGATGATACTTTGAGATAATTAGCCTTCGTAAAAATATTCAGTTAGATGGAAGGGCTATACCAGATGTGGCGACGCTCTCTTCTTCCTTGGAAGAAGAAGCAGTGATCTCTGACGAGGCCGGGGAGGTCGACTTGGAAACCGCAGTTGCTATGGCATCGTCATATTAACAAGGCGCTCAAATCGATCTAGATGCGAAAACATACCAGCAGAAGCGGTAGCGTTTGATTCAAACACGTTCTTGTTTTGAACAGCACCAAGGATAGCAGAACCAGAACCTTGGATAGAGTCAATCAGCACAGGCGACTAGAAGACGTTATAAATCCTGCCTCTAGGTGCTCTTCTTACTTGGCTCAGCAGCATGTGCCGAAAAGGAGAATGCAGTCCGCGCCTTAGTAATAAAGTTGGAGACCGGTGTTTTGAATCTAGAGGACGGTTTCTCGAATATGCTCAAGAATATCGTTCGTTTCGCGCGTTCCGCCGACGAGATCAACTTCACCTTTGGAGCAGGCGAAACAGCTGGAGTAATGGAAGGTGGAGACATCTTGACAATATCAGTGGAAGGAAGTAGAGTCCGTGTAAACGAAACGCGTGTTGAATGTGACGTTGTCGGAAAACGATATAATCGTGGAGTGTGAAAAGAGAGAAGGATCTCGCTATGTCTGGAGAAGAAGTAGAGGGGCTGGCAATAGTGAACCTGCTATGCATTGTGCTGTTGAGGGGGTGGTGAATCTGCGCCTCGTTCTGGATCTGCTCGCACGATATTCAGTTTAGGTTCACTAACAGTGTGGAAATCATTGCAAGAACAATACTTGGGATTTGATTCTAATGAATTTTCATTGGATGGACTATGGTTGGAGGCTTGGTGAACACTCTTCATTGGTTCTGTCCAGAACGCGCAGGTATGGTCTGGCGAAGTTAGTCTGCTTCAAGCCACATGGTAGATACCATAATCCGTGGGAAAACAGCAGTGAGTCTGTGGTATTCAGTATCATAATATGGTCTGGTAGTTTCAGTCTTTCGTATATGTAAAATCTTGTATTATGATCTATGAGCCTCCTATGTTGAAGCGCAGAAAACTTTGTGCCTATAGTGGCTCCCAGGAAAATGAGGACCGAATGCCTATGAACATCCCGAGGAAGGGAAGAAGGTTTACACGTGTACCTAAGCACATAATTCTAATGTCAATATTTCTAATTTCAATCATGAGCATTTACGCCAAAGGTGGCAAGACATCGTTCAGAACCTAGGGCCTTGGGCCAAATTCCATACATCAAGACCTGCATATGCTACGAGGCTTTCGTAAAGGTCTTTCCTGGGAAATAAACTCTCAGATGTCAACAATACGTGTAGAATCAGCACACCTAGTCGGTAGAATAGAAGGAACCTTCGGAAGGATGATAACAAATGGTAAATCTCCTATCATAACTCGGGCGCTGTAAACATCGAGTGGATGTGGCAGATATTCAGGGGCCCCACGAACTTATAGACAGCCGTGAAGGCGTGGTCCTTGTTGTGACACCAAGGATGGTCATGCTTGGGGTAATCAAGACTTTATCGCCTCGCAGATTGGAATTCGAAGTTTTGCAGTGGTTCTAGCATCTGCCACCCAGCCCGTTCTCTGAATAGCTAGCTGTTCGATTAGCTTGCTTCCAGCTCCTTTAAATGATGTGTTTTGCATATTTGCTGTTGAAAGCGGAACAAGATCCGTAATCTTAGAACAGTCCATCAAGAGCAAGCATCTTCAGATCGGACAACTGCCAGAGGAGTCAAGAGACTCATGCCAAAAATGCAGTACATCAGTTGGATAATGGGGGATTTGAGCTACCTCGAACGCTTCTTTTAAATTCCAAAATCCATCTCAAGAATGCAATAACCCCCCTAGAATATACCTTAAGCGAGTAATTTGAGTGCTTAAGCCACGCAAATTCAAGCATATAAACTAACAGATATGTACTGATCGAAAAGATGCTATGAAAGCTTACGATTGATATTTTACACCAACGGGGTCATGTCGAAAGAAGAACGTGTTACTCGTGACGTTATACTAGCTAGCAAATACCTCACCTTTTATACCTAAAGTCAGTACAGCCCACAAGGCTTCAAAAACAAGATATCCATAAGCGCCTCATGTATGTGAAACAAAACAACTAGAACAATAATACTCGTCCACTTTAAAAGTATGATAAATCAACTAGCCGCTTAACTAATAGGATTCATGGAAACATAACATTAAATGACTCAGGGCAGAATCAAGACTCCGCCCCCCGACTGGCAGAAACAGTATTAACTACGCAAAGCCGAAAAAGCTGGTTATATCAATCTCTTGGCACATGATCTCAAGACTGATAAATACAATGATACAGAAAACCACTTGTCTTTACTCCGGTTACCGAAATTTACATTCGCTGTCAAAGTTACATGTAAGTTAATTATATTTACTTCCAACTCGGTCAGCAAAGCAGAGATGGCAGCCTAGTAGAGATCTGCGCCCCAACATGGTCAAAAAATAGGATATGTTGATCGAGTCACCGTCCACAACAATCACGCAGGAGAAGTGGTACAAATTTCGCAGAGTACCTAGGGATAAGCCTATAAATGTACTCTTAAATATGCAAACTCTACATCTCGAACAGCCAGACCCAAAGAATAAGATAATTACAGAAAAATATTCGCCTAAGTAGATACGCCTAATGACTTAACGTAACTTATTTTTACTACGCCTACTAATATACTTCGACTCGTTTTTATTAATTAAGATAAAAAACTTAAAGTTAATATTTAGAATAATTTATATATATATATATATCCTCGAATTATTATATTTTACTAGCTTTATTAGTATACTGAATATTTCGATTTAAACTATAACATACTTTTTATACTATAAGAAAATTTCGTTAAGTAGGCAGACAAGGTAGATGTTCTAGAGATAAAAAAGGCTACATATAATATCTAACGTACTATAGAATGTTTCGATATAATATATTTCGTTAACGTAATTAAGATACCTTGAATATGTCGTTAACGTGATTAAGACTCTATGGGATTTTTTTAACGTAGTTAAGACACTATAAAAGATTTAGTCGACGTAGCTAATACACTAGTGTCATTTCGTTAACTTTGTTGAGACACTATAGCACATTTCGTTAACTGTTTTCCAAGAAATATCAGGCTTTTTAAAACACCAACTTTGATTACAAATTAATCTATAATCTTGGGTACAGGTCAACTGTCGAATGTCGCGACATGTACAATAAAAAGTCTCATGTTTTCTGAAACATTTTTCATGTGTAATTTACCGTGGGTATTTGAAAATAAATGATGGGTATAAATCCTAAGTCCAAACAAACTCCCTACTTCTTTTCTAGATACTTAGCAAAACCAATCTCCTCTAACCTATCTGCCTTGCCGAGAACCTCCTCCTGGCTATCTGCCGCATACTTCTCAACCTTAAACCGAATTGTTTCATCACTAGCCCCAAGTATCCGGGCAGCCAACAACGCAGCGTTGATACTGTTATTGATTGAAACAGTGGCAACAGGAACTCCACGAGGCATCTGCACTATGCTCAACAGACTGTCCATACCATCCAGACTACTACCTTTGACTGGCACTCCGATTACTGGCAATGGCGTACAAGCAGCAACCATCCCCGGTAGGTGAGCAGCCCCACCCGCAGCCGCAATGATGACTTTGAACCCATTGTCTACGGCGGAAGAAGCGAAATCCATCATGCGCTGTGGTGTGCGATGCGCGGAAGTGATTGTGCAATGAAAAGGGATATCTAAAGACTGAAGAAGCGCGAGACCGGGTTTCAACACTGCAAGATCGGAATCGGAGCCCATTGTAACGGCGACGAGAGGGTGAGATGGCGAAGGTATGATTTGATGCTGGGGAACGGAATTGAGGTCGTGACCTTTACGCTCTGCATGCATATTTCCGGCGAGTGTAATGAGCGGAGACATTAACGATTCTGCCTCGGATATTGAAGATGCCACAACGGTGATGTGCCCAATTTTTCGGCCTGGCTTTGACTGTTTGCCATACATATGCAGCGATGCGTTAGGTATTGCGATGGCTCGCTCCATAATCTCATTATGGGAGGTTTCTTCGCGGCCACCAAGGATATTGAGCATTATAGCAGCTGGAATCACTGATGGAATGACGGAATTGGCGAAATTTGGCATGTTTCCGAGAATTGAGAGAAGCTGCGATTTGTATTGTGACATTGTTGGGCAAGCCTCGATTGTGTAATGACCTGAGTTGTGTGGTCTTGGGGCAATCTCATTGACAACAAGCTTGCCATCATGCATCAAGAAAAGTTCAACCCCAAATACTCCTTTCCCCCACAGCGATCCAACCGCCTTTCTCGCCAAATCCTGTGCCTGTTTCTGAATTTTTATTGGGATTCCCCGTGGCGGTAGATAGACCAGTTTGCAAACACTATCCTCGTGTATCGTCTCGACAGCGGGGTACGCGATTGTCCCAATCGATTCCGTCGATGTCGCATCCTCGGTTTTGACAACCATCACCGCAAGCTCCATTCGAAAATTCGCCCACTTCTCCGCATACAATGCTCTGTTCTTCAACGTTTCCAGAGCCTCCTTGATATCCGCCGGTGACTTGACTGGAAAATTTCCTCTGCCATCATACGCATCCTTCCGAGATTTCAGCATGAAGGGGAATCCCAATTCCTTCCCGATTTCCTGTAATCCAGCCTCGTCCGCCACAACTTCCTTCGATACCGCCGTTGAAACGCCATTCTTCTCCAAATGTGATTTCTGCAGGAACTTGTCCTGGATCGTCCGAATCGTTTTCCAGCTTGGCTGGATTTCAACGCCCTCGTTGGCCAATTCCTCCAATACCTCTGTATCCACGTGTTCAATTTCGACTGTGAGGAGTTCGACACGCTTGGCAAGTTCTCTGATTTTTTCTGGATCGGTGAACGACCCATTGATATGAGACCCCGCAGTAACTCGCTTGGCAGGGCTGTTTTCCTGGTCGAGGACCACGACGTTGATCCCCAGCGGATTGGCAGCTTCGCAAAGCATTTGGCCAAGCTGGCCACCGCCGAGAAGACCAATTGTGCGATTCATGGTGGGAAGAGTTGAAGTGGTGGTTGATGGATTGTTGAAGCTGAGGTTGGAGGGGATATCATAAAATTTTATGCAGGAACATGAGGAAGGACCGACAAGGGTGCCAGGGGTGTATAAATATCCAGACCTGCGGGACGGTTTCACGTGACTTTACATGGTGCGCGAGTAGCCCGGTCTGGGTTAGATAGGAAAATTTGCAGCCCAACGTTGGCTGGATAATGAGCTCATAATGGGGGCATATGACTGTTACCCGATTGATGGATCTCGAACTAGTTGGCGAAATATTTGCTGTTTCGTCAATTTTGCAATAACCAGGTTTCTTCTTTATGGAACTATCTTACGCTGAATGATAGACGGTCAGTACAACACATATTCCTCTAATCGTGTTTACGAAATATCGGATACTGTGTCAATTGTTTTCAGTAACCAAATTTCTACTTCATGGAACTGTCTTGCGCTAGATGCTAAACCGTTGGTGCGACACGATATTTCTCTAACTGGGTGGACGAAATATCGGATACTTCATCAATGATTTTCAGTCTCTGAGCGACCTACCTCAAGGAGCTGTCTCGTAGCACATAATGGACGCCAAGTGTAACACATTCTCTCTCTGGCTAGGTTGACGAGATATTTAGCATTTCCTCGATTTTTCTTAATAACATAGTCGACCATTTTATGGAATGGTGTTTAGATGGACAATGTACACACGCGGGACACGATATCTGTTTACAAAGTAAGCGAGAATTTCCAATTTCTCGTCGATTGATCTCTTGTGTACATTACTAAGCTATTTGCCTAACCCTGCCCTGTTATGGTACCAAATAATCTCTAGCAGACAGTAGCGTTTAGGGCAACTGAGAGTAAGTAAATTAAAATTTGTAACTGTTTTGTAAATTGTAACTTGTTACGATTAAGCTTTAGAAGATCTCAAAACCACAACTTCCAAAATAATCTGCGTGAAAGCAATAGGACAAAATCATGTCTATTACTACAAAACAGCATATAAATAATGAATAATCCTAAAGAAAAGACAGGTTCGCAACGTTTACTGAACCTGCATTACACCACGTCAGACGAGTCCTTACTCTCTAACGACAATTTACCGGACGACTTTGGATTCATTCTTCATTTTTTAGTAATTTGCTCAACATTTCGAATTTTCGCGAATGTTCAGCCATGAAAACCTCAATTTGTCTACATATTTACTTCGCCAAGAAGATCAAGGTCTGGCGCCAGTCAACTATTAGTTAAGAGGTAACGCAGGTGAGCATTACAATGAAACCCATAGAAACAAGAAGACAAGAAGGCAGCTCGAGTAAGATGCCAGGAGATATAACAAAAAGGCTTATCGAGGAAAAGACTCAATTAGGGAAGTAGGGAGATAAAGGAATGTAAAGAACTTCGAGAAGCGGAAAGTAAGATTTAAGCATAGAAGATTACTTTTAGATAGTTTTAATGCTAGCTTCTTGCATTATTGTCCCCTCCTTTGCCTTCTAAATTTTCTATTTATTTCTTCCTTTCTATCTTCGGTATATACTTGTATTTTTTAATCCGAATCCTATTGCAAAGTTCTGGCAGTAAAGGCTTGACTTTAGTTCTATCCTTAATTAGTTCTATCCTTAATTGAAAGCATCTAAAGTACACATTAGATATAGCTGACCAGAGGGCGACGTCTTTCGAAATTAGATCTCATTATAGCTCTAATTAATGGTTGTAGAGTGCCTACTAAAGTAGGATCATACAACATCGTCAAGTGGCGTTAAAAAGGGTTCGGCAAATGTTATAACGCTAGCATATAACAGAAATCCGCCCTCGTGGAAGGAAGATTAACAGTTTCGTCAAGAGACCTCAGAATCTCTACAAAATTACTATGTATCTATGCTTGTGCGAAAGAGATTCAATTACCAAAAGGCAAAAAATCCCATCCCGTTTAATCTCTGGGATCCAGTTGCTCGGAAAGTTATAATAGTTTAGATTGTCATTTAATAGGAAACACATGTCGTTATGTTACTTATATACCAGAAGTTTTTGGCCTCGGGAGGTGTACAACCTTCGATATTATAATATTATAGGACGAAGGTGTGGTTTTCTGTTCGGCATCGAAGGAGACACGAATTCTTAGTTGTTTTTGGGGGTGTGAGACGCTACTCATTTACTTGAACTGAGAAGCGATAAGGTGTAGAAGTGAAATTGGATCTAGAGAGAGCAACGGGGGTAGACGGCAGACTCTTCGTAGAGTATAGTTATTGGTTATGTACGCACTGATATATTCCTTCTGCGAGGTAAAATATTGATGCTAATAGAAGAACCGACGCGATACAGTCCCAGTGTCCCATCACTGCGCAATGGTAGGCGGGCTGCGTCGGCATCCACATTAGTAGTTTAATCTAATGATAATGGTAGAGATTCTAGGTGGGCAAACTACAATGTTGTCTGAATTTACGATAACTTCAACAAAATCTGGGTTGTGACGAGTACAGCTAGTTGTGTATCTAGAAGGCTCGAGACTATTCTCGCGTTACAAATCTTGGTTTCTTGAGACTATCAAAGTTCCATCAAGAAGTCGTTTTAATAATTAGTAAAATTAAATATATATTGGAACGCGTGATACTGCACCTCCCAACTCATTAGACTCTGTTGAGATTTAGATTTCATCTCAAAGTAATAAACCTTTTTATTCTTCCAGAACCGTACTTCAGACTTCGTTTTAATATCCGGTAAATTCTTCTTAGTTCTTCGTCCTGCAGAAACGCATTCTCCTACTCCTCTGTACTTCAAATTTAATATTGACCGACTTGTTACGACATAGAATCTCAAAGAACCTTAAAACAGAAGTTAAGAAGTTTGCATAGTTGTAGTTTTGTGAAATAGGCTGAGTTAGCGGTAAGAAACCGACGCCGTAGGAAACGCTGTTAGCTGATTAGATTCGCAGTGGCGAGGTAGCATTAGCTTATAATGAGTCTGATCATTCCTTCTTATCTTTGTATCTTCAAACCTATCCCCCAGTACCAACAAACACAACCAACACCGCAGCATAAGCAGCCGTACTAGCCAAAATATCCTTCTTATTAGCATCCTTCATATACCAAGCAAGCACAATTCCCACCACCAAAACAAAAACACTAGTCGTCACAAGCTGCGTAATCAAAGTCATATGCAAGCGCATAATCAGCATCGGTGCGATCAAAGCCAGCCCTCCAAATAGTGCCATCTTTAACCTCGAGAGAAAGCCCTCAGCAGTTTGCTTTGCGTTGTCTTTGCGCGAGCTATGGCCTCCATCTCCAGTGTAATTGGGAACCTCGAGATATGGTTTGATGCGTGCTTTTGACGAGAGTAGACCGACCTCGTGGAGGATGAACGAGTCGCGGGTGTCCCTGATGTAGAGTTGGTCACGAAGGAATTTTGCGGTTCGTTTGTTTTGTGAGGGTGGTTCGAGGATGTATTTGAGGTCTCGTAGTGCTTGTACTATACGGTGTAAGTGTTCGTCCTTCTCTTCTTCTTGAATCCACCGGTTAAGACATTGACTCTCATCGGTCTGTATCCGTGAAGATATGAATGTTTCCGAATCTTGTTCAGCCTCTATTTAAGTAGAACATTTCTCTTCAAACGCTTCTCAATGATCTGTGATGTCTGCAATCTACTGTTTCCCCTCAATAGAATCGTGATATCAGATGGGCTCACGAAACATGAATCGCACCATATCGACACATCACAGATTTCAGCCTAAACCATCCAACTGCTGATTACTGAAGGAAGCACACGTACTAGATAGAAAACACGAACCGTATTCTTTCAAGTCGTTCTTCAAAGTATCCATCGTATCTTGAGAAGCCTCCTCACTATTTATCATATCCGCGGCATGCTGGGCTAATTTTCTTTTCAAGCAAATGATGTTCATATGCTCTAAAGCCCGAACGCGGACCTGGACATCAGTCTCATATAACGGGGCTGGTTTGTTGGCAGGAGTGATAGAAGCCTTATAGAGTTCCTCATGGAACGTGCGTGGTGTATTTGATCTTTGACGAGAAGATGCTGATCTCCGGGAAATGCGAAGCCGCTCGGCCCTGAGTCTTTGACGCGGGGCGTCATCCATACGTTGAGATAGGTGGTGGGCTTTTGAGCTTTATTAATATCACTTAATCCAATGTGAGATGAGGGGTTGTTGCGTAATGAAAACTGGAGATGAACACGTACTATTGTCCCTATCATTTCTATCTCTATTTCCGTCTCCAGTCACTGCTCCCCACCATCTGCTTGGATCTGTCATTTGGCCTTTGTTTTCACAAGCCACGCGCCGGAGCTAGGCAAATTGAAGCGATGCTGCTTTCAACTGCAATTATACCCAGTTGCTACAGCTTACACGCTTTTCACAAGTAGAGATTGAGTGGGTAGAAACTCACTCGTGGTGGTGCAACGCAGAGACGGAAAGTTCGCAAATCCCTCAGCTCCTCTGCCTTGTCTCAAACTCCCGGTCGTGTGGGCAAGGTTAAGGGGCTGGTAGTCTTTTGTGGTGGCTTGCATTGTGTACCATGAAATTATGTGGAGGAATTGACGAATCAGAACTGCGACAGTTACCCGCAAACCCAAACACACAAAATTCAAGAGTCTGCGAAATCACTGCATTTGAGTGCCACCCAAACTACTTGCTAAATTAGCTCAATGTGATCAAAACATACAGTTGATCCTAGCAGTAAATAAGTTTCTACAGTGAGTTTAAGTCTTATCAGCTAGTGGATTTTTTGAAGTCCGGCGCGGAATAATAATCGCTTTCCACCTTTTCTTACTTCTTCCACCCCGAGATTCCGAGTTTAAGTGTTCGCGGTTAATGCTTGATTCCAGTCAAATCAAACCGCGTGAACAGCACGGAGCCACAGACCGATCAGCCCATTTTGAGGCCATCAGCTCGTAGACTGCGTGTCATATGTTGTTTGTATCGTGGCCATCATAATTGGCTATCTTCCTACTGGCTCTTCTTCCGCCATTCATCGCCGCCGTCCATTTGGAGAAACGGATGTTCGAGAAGCTCCGCTGCCGTGGTTCTCTTTTCCGGGAGCCACTGCAGCATTCTGCTCACGAGATCGAGGAACTGTTCTTTATCCTCACCTTGAAATAGCGTGACAGTCTCCGCAAGCCCAGAATTAATGGGAATCAGGTCTTTGCGAATGAAATCACCCAACGAGCGCAAGATGGTAAGCGAAAGACTCATTAGGGAAATTAGTGGTGCTCAATCTTACCATAGTCATCAAAGAAAGGTCCACAAAGTATTCAAAGGCATTTTTACACGATTGCCCTTCTGGGTTTTGAATCTCCGGTTCGAAAGTCAACTTTCTGGATGCGTTCTCACGTTTCAGGAGTACCGTTGGGGGTGGCCCTAATAGAGCAATCATTTGTCCCAGATGGGCATGCGCATTGTAGTTTCCTTCCTCATTCTTGAGGTTTGTAAATAAGTCTTTGCCCTCCATCATATTCCATATCTAAATCATTAGAACTGCGATAGAAGAAAATGCTTAATTGGAAGGGACAATGTCTTACTAACACTCCTAAGTTCCATATATCCGCGCTATACGACCAAGTAGTTCCTAGAATGACTTCAGGGGCGCGGTAGCGGTGAGGCTGTACAGGATGAATACGCGCGAGACCCTCCCCAAATTGGGCAAGGTCCAAGTCGGCAATCTCTGGGAGGATGAAGTAGTCTCGAAGTGGCCCAAAATCACTCTGTGATAGATATGTACTGTGTCCATCATCCGTGACATGTCGGGGAAGGTATGACTGCTTCTGCTGTTGAACGAAGTCTTCCAGGACACTTTCGTTTTCCAAGTCGACCAGGACGTTATCAGATTTGAGATCTATTTAATCTTGTCAGCTGATCATGATACATTAACAGACATATTCCCTGGAAGTAAGCAATTACCAGTGTGAATGAGGTGACATTCAGAATGGAGGTAATTCAAGCCTTGTAAGAGGAGAGCAATGTAGAGTCTGAGGATTTTTGGCGGAAATCGCTGATTCCTGAAGCGGTTTTGGAAGTCAAGCATTGTTTCTCTCATAGGACGATATACCAAGCAGATGTGCGGCCCATGGCTTCCATCGATTTTGAAGTTATCGATTGGAGTTCTAATATACCCGGCGCCAGGATGCGAAGGATTAGCTGTAGCAATCCATTGAGAGAGCTTGAGTTCGTGCTCTGCAGCAGACGTGCTACCATAGGTACGAGTCCCTATTTTAATGGCAACGTAACGAGGTGCATCGGTCTGGTCTTCAGGTCTAGACATGTTTAGCTTGGCGAGGAAAGGGGAAGCAGCCTGCTCGTCTTACCGCCGTAAATCCTCTGCCAGCCAGACAGTAGAGCCAAAACCCCATCCTAACTTTGTGATTGTCTCGTATTTGTTGTGAAGTACTTTGCCTGGGTGATTGGAGTAATAGTCGGTTCGACGATAGTTGGGTATGGTTTCCTCATCGATGGCCTGAGTAATCACGTGATCTTGTTTGCATGTTGACGTAGACGTTTTTTTGAGGAGAGGCAGCCGCCGACAGGTGAGTCTGTGAGGATTAAATGGCAAAGATCCGAGCATCAGTCCTCGATAGGTGTGAAGACATGATGCCCCGTTTGCTGCCATGATAAAGAGAAAGAATCATGTGGACAGCGCGTTGGTTTGGTGTTATCCTGGTAACTTACCACTAGCCCAGATTAAGCGAGCAAACTCGGCATAAACAAGGGGTCAAGTAACAATCTATGATAAACGTCTCTATACACATCTTTGCCATACGGATACCATTTGTGTATGAATACATTTCCGGGTCCCGAGCTTTTCTTGATGTGAAATAAGCATAACTTCCTCACTATTAGTATATACCTAATTGCTCCAGTGCTTTGAAATTTCCGAGTACAAGTATACTTGGAATTGGAGGTACAAAATAGACTATATCTCGAAAATAATACTCAATGAGCAAGGAATATCTAAATTTCAACACATTTATCTTCAAAAATCCACGCTTTCCGGCCAATCATACTTCTTAATTAGCATACCTCTCCTAAGCATATAAATCGTTATCTCCGCCACACATTTTGCATGGAGATATTACTGTGACGGGAAATGGCTGTTTAGAAAGATCGGTAAACAGCTCAAATCACTGGCCCCTCTATTTATGGAGCACAGGTTGAATGCTCTACTATAGGGCAAACCCCATCTCGCTTGCGTCATACAAAATAGGGCCCAACGAACTATTTCATGGTCCTGGTGCTATGGCGCCAAGAACTTGAAGAAAGACGACAGAGCAACCTCATTGCACATTTATCCAGACGGAGTTATGAGATAGAAAAACGACAAATGTTGTAGTGCAATACACGACATTCTCAACAGATGGACATGCTTACTTCGGTGAAGGGGGAAGTTGGAATCAATTGCCTTCGAGTTTAGGGTTCCATAATTTAAGGGACTATAAACTGTGTAATATTCTCTCAGGATACACGGTTTGACGATTATGTTTGGCCGTTTTATTGAAGGAGTTGGAGATGGAGGGTTGCGTGTTTGGCTTGGAGTTGAATATGAATAATCAATTACATCAGAAATTGAGATGATTTGGGAAGACGCTTGAGTACTGCTTTTGTTTGCACTATTAGAATAGTAGAAACCAGTTCTTCAGAGAAAATGAAATCAGGCGGGTCAAAATCGAGGCATAAGAGAACCTGTTAGCAGCTCATGAATGGAAGCTTTCTGTTCCTCTCAATGGTCCAGCTGGGTTTTAGTTAAACGAACACGGAACCGAAAGCCTTGTCAAGCACTTATAACTACCTGAACCTTTTCAAAGATAGACCTATTATCTGTAATGTCTGGTGGACGTTCACTTTCCGAAATGAATTTTTGATTTCGCTAAACTACTTGATGAATTCTGAACTAGTGGCAGGTCAAACTCATCTTGACTTCAGGGTATATCAGGCCGTATGATATCCTTGTGGGCGATGATTATATACTAAGTGAACAGTCTCAAGGAAACATCAAGGACTAGCCACTCGGTCCGTTTACATGAAGGTGAATTGGATCGAGTCGGCATATTTAAATCTTGACAGATATCATCTGTCCTAAAGTCTACCCATCATTCCATCCAAAAGTTTCTGTCGCATAAAAGCCTTTGCACCATGCAACATGCCGACCCAGTCTAATACATCCCAACCTGAAGTATCTAACTTGGAAGAACCCCAGACCGGCGTCATGGGCAACGCGTCGGTCGTCACGGCACCGCCACCAGCATATCTCACCCCAACACCATTTGCATCCGTCTCTTTTCATGGCTCGCACCGCCTTCGATTACTTAACTTCCCTGAGTCCGATATCACCGCTTTCAAGCACACCATCTTACCTACTTGGCATGGAAGTATACAACAAGTGAAAGAAGACGCTGATTCAACCGAACTCGAATTGGATAAGGACGTGTGGACCAGGCTTTTACACGATGACATACAGGCGAGAGAATTAATCCGAGTAATACTGCAACATCTATACAACCGAGGATGGATTTTGCAAGCCAACACGAATATCAGCTTAGCTTCTCGCGACATTGATACGTTAATATTCCGAAAAGCTCCAGTTGTACCACCAGTAGCTGAATGGATAACTATTACTTTCCCTACGTCCGATCGTCTACGCTTTGGTGGGCTATCCCAACAGCTGCTCACCGATTTTAGACAAATATTGCAAAGTAAGCAACTATTGCTGAAGGAGTATTGCGTTGGGAATGCTCGTTGGGACTTTCAGATTCGGGACATCTATGGGATCCCGAGGAATCAGAAATTGGAGCTGTGCGAATGACTCTCTTAGACCTATTAGGACTTCTAGAAAGTCATGGTTGGAGTTTATATGCTTCAGTTAGTCACAAGCGGATTAACGGATGGTACTGCAATCGAGTCAAAGGATGGGTTCCAGGAAACCCTACTCTTCATCGATAAAGGACAGCTTTTAGGCTGAGGAAGCACTTACTTTGTGGAATGATTTTTCATTAGCGAATAGCTGAAGTAAGCTAACTATTAGGAGTCTACCCAAAAGGGGGCTATTAACAGAAAGGAAATCATTTGTATATCGGAAGCTCTATATCAGAGGTTCTGAGCAATAGTAAATTGTAATAAACACCTTCAACCACCTGACAATTCTTCATTCTTCTATTACGCATTGCTATTTCTACTTGTTAACCTCAAAAGCAATATGTAACTTAACCGAAAGCATACACATCTGTTACTAACTTAGATAGTAATACTCAGTGTATCATTCTCTTGCGCGTCCCCTTAGAGTCGGGGAAACCAAGTGGATGGATGGTTAGTGAATGCTGGTTTGCGGTTCGTTTTGATTGTCTAGTTGGGGTTCCAGCCTTCGAAGATGGATACGAAAGCCTATATCAGAATGCGAGACTTTCGGACTAGTTTGATATAAAAGACATAGATTATTTGTGTTTAAATTCACATTCACATTGATAACTGAATTGCTTATATCCGTACGCAGAACAACTATCTGGCTAAAGCTGACTACCTAGTTGGCACATTATGTTGGTTTTGATTCGGTGCTATATCAGATCGGTTCGGAGCCTAGTGAGTGATGAATTTATTCTTGTGCAAATCTTGGTGAAGATTACGCTAGGCACTTTTCCTTAGTCTAATAGGCCGAAGTGAATCAAACTGGCGTATTTATATCTTGACAGAGATCATCTCGTCGGACTCTTTCCATCCTTCTTTCCCAACAAACTCGGTGAGAGCAAGACTTCTACCACATCCAAAATGGCATCCCAACCTGCAGCGTCCATGTTGGCACCCAACATTGCGCCTCAAACATGCAATGTGAGCAACGCTTTGAACGTCAAATACACGCCACCAGCCTACTCCTTCAAGTCATCCATGGGTTCACTTTCCCTTCATAAGAAAGATCGAATTCGCCTAGTCAACTTCCCCAAGCACGATATCCCCGCATTGAAAGCCACTATCCTAAATCATTGGCCACGAAGCATACAGAAAGAGTCCCAAAAGTCCAAGCTATACGAGTTCAAGTTGAGGGGATCTCCATGGTCTGCCCACAACTCGGATGTCCTTGGGAAGATCTTGACTAGGGAGTTGCTCGCGCAACTGTACAAGCAAGGATGGATATTGCATAAGAGCACGAATCTCAGCGCAAGTAGCACGGACTTGTGCACATTGATCTTTCTGAAACAAGAGACTTCACCATCTGAAAGCAAATGGATCTCTGTGAGCACCTTCGGATCTAACCGTTGACGATTCACTGGTGCATCTCCAGATCTGCTTGCTAGCGTCCGAATCCTTTTGCAGAGCACAGATCTCTTGGAAAAAGAGGGATGGACTGATAAAAATCCGCATGCTTGGGAGTTCAAGACCCGCGGAGTTTTATGGTGCCCTCTGTCGTGGGAATTCCGCACTGTACAGATGCGCATCATAAGTCTGCTGGATCTACTTGAGAAACAAGGATGGGCCTCATATGCATCAATTGGTGATACCGAAATGGATAGCTGGTATTTGGTTCGAGTCAAAGGATGGGTTCCAGGAACTGCTGTTAGTCATTGATGGAGAAGAAAACTTGGGACGGCTAAGCACCTCTTACTCAAGTGAATCAGCGAATGGCAAAAGGAGGCTCCATACAAAAAACGGAGACTATTGAATGTTACAGCCTCAATTTGAGAGATTATGACCTTTACAGCATCATAAATAAACACATTAACTCACCTAACAGTCTTGGTCCTTCATTTCACATTTCTATTTCTACCTACCACCCCCAGCACAGCAATCAACTCGCCCGAAAACACACACATCAACTACAGAAGCAGCACATAACGAGCACACAAATCATGCCCACGTGGAACCACCGAGGTTCTTCATAAGCACATATGCAATCTCACTTTGTCCCCCACCCCACATCCTCGTCTCCCATCTCACAATATCACCCAAATTAATGATCCCTCAAAGACTATTCACGTATCTCATATCATCTAGCATATCGTAAAACATCACTTACCCTCTGTAACTAGAATCTCATCATGTGGGCAGTAAATCCAAAAATTAGACGCACTTGTGGACATGGAATTCACCCATCAACCGCCCCCAGAAATACTCAAAGAAAAGGCAACTTTTGACGAATCACACAACCCCAAAACCGCACAAAAACACCAACAAATAAGAAACAGATTTCCGAAGTATCGAAGCCGTTTCGGTGTTTGGTGTCAGATTGTGAGAGGATGAGGATGCAGGGGGGGTGGCGCGGTTTGTGGGGTTCGTCGTTCCTTCGGTTGAGTTTTGGGGTGGGTTTATGTGATGTGGGGGTTGGAATGGGATTGGAAAAGGAAAGGTTGGGGAAATGAATTGGGGGAATAAGCAATGAAATTAAGCGTACTTGGCGATGCTATTATGGTTATTTGAAAGGTTGTATTGTGAGAATTGGGTCGAGATGGAATAGGGGTGCATTTTGGTAAGGTTCGCTTAACAAGCTAGAAAAGGGGAGCGTTAGTGTAGCGTCGAGACCACGACCTATAATATCAAATACACCTGAACCCAGCGAATGAACAAACACAAGAAGAATAGAAACTAAATAACTCAAACGTAAATTACAATATTACAAGAATTAAACTATCTATCTATCCATCTAACCCATCTAATATATATCCACAGGGGTATCCCAGTTACCAGTGACTACGTCGAAAACCGACTACTCATCTGCTCCATCTCCATCTGTCTTAGCAACGAATCAACCTTATCCTCACTCTCACTATTCTTCTCTCTCCACCCCTCCACATTCCTCAATCCGCTCCCATACGCGATTCCCACGCTCGAAATATCCATCTCCGCCGTCGCATTCGACACATTCCGTTGATGATACCGGTCCTTCGGCGGTACCTGCAACGTATTTCCCATGCGCGGTATGTCCCCGATGAGTTCCTTCTCTCCGTACACCTTTTGGCCGAATGCGTCGTGCTGCACGTTTTTCACGTTGTGTAGTTGTTTGTAGTGCTGGAAGTGACCGGGACTGACTGCGCAGACGGGGGAACTGATGTGCGGGGTGAGACCGCCCATGCCGCCGTTTCCGCCGTTGTCGCTGCGTTTTCGAGAGTGTGTCGAGGTGGATTTGAGGGAGAGGAGACCTTTGAAGGGGCCGTTTAGGAGGGAAGGGAAGCGGGCGGGGGTTAGGTATGTTTTTATGAAGGAGAAGGTTCCGGGGACGCAGGCTACGATTATTGCCACGTTGTTTTCGATTACGCTAAGATGTGTTAGAAGTCGTAGATGCACTTGGAACTTGGGAGCTTACTTGAAGATGGTGGATTCCCAAGATGTCCAGAATGGATCTGTGCTTCCTCGTAGTTTGACACGGTAAATAGTGGTGAGTATCGCGCAAGCGAGAGCTCTGTTGGTTATTAGTAAATTCCATGTCAATCAAATGACGGACAAAACTTACATTACAGCTGTCGAAAACATCAAAACAATACCAATTTTCTTCCCCTTATTCAACTTCAACCGGCCAAGCAGCGGCATTGGCAATACCAAAATAAACACATCCAAAGCCACCGCCATACTCGAGCTTACAATCTGCCACATATCAAAGTTCTTGCATCTCATAGCAACTGAAAACCCCCACCCCTCGCCGATATGAGGTGCGCAATACCAGCTTGTCGTGATTACGGCCGGAGCATATGTCGCGCACGTCCAGAATATTCCAAAATAAATTATGTATTTGACAGTCTTTTCTCCGACTGAGAAAATTCGGAGGTAAAGAAGCAGAATCGAGACTTTTGCAAACAGCAACGAAGCAAATGATAGTATCGTTTGCGAATATACCAGTCTCTAGAATCCAGTTAGCAAAACCTTCGATACATTAGTTTCCGGTGTTGCTCGCCTTGAGGTAAGACTCATCAATCCATTCCAGTGGAATATCCCATCCATGTCGTGCATATTTCGTCACTACTGAAATAAGTATACACCTTTCAGAAAATCCAGGAAAACTTACAAGTAAGTAAAAGAATCGTCTGCGCATTCCCCACCACCGCCGCCGCAACAATAAAAACATCATCTTTCGCAATGCCCGTGCGCCACTTAAACACAATCCGACAGAGCACAAACAACACATTAAGCCCAATTAACGCCGAGAACAGAATCATGCTGAGCATCTCAAATGACTCGGAAGGTTGGTCCGCATTAGAAGTAATACCCGGCGGCGCCTGGCCGCTATACAGCACACCGTTCGACACAGACATGATCACGGATCAAATGCTTCGCTCGACATCAACAAAGAGGATAAAGAAAGAGATGAGAAGAAACCTCCTTCTGAACAAGAGACTGGTGGCGGGAGACGAGACTAAAAGGATGGTTTGAAATGTGTCTGGTGGAGGAAGGGATTTGAAACCGAACCAGATCGGTATGATGCGTAGATCCATCTCTCTAGATATCTTGATCCGGGCCGCCTCCTTATTCTTCTGCAGTCTACTTCGGGGTGTCAGAGTCGTGCTTTTGGAAACCCGTCAAGTGTTTCCGCCAAGAGGGATTGCCATGTGGTAGGCCTCCATGCAAACATTTTTCTAATTGGTCAGTTTCGATTAATTTTGGGAACAAGTTGATACCTCGGGCGTCAGGTAGTAGGGGGTTGGAATTAATGGAATAGTGAGATATCGATACACGCGTCTATGCGGCGTTCTGCTGATGCTGACAAGTTGGAATAATGGACCTGCATATTCGTGCTTATCGCTTCGCAGGAGGTATGTTCTATAATCGTGGGGTGACGTTTGAAACACGTGGAAATCCTGTCAGAAGAAGCAGGATTTATGTGAGGATAAATTGCTGCTGCATTTGTGCAACTCGATCGAAAGAGCTGTGGATGTTTATTCTTGGAATCATTGCGAAATCGCAAACACCAAGAAAGTGCATATAATTTCCAAAATGACGTCCACGTAGATCAATGTCCGTGCAATATCGTGGGCTTTAGACAGATCTGTCATGTCTGTCATTCCGATTCGGGTATTGCGACATCAATCCCCTGGACGTTTTGTCGTTGGTTGAAGTTTCGACAAAAATCCCCCTTGGATACGTGATAGTACAATTGATTGGTGGCCTTATAAGATTGTTCTTGAGATACAGGGATAAACACGCGATGAATTCCTCGTGGGTTGACGTGCGACGCGGTGTGGGTGATGTTGTACGCCCAAGGATCCTGATCCTCCTTGTCTCTCGGTAGTGATAACTTCAGCGCAAAATCCCCAATTCGGAAAGTGAGTAGTATTTAATGGTGGCTATGCTCTTTAATCAATAGATCTTGTGCGAGAATTGCCGCAAAGATCGAGCTCTGTTGTAGAAAGATCATCATAGTCTATTAGCAAAAGCATTTTCCAAGTTCCTGATGGGTTCCTTCGCTCTTCGCTTAGCCATCCACCATTTTGGGATGTCCATATAGAATTGCTCATCAAACGTATGGAAAATAGAGAAACAAGAGGCTATTCGGATGTTCATCTTTTTGAATGGAGACGGGAATCCCCGCTCAGTCTCGGTTCAAAATGTTGCAATCCCGAGCAGGAATATCTACTCCATGGAAACCAAATCCAATGCCGTGAGTGAACCGTCGATGTCGTACTGCTTTTCCCAGATCTCTTATGCATAATATAACTTTGACATGATAGGCTATTGAAGGTTTGCTCGTCCATTTGTAGTGCATCCTTCCCCCAAGCTCAGACTTGTTTGTCTTCTTCGCGGATTTCACCGGCTTCGGTATGGCAGCACGCCTCAAGTGGGCTTTTGAAATAGCTTTAGTATAAACGAAATAATCTGATCCAATTGACGAAAACAAAAACGAGACTTCAGCAGCGTTGCACAATACGAAATTTAACTCCATCGAGCGACAAGTTATTGTCGATTGACCACCCTGTCAGAGCTTCTTGTTGATCTAAGAAGAAGAGAATCCCGCCGGCCCTCCGGGTACTGAAATCGAACTCGGTCGTCTACAGCCATGTCAACCCTCGCCGAGATTTTATTTCAACGATGTGTTTCACGTTATAGATAACAATCTACTCGTAGGTATCCATGAAACGTCTGCACTTCTCAAATACCCAAAAACAACTGTTCTCTTCAATTAAATGTCAGTGACACCTCTAGAAACCATAAACAAAAACAACTATGTCAAACGTACCACTACCGACAGCGGCTCTCCATCCCCTGCATAGATCAATTCCAAGACTGTTCCAGAAGCCTTCCCTTCTTCCATTCTACCTTGGCACCGGAACGGACCGTGGCTGAGTGATAAATACGGTGTTTCATCTCAGCTCTAGGATTGAGGTGAAGATCGTTGTGATTTGAACGGCTGGAGTTTGAATGACGAAGTCTAGAGTGCGAAGACGACGTATTTCTATTGCGAAGTGGAGGATTGGAAGATGACAAAATTTACATAATGGAAGTGAGGCAGGGTGTTTAAATGAGTTTTTCGGTCGTCTAGCTCTAATGGTTACTCAAATTATTTCGAAACTGCAGGAGTAAAAATTATAAAAAGTGTCATAATAACACAGCACGCTCGGCAAGCTAGGCATAACAACATTTGCGATATCTAGATGGACGTGACATTGACAAAAGGTCGTTATGCTGACTCCTGAGGGGTGACGGGACATTTTTGAAAAAGAAAAAAAGTGAAGATGACCAGGATTAGGGATTTTCAACTCCTAGGAAACAGAATAAGAAGAGCTTGTGAGCTATTGACAAGTCAGCATCAAAGCTCTAAGATGTTGTATTCAAGTGGATAGATAAGATACCTAGGTACACACTGAGGCTTACACTCTTGAATTCTTCGTGTAGACCGAGTGTGGGATTTGCATTGTCTTAAATTTAATCTGCCGAAGACATTTCGTTTCCGTCTGTAACATGATAAAAGATTCTAAGAAATTCTCAGCGATCACTTAGGAAGGGATGAATTAGTTCAATTGTAATTCTTTTAAACACCGAGAGCATGTTCAATAGCTATCCACAACAAGACCCTGGTTCTGTAAACCGCATATCTCAACACGTCCACTCATTTCTCTCCTCATCTTTGCACAAAACTATAACTCGTGCTCAAATGCGCCAAACTCGTACTCGTCACCGTAGCAGTCTGCGTACTTCGCGTCTGTATCAAAATCAGAATCATCTTCTCTCCTACCTCTTCCCATCACCCTTCTTGTCTCTTCCCCTCCCCACCCCTCCCCTTCCCTTTCATTTCCAAAACCAAATATTTAACAAGAAAGCAAAACTCACACTAAACTTCGTCCTCAAATCCACATCATACCTAATCGTCCCCGTCGTCGTCATCATCGCACTAGTAACAACACACGAACAAGCCTCGCCGAGAAACCACTCGTCATTCCGCAGGAACTCGGGAAGGGCGATGGGATATCGTTTGGCGAGGGCGGGAGCGAGACATGCGGGCTACATTATGAACCTCGACTTCAATTTTCAAAAGACGAGGGAAGGAAGAAATGACTTACGGGTTGTAATTCCGGACACGAACGATCGAACCACTACACCCGTTAACCTCAAATGTTTAAGTGTGATAGGAAGACGACTTACATGATTCGCATTATCCTCATCCCCCGGATTCCGCATCCAGCCCTCGGAGAGACTCACACCGTACATATCGCAACTACTCCCATCCCTCGTACTATCATACGTCACGAAACTCATGCACTTCTCATTCCGCAAACAGGCTTGTTTACACGTCTTCCCGTCTTTCACGTACGGGTTCGCGTGGTAGATGAGCGCGCCCTCGAGGAATTCGGATTTGAAGGTCCCTGATACGCCGCAGAGTGCTGAGGGGGAGGGCGTGGCGCAGAGGAGTACGGTGGTGGTGGGTGTCGGGTTGGTGGTGGTGGTTGTGGTGGTGAGGGAGATGGTGCGTGTTAGTGTGGTTGAGCCGAGGAGGGTGGAGGGCACGAGGAGGTCGATGTACGGTTGGAGGTAGGAAGAGCAGAAGGGGGAGGGTGTGAATGAGGGGTCGGGACTGGGTTGTGTTAGTTATTTCTCTTCATTTAATGGATGGATGGTTGAGAGGACGAACGGGTGGTTCATCTTGGAAACGAGGGAAATGATGTATGAGTTGGTTGTGCATTCTGGAGGGAGTTAGTGAGTGTTCGGTATTTTTCTGGAGTATGAGAGATATACGAGGTCCGAATGTCCAGCCTCCAGCGGGTGTTGCTCGTGGTTTGAGATCGAGTTCGGGTTTAGTTGTAACAACATTTTGGTGAGGACTAGCTGTTACAAGACTTGCTCCAATAACCAAAAGTACTGGAAAGATCATTTCGAAATGAACAGTCTCCTCAAGGATGCTGTATATAAATCTCAACTTGAATTCCAATAGAACTTCGTACCTTACAGCGCTTTATACAAACCTTTTCCCCCAAGACTCAACTCTCGTATTTCTCCTCGCTTATCCAGCTGCATGCCCGTGGATACTACTTCCCCAACTCGGCACCGTCTTCACAGGCTGATATACTTTGATACCCGCCATTCGCCAGTTACCTTTTAAGCATGATCTGCCAATGTTTTATGCGTGTCCGCCGAAGCTTTTCGTACCATTTTCGTTTAAATGGCCGGTCGCAATGACAAATTCACGGTGCGTGTGATTGTGAAAGAGCTTGGAACTGTGAGTAAGCCAGCAACGGAGCGAGATGTCCGCGGTGATTTGATGAGTAGAAATAGATGAGCAAGAGAATACAAATAAAATACGGAATGCGGGGTGGGTAATGAAGTGAGTGGTTCCCATTTTCTCGATGTAGCTAATCTTGGCGACAGGAACACTTGGAAAATGAATGAGATAGCAAGAAAGAAGAGAAGCACAAAGCATACTTGACAGCCATATATTTCATAAGATAGTGGTTGTCTGTGAAGATGTGTCAAAACCGAACGATTGATTTAGTATTTCAATAAATCAGATACCATCTATCATCTGTTCCCCACAGAGTACCAGCCATAACCACAGGTCAAAAAGCAACGCAAACCCAGCCTAACCATCGTATTGAATACGAAAGCAAATCAAAACATCAGATCGCATATATCCGTTCCGCTCAGCCTTGTCTCCTCACTTGCGAACTCGCCCAAGAAACAGTGTATTTACGACCATTCTCATCGTCCTAGTCGCATCGATTTTCGCGCTTCTTGGAGGTGATCGCTAGGTCGCAGACGAATTTGAGGGATTTAGTTTGGGCATGACTACGAATGTTCTGGTCAGCCTTCTGCTTTGCAAGGGATCGAGGTCCAAGAGCTTGAAACCCTCTTAGAAAAGAAAGGTAGAACATACAGCACCGCAAGAACCGCAGCTCTTTCCTCCGTCGCTTGCAACACCACACTTGGGGCAGGCAGCACCGTGCATATTTGCGGTTGGATGAGAGATAGGTACGGGTAGTGAAGATGATGTGTTTGAGGTTCTGAAGTTCTACAACCGTCACATTAGCTGATATATCATATGCAAGCGCATTATCATCGTCGTACCTTGTATGATATTTGAGAGTTGTGGTTGTAGTGGGGAGAGATCAGGAGAGGAGGGGTTACAGATAAGCAAAGGTAATAGCGCGGTCTCTGCTGCAAGTCATCCAACCCCACACCAAGGCTGGGTGGGGAAGTCCCAAAAGGGAATATAAATGTCTTGCGAGCCAGTCAGAGGGCGGCACGTGCGAATAAGCAATTGTTGTCAAAATGTGGGTACCTATCATTTGTGAATGTCCTTCGGATGGCCTTTCCGAGCACCACTCACACGTTATTCGATGTCGTGTTACGCGTAACGGTGTGGTATGGGGATAAGTGACAAATACCTAGGTAGACACGAGAGTGGGGGAGACGACCAACATACTTGAGAGTGTCTGAAATCCTTTGTTACAGGTAACCGCTAACCGCGCTTATAGCTGCAGTGATATAAATTTGCCTAGTGACCAGAGAAAATACCTGGCACAATAGTGTGGGCCGAAGAAAAGATAGAAAAAAAGAACGGCCCACCCAATCCAATCAAGTGCCAAACAGAGCGCCAAATAGCAATCTCTCTCCCTTTCAATATAACCGGGCCTGTGGCCATCCCAATTCAACGCCGATTCGTGATCAGTCCGCGGACGAAAGCAAAGAATGTACCCGTATTTTCAGAAGATGTAGTACTTTGACGCCGACCTGAGAATCCCAAACTTCCTTTCCTAACTGGAGACTTCGTAGACGAGCCTACAAGAGGCTTTTCGTTGTTGCTTTTGGAGGTAGTACGAGCATTTCGTATCGGTGATGCTCTACTGGATTTTTCCGTAGGCTCGTCTATTTGTTATTCGATCCCGTGCTGTTTTTTGAGCTGTTCTAAGTTGTCCTTGCGAGCCTCTAGATCTTCTTTCGATTTGACCATCTTCTCTGGCTGGTGGTAGAGCACTAAATAGATGATCAGGTCCTGCCATGTATATTGATGGGAAGTCAAGCGTACCAATGAGATAGCGATTCTGAAAGTTGAAGCCGTTCAACTTGTCGCATGCCATCTTCGCATCCATTACGTCTTCGAATACGACATAGGATGTGCCTTTTGTATTGTTCGCGATACCTTGGCGGATTTGACTGCAGCATGATCAGCAATTGATTTGTCAATACGGTGGGAGGCAAGTAGTGTAATAGCATACCGGATTGGTCCGAACTTGCCAAAGAGGTCGAAGAGCTCCTCTGGGGTAACGTTATAGCTATTTCGAGTTAGAAGATTGATCCGCAAATCTGCCATTGTTCCTCTGCTTCATGCGACGGACCTTAGATTCTTGACGAACAGTATTCTGAACAAAGGTTAGCTCATCATCCACAGCCTGGTGCTGCCGCCTGGCATCGCAATGGATCTCGCGGAACGTACCGATTGACCTCGGGTGCAAGCTTACCGCCTCGACTCATAGCTTGGCTATCGGTTTGCTGATTATGGTTACGTGGGTATGGTGGGTGGAAGTGTACGGACTTGATCGCGAGATGGAATGGAGATATCGGAGCGGCGCTGCTGCTGGTCGAAAACTGAGGGCGTCGGCCCGAGCCATTCCTGTTCGGGTTTGTTATCACGTGGCCTGTGCTTATCGCCGAACCATGAGTTTCACCCCCGCAACATCTCACCAACATCGATCAACTTCAATAATTTCCTATTTGAACCAATCAACTGTTTTTGAGCAAGAACACCTGTTATTGCATGCGTCACGGCTACGTGTGTTGCTCATATCAGCTTTCACTATGTAACCATATTGGACTCTTTCGTGCACTTTTATTCTTCGAGGCTTCAGTGGGTGGCTCAAGGCATACCTACCACCCAAAATAATGTCAACATCCTGCTCTGATAAGCTGCGTACTCGTCACTAGCCAGCTACCGAATGTCTTATCCGCCATGGATCTCCTAAGCCTTTCTCCAGAGCTTGTACAGGCTGTCCTGGTTCAAGCAATCATCTCTCGAGGCGTCCAGCGTGGTCTTCGGCTGAGACTGGTCAATAGTGTGTTTATTCCAAAGATTGTGATCTTGGCCTGTGAACTGATCGAAGTAGAGAGATTCGCGAATGAAATTATGCGTGCGCTTTTCGCATCTGGCTTGCTTGACACGTGGGCTAATCCACAAAATCGATCTCGAGAGAGTTTTGGTGTCGCAAGACAAGTTTGGACTGAGTACATGGAACAGCGCATCTTGACCTTCCGTGTGCCTGCATCGCTTGAACCACAAGAAAGTTTACTTCTGTTGCCCTTGATGCAGATATACACTACCGCGACTAAACTCTCTTCCATCGATGGTCTAGGGCCAACCAATAACTTCCGTGCCAATGTAAAAGCTCTATGCTTCTTAGCAACCTCGATCGAATGCTTCCGTCCTAGCTGGCTTACGACATTAGACAGTCCTCAAGTCTGGGATCAAAACAATCTCCTCGCTGCAGCGGCTTATTTGGGACACACTGATCTCACGAGAGATCTTTACCGAAGTGATTTTGGGAAAGGCTTAATTTTCAGCTTCCCAATGTCAGCTGCCGCTCTAGGAGGCCATATAAGTGTTCTGGATATCTTTCTCTCGGGAGCGACAAAGTCTGGTGTTCTAAGTTCTTTCCAACTCACTGACGCTGCGCGGCTTGCTGCTGCAGAAGGCCATCTGGCCGCATTTGATCTCTTGGTAGATGAAAAGTGGGAAAAGTATATGCGGAACGATCGCGAGTTTCTTCCCAGCCAGCGTTACAGAGACACACTCACCCTTGGACTGCGCAGTAAGAGCATTGGTGTCGTAAAAAGTGCTTTACAGAAGCTCCAAAACATGCCCCACGCAGATCACAACAGAGATTTGGAACTTATTGTACTCGGCGCCTCCTGCCAAGGGTACCTAGAGGTCTTGCAGGAGTTTTTGGGTTCCGATGATATCATTTCTGATCGGATTCTCGCCGTTGGCTTAAGCTGTGCATCTCTTGGAGGCAAAACAAAGGTGGTTGAGTATCTACTTGCCAGAGGTGCAGATCCGAATCTTTCGATGCCTCGTGGACAGCCTCTGCAGCTCGCGGTCAGTAAGGGTCATCTCAGCATCGCTCGATTGTTATTGAACAACGGCGCCAATTTAAATGAACCTGGTCCTCATTCTATTGTTCAACCTATCAAGCTTGAATATCTGGCCCTGTTTCGACTGCTACGAAGTCATGGGGCAGTCCTCAACACCCTCGAAAGCGGATGTGCGGCGCTTGAGCTCGCCTATAGCGAAGGACTTGATTCCATGCTAGAACTATTATTGCAAGAAGGAGATGAACTGGATGAGGCTGTGGAGGATGCTGCGATAGACTATAGACTGGTTGCAGTTCGCAGTGGAGCATATTTCCGTCGACTGCTAGCCTGGTGTAGAAAAGGTGGAGGTTTCAATACTGAGTTCAACCATCATGAAACCTGGGCAAGTTGGGTGTCACCTAATGCTCCTTTTTGGACCCTTCGGAGCAAAGGGCTAATGCGCTTTCCGTCTTGGGCTCCGCGACGACCGAGATCCGAATGTCCGTGTACTGTAATAAATCGTCGTGCTGATGAACCTCGACATCCAGCTCCTAGGCGGTTCGTACCGATTCAACCCCAACCGAACCTGCCTAGCCCTTGGAATCCACTTGTCGCAGTGGTGAATGTTACGAATGATTAGGGAAACTACCGTTAGGATTTGACATTGTTGGTGGACATTGACCATCTATTTGAAATTGCGATGAAGGCCAAGTAATCTCTTTGAGCACACGAGATAGCAGCACACATGTTTACAGATTAGGGCTGGGTACCTCATATTTCACTTCAAGTACAGGCAGGGATAAACACTTCCTTCACGTCAACTAATGGCTGTATCTAGATATATCAAACTCACTCTTTCGTCTCACATCTTTCCTACATGTCACAATATAAGGCTAGACGACGTTCATCTATTGCGGCACCTTTTCCTATGAAAAGCCATCTTATCCATCAAGCCGATGTTTTGCACTAGTTAAGTCATGTCTGATGGTTACCGCGCCCACATCACAATATTGCAATTAAAATATTTCGACTTCGTTTAAGATCCTGCTTATGCTCTATTGGGAACTAAGTTGCTAGCTCTTCCACAGCCAAACGTAGTTTAAAGAATATGGGCGTCCGTTGCTGGCCTATCATCGCTCTTATCCATGCCGACCTTGAGGCCTACCTGCATGGTATGGTTCTATTGGCTAAGTACAAGGCTACGAAAGCTGCTTTGGCGAACCCGCCCGATTTCAACCTACAAGGGTATCAAGGGGCCTCAACACCTACCGAGTAGATATATATTCCAACCTCGTCACTCGCTGCTTTCTTCTTTCTTCAACCCAAACGCATCACAGCCATTGCGCCTGTGATTGTGTTCCAAAATCTTTTCGGTCGCACAACTTCAGATTCCATAGGGATAGGTACACCACTCGCAACGAGCGGAGCGTAATCTCCGCATAAAACCCCATCTCGTCTAGCCATGAACGACATCTAGGTTATAATAACGACCTCAACGACCTCATCCTCCCTTTCACCAGCCCAACCGAATGGAACGAACAACAGATATGGTTTGGATTATCTGTTGACACTCTTTTCACTTACTATAATGGCGAGCCTTGCGTGGAACATAGCGAAGTCTCGGTCGTTAGTGGTTCTGACGCCTTGCCATCTTCTCCAACTTCACATAGTCTTGGAATTCCAAGCACAATCTCGAGTCCCGAGTCCAAAGGTCTTTTCACCTCAGATGCTTCGAATCCTGTCGCTACGAGTAGCACAAACTTTTCAGATGCAATCCCTCCTTCGTCGATTTCACCTCCAAAGCCAGAGGTTGAAGGTGGCGCGCACCCACTGCCATCTCAATCTGCTCCCGTGTTTTGGTGTCCGCATTGCCCTGTCTCTCGCAGTACTCAAGCATTACTCAAGTAAGTCTACAAATTCACTTATCTCTCAAGCACATCTTAGAAATCTTGCTCACATATCCTCCCACCAGCCGGCATCTCAATACTCACGTCAGGCCCTATCCATGCAATTTCCCAGGTTGCAGTAGTGCCATGGCCACACAGCGAGACCTCGACAGGCATCAAGACAAGCATGGAAGAGTGCGGCGGTACTTTTGCGGACTCGCCTCATGTGACTACAGCGTCCATGGTCCTCAAGGCGGGTTCTCGAGACGCCTGGACAATGCGAAAAGACACGTTAAGACTCACGAAATTGGACACACGAATGTTGTGAAAGAGAATATTCTAGGGCGGCTGGAAAATGTTGGATGATGGGTCAGAGGTCGTTGTTTTTGAAAGATGTTAGACGACGGGGCATGTGCTTGCTTCTTGGTGTCTATCATTTCCTTTTACAACAGATTTGTGTAAACATTGATGTTACATGGAAAGATCCAGAGGATTACAAAGCCATGCCTCGTCATCGTCCAGAGGAGGGCATTGAACATCACCCTCTGCTTGGGACATCATATTTCGCCATTTGTCATATATTTCTTTGTACTAGGAAGTTCTCGTATCAGTTCGAAGTGCTAGAAACAGACTCGAATAGAAGATGGATCCTCTGCAACCGGGCAATCGACCAATTTATATGTTTAAATGATTGGAAGAGTTTAGCGAATTGGTCTCCACTCTTTCGATGTGACAAATTGGTATATGAAGCTGTGAGTAGTTTTATAAATGCAAAGTATTGACAGTTTCTCTCATTAACAGGTAAGTACCGCGTTGTACCCATGCATATCAATAATTAATAACTACACATAAATGTGAGAACAATAGCGCTAGTTTGCACTACCCGAAATCTATACTCAGGATTCTTCCAATCATGTGATTCAGATTAAGCCGCCCAATCTTCTCAAATGCTCTATTTTCATAATTCTTCTCTTTCACTTTCACATCACCTTCAAAAACACACATGTTAAATCATCTAACTTTTTATTTCTTATTTCCCACTCGCTTAAAATATCAAAATACCTCCTACGGAATTCCCTACCCAAGATGATAGAGTGCGTTACTCTGTTTTCTCATTAGGTCCAATGATACAAGGAAACCCACACAGATCCCCAACCCTATACTCAGCGTTATTGTAATCCTCTTCTTCCTCCTCAGAGAGCAGCGATTTCAGCGTTTTGGGCGTTGGAGGAAGTGGTTTATTCGGTGGTGGGTTCGGATTCTCCGTGTCCTCGGACGAAGATTGGGTGGTGGCAGATTTTGGTGGTGTATACTCCTCAGCAAATTCACCCTCCAACCCCCTGAGCTCCCCCTCGCTCATCCCCTCAATAGCATCTAACAACATATCCACCATTTCCTGTCCCAGCCCGCCAGGATGTTGGCGCGCGAGGATATAAGTGCGTGCTCGCAGGCGGAGCGTTTCGAGTTGGGAACACATGGCTGTATTATCTTTAGCCAACACATCTTCCAACTCTCTCGATTCCTTTGTCTCCATCGGCCGGTTTACCACATCTAGCAGAAGATCCACCGTATCATGGCTCAGACCGCCCGGGTATTGGTGAGCGAGGATGTGGGCGCGGGCTTGCTGGCGGAGAGTTTCGAGTTGGGGAGACATTTTAGGAGTACTACTTCGGATGATACTGCTTAGCAGATTGATGCGTTGTTAGGAGGAGATATTAGGGTCTTGATATAGATACTTAAACAACATGTCTTGAATTCGATTGTTTATGCTCGCTTATGAATGAAAGATCATATTAGGGTGAATGCACAATGGTATTGTTGTTGTTTTGGTGCTTTGTTATTAGGTTTCTTTGTCAGGGAGCTTTATTAACACTGCGACCGTATATTATTATTTCAATAACTGCTTATAAAGTTATTAAATCAAAGTCGTGCAATTCCATCTTTGATCAATAACAGTCAGGTTTACGGAGATGGCGAATATAATCACGCAGGATAATCTCGATGCTTTTCTTGATCCGAATTGGGAGGATGAGAGTTCGAATCCACCAACATCACCACCACCACGGGAAGCGATTGTTCAAGCGCCTAAGTCGGAAATGATGGTTTCGAGGAAGACGACCGAGAAACCACTCCCGCCATTCCTCACTCCAGGCGCCTCACCCTCATCCTCAAGCTCACAACTACCCTCCTCTCACGCGTCTTCCCTCATGAATCCTAACTCACCTCCCATCAACCACCCGCACTCCCTCATCCTATCCACCTCCACCCACCCAGGTTCCCTCCGCGACTACCTCATCAACCACGGCGCACTCACTCTCGAACAAATCATGCAGCTTACAGCAGAGAAGTTCCCGGTTATGAGCGAGAAAGATGTGGTGAGGGTCATGAACACTGATATTGCGAGAGGTTATTTGAAGAGTGTTTATTTGAATGGACGGGGGATGGGGTGGGGGAGGTTTTTGTGGGTGTGGGTTTAGGGGGGTGCGGAGGAGATCTTTCTCGGAGTCACCATAGCGAGAGGGAAAGAGGATGAGATCTTGCAAGCTTGATTGTCTGCTATCGATGTAGGTGTTGCAGGCGTTGGTTCTTTGTTGCAGAGAGGAGAATGAAATAGAAGATATCTGAAAGAATGTGAAATTGTGTGAAGTAGTCAAAGGTGTGAACTCAATGAGAGGTGGTAGCTAAGACCTTGTAAATAATAAAACCTAGAAGTGGACTTCCGCTATTCGTTTACATTCGACAAGATAATATGAGGTCTGGCAGGGTATTTTGCGTAGCTCGGCGGCTGTCAATATTGATAATCTTCTTCCACCAGGCAAAGGAAAGAAATGAAAAGTTTAGCTCTTGACACATTGTGAAGTCCAGAAAAGCAGTGGAACCGAAAATAAGAAACTTTTCATCATATTAGAGTAAGGTAAAAGTGAAACGTTCATCCTTGTCCTATGATAGGTCCAACCTAATTCCGCTGATGATAAACATGAATAAGCGCTTAGCGAAGGGAACGAAACTTCTCTTGCCTGGAGAGGAATGAAAAGGGGATAATCGTAACGTCCGACCGTCCTTCTGTCACCAGTTTTCTCACTTTGTTGCTGTGCGTTTCGAAGCCTGAAATGAACATCTCGCTATGCATGGGATGCACTCTGAGGTGGATGAGAGGAGGGCCAACTGAATCGAAATCCCATGGTTTGACGCATTCGGATTCATGAAAAAATGAGTAAATTGATTAATATGTAAGATTCGTTATTAAATTCGATATGAAAGTAGATTACAAGATGTTATAGATCCTGTTGGATAAATAATTGATGTGCTGAAAACGAGAAGATCAAATTGGAACCAGCTGGTCGAACGTTGCATGTGAATCACGTGACGCTGATAAACTTGAAACATCGAGGCTAAAACAGCCAAGTTGGTGGTGATGACCGCTTGAGGCAGAAACACCACATGCAAAACATAGCCACAGCCAAGTAAACGGAGTAGGACAATAATCCTTAACGCGGCTCCTTTTGTTGTCCTATTTACCGTCATGTCAATCTCTGCATACAACGACTTCTTCATCAAATTCTCCTTGTGATTCTCAAACTCCTATCTAATTAATCTCCACTGAGCCATATTACTAGCGTCGACGGCATCACATCGGCAGCGGCTCCATCCATGAATAGGGTCAACGCCTCATTCTAAATTGACGACATCCACCTCGACCCTCCATTTGTCATTCGCCCTAACAGCAACCCTCTCTGCATCCTCGGTATTGCTTCGTTCCTTGATTTATCGTCGAGAAGAACTAGCACGACAACTCCCCTCACCTCGCCACCTCTAGCAAATGCTACCTCCTCCGGGTCTCGAACCCACACTCACCTCAGTCCTCGAAGATGTTACCTCCTCTCTCTCCTCCGTTATAGCCAGCGCCACATCTGCAAACATGGCGACAGCGACATCCTCGATATTGGCTGCCGTTGCAAGCGCCACCGCGACCGCGATAGCAGAAAGCAGTAAGGATGGGGGTTCGAAGAAGGGTCCCCATGATGGCGAAAACACAGGAGAATGCCAGCTGCTAGGACCGTTTGCGATATTGGTACAGGGTGCGCTGGGATGTATGGCTTTGTTGGCGTTGGTATATAAGAGATGGAGGGAACGGCCACAACGACCGCTGAAAGTATGGTCGTTCGATGTCTCGAAACAGGTTGTGGGAAGCGTGTTGGTACATATCGCGAATTTGCTTATGAGCATGTTGTCTTCCGGCCAGTTCAGTATAAAGGTGGATTCAGCTGTCGTGTCTCAAAGACTGAGGAGAGCGGTGGGTGCGAATGGGAAATACACGCCGAATCCATGTTCGTTTTATTTGTTAAACTTAGCTATTGACGTAAGTTCAGCTCCTTTCTCTGTTGCTCTATCATTGCTAACATTACATCAGACAACCATCGGTATTCCGATTCTTATCTTCCTCCTTCGAATATTTACAGCGCTTTTCGCACGTACCCCGTTTGGCAATCCTCGCGAATCGATAGAGTCAGGTCATTATGGTACACCACCAAAAGCCTCATGGTGGGCAAAGCAATCATTAATATACTTTCTGGGATTAATGGGCATGAAAATTTGCGTACTCATTATTTTCCTCGTCCTTCCGTGGATATCTAGGATCGGAGACTGGGCATTACGATGGACGGAAGGGGATGAGGCACTCCAGGTTATCTTTGTGATGTTGATCTTCCCAGTGATCATGAACGCCACTCAATACTACATCATCGATTCTTTTATCAAGAACCAAAATACCGAGCACGCGCACGAACGAATCCCAGACGATGAGGATACGGACTCAACTCACGGAGACGCACCGTATGAGGATCCAATAAGTGGAAGCAGCGACGATATAGATTCGGACGCAGAAGACGTCTTGAAAGCCAAGCCAGACACGACCAGGAAGGCTAAAGGGAGCGGGAGTAAGCCCAGAAGTCTACAGACCGGAAGCAAAGACTACGATCCCATGTTTGACGGAGAGAACAGTCCTACGGTCGTCGGGAGCGCGGGTACGAGCGACAGGACCAAACTGATCGGCACAGACGACGAGAGCGTGAAGAAGTAGCTCTGAACATAGAATTCGCGTTCCTTAAGTATATCTATAACTGTGTCAATATGGGATTCGGTTTGGATTGTACATTTCGTTGCCTAACAGCGATATAATGGCTGTGGTGAGAATGCTGGAATTTGCGTGCATGCATGGTGTTTGGTGTTGCTGGGAAGAGCTTGTAGAGTTTGTGCTTAGCGGATTTTTGGGGAATGACAATTCTTATTCCATCTCATTTGTGGGATTGTGATTTCGTTCATCCTTCCTCGATAGTCCCGGTGGGGACGTGCAGGTTATGTGGTGATCAATTATCCCAATAACATAGGTGAGCAACGACGACATGTGTTTCAACTGTAGTGCGGTACAGCCCGCATCAAACGACTTGCGTTCGCTCAATTTCTAGGTAAGATCTCCAACCTATGGTAGCCCCTAATACGCGCTTGAAACTTATTCTTGCTAGGACACTGCCTTAATCTCCATGATTTAGGGCAAGAATGGTCACGTTCAGAAGAATAGCTCAGGTCATTGCTGATGGGTGTCAGTCTATTCCAAAGTCCAGATCCGATCCAAGAAGCCAATGATATACAAGGTTTACAAGGACGCGAAAGGCTTCTAAGTTTTCCAATGCATGCGCGCCGAGTGGTCGCTTCATTGGACGTCTCTGAACTCATGTTCTTACATTGAACACTTACGAGGACACCCTTGATCATGCAATGTCACGATAAGCCAAATGGTTATTCAAGACTCGAATCTTTTTGTTTGAAGAAGCTTTTTAGCGAATGTTGAATTCGTTTATTTATGCTATCTACCTAGATACCTTGCGGTCGTTTCAAAGAAGAGAAATGCACGGCCACTTGGCAAGTGCCCTACATCCTTATTTTCTATCCCGAAATTTCCTTCCTAAGAAATAAAGAGGCCTGTCGAAAATTTGTGTTTCCATTTGCGTTGGCGTTTTCTGCTATGTCCTTTCCTTCCACATTAGCTACTTTCTTGCTTGCTATTTGACTGGGAAATTCATACCTGAGAACTCTCTAGCAGATGAATCTGATAGAGCGCGAAACACCAGCGGAGCTGACTTGGTATCCTCGGTTTGGACCGGTGGTTCTGCAGGTTGGTGCCGTTGGCGGAGTACCAATTGGCTGGCTGAAATTGCCGTAAGCGGTTCCAGTGCATCCGAGACCGGTATAGGTGATCACTTTGAATGATATCAGCATCACTTCTAAATCACTTCATCATCTACTTACATCTGCACTCAGGGTGTCCATTAACATGAGCATTGATGAAAAGAGCACCGAAGGGTGTGGTCTGGTCGTAGCAACCTTGCTGGTTAAGCGTAGGTGTGCGAGTGAGTCCTACTGGGTTGATCTCGACCGTTTGGGTGCAGTCGTTGTAGAGACTGAGGGAGAAGATCTGAGGGTTGGGATCTTGGCGGGCTTCGACGTTTGGTGCGGCGACTGCGGAGGAGCTGAGGAAGACCGCGACGGTCATGATGAGGCTGGAGATGGCGACCATATTTGCGGTTTGTTGGATTGAATGAACTTGAAAGTTGTGAGTGTTGTTGATGAGAAGATGGGTGCTGTGAAGTGAGGAGGTGTGTGGGTGATTCTTTTTCTTCTGGACGAGGAGAAGAGGGGTTTATATACATGATTTCCTGGACTGTGGATCAAGTTCTTCACACCGGTCCTTCACCATCTTCCAACACCAGTGGCAGTGTTCAACAGCCTCGTCATTGTTTCTTTTCAAAGTTCGGTATTTGTCTCACCTACATTCCCATGACATCCAGAACCAAGCTACCAACCTGAACGCATTACGTTGAATGTGCTCGTGTAGACATTATAGGAAACTGCCGAGGAAGCTTTTCTTCTTTCGCTCGGCGGACGTGGTGTTCTCTTAAACCTGTGCATCTCTTTGGCTATCGTTCGCTTGGTAGACCTCATGCTTTCTTACTTTCGCCTCTTTGCTTGGTTCTTGTGGGCTTGTTCATTTGCTGTGAGCTGAGATGAGATTATATCATCGCATGAGTTTTAGATACACGAGACCACTTGATTGGAATTGAACACACTGTGGAAACTCGTATTCTCATTGAAGCTTGTTCTAGAAGCTCGATTTTGGAAAGGCATGGCTATAAGCAATGATACTCTGGTACCGAAAGACCGAGTGCAGTGTCTACGTTGCTCCTAACGTAAGTCACTTATATCAGAGCAGTGCTGACGGCTTAGTAGAAAGATCACGCTGGTTTTGAGTTATATCAAGGATCCATATAATGATCTTGCAATCAATGAAGCACACTTAGTTGCTATTATCAAGCCTTCAGTCAGTTTTGATAATGTAGGAGGCTTTCCAGGTGTAAGTCGTTGTCATGATTTATCAGGTCCTGCTGTGTACCTCTGAAGAATTACGAGTTTCATTTGGGCAAAAAACATCTGTTGGTTATTCTCCAGTGTCACAGACGTGTAGAGAAATCACTTAGTCACATCAACCACCTTTCCAAGCAAACAACTAAGAAATTGGCATTTCTTCCAATTACAATCCCCACGCATATCCTCATCTGCGCCTCATTCATACCTCCGTAGCATTGTCGTAATAAAGTAGGTCTCGTGTGTAACTAAAGTCAGCTTACACTTACCCTCTACGGAATAAGCCCAGTCAACATCTATCTTCATCTCGGCTTTACATACACAATCTCAGTGCCTCTTAGCAAACTACCAACCTATCACCACCCCACAAAGAGCTCCGTTCAAACCCAACCTCCCAATCAAACATATCCTTATTAAAGCCACTGCATTCTGCGTCTTTTCTCCGACAATGTCAGCCTCTGCAGATCCGGGGAACTGATCCCCCCGCAGCCGAATCTGACTTGTGTAACCACACCAATCCACTCGAGCGGTATTGATGCTCGGAGTGATCCGAAAAATGCTGGCTACACCGACCTAACGTAGTACGAGTTGGCCATTTAGAAGCATCCGAGGAGCCGTGGCTTCCAGTGAGGTGGATAACCTTATGTCTTACCACATCATGTGAGGTGGGATTTTGGTAAGATAGTTGGGGTGATGGCTTGTGGTGTTGCCTGATTTGAGGCTTATGTTTGTTGATCTAGGGTATTGGGTTTTTTGTAGGGGGGTGGGAGGCTCTGGGAGGTGATTTGTATTTTGTGGGTGGAGTTTTGAGATGTTGAGTAATGAGCGAGGAGGTGTTTCGAAAAGCTCGGAATTTGAAATTAGCTTACACCGCTCTCATTCTAAAGAAAAAACTTTATGGATGAATCTAGAAAGTGCGTCTCGAACCCTTTAATCATCTCGGCTTTTACACGCAATCATTTGAATTATTCTGGGTCTCCTTACGTGAGTCTCGGAATTACAATAATCAAGTGACCAACCACGAAATCCACTCTCCGTCAAATACCAAAGAAGTACTACTAAGTGCTGACATACAAATCTAAGCTATAGGCCATCAACATGACAGTGATGTAGATTCCAACAATTAGAGTCTTGGTAGCGGCGAAGTAGATCCTGCGTTTTACTCCCCTTACTCACTTACAAAAAAGAGACGTTACAGTGGCGCAGTAAGTAATCTAGTGCTTTTTGATGATGGTCCAATGTGAGGTGCGGTTGTTGTCGGCTTTGAGGACTCTAGGAGCAGTTCACCAGTACGTTGCTTTTCTGGACATCTACTAGGGTAGATTGACGAGCCTCTATCAAATCAGTCGCCTTGGTCTGAATTGTTGTCTCTATCGAAAAAAATGAATGTACTCCAAACATAAGAGCGTTATGAAATACCCTTTTTTAGCCTTATTTTAGTTGGAAGATAGACAGTCAATCTTGCAATTCACCAGTCGTTATCGATGTTTGGATCCTCGCCGGTATATCAGTTTCAACTAATCATTTACCTGATATCAAGGTCAAGGTTAATAGGTCGTGGTATTTAGAGCGAAGTAAATCACCAGTAATTATGGTGTAAACTGGGGCTGTTTCGATTGGAAAGGGAGTATCTGGAAAGTTATGAGTACTATTCACCAGACTTTCGGATATAGTTACATCAACATAAAATGGAGATATGTGAAATAGTCGTTTGAAACTGATTTGACCGTATTCTTTCAACTTCTTACTTCTCAAGCTATGACTTTTACCCGGTACAGCGTTGAACTTTTGTGACAATGAACTTCTTTTCATTCCGTAGTGTCCTCCAAAATTTTGTGAAGTTTCTCCACCCCACTTTTCTCCAACTCTGAACTCTACTCGCGATAAAACCGACTCTCCGTAACAATACACGTGTCCTCCCTCTTAGCCTCAGCCAAAAGCGCCTTTACTTCTTCTCCGGGAATCCTCTTTATCTCCTTCTCTGGGAGGTTGATAATTCGATCTGCATTCAAATCATAAAGGACTTGCTGTACCCAAGTCCGACAATCGATGTTTCCAAACATTTGATAGTCTATCAGAGGGAGGTCAAAAGCGCATTTGCTAACAGTTTCGTGCTTTTCTGGCTGAATCGTAGCGACTTTGAGAGCGACACTGAGGTTTTTGGAAGTTACGACTGACTTGGTAGGACCTCCGGCGTGGCGCCATGGTCCATCGACATTGGCTATCTGAAACTTTTGTCCTTCGCGTCCTTCTTTGTGGAGATAAAGTCCCCAGTGCGGGGAAAATAATCCTTGTCCAGTGATCAATATGTAGAGTCCGTTTGGATCGAAATGATGGTAGGGTTGATCCGGTAGGCTGCCATTGGAGTTCATGTTGAAGCTTTGGTCAAAAGTCGATTTTGCGAGCTTGGGTTGAAATTGGAAAGTGATTTCAGATGTTTCAATATGGTTTCCTAATAAGGGGAAAGTCCAATATACATATTTAAATTCACTGGATATATGTACTCGTAGAATGCGTTTGCTTGTCGGTCTTGTGCTGTATGAGTGAATTTGACTGAAATATGGACAACAACAACAACGAAAGAAAGGTTTTGCGATCAGAGTCAGAATAGTTGAACCTGCCAGGGCTAAGTTTGTTACTCCAGCTATTTCTGTTAACCATATGAAACAATCTCCATAGTTCAAATGAACTTGGAGTCATTTTGTTGAAAACAGATCTTATCAAATGATGTCAGAGTATGTTTGCTTAGAAGAAGTGGAAACATTTTTCTTGTCTCTAATAATAAAGCTCTAGACTCTACTGTCTACAATGTCTACCGATGTCTACAACGCATTTGCTACCTCCCACAGCTTTCTCAGATAACTTGTAGGCTTCTTCTTGCATGTGTGACAATTCCTCCGATGAAGTGTTGATAATCCCCACCCTCATAAGTTCCGAGAGAGCTTGTCCCACCCAGTATTGGCTCAAAGCTCCTCCACCTTGTTGATTATATATTTGCCGTACGGTATTAACCACATTTTGGTGGTTATGTAGCGGAATTATGGCTAGTTTGAGAGCAACGAGAAGGCTCTTAGAAGTAATGACCGTTTCATTGTACCCCCATGTATTACCGGATTTGCACAGATCTAGTACGTATTTTTCTCCTTGGTGGTATCCTTTGTGAAGGTATAGTGCCCGGTATTCTGGTGATCCATTCTCTGGATGAAAAAGGCACATGTAGAGTCCATTTGGATCAAATTGGTCAAAAGAGTGATCTGCGGGAAGAGGTTTTCGAGAACTACAACAATTGCCCATTTTTCGGGATCGATCAGTCGTCGTTACTATAACCTTAGCTTTTATTGAAAGCGAGAATTGGAAAGTAGATAAGACCAGTACAAATAATTTTGGAGGTGTAAACTTAGAGTACATGTTGGGATTTGCTCTGCAATATATATGTCTCCACAGCCTGATTGTTGACACCCCTCACAGATGTGAGTATGATATGACTAGGAAAAGAAAACTGAAAGGACAAAAAGAATAGAAAATAAATATGCAGCATTCAGGATCTGACTAACTAAATTGCAGTCACGTAAAGTTTGCCCGATCAATAGCGTGATCTTGCTGTTAAATCAGTATTGCTCATTTAAAGAATGTAGGGCTCTGGAAATTTGATGCTACTTTCAGATGTTGAAAAAGCCAGACTGTGTCGAAATCGAAGACGTAGTCATTTCATGGTTTTCATGTAAGTAACGAGTCTGCATACTTTACCCCCTGTAGTATTTACTTTTGAAAATAACGCATTTCTTATCCTTCGTAGCCTTTTGTGCCCATTCCCTAGCTTCAAGTTCCATATATCGTACTCGATCTTTCTGGATAATGATACCTTTCTCTTCGTCAAGTTCCAAAAGCGCATCCAGTACCCAAGTTATACACGAAAGCTCCCCAAATCCAGTATCTTCTAACGGGACTACAGCAAGGCGTCTTCTCAGAGCTTCGTGTGTTTCTGGACGAATCGTAGAGACTTTGAGACCGGCGAGAAGACTTTTGGATGAAACAACCCTCGTAGTGGATTTAGCGTGGTAGAGCCATGGGCCTTCGGAGTTGGAAATATGGAAGGTTTCCCCATCGTTGCCGCTTTTGTGGAGGTAAAGTCCCCAGTGGTAGATTGTGCCGAAAGAGCCTCCTTGATCGGTGACTAATATATAGAGTCCGTTGGAATCGAACTGGTGAGTTTGCGCGTCTGTCTGCATAGGCGCTTGAGAGTTAGTTTCAGAGTTCATTTTCAGGATTCGATGGAGGAGATAGTTTTAGGAGATTGATTTCAAGAGGGTTAAATAATTACAGATATTGAAGTTCACCCTAGATATACGGCCGCAAGACGATCTTGAAGAGAATTCTCACCAACATGAGTGAATCAACAGAAAGCCAAAGAAATACACACTCAGACTTTGAGTGGCTGCACAGTCAGTTACAGTCTGCTGAACAAGTATTTGTCTCACCATTTGCTCAAGTCTTGAGCTCTCAAGTATTTGACTGCTTCATCATCATGTTAATCAGAGGTCTTAGAGATAGAGATTCATGGCGAAAAGTGAATCTTTGATCTGGTGAGAAGACTCTGACTCCAGGAAATAGAACAATGGCGGCTTACAAAGTGTTCCCTCAGAATCCAACAAACTATTCTAATTTTGTCTGGAAGCGCTTTCGAAGGTAAAGGATTCTATGACTGTTTGTTAAGTGAGGGAGTTAAGTCACATTTCGATCAATTTTAAATGTATCAAATCTGCAGACTAGATGTTGATGAGAGAGCTGTAACATTACAATAAATGGTTGAAGTCACCTTTGTAAACATGCGAAAAGTATTCCAAGGAAGCAATTAAAATGTATCTCTACCCAATTACAAAAGAAATGCCATGAAGTAATTGCACTGACTCACGAACGACAGCATCCACCTTAAACTGAGTATCACACATACACTATAACGATGATTACACATTGAACAACATCATATCTAATACAGACTTTGAAAATCAAGTTAGTTCTTTCTCATGCGACAATCGTCACAATATGACATTGCATATTCGACCAGCTATGCAGCATGACTTGTGGGCTTCTATAACTCCTGATCGGATGAAGCAAAAATACGTGACTCAGATACAAGTGAGCGTCTCAGACTAATAAGATGTGGCATGACAGAGCTCTCTGAAAACCCCAAAAAATATAGTCAAAGTTGAGTCGTGACATTTGGCTCTCATGGTAAAAGTGAACCATGGGTCAAACAGCTACCCATTCACTTTAAGTACACCCAGTCTTGTTGAAAATGGATCTAAGTCAGTCACCATAGGTTTGTTCAATAGTATGTCGACTAGAGACCGCTTTAGAAATGCAGTAGGCATTGTTACACATTCTTGAAAGCCGAATCAGCTGAACTCGCATGTGCAATAGGTTCCGTAAAGTCCATTGCAGAATGTTTTATAGCTTTCAGCTTTCCAGACATAGTCAGATCAAAATGTTACGAGCAATTTTTGCTTTGAAACGCTATTGTAGGTTATTCTTCCATCCCAAATTTAGCTCCTCGTTTTGGGCATCTATGTCTTAGAGAAGATACAATGCTCGCTGGCTTTAATTTTCTTCCGAGAAATCCACGACGCGTCCTGAGCCATCGCATGCGCCTCCTCCCCGATACTCTCAGCCATATCATCCCGAAACCTAACAAACATGTTTCCACCCTTATTCAACTCACACAACGCTTGTAGAACCCAAGTATCCACACTAAGACGCCCAAACCGCTCACTGCTTCTCACTTGAATTTCTCTGATACGAATCCGCAGACTTTGATGGAAAGCAAGCGGGACATGAGCCACTTTAAGGCCAATCAACGTTTTTCTATCTTTCATCACGTTGAGGACAGGGCCGGTTTGTAGATTCCATTTTTCGTCTTAGTCTGCGTCCGGTGTACGCACGGCGCTTTTTTCAAGGCCGGCAAGCCAGCCTTTGTCACCGTTGTAGTGAAGATAGAGTTGCCAGCGGAGTCTGGACGACATAGTCTTTTGGATTATAAGAATACAGAGACTTTCGTTTTCGAATTGCGGAGGTGTGCTGCTTTGGGATACGGATGGCTGAGAGGTGCTGCTAGAAGCCATGATGTGTGTTTTTTGAAGAGATTTGATGGGAAGTGGGATGGTTGAAATAAGGCTTCAAAGTCTTGCGAGAATGGAAGTTACACAGAAACCGGTAAATATATGTGGCTTACTAAAGTTACGCTTACAGTTGAAAGTCCTAAATCGTAGGAAGATAAAGCTGCACCTATAAGTAAACATCGGCATCAAAGTTTCGGCAAGCAAACATGGTCCAGTGAGTTTATTTATGACACAAAAATTGATAATGTCTGAGCCATATAGTTTTCATACTAGTCTCTGACTCTTTATATGACACTGAAAGTATAAACATTCTTTATGTGCAGTTCTAAGCGCAACTTGACTCACACACCTGTTTGTCTTGCAGAAGAGAAGGGCAAATAGAAAAACAAAGACCTTCAATGACCAGACCTCCTAAATGAGAAGTAAAAGAAGGAATTGAGAATATCAGTAAGAGGGAGGGAGAAAAATTTACACTAACTGAACCTGTAGAAATGAGTTGTTTTGTTAGTGTTTCGCTCGCCGGCCGCGGACTGTCTACTATTGTCAAAACTGTATGTTAACCACACTTCCAGAAGTCTCTAAATTTTGAGTCATTTCCTAATGACGTCGATAAAATGACAAACTGGGCTCTACATCATACTTTGCAGTATATTTATAGTGTCAAATATGATAGTGAGGCAAGTCACAGTCCCAACGTACTACATGTTTTTGACTTAGTGGAAGTCATCAACAATATTCACAATCACCCAACAAACAAACTCTCCATGTTAAAATTCTTGTATTAACTCAACTTAAACACTCCTCCTTAAACAGAACAACTTCGTCGAACGTTCCCTTTGTCTAGCCCTAAACCCATATTCCTATAATTCTCCTCAAAGAAACCATTTCCCTTTCTCCATTTCCCCCTCTCTCCCCACCCCCCCACACAAAAAAACACCACCATGCACACCACGAACACCACATCCGAACTCCACACAATCCACACCTTCCTATCCCATTTCCACCCCTCCCAAATCCCAACCTGGAAACACACGCCCTACCCCTCCCTCCCCACACGCCGCAAAATCGGCGTCCTAATCACAGAACACACCGCCCTAACCCTCCTAACCCACTTACCAGACTACACATGTGCGCTCTTCCCTTTCCGCTCCCGGGAAACGGAGATGCTGAGGTGGTTTGGGGAGGGGTATCGGGAGGCGCTGGAGGTGTGTTTGGATGGGTATGTGCCGAGGACTAGGAGGGGGGAGGTGTATTTTCCGGTTATGAAACAGCTTGTTTGGAGGATTTGGAGGAGGGGTGTGGGGGGGAGGGGAAGGTGGAGGTGGTTGAATGATTTTGAGGATTTCTGGTGTATGTCTTGGGATAACATAGGGCTTTTTTGACCGGAGCATTGTAATGGTGCACAAGAATCCTACCTGCTAATTTGAAGATATTTAGCTGTCATATGTTGTCACTTTAGCGTGTTGATAACACCTGAATGAACCGCACAATCAACACACGTTTGTTGTGAGTCTATGGTCAATTAGCAGAGCTAACAAAAATGCCTCTTTACTATTGTGTTGCTTGTTCCTTCTTTCCTTGCAGGAAATCGGTGCGCAAGTCTTGTTGTGTTTCATGAAATGAGGACGCCCTCTAAAAAGGTGGAGCCTTACCTAGGTATTATCCGAGATTCAGCCTGACAGAAACCTAACTCAATGAAGACCAAGACCTAAAGAAGAAGTCGGGTTTGGTCTGGATATCCGAGAAAGAAACGATGTTTCGCCTTTACTGGTCGGTTTTCTCGACTTGAAAGAGCGCAAACTCGAAGGGACTGACATAGTAAAGGGATAGGCAGCTTCGAATTATAACCAATTTGCTAAACTGTGAACAGTAGCTATTTGGATACTCGGGGGGAATGGCAACATGCTCACTCACAACGTTGCTGTCAAGTCTACTTTCAGTGCTAAATAGAGTGTCTGTACACCACACGAAACGAGCATTAGGCGAAGCTTAAAAATTAACCCATCATTAAAGCAGGAAATTACTTCATCCTTCATACTACATATACATTCAAATCATCACACAGAAATAAAACCACCACTCACTCCCCATGCGACGCCCCCTTCCAATCCACATCCCCACTACTCCTCTGCTGTACATGCTGCCACCTAAGTCCACTAAACCCAATCAACGCATTAAACGCCTTATCCCTGCCAATCATATTCTCCAGCGTCACGATCTGCGGCTCCATAACATCGCCTTTCAAATCCGCGACTTGTCCCGTACGTCTAAATCGGATCTCCAGTTTATCCATACCCGTCGAATGTTTGACGATGGGGGTGAGTAAAGAGGAGCGGGTTCGTTGTTTGGAGATCTCGATCATGTTTTGTAGGGGGTGCGTGAATGTGTGTTTGTCGGAGGCGATGCGTGATTGGAAGCGTACGGTGTTGGTGGAGATGATGAAGTGACCGGGGCGGTTTTCGAATGTGCAGCCGAAGGAGAGGATGTCTTTGTTTTCGTCGAGTTGGATATCCAAAGCGCTATGGAACGAGTCGTCGGAATCGTAGACATGTCGTATTGCGATTTGTTCGGCTTTTTGTCTTTGTTTGTAGCGTCCTGCGAATATGGCTTCCTTTACGAAATTAGAGCGCTCTTGGAGGTACTGGAAACATAGTTCGGCGTGTGTCGGAACATCCCATACAAGCCATTTTATAGGGGAAACTAGGAGACGGTATCGAGGATGCAGTGTGGCTATGGGCCAGAGGAAGAAAAATAGACCGCCGAGTCCGGCCCAGAAGAGGGATATGACTAGGTTTGCGTCCGCGAAGAGACTGAATATTAGACCGGAGGCGAGAAGCCAGAAGGTGGCCATGGAAGCGGATACATTTCGGAAATGGTAAAGATTGTTCATTGCTTCGATTGTGTTGGCCGTGTCGGAGAGAATCGCTTGCAATGAGGGACCGACTTCCTGAAGAAAGGGTTCGATCCAATTTTGGGCGCCGTGTCTATCCATGAGTTCGTCGATTTTTCGTGCTGTTGCTTCATGATCCGAACTTCGTGCTTGTGCTGCTCGGAGGTTGGCTATTGTATGCGGGTAGAAATAATTTTGGATCAACGCGTACATTAGACATCCAATCTGTAGAAAGTTTAGCTTGAGTTTATCGTTACATGGAAAACACGTACGAAGAACGGCATCATAAGTGATATGGACCAGAAGAAGTAATACACAAGTACACATACTCCAGTACGCCAAGGATCTTCCCAAGTATACAAGCGCATGGCACTAGAGGCGATTTCTTGCAAAGGTGCGCTAACAACGAGGACTCGTTCAAGATGTAAGCGTAGGGTATCTTCATCGTAGGGGAGTTGCGCAAAATCATCTATATATCGAGCCGTGAACTGATGAGTAAGCGACAGTACTTTCTGCAAATGTATTAGCATTTCTCGAGCTCTGGGTAGTTGTTCTCAAGGGAAGCTTTACATAACCTAACCAATCCTGCCATCTAAACCTTGTATAACCACAATCGTCTTCTTCCTCGAAGTAACTAGGTGGGGGCAACGTCGGTTGAGTCAAGTTTGGGACCACTCTCACTCGCTGAACATGTCTTCCAGTAACCCAGGCGACTCTCATATTTCTCCTTGACAATTCCAACCCCTCAATACGGGACTTTTGATAAGCCACATTTCCTTCCTCCGCCTCGATTTCATCTCCGAAGAGGTCTTGGGCTTGCCTCTCACGTGCTTCATCCAAATCATCGTGTGCTTGTAAGAATTCCAGGTCAGCCTCCTTCGAGGTAACAGGCCGACTTTTGGCAAGGTGGCTGGCCGTCACACGACTTGAAGATGACTTTATGGTATCTTTTGGATGGACAATAGCATTGGCCGTTACTTTGAAAGCAGTAGAAGTCCGGTCTCGAAATCCTTTTGGTCCCGGTTCTGACTTTTTCAGGAATTTAGCTGAATTGAAAGCTGGACTTTCTAATTCCTTTCGAGCAGCTCCGCTCAATGTCTTCTCCACCTTTGCATCGCCGCTTTCTGTAGCATCTATATTCAGAATATGCTTCGTTTTGGATTTTGCCGATGACTTGAGCTTTTGTATTGTGCTGGGAGGCGATAAATCGTCGGCATCAGGCGCATCAACGGGGGCGTTATTATCTATTCCATTATAAACCATCTTGCTCAATGGAGGATCCGTAGCAAGAAATCAGCAATTCTATACAATGTGTAATTAGGTTTGGACATGCATGTTGCGACCCTCGAAGAAAAAGAATTCTAGAAATGTAGAAGACATTGCAAATAATACATAAACAAGGAACCACAGGGAAGAAGGGCTCCGGAGAATTAATTGTCATAGTTGTATAATATTCCCCACATGATCGTCTCTTCCAAGGCTGATTGAGTAATGTGGTTGGTGGGAGGTAGGCTGAGTGACCGTTAAACTTGTCGTCATCGAGATGACAACGTGCAACGGAGATGCCATTCCACAAGGACTTGAGGTTGATGATTGAAGAGGAATTGATGCTGTCCGTTCGACAGTTTGATAGGAATTGCTACTCCGTAAATCTTCATTGTACTGGGGTCTCTTTCTTCCCTAATGCATTCAGAGACGACGGCTGGCGATGCATGCTTTGGAAAGACAATTCGACCTCAAGACCTGGCTGGCTGGACCCTCAAAGCTTGGACGGGATGACATCGGTTGTAGCCGAGATGTGGGGTGGCCTAGCTTAGCTGTGGCTGGGGAGCGCGTGAGATGTGGCTGAAACTTTCCTCTCTCCCGTCGGGCAAAATTCCACTTCACCCATCCCTAGATCAAACCAAGTCCTGTAACCTCGCAAACACCACCGCTTCAAATATACGCATCCATTCTTCTGGCTTGCCATTCTTGATGAGGGCAGCATGTCGTTTCGCTAATCGATTGCCTTATCCGCGGCCCTCTTCACGACGACATCTGTTGACACTCGCGATCGAAACGTCGTGCGACGATACGAGCGTTGCCCTCTTGGAAAAACACCAGAATGGATCCGCAACTCTGCACTTCGACTCAAAGATCACTTCGGACAATCGAATCTATGGAGGAGTTGCCCCAATTGTCGCACATGAGTCTCACCAGAAGAACATCGCTGTGCTAGTGGAAAAGGCTCTGCTTTCGCTCCCAGTGGCACACAAACAAGATGCTTCTCCCGGAGGTTATGACTGGAGTCGCACTGTGGCCTTAGGAAACGGCAGTCTGACGACATTTCGAAGGAAGCCGGCCTTTGTTACGGTCACTCGTGGGCCCGGAATGAGAGCTAGCTTAATCACTGGAATCGACACAGCGAAGGGCTTAGCAGTAGGATGGCAAGTTCCACTTCTAGGTGTAAATCATATGCAGGCTCATGCTTTGACACCACGTCTGGTAGCTGCACTTAACCACCCACAAGAAGAAATGATAACCAAGACACTGGATCCGCCGTTCCCTTTCCTCACGTTCTTAGTGTCCGGAGGCCATACAATACTGGTTCATTCCAAAGGGCTATGTGATCATGAGATACTCGCGGAAACAAACGATCTTGCAATAGGAGACATGCTCGACAAAACAGCTCGGGACATTCTACCAGAAGCGATTCTCAAGTCTGCGCCTGATGTTATGTACGCGCGAAGTTTGGAGGCTTTTGCTTTTCCCGAAGAGGGCACATCACAATATGAGCGATTCGAGAAAGAACGGCGAAAGTCTTCGAAACCTTTGTATGGGTGGACTGTCAACACGCCCTACGCGAAGTTGGGACCAAGAATAGCTGCCACCTACAAGCATGAGTTTTCATTTTCCGGCATAGGCAGCTGCGTCAAAGGGATCGCTCAGGCAAGAACAGATATGGATACACCCGAGCGACAACACCTTGCTAGAGAAGCCATGCGAGTTACCTTTGAACATTTGTCGTCTCGTGTGGTGCTAGCTCTCAAAGGTGGTTCATTGCAAGGTATCAATACTCTAGTTGTGTCTGGCGGAGTTGCAAGCAATAAATATCTGAAGCATGTTTTACGAACGGCTTTGGACAAAGACGGATACCACGAAATCTCCCTTAATTTCCCTCCGCCTAAATATTGTACAGACAATGCCGCGATGATCGCTTGGACAGGTATGGAAATGTTCGAAGCTGGTTGGAGAACAGAGCTCAGCGCCATGGCAATCAGAAAATGGTCCGTTGATCCGAACTCCACAGAAGGGGGCATCTTGGGTTTAGATGGGTGGTTGAATGTGAAGTCGTGAACAGGATTTCCCCAGAACGGTCGCCATCGCGTTCGCCAACACCACAGATGGAGTTGATAAATTTTCTAAATCAGTCGCATCTTAGGACATAGTCCGGAACCGATACCCAGTTTCAACCCGAAACATTTCAGAAATAAAGAACACGACACAGATATGGACGACAAAAATATTTCGCAATAAGAACCTCTTATACTGTTTCCTCTCTTTTCCCTCGTATTACATAATTGTTGTTTCGGTTCAATTCTTCCTTCTTTCTCACATCGTGCCATCCCATCTCCCAGACAAAGACGGAGCAAGTCGCCGCCAAAGCAGCTACCAGGTAGAAGACGCGATCGATACTGTTTGAGTAGGCTATCAATACAGTTGGCAGATCTTGCTTGCTCACGATAGCATGAAAGCCGGTGGCGCCTGCATCGATAATGGCCTGGGCACTCAGGTTTGGTGCCCTTTCTGCAAGCTGCGCTTTCAGGGTTTCGGAAAATATAACATTGTATAATGTTAGGGCAATCGCTGGACCAAGAGATTGGGCAAAAACGAGGAATGCCATGGCCGATGACAATTCGTCCCCCGTCACGACGGCTTGGATGGCTATTATAGCCTGCGTGCAGAGTTTATCGGTAAGCAAAATGTCCCAGGGAGTGTTTACAGGATTCAACATACCACTTGCAAGCCAGCTCCAGATCCAATACCTCCTATCACCTGGAAGCCTGCCCATTGTACAGTAGAGCTTCCTGGCTGTAGTACTGAGTACAATCCGCTCCCTATAGACAGGAACACGGTGGAAAAGACCGCCAATGGAATCACATATCCCATTTTAGTTACTGCAAACCTGGTAAGCGACTAATGCTTCAATTCATGGTAGGCAGTAACTTCACTTACTTATGGCTCCAGATGAAGCCGCCATAAAAAGCTGGGGTAAAATCGTCGGTAACAGGTAGACTCCACTGAGCATTGGACTTGCATCGTTGATGGCCTGGAAATATATGGGTAGGAAATAGATGCCTCCGTAGACAGCTGACATTAAAAAAGCTTGATAAGCTCCGGATGCCCAGACAGCAGTTCGCCTGATCATAGAACGAGGTAATAAAGCGTCGTCACCTTTATGGAAATTCCAGAGCAGCCATACACCAAAGGTCGCAGCCGATCCACAGAACAAACCAATCACGCGAGATGAGCCCCAAGGGTAGGCATTGCCACCATACTGAAGAGCGAGAAGCAGTTGAAGAACTGCTGGGGCGAAGAGAGCAAAGCCAACGAGGTCCAGATAATGGTGCAACTTTGCAAGAACGGTGAAAGCATTCGGTTTAATCGTCTGCTCAGGAATGCGCAGGAAGACTATGGCAACTGCAGCGAGAGCACCAACGGGCAGGTTGACATAGAAGCCTGAATAATTAGAATCGATCAAGGACTCCGAATTGAATTCACATGGGTATTATTGGAACTTACACCATCTCCAGTCGCTATACGAAGTAAAAGCTCCTCCGATGATTGGTCCAGCGACAAGCCCCAATTGATTAAATCCCATTGTCATTCCAATCAGAGCTACAGGAGGCGAATTAGCGTCCGCAACGCTATCTGGCACTCCTTATGTTTCTACCTGGACGTTTTTCAAAGGGCACACAACCTGAAATAATGGTAATGGCACCGATAATAATTCCTGCAGCACCGAAACCTGCTATCGCACGGCCTACTATCAGCATCGTCGAATCAACCGCCGCACCGCAAAGCACCGAACCGACTTCGAATATTCCGAAAAATGCAAGAAATGTCCACTATATCCACGTATGAGCATAATTCCTAGTAGGGTAGCGCTTCTGCTGAATTACACCTTTGTGCTGAAGTGGGTATATATTCGTCCAGTTAGGAGCTGTGGTGCCGCACTCGAGTTGCTGTTAGCGGATATTTCAACTTATGTGACCACCATGGATTGGGGCCGAAGCTTAGTGTGCGCTCAGATGGTAATACCTTCCAAATTGATAGGCACTAGCATACCATCCAACGTCGAAAAGTGAGTTGAACTCGTCGGTAATTCGAGGAATTGCCTGAAGCACCGCGTGCAATGATCAGCTACAAACTCATAATCCATCGGTGGTTGCGCCTGGTGCGGGGATGTGAACAGCAACAAACTTACTGTGCTAACGATCATGGTATCCAAAAGCATGAGAAAGCATGAGAGAGCGACACATGCGACGATAACAGCCAATTTGTATCCGCTAACATATTCAATTTCTTCAACTTGTTGTTGTTCAGTGTTCAGTTCGCTGTTAGAAGATTTTGAGACCATTTCTGGGTTTGAAGCTGTCGCGTTTTTGACCTCGATCTCAGGACCATCTTTCAAATCATGCGAAGAGGAAGAATTCTTCGATAATGCCGGAGCCATGATTGATGACGCTAATTATATGTGCCGGTCTCCAAGAAGGCCGTTACTGAAGACCGTGGTGGCTTTATGTGGCAGCACTATAAAAAGAAATTAGCACGGGGAAACTTCAGAACAGACATGGCGAATTCATGAAATTTGCAACCAACTCGGAAATCAACCTGTTGATATCATCAGTTGGCTGCTGCATCGTGATAAGTCGATAGACCTGGTCACCAACCCAACATCATTCCGATCTGGACCAATCCGAAGGCGTGAGAGGTGAAGACCAACAATTACTACGCCGTCATCCACATTCTGAATGGCCTCTTTTACGATCGCTCTATGCGTTTTCCCAAGCAATTCGTTGTCTGTGTGCTTTATTACCCTACTCGACATGGCAACATCAAACCAATTATGTCCACCTTATTTCCTACACAAATCGTTCTGCAAACCGGAAATACCGACCCAAGATCATCGTCTAATTGACGGGATCGATCTCGATCAATATTTTTGTCGAGAACCGTGCTATTTAAATCAGACACGCAAGAACCCGTCATATTCTTGTTGCGCTCGGCTCTGTTCGTTGTCGTTGAGTTGCCTATCAGAACAATGTCCGACGATTCGCCCTCAATGCACTATCACAATCCGGGCCAACGATTCTGGCTTCTCTGACAATGTTTCAATCCTCATCAGATGCTTACTTCTTTTAAGGTTCCGCAAGTGTGGCGTTTAAACGCTCAAATGCTGTGCCTCGCAGGTGCAACGGCGCTTACAGTACGAGTATCGACCTTTGACTGGCTCAACTCAGGAGGCACTTGAGGTTCCTCGGAATGCAACCTACTTCCTAATAATAGCTTAAGGTAGAAGGTTTCTGAATTGAATAGCATGCTTCACGATGAGTATTGTCTTGTTTGTATCTTTGAGTAAAGATTTGGGTTGTTTCTGTTATGACCTGTTAAATTGGCCCACAAGCAGTGTTGGCATCAGTTGAAGCGGAATTCAATAGACGCCAAGCCCTTTAACGGGCCTCCGTTTCAGCAGCTTAGGCGCTGGCCGTTTTGGGAGGGCCCGCGCTATTTACGCCGAAACATCGAGGAAATTAGTATATCCTCAATATGTCCGCCCTTTGTTTAGCGGATTACAAGGCTAAGTTAAACGGCCGCCCGTTTCACGAATTCCCCAACGGACGTCAAATAGGGGTCATTCTTCGCGTCCGTTTAGCAGAGGCTCAAACGGCAGGGCGTTGACGGACGTTCACTGTTGCCGACACTACTCACAAGAAGAGTCTTTCATGTTCCGGCCGGGGGCATATTCAGCAAGGGGTCGCCGACGATAAGTGCCGTTGGACTTTTAGAGGTGCAAATTCCTGCCATGATTTGTAGATTTTCGAAGGTAGAAGCGTATCAGCCCTACCTGAGGATTCTGATTCGTTCTCACTCCAATATCTTCAGGACGAAACACCAACACTCGCTTAGCTTTCAGTGCTACACTGTTGATACCTGAGAACATGGCTGACTTTCAATTTTTTTGACTTACTTTGCATTACACTCCTTCACTGTCTTTTTTCTTGTCATTTGTCAACGGAACTTGATTTAACTTTATTTCGACTCGACTTATTTGTCGGCGACATTCTCATGGCAGGCCCAGCGAAATCAATCACTACCGAGAGTGGGACCATCACCGCGTGGCTTCCCATTCTAACTCCGTATGCATCAATCGCCGCATGTTCATCTCAGATTTATAGAATTGCGAGCGATATAATAGCTTACGATCCTTATTTTCCAATTGGAATGGGCGTTACTGGTCTTCACTGTCTTCCTGAGGAACTCTCGCTCTCATGGTGGCAGCGCGATACCGAAACAACAACTGTACTCGGTCCTACATTCATGTGTCCGGAAGCATACAGTGCTGTATCCACAGTCTCATTTCCATCTTCCATCCAGACCTTGTGCTGCCCGTCGTAGGTACAACACTCCCCAATCCACCTCCCACATACTGATAACTCAATAGAAGCTACCAGCTCACTGTCTCGATCATTGGGTTAACGTTCGCCTCACAATGCACATCCAAATTCACACCCGGAGAGACGATTTTCTATAACGAGTATCAGCCTTCCTCGAATACGTGGCAGCGAACTTCTTCCGTCGTGGCCGCATCTGCCAGTCCGAGTTTTGCGTATGGATTCCACATGAATGGGTTTAATTTTGTACCGGCTACTTCGACGTCTTCTTCTATCACGGGTAGCACCGCAACAAGTACAACGCAACCCAGTAATGCAATAATGCCCACCACCACATCTTCCTCGTCAAATATGACGGCCGCGATTCAAGAAACAGCAACACCGTCCAAAAAGACATCCGCAGGTGCTATCGCAGGTGGAGTAATCGGAGCCGTCGCCATTGTTTCCCTACTAACAATCATCGGTTTTTGGCTTCTCAGAAAACGGAAAAGCAAACCCCAGCACAGCGAATCGTTTCCAAAAAGTTTTCAATCGACAAGTGAAGGGAAAGTAGAACAAACGAGTAGTCCGATGCATACGCCTCAACCTATTGCTGTAGTGGCTAAGCAGCCCAAGGAACGAAGACCTACTTACGAATTGCCGCTTACAGCGCCAACTAGTGTGCATGAAATGAGTGCAGACCGGGAGTATGAGAAGTAATTGCAGCAAATGATTGTTTTGAGAGATTGGCTTGGTGGTATATAGGAGGAATGGTGGATAGATGTACTTGTTTTGGACACATACGGATATATAATGAATAATACGAATTACGTAGATGGGACCGGTTTTTTGGGAGAACGAAGACTGCTGGACAGGCGCAAATCTCGCGCATCACGCGATAGACAAATTATCAGAATGGAAATGCCGAAAATCAGAATACTGTAAGTTTCCCGGATGCGACTTTTATTTATCTACTCTGATCATATTTCACTCAATTGCACCCAAGATTTGAGAGAACTTTCCACCTCGAGGAGAGTCGGCACAGACACCATATCATATTGTGAGGCTGGAAAAAATTGGTATTTGCTAAACGGAACGCAAGACGACAGAATTTTGACTTCGCTTTCAAGTACTGTCGTTAGGTTGCAGCAACTACTTCTTGCTCTCCCAAACGAATTCCAAAATGCCCAAAGCAGAGCCTTTAGGTTCAGCCACACTCTTTAATACGAACCCTTCATCGGCCGCCGTGAAGAGAGTCTTCCAGTCATCAACAGTTCTGTCCCTGGAATTGAAACCAGCAGTAAGACTCATATCCGCAGATCTACAGAAAGATTAGCCATATTTCCACCAGTTTAAGGAGAATGAGAAAATACCGAGCGGCTCTCTCCTTCCAGAAAGGTCCTTTCCCGGGCTCAGGCAAAATCATATCTTGCACCACAACCCTCGCTCCAGACTTAAGCATCGGAAGTTGTGCTTTTAGCGCAGCGATACAATATTTATCTCCCCAGGTCCTCAATACCCAGCGGAAGAAAACAACGTCCGCATTCACAATCTGCGGAGCGAAAAAGTCATGAGCCTCGAATGTGACTCGGCCTTTCAATTCCCTAACCTATATCAGCACAATCTTTCACATAAGAGAGAGAAACTGAGGAACTTACTCAGGCACACCCGCCTCAGCAGGACCCATCATAAACGCCATATCCTGCACCACGACCTTCAAGTCCGCAAATTTCTTCGCGAGTTCCATGGCGTAAAACCCTGTTCCGCCACCGAGGTGGACGACTGTCGCGGCACCTAGAGAGGACCAGTCGAAGTGGTCTGTTAGATAGGCTGGGGAGAACTCCGGTTTTTTGCTGTATGCGACCATGGCGTTTCCGAAACGAGCTGCTCGCGTGGGGTTCGCGCCGAGGAAGGCGTAGATTGAATCGGTTGTGTTGTTTGCCAGACAGAATCCCTGAGATGTGGTTAATTGTGGTTCTCTGTAGGGAAAGGGGAACTTACAGTCTCACTAGGCTCCTCCGACCCCGGCCACTTCTCAAGTGCATCTACAACCTATATCCCATCAGCATCCCCTCTCATCACCTCATCACTTCACCACCAGAATTAGAGAACATACCTTCGTAGCAGCAGGCCACAACTCCTCCGTCCCAGCACCCAACCAATCATTCGTCACGGGATCAACCAAGATCCTGCTCGCCTTCGTATGCCCCACCATCCCCGGCTCCGGCTCACAGAAAATCCGCATACTCATCGCCTGCCGCAGGATCCGCGTTACCATTTGCTCGGAAAGTGGTGTTTGCGATGCGATTTCGGCGAAGGATTTCGTGCCGCCGGGGGGGATGAGGGAGGCGATGCGGAAACGCGTTATGGCTTGGGAACAGAGTGAGTTGTTGTGCTAGGCGGAGTTCATCAGCTATTGATTTAAGATTACTGCAGTCCTGGGCTGGACATACCCCTCCGAGACAGTGGATCATACTCATGGGTTCCATGAGGAGGTCATTGAGTTCGGATGTTGCGTCCAGCACGGCGTTTTGTGCTTCTAGGACCTCGAGGGGGAGGTAGTGAGAGGCATCCTCGTCGAAGGACGGGGTTTGGAGGCCTTGTGCTGTGAGGACATCTTGGATTTTGGCGACGGAGGCGCTGATTGTTTGGGCGAGGTGGATGATGCGTGGTGTTGCCATTGTGTGGGATGAGGATTGGTTAGGAAAGGATGTAGTAAAATGCCACGGACACGGCGGTGATAAATAGCTTAATCTTTTTAATGATGAAAGTGAGGAGGAACATTTGAGTGTACGTACTTTGCAGCTCTCTTTATACCTCATGAAAATGAGAAAAGTAAAAGTATATCTCGACTCAGCTGCACTCCCCCTCCGCACTTTATATGTACGGTCTCCACCCAGACAGCTTCAACATGTTGTTATTTCAGCCTACTCGTAAATCCAACCTGTAGTTGGTTCGTCTCACCTCGCTTAAGCTCCTTGCTGTATCGCTTCAATAACGGGTTTTATGTCAATGTTGTTGGGCTTACATTTTAGTTCTTTAGTCTGATTCGTCTGTTTGAATTACTGTTGGTTGGGTGTTGGGGTTTTCGTGCTTGGTTTCGTCATGGCTAAGGTACGAGTAATGAGGTGGGGAAGCTTCGTTGGGTGAGAAGCGGATTGGGGCAAATACCTATGTATCTTCAGGCGGGGATAGAAGAAAGGGAATTGGAAAACGATGGTCCGTCGATTAAGTTGATAAATGTGCTAAGTTTTGTTTATCGGTTTTGGAAACAAAGATGTATCGGATTGTCGTTAAAGTTTATTGAGACGACAAACTCTTTTCACCAGTGTACTGCTCCTTATCCTTTTTTTGTCTATTATGAGCTATCTAATGTCTCTTGAACGTGGAATCTGGACTACTTACTCGTGAATTTAGGGCCAATGAGACGCCAGTGTTGGTACTAGTCTTCGAGACCAAGGACAACTCTCTAACTTTCAATCTTGTGCAGCGAGGTCTTCGTCAAATCTCTGATTGAAATGGATTGTCTGAGGTAGGAAATGTCTTTACCCTAATTTGCAAGATTTGAACGAGCCTCCATGATTTAGTACACTTCAGAGGAGATGCCGCTTCATCAGGTTTAATATGGTGTTTTGAACTACCGCGACAGCTAGATCATCTTTTCTTTTTCGCCCTTGTGGTTTTAGTATGGAGGTGAGCCCAGCAGAACTTGAACAGAACGTAATGTCGTATAATTTGGAAACAATTTTGACTTTTTTTATGTGCTTAATACTATTCCCTTACTTGATCTGATTCAGCAACTCTTTGTGGTCATTTCATAATAGACTGCTGTAAGAGCAAATTTGATGTCTAGTATACTAAGAGCAAGTGAGATGTAAGTAGCTATACTCAATCACTTTGGCGCTCCGGGATTTTGCGGTAGCTAGACTGCCACTGCTCTGTCTGAATCCGGACGCATTTTTTACTCCTTAAGACATTTTTATTGGGGAAAGCTTTGAAAGGAACGACACGTGTAGTTGAGTTATTATGGAATCCAGAAATCATTGATTGTATAGTGAAAACGGTGGGAATTTAAGCTTATCGGAATTCAGCCAAAATAGGCAGCTGGGTACTAATCCGCCTCGCTTATCTTGTTAGCGACGCCCTTTTCATTACATCGTACGCCCAGTAGATCGTCAAACTACTTTTCGAGTTCTGCCTCTATGATCTATTTAAACTTGATGGTTCTCAACATCGTTTTTAAACAAGAAGCTGTTACCTTACGAATGCACGAACATTCACCGCCATGAGTACAATCAACCTCAAATTCCGGATTGCAACACCAAATGATGCTCCCGGCATTCAGAATCTCGTGCAATCTGCATTCCGCAGTGAAGACAGTAGACCGGACTGGACGGCGGACATGAAACTCGGAGCTAGCTATTCCATCAGCGTCGAAGAGATTGAGAATCAAATCACGAAGCCCGATAGTGCGACACTGTTGGCTCTCGATGCCAATGATATGCTTGTTGCTTCTGTTGCAATATCGAAGCGTGGCAACCTTGCTCGACTCGCAAATGTGGTCGTAGACCCGAGCCAGCAGCAGGGCGGTATCGGTCGTCGGCTTTTGGAGCACGCTGAGGATTACGGCCGTCGTGAATGGGGTGCGAGAAAATTTGGGCTGAACGCCTTATCAACGAGGGAGCAGCTGATTTTGTGGTATACACGCCGTGGTTATGAGAAGACGGGGGAAGTGTCAGCGTTTCCAGTTGAGAAATTCAGGAATTTGGACCTGCCTGATGACTTATGCTTTGTAGAAATGGAGAAAACCTTGACGGCATTCCCTGTCGTATCTGCTATTGCATAATTGCTACGAGAGTGCGGATTCGACGGTCGGCACTGTCATGCGCACAGAGAGGTTACATTGATGTTAGAGCCTATGAGCGTATTGCTCTAGGTACTCAGGATCATCGGTTAATTGGAGTGGCCACTGTAAGATAACTATCTGTGTCTAGAACCAACCCTACGCAGCTGTACTAACAAGCTGCAGCTAGTATCGTTACATCAAGGTCAGGATGTTAACAGGAATCCGGAAGGGGGGCAAGCTTACAGACTTATCTGAGAAGGAAGACAATATGAGAAAATACAATTTGTGTCAATTGGACCGTCATGATTGTAATAAATGGAACGAATGAAACGGAAGAACTTAGAATGGGCAAGAAGTCGGTTTCCGGTTGACAAGCACCTAGTTATTTATGATGATATGCTAACGAAGATTACCTAGTTACATGACGGTCTCAAGGTATTTTCCGCGAATTTATTCTGTGTCAAGAGTATCCATTTTCAAATTCCTCACAACCGCCCAAAGAATTGGAGGTTGTGTCACCGTGCATCCATCACAATCCTTCCCGTCATACTGTAGTTTTGGAAAGAGATAAAAGTGGTTGTGACAACTCAATTCAAGACTCTGCCGCCTTAATACCTCTCCCTAATGTGAGCTAGTAGCGCCCGAACTGGTCCCCCTTCTTTCGCTTTTGCTAGAGGATAGAAGCGTTTGGTATTTCGGGTGTATTTAGCCAGCTCCCTATGGTTATGAAATTGATGGACAATTTCTCCGCTGTTTATGGCGTCCAGAAAATCGTGAATGTTGACATGGATTTTTTTGATTGCCTATGTAAAAATTTTCAGTATTATTTAGAGTGAAGTGTGAGAGACAAGATGTTATTTAGGAGACTTGAAGAACAATAATAGTACTCACTCGGCGGCATTGGGTAATACTGCTGAAGTGTCCTGGAAGATCTAGATCCTTACACAAACGTCTCCAATTCTCCAATTTATCTTCATCTCGAAAGTAACGAGCGAACTCGTTGACGATGTTTCTTCTTCCCTAGTTTGGTTTCCGATCAGTAAAAATCATTTCATATCGATATAGCAATACGTACATGATCCCATTGTCTCATATTGAATGCCATTTTTGCCGATATCCAGCAAACGAGGATATGAACCGAGGATAATAAAAACTCTATTGAAGGCCGTGTGTTGGGCTATGTAGTCAAGGACCTGGAAGTGATAGCGTTGTTGAATGATGCCACTGTGACAGCAGATTCTGTGGTCTTTTTAAATGAAAATGACTTCAACTGAACAAATGAATGTAGAAGAAAGGGTAAAATCAAAATTGTCAAAAAATTAAACAGTGCTTGCCAAAAGATTGTCGCAAATTACAAACGGAGCAGAGCAGAACTTCAACTGCAGAAGCCAACGAAGCATGTACCCGTGGGGCTATGGAAAGGAGAATACTTGGGAATTGCATCATTCAAGCGACCAGTGACAGATTTTGCACAATCCAAAAACAAGCGGAACAACCAGGTGAAGACGAGACATTTCATTGATACTCCACTTGCCACTCTTTTCTTATGGCAAGTGCAACAGAATGAATTCTGAGATTCAGCTTGACAAAGAGTGACAAGTCAAACAGATGAAACAAAAAAATATTAATGAGAATTATCATAAATCCGTTCTTGGTCGGCAATGCATTGAGTGGATAATTATTACAGTTGCAAAGTTGACAAGTCAAACTGCTCGAGACACTTTCATCAATAGATGTCTTCTGGAAAGCAAATCACGTGAGCATTATCCAGTTGGCCTATAGTTTTTCGCTGCAAGAGTAAAATGGCCGAGTTGGATAAGAACGCTTAGCAATGCTTAAAAAATTCATTTTGTCTTCATTTTGGAAGGTGTTTGAGAATTTTTGTTTCCATCCCGTGATCGAGTTTGGATGGCTGGGGTTTCGAATACAGGCTGACAAGGACACCCTGGCCCCGACTTCATCACAACATCTTTGTCTCAATCTCTGTTTCGTGACACCCGACCTCCGATTCTTTACGTGGTGTAAAGTTCTAAGGAATTGTGGGAGGGACACGATATCACACCCGGAGCCTCTTGATATTTGTTTTTGATAAAGTTCTCAACTACAAAAGAAGGACAACCATCGTGATCTGGGATCCTCTCGATAACGATAGCTACGTCTACAGCTCTTCAATTAACTCAAATTAGAACGAACAGAGACCATACATATAGCTAGATGGACCTTAGAGTTCGGGATTGGCGAGTTGTTATTGAACTACCTCATGACAGAATCAGCATCTTCACTGTTAGGGTCTCACCAACAATCATCTCAACAGAGCCTAGTCTCATTTTACGGTCCTAGGTGGCTTATATCTGGCATTTTACTGACGCACGAACGATGACTGACGAAGTTAACTCTTTGACGCAAAACGATACGCGTACGGACGCCGATTCCTTGAAAGGGCTAGGATCCAGCCTTAAACCTGGCAAACCGCTCGATGAAGTATTTTCAAAGTCATCTGCGGAGCGAGGTTTATGCTCTCGTTGTGCAAATTACAATTGGGTGTACCATCTGAAACGCTGTGCTGTTATACAAACGGATAGGGCGTTCATGTTCGAGGATGCTTTCGTTAACGAGTACATAGATCGCTACGGATCGCCAGATACTAGGCCACCGAGAAATTCTTACAGAGATGCTTATTATCTGATAAAAGACGCACCATATTCAGGTTCTTACTATATGTCGGACGATAAATCAGAAACAATAATTAGCCTGGGACCATGTCATTCTTCGGATTTGTCTCGGCACAATTGCTCGGTGTGTAATTTGATATTGGATTCTGTCCACAAAGTTGTTCTACGATACGGTTCATCCTTAGATCTATGGCTGAAAAACTACTCTTCCGGATTTGCGATTCAAGATACCCAGATGCGGTTCAGTGTCCTCCCAAAGGAGGATTCTTCCTTTGCGCATCGCTATGATCCTGGTATACTTGATATATGTTTTCAACTTCCATTTGACCCTAATCCTCCTTTTTATGGGTATATCGTACATTACACGATGGCGGACTTTCAAGTCACTGAATATTTTACTCGAGCCACGATTGACCCTTACCAAATCGATCTCAGTATGGTCAAGAATTGGTTGACCTATGGAACACAAGCGGGCAAACATATGCACGTGGAGCGTACGAAATTCATTGGCGGTTTTAAGGTGATTGATGTACACACCAATTGTGTCGTTGTTGGTCCAACAGACTGCACATACATGGCGCTGAGTTACGTCTGGGGAAACATTTCGCCCTTTCGCGTCAAAAGCGCAGACTTTGTGGTCAGTAAAAATGGCGCAGGCTCTTTAGAGACAATTTACGCTCAACTGGACATCCAGAAGCTTCCACAAACAATTCGAGATGCCATGTTTCTTGTTAAATCCCTAGGGGAGCGATATCTGTGGGTTGACTCACTGTGTATCACACAAGACAACGAATCTGAAACGAAGGCCATGATTCGCGCAATGGACGATGTGTACCAAGCTGCCTCGCTTACAATAATTGCGGCTTGTGGTGAAGACTCTGAAGCAGGACTCCCTGGATTATACCCTGCATCGAGAGATCTAAAGCTTGGTATAGGCTCGGTTGAAGGCATTCGTCTTGTGGCCACCGAAGAAAGGATGAACGATGTCCTTGCAAAGTCAAGGTGGGCGACTCGTGGTTGGACTTACCAAGAGTATCACTTTTCTGAGAAGGCCCTAATCTTTGTTAACCAAAGAGTGTACTTTCAACAGGGTACTGAAGCATGGGGCGAAGTACAACCAACTCGTGCTACGGGGGGCATGAACCGTTTTCTTTCAGCCCTGGATACTGGTCTTTGGCACTCTTATAGCCAGCATGTAATCACATACAAACAACGAGATCTTACAAAACCTGAAGACATTTTGAATGCATTCAGTGCCATCCTTCAAGACCTGTCAAGCCGGTATAAAACGATGTTTTGCTGGGGTTTACCTACCAAACACTTTGAATTAAGCCTGGTTTGGGCTTTATGTGGGAATAGCGTACCAGCACGTGCTCGACGGAAATGTGGAAACAAATTTCCATCTTGGTCGTGGGCGGGTTGGGAAAGCCTTGTTTACTTTCCTAGTGGTGAGATTGGGGTTTACAAATGCAGACTGACACCAGCAATCACATGGCCTTGGGATTCTCAATACGGTCTGGAGTGCAAGGAAGATGTATTCGATAGCGGGATTCTGACTATCGATGTTGCGTCTACTATGTTGAAGCCCTCGAAAGTTCGGTCAGAAGGCAATGCAAAAGAAGAACAAGATAGCCCGTATTTTCAGCTAAATAACGGGTTGGCGTGGACCAGTGATGTAGAATGTATTCTTCTGGCTACTACTATACAGCCCGACTGGCTTACTCGCCCTTCCAGATTACGTTTGCATTTGGCAATACAGAGAGGAGAGGATGAAATTTACTACAGAGTGGGTCATATCGCGTTGAGGGAGGAATCATGGGAAGGTGTTTCATATGAACGCAAACGAATTCGACTAGGATAGTACATTAGACCAGCGAAACAACAGCGCCTTGCAATTCTTACGAAACACACACCTATGGCAAGTAACAATATTCGGTATAAAAGCAACCCTTATTAATCATTTCTTCATTATACCCTTGAGGGTGTCTCGTCGTTCTTACTACACATTAGTTGATAAATAGAAACAGAATATCCTCTGAAATTCCCTCTGGAATCACTTGATCAACCTTCGCAGATAAAGACAAGCGTCGTATTTTAACACCAGCATGAGGTGCAAATATACTACGTTTGTTGGTCAGTGATATATAAACGGTTTGTACCTTTGCTCTTTCACTCGTTGGGACCTCCCACTTTCATAACCTCCATACTCTTACGAATTCCACAACTTTGAGTCTATTTTAAGGACGTCCGGTTGTAAAGAAGCTTATGAGCATAGAGGCTAGTGCATTCATTGAAATTTTGTGCTCAATCCAGATGTCCAAAATAGAACTAATGGCTTTTTTGGATATCCAAAACCAATAATATGGTAGACATATTTTTTGTGTTGAAGAAAAAGTTGTTTATGCTCGAGAACAACACAGTCACAGATCAGTTGGATAGTATGTCGTCGTCAAATGGAAAAGACTAAGTATATTGGGAAGTGAAAAAGAAGTCGTCGCAGGTTCAAGTGGGGTCCAAATATCGAGCCATACATCTAAGGCATCCACACCAAACGACCACCTCGTGAATTCCATGAGCCACCAATTCTAAGCTCCAAACAGTCGCACGCAAACACATAATACAGATCTTCCTCCCAGTCCGCAACCATGGCCCCAAGCATGTCCCTTTTCTCGATCAATGCGATCATAATTCTAAACTCAGAAGACGGCTCCCGCGTCTTCACAAAATACTACAACGCACCACATCAGCAGTCTTCTGGCCGTCCGTCCCCCCTCCCCCTCCACCACACCCTATACTAAAAATCCAATTGCAGACTCCAATGCGCCGGCCCCAGCATACACGGATTTGAAGTCGCAAAAAGCGTTCGAGAAGGGATTACTAGAAAAAACAGCGAAACAGACAGGCGATATCATCCTCTACGACAACCGACTCGTGCTATACAAATCCGAGGCCGACGTGATGATGTACGTGATCGGTGGGGCGGACGAGAACGAGGTGATGTTATACAACGTCGTCTTATGTCTGCGGGATAGTTTGCATTTACTGTTCAAGTATTTCCTCCTCCCTGCTACGCACTTGAATTTTGGGACTAACGGCGTCAGGCAATCCGTGGACAAGCGTACGATAATCGAGAACTATGATCAAGTGGCTTTGGCGGTCGATGAGATTGTGGATGATGGCATTATTCTGGAGACGGACCCGACGATTATCGTGCAGAGGGTTAGCAAGGCGCCGACGCAGGATGTTGCGCAGTTGAAGGGGATTGATTTGAGTGAGCAGGGGATGAATAATTTAGCGCAGTTTGGAAAGGCGAAGTTGGGGGATTGGTTGAGGCAAGGGTTGTGAGGAAGTTACTATGGGTAGGGTATAAAGTAATTCGAGGTTTCGTTGTTGGCGGGGTAAAAGTCATCGAAAGTCTGTACGTGGCTTTTGAGAAAAGGCCCGGAGTTTTGGGGAGTGGTTGCCCAAGAAGAAAGTTAAAAGAGTCATAGAATTGGAGTTCTGGATGGACAAATTCCGAGAAGGTCTCCTGGCATGGGGACTGTGAGTGGAAGGCAACGGGCAAAAATGTGTCACAGAGGAATGAAATAGTACAAAAATACTAGCACGGCGAGACCAAATCAAGTCTATATTCTGTCTATCTAATTTTATGCCTTGATAATTGAAGCTGCCTTGCGAAGTCGATTCATGACCGCTGCTGCGATGTCCCCCTGGTCCTCAATGCCTTCCACATATATGGCGTCTACATTTCTCTTGTCCAGTTCTCTTAGAGCAGAAAAAAGACCATGAGCAATATCTTTGGTGTCGCTTCCGAGAGCAATGGCAATAATTCTGGCAACTAGACCTTTGTGGGAGGTTTCCATTTCATCCGACGTAGACTTGTCAGATAGTTTTTGACCAACCCAAACTTCTCCATACTGCAGCTGGCAGGATGTTCTTTCCAAAGGTTCTTTGAAATCAGACTCGATGACGCGGGTGACATCCTCGTGGGATTCCGCGCCATGTGTCTTGGACTCTTGGTGGTCGAAACCAGCCCAATTCCTCCAGTTTCTAGTACTGACAATGCCGATTTTGGGAATGTCATTCTTTGATCCAGATACCGGGTTCATTGATAATACCGCTTGGCGTATCTCTAGAGGCAGCTCAGTCATGTCGGGGTTTGTTTTCGTAGCTTCGAACAAAGTCACGCTGGCCTTTGGACTGTAGTGTTTGTACTTCATCCCAGGCGCACGCGGCGCACTAGAACCAATTTCGCTCTGATCTTTGTATCCCTTGACAACATTCTCCCAGCCGGGGCACTCACGGATTTTATCGATACTCAAGCCTCCTGGGCGCAATAGAACTGGAGGATCACAAAGCCCATCCACAACGCTACTTTCAACGCCCACGTCACAAGGACCGCCGTCTAAGATGAGCTCAATCTTGCCATCAAGATCATGATGGACGTGTTCGGCAGTCGTAGGTGAAGGTTTGGTCGACGCATTGGCAGATGGCGCTGCTAGAGGAACGCCAGCGAGTTTGATCAGCGACAGAGCAAGAGGTAGTTCTGGCATACGTGCTCCAAACGTAGGCAAACCAGCAGTAACTTCAGGCGCGAGTTTGCTGGGTTGAGGATTTGGAAGCAAAATCGTCAACGGACCTGGCCAGTACTTCTTGATGAGGGGTTTGTAAATATCAGGAATCGGGTCCTCGGTGATTTTTGAGTGTCCATTGTCAGAAGTAGCTGGTTTGAGTAGGCTCCGTAGCATTGTGAGATCGCAAATATGGATAATCAAAGGATTATCTGACGGCCGCCCCTTCGTCTTGTAGATCCCTTTCACGGCGGCGCTTCTGGTCGCATCAGCACCAAGTCCATATACAGTTTCCGTAGGAAATCCAATGGGTATGTCCGTCGTCTTCAGATGTCGCGCTGCGTCTCGAAGAGGCTCAAGGTCGTGAGAGTCTGTAGGAAGCTCCCAATTTTCGAGAGTGCTTTGTTCTTGAAATGCGCCTAGGTTGGACGTAACGACCTGAACGACACGAGTTCGTAGGGGACGCCCCTGGGTCCCGTTCAGAATAGTGTTTTCCATCATGGTGAAAGCATTTGCGAAGCTCTGTAGAAGAGGTTGATGTGGGAGAAAACGCGCCAGCGTGAAGACGGAGACCCTTTACTCCCGTATCCTACGACTCTTACGTTTTTGAGATCCTAGAACACGCTGGAGATAGCTACAGGTCATATTTTGCGTTCTTTAATTCATCAGGCTTTGATGCATTGGCAGTATTGGAGGTGTTTTTCAGGATTGTGTGGAAAATAGTTTGGTGACTCGTAAGTTGAGAAATTTTGGCGAGGCTACAACAACATCCATGCAAGGCTATGGAAAGTCATCAGAACTGAATCTCTGTGTCTCGTCACTTAAACTGCCAACAATAAAAGCAATACCATGACACTCTTAATGAGTAAAAGCCTCAACACACCAAGAAAGTTACCAAGGAAAGTTGGAAAAGAGTTGGGGCTCTGTTATCTCCGAGTTGGCTAGTTTCGAGGTGCTAAATCGTCGCTCGTCGCAGCAAGGTTTCTTTAAGTCGTCGAACTGACGCACAAGTTAGTGGAATATTGTATTAAATAGAAGCAGACAATCGAGATTTATATGAAGATTTTGAAGCTTTAAATAAAAACATAACAGAAATTCATAAGATCGATTTGGCACGTGATGACGCTAAACCCAAACTGGTACCTGCATCAGGTTCACGATTGCTGACGCGAATGCCGCGAAGGTCAAGCTGCCTGGCGAGAGCTCCATCCGACCATCATCAACGTCAACTTTGTATTATTGTACCATCCACGATTCATCCGCAACACTTTCCTTCTTCGTTCATACACTCTTTCGCACATTTCAAGATGGATACACTCGTCGCGCAGTACAGCAGGCCTATGTTTGAGAAGGAGAATAATTATGATGAAGACCAGATGGACCTTTACAACCCAGCACCCAGCATGTCGCTGAAGTTTGCTATGCCTCCGATAGCTCAGGTACGCATTTACTCTTGGTTTTATTACATGATACGGAGCTTCGCAAAGCTTCACTTTCATGTGCGGGATGGTTTGCTAACGTTCTTTCGCTACTTAGCCTTCAGCCTGGCTTCGCGCAGCAACAGACGATCATGCCAACCCAGACTGTCCCATCAAGATTGCCCACGGTACCACAACATTAGCGTTCAGATTTCAAGGGGGCATTATTGTAGCAACCGATTCGAGAGCGACAGCGGGAAATTGGATTGCCAGTCAGACCGTAAAGAAGGTTATTGAAATCAACAGCTGCTTGCTAGGGACAATGGCTGGTGGTGCTGCTGTAAGTTCCAAGCTACTTCAGCTTTCGAAATGCCAAGTGAAGCTACTAACACGAATCTCAGGATTGTCAATACTGGCTAGCATATCTGGGAATGCAATGTCGATTATACGAACTCCGTCACCATCGCCGAATCTCTGTCGCAGCCGCCTCCAAGATCCTCGCAAATCTCGTCTACTCCTACAAAGGCCGAGGACTATCTATGGGAACAATGTGCGCTGGTGTCACCCCATCAGAAGGACCTGCTCTCTACTACATCGACTCTGACGGAACACGTCTTGCGGGGAACATGTTCTGTGTTGGATCTGGTCAGACATTCGCCTACGGAGTACTAGACGCGGAATACTCATACGATCTGAGCGAAGAAGAGGCGCTAGCATTAGGAAGCCGAAGTATCCTGGCCGCAACCCACAGGGACGCATACTCGGGAGGATTCATCAACCTGTACCATGTCAAGGAAGACGGCTGGGTGAAGCACGGATTCAACGACACAAACCCGATATTCTGGAAGACGAAGTTGGAGAAGGGAGAGTTCTCAAATGTCACAAGCGAGATGGTGTAAGATGGGAAATAATGTGAATGCAGCAAGCGGTTGACCTTGGACTTGGGGGGGTTTTCTTTGCAATGTCTCAATAGCAAGCATGGGGTGCGCATGGATCCGGCAATTACCTTTGTGGCCGTGTACATTACTACTTCACTTCAAGAGTGGTATTAAGTATGAAATCTTCTGAATGTTATTCGATGGTATCCTCTCGTGATTTCGTCTTTGCCCTTGGGTTTCGGAGTATTGATTGTTCATAGTTGAGATGATGGTCATTTGGAAGCATGTGCTAATAATCAGCAGGTATTAGACTGTACCCCTAGATGCTATATTCGAACGTAATTACGCTCTTACCCTCTAGACAGCCACAGCTAATAATCACTCACACACAAACAGGAACTCATCCATCAAATATGTCATTCTTATTCTAGACCTAGCTAATCAACCTGTCTTGTACATTATAGCAAAATCTTGTAAGCAATCGTCTTCTCCCTATCACTTCAGTCTCTCTCGACGCTACTTGAATTCCTCTCTGTATATAACACAATTGACATCGTATGCTGTAAGCTGAGATGAGCGATAGAAGGTTGCTCGGCATGACATGAGAAATCGGTTTGCTGGCCTACTCATCTAAAGAGCATGGAAATGCGATGCCTCGCTCTGACGCGGATCTTCCTCAAATCGAACTGTCTTCTTTGGGTCCAATGATTGACTCTTGGTCGCTTGTCGAGTGGATTTGCTAGTAGAGACAGCGGACTTTGAATTAGTGGTGGCGTTTGCAGCGTTTGCAGCGTTGAAGTGGGCTTGTATGTCTTGAGGACGCATTAGGATACTTTCTACTTCACCATTGTCAGAACCTGCGGTAGAGTCGTCGTCTCGGAGTGCAGTCGTGGAGTGTGTCAAGTGTAGATATGGTGTTGGAACGAGAATTTTAACGCCCGGCGAGACCTCGTATGGACGCGACTCCAGATAGTTCATGAACTCAGGGCCGTTGGAGGATGCAGATTGACTGGGGTTTGCCTCTTGGTTCGGGTTCTCGCGCTTGGGGGACTTACTCGCGCTCTCGTCTCTTCCATCTCCATCATTAGTTGGGTTCTCTGAGGGCGCTGGCATGTTGGAAAGCCTACTCATACCAGTCTCAGCCGGCATAACGACGTTATCTTGACCGAATGGACCAAAATACGTGCGGTACAAATGCTGCTGCTGGTTGAAATAATTTCGATAGAGGTTGAGGGTCTGCGTCATGCGGTCTTCGACTTCCAATTGTTTTGCCTGGCAGGTTTTCTCCAACTTCGTCATTTCCGCCTTCAGCTTCTCCTCATACTCCTCAATCATTAGCCTCTTCTGACGTTCGTTGTTGGAATGCTCCTGTGCATGCTCACGTTGCGTTCGGTGTGCAATCCCAGTGAGGCGCTCGATCTCATTCTCAAACCATATCACACGATTGTTTGCATCAGAGAGCTCTCGTGCATTTTGATCGAGTTGGTCGTCATACTTGTCCAGCTTCTCAAACACTTCACAGATGAAGCCGTCCTTGTCATTCACAGATTTTTGCAGGAGCTCACTTTCTTGCATCATTTCGTCTAACTTCTGTTGTAGCTGTCGCTCGGCGATGTCTTTCGAGGCTTCGAGCTCGTTCTCATGGTTTTGAATTGCCTTCTTGACAACGTCGAGTTCGGATTGCAGATCGGGGTGCGACGTGATCAACAGATCGATACTGCGAATGGCGAATGACTTGTCTAGCGCAATGGGATTTGGCAATGGTTCCATCTCAAATGCTGCTCCGTTAGTAGCTTCGATCAGTGTGCTATCGTTCGACCGTCGTTCTTCGCCGCCTGCCTGGTGAGGGTGCGCTGGAGGAGTTGGGAAGTCAGATATTGAAACCCTTTCTGGATCTTGAGAACCTCTGCCTGTTGATGGAGTAGTGATTAGGTTACCATTGGTTTCGCGACGACGCAAGGCATCGCCCATAAGGTTGAAGGCGGTACTTGCAGGAAGAGATTGACGATTCTGGCTTTCGCCGGCAGCTGTTCGCTTTCGTCCAAGGTTGGATCGTATCCTTCTGCTTCTGCCTCCTTCGCTGTTGCGGCCATCTGTGACTGATTTCGTGCGGTTGATCACTCTTTGTAGTCGATCATCTATCTGTGCGAGTATGGATGATTCGCTTCTCCTTGACGTGACGATCGATGCATCGACATGCTTCTGGGTCATGACCATGAAAGACATTGTGTGGGTGATGCAGAAATCGGACCATGCAAGGTGACCAGATCTCGAATGTACTCGGAATGGAGGCTAGATCGAAGCCATGAAAAGATGTCTGTGAGAGTAGAAGGGTGAGGTCTTGCGAACGGTTGTCAGCTGATCGCGCCTTCCTCGAAGCGATAGAGACGTTGACCACAAGCGCTATTATTCTTTCAATTAGGCATTATTTCGTTCATGCCTTAGCGGTGAGATGGCTTAGTGCCACCATTCGTATTCTTACATTGATGTAAAACAAGTCCACAATAGCAAGATGACCGTCTCTATTGAGTTGAAATTGGTTCTTCTTGTTCCATGGAGTCTCGCCGCGATACAAATACTGGCGCTATGAAATATGCAAAACCAGTCGCAATTTGACTGTAATGCCCCAGCGGTAAAGATACTCTTTCAAAGATAGTCAGACTAGGAACCATTCGCGCACTAAAACTGACGCTCCCACTAAATTCGTGTCGAGAAGAATTAGCTGACTAGATAACAAGAGGAAGCCTTTCAAACATTTTCAGCAGATCTACTACACCCCTTGACAAAATGTACGACTTGACATCTTACTGCCTGTAGATCCTCAAACTCCTAAGCATACCATGCCGTCTCTTCCCTATCCTGAATCCCGCAACACATTGCGAGAAAAGGTTGCGAATGGTCCCAAATCACCATAAACCCCGGCGATCCCTCGCCTTTGTATAAATCCCATATATTGTATGCGTCTGCTACGGATATCCTCTCAACATATAGCGAAATAAGTGCTTGTAACCTCTTCCGCGTCTGCGATTGTCCATGTTTATGGATCGCCAGAAAGGAATCTGGATCCGCGTCCGGATGAGGATGTGGTGGAATCGCTTCTTCTTTCCCGATACTTTGTTGTAGGTTGCACATTTCCCATAGTACATACACCTCCCTTAGATCGAGGGCTATGAGGTTAGTGTACCAGGAGTCGAGGGGTAGGTTGAGGAAGGACCAGAGAGTGTAGTAGGATTTTATAAAGCGAAATCTCTCGTTCATTGTCAGCGTTGGAGGGTGGGTACTGGATGGACCGTAACAGTAGTTGAGAATAGACTTATCCGCTTGGTTTGAATTAGCAATTTCCTACGGGCTTAGGGACGGGCGGTATAACCTACATGTTACGCGAGATACGATTTGTCGCTCGAATACTAAAATCGCGTTTTCCACGACAGAATAATGTCTTACTATTTGACGTATATCTTCGACAGACTTGGTGTCTGTTTCATTTGTGCCAGATTGTGCCAGGAAGAATTGATATGCTTGTCGTCCGGCCCAGACGTCGTTGAACCTCACCGTCTCAAAAATGGAATTTGCGTTGTTCATCCATATGTTCCTATTTCTGTGACATGTTGATGCTAAATAAAAGACTTCAAACATTGATGGAAGGGAGCATAATATATGTTTAATGAGCTCATTCGGTAATTTCAAAATAGAGTCATTCATGATCGTCGATTTTCAATTCTCAATATGATCCGGTCTTCAGAACAAGTATATGGTATGATTTTTTAGAAGGCTCTGCGATAGGAACCCAATGAAATTTCAATAGATATCTAAAAGACGTAAGTCATGGAATTCAACTGCCATCGATCCACTCGCGTGACCGAATGTTGTCAAATGGTACTTGCCTATGTAAAGCAGAGATTATATACCCATCGCCGGCGGATCTTGTAGCCACGAACTTGACTTAAGCAATCTCTTGTACTTGGCCAAGTTAAGACTGCATTGCAGTAGTAATTTCTGATTTCCGTAGAGTTGTGTCTTTGAGTGAGGTTGCGAACGGAAGTGGGGCAACCGAAATCAATCCGTTAGCGTCATGTGATCCAAACTGTCGCGTCTTTGTTTTGGTCGCAAATCCTCTCTCTGCGCTTGTATTGGACCTTCGATGCGTCGTGTGATACAGATCTTCCAAAGCTTCTGCTTGTATTCGGAAAAGTATCCTCAGCGCTTCCAGGTTGGTTCCAACTTTTTGAAACTGACATATTCCCGCAAATAGGACGTTGACAAAAGTAACTCGACAAGCCAGATGGAGTAATTTCGACAAAATTACAACATGGCATTCACAGCTAGGTTGGTAGTGATGTACAGGAATGTCTTTTATTTTCTTTATGCATTGTTATCACTTTCTTTGTTTGCTTTTCTGGGCTTTGTCCGCTACTCTCTTTTCCTGTTCCGACATCCATTGTTTAGTATCCTTCGTAATGATTTGAACCCTTTTCATTTACCGATAGCTAAATCAACGTATTCTCCTTACTTTATCTCATATTTATACGGCGGCGTTATAATGAGCAGCTGATTTTGCTTTTATCTCCTTTTACCAATTCCCATACTCGCGTTTCTTCACTTGACTACACAGTCTGAAGCTATAAATCGCTATGTATCATTTTTTAACAAGCTTGTTCGCAACTCTAGCTCTGCAGAGTTTGAGAGAAGTCGATCCATTCCCTCGGGCAATTAAAACCCTCATCAAAATCTTCATCAAATACAGGCCGTCAAAACTCGTTGGCTCAAGGCGCGTCGAGCCCGCTTCCACTGCTTTTACTGCTCTCGCTCTCGGTGCCGGCACAACAAGCTATCAGTTTCATAGCTTTGATGGATACGAATCGGACACGGAAATGCAGAAATACCCCAGTATTGGAGCAGTCCTTGGAAGCATGAGGCCCAGGGGTTTATTTACTGCGGTTGTTCTTGAAAATGCACTGACATCGTGTGTAGGTATGCCGAGCGGCAAGACAACCCCACATCAGTTCATAGCCTCACATGTCAAGGACCACGAAAACTGCATTGTTACCAATGGTGGCTTTTTCGTTACCGGATGCGATGAGATTCTCCGCCCTGACTATGATGGCTTGGTGGTGGATTCTTCTGAAATCATGTTTCACTCGGTTGGGTCAACATCTGTCTCCAAAAATTCCGTTCCTGTACCAGGAGTATACAAGGATCTCTACTCCAGGCTGGAAGGCGATGACGGTAGTTTCCTGACAAGCGGCCCTGATCTAAGGATACCATTAGATGACAGCAGTCCTGACTACAAGAGAGCAAACCAAAAGTCCAACCGCTTGCATTATTTCTCACCAACCTGCGACGGAGGAGGTGTTGGCGTTCGAAGCGTCGTCTGGGACGAACAAGTCAAATACGACCAACGAATCCACGATCTCATGAACGGACCCGTGAATGTAGGACTTCAAATCGACATCGAAGCCGCTGACCGACTCGGAAGACAGCCTTTCACAACCAAAAAGGTCACTTGGTGCGAGGGAGCTGCAGGTCCAATGACCTGTGGTAACACCCATCTGGTTGGAAAGAGAACTCAATTGCAGGCTATCAAGCCGGTCCGTGTCGCAACCGATGGGACAAACGAATATATCAGAAGCGTCTTCGCCCACGTTCCTGGCGGCATTGCCACTGCTAACCAACCAAACGAAAGATTGGTCTTAGTAACAATCGGCGATGGCACAAGGGTCGTTTGCTCTTACACGTCAAGCAGAGACGACGGGCTTAGGATGAACGAGATAAGGGACGTTATCGATACGTTCCTGTGTAACTTTCTATGTTTAGGTATCGCTGACGTTGAACAGGCTCTAAACTTGGACGGCGGCGGCAGTGTCTTTGTCGGCTGGGTCAAGAACGGTAAGCTCAAGGTTCTCGCTTCAGGCGGGCTTGATAGGCAAGTTCCTGGTGCCAAAGATGCTACCGGAATGTGGTTTCGAGATGTGACTACTATGGTCAAACATGTTATATGTTGAGAATGTTCGAATTTAGCTGTAAATATTAAATAAACAGAAACAAATATTTAAAGACGTATTGTGTAGTGAAACTTTTTATACGTAATTGTCTAGCTACGAAAAGTCAAAGCCCCGCGTATTAGCGTAGATGTATGAAATATAAGTCTAACTTATGATCTTCCACACACGCTAGACGGCAGACGCTTGAGCGTTTTGAGGGTGGCACGGTGTCAATGGAGGCTCTACAGCTCATTTGTACTCCTACATTTCTCTTCCTTCATTCTCGCTCTGGGGAACTACAATAACCCAACATGGTAGAAGGAGAGTTCTGCTCAACTGGTCGAGATTCCACCGCCACTGGACAATGCAATGTAACCTCATACGACGCCCGAGTCATCAACTCTTCGCGTTGCGGGGAATCGTCAGCATCGACAGCAGATGTTTACTCCTCAGGTGGTGGTGGGATGACAATGAGTTCAGCTTCAAGCTCTCAAGTTGGCCAACCAGAGCCTTACTTTTACGTCAGCGAGGGGACATATTATCATTACAACAATGGAGATACGACTAGGTCAGAAGTTTGGCCAAAAGTGTGAGTGGGTCTGGAGCAAAGATGGATGGTCGGCTGCTGAGAGAACAAAATTCTGGAGGAAATATGATGGAATGAATACCTTCTACTTCTAAAAGCGACGAGTCATCGACAGTGTTTTCTCTCGTATTTCTACAAGAGTCGATTGATACAGCTATGTTTCTCATTGAACTCTTAACTGCGTGGGAAGTGTGTGAAAAATTGGCGAGAATATTCAGATATGCTTTTTCTTTCCTTTTAGCCAACAAATTAACGAATCTTGAACTCTAGCATCTCTGTGAACTAGTGCCGAAAGACCAACGAGCTGAATATTTCTTCAACGGTACGAAGGAAATAATCTCAAAATACATCTGGACATTTGTTTACTAGCATGCAGGACTGCGCACGTGTGCTTCTGGATCACATTCATTCTTTGAAACTCTTTGCAAACAATTGAAAGTTCGTTTTGTTGGATGATGCTATCTGGGACTACACCGCTCTTTCGGCTCGCTAAAGCTGAGCGGTCTCATAATCCATAAAAGGCAGCGGTGCCCACGCCGCCATAGGCCACAGATGCTACAAATTCGTGTATTTTCGTCAGTCCTAGATGGCTGCTCAAGAACTCGACCACGAGATTGCGACCGAGAATGAGATAGTTGCTTTCTGTACGGATGCAGGGAATGCGCTGATTGGCGGAATTTCCCATGGCAATCAAGTCGTCAAAATATCGTCCAAAGCCGTTGTTAAATTTGGCATAGGTGTTAAACAAAAGGAGGGTAGAAATCAAACCCGAGCCTACGAATTAATTGACCAAAATATCGTTTGCGTTCCCGTAGTCTACCGCTGTTTCATGAGAGGATATGTTGGGTACATAGTCATGGAATATATGAATGGAAGACCACTTGAAAAACTCGAAGAGTCTTCTTTGATCCAGAGAATCAAGGATATCATGGCTTATCTTGCGACAATACGTGGCTCCTCACCTGAAGTCTTCTTCGAAAAATCATACAGTCCCGTGCCTGGACCACTTTGTGGAGGGGCACCCGCTGGTCTTCTATGGGACGAGAGCGAGGAAACCATCTTCCATACCATTGAAGCTTTGGAAAGGTGGTTCAATAGGAGATTGAGAAAAGAGGACACCAAGGTCAGATTTTCTGATTATGAATTAGTACTGTGCCATCTTGATATTGCACCTCGAAACTTCATATTGCTTGATGATGGATCTATATCTCTTCTTGACTGGCAATCAGCTGGATTTTATCCACGAATTTTCGAAGTATGCGTGTTTCATCTGGCTTTCGGAGGCGAACATTCTTTTGCTGAGGATGTGGTGAAGCCGGCGGATTGGAATGATGAGGAGCAAGCTGTCATCGCTTCGATGGGTAAAGCATGGGGAAATACCATCAGGAACCACTTGTAAATGTAGAAATATTTCGTTCCCTAAAACTTTCGTACTGATTCGTTCCATAGCAAGTCTCTGTTCTCTTTAGACCAGGACCAACAGAGTATGAGCGAGACGAATTTTCTTCTGCCTAGTGATTAACATAACTTTGTACCCAGTAATGAGAAACTGGAAGTTTCGAATCTGAGAGGTGTTCATTTGAAGTTGCGGAGCATAAAGTGGTTGTGTAACAGTATGCTTTTTTGTATTTCATTCAATCTCATCCTTGACAGGAATGGTAGTATCATAATTTTCTCGAAAATTCTAAAGGGATCAAAGAATATTTGGCCACCATAAGTCCATGAAAAGTTGTCTTAATAGGAGAATGTATCACGTGCTGGTTCAAGCGAGATGGCTTGGAATGGCAGGGAAAAATGTAATCCCGCCTCCGAGATGAAGAGCAACGACATCTCATGAATGTTCCCAAGAATGGTATTATAATCACACCTATCAATCAGACAACGTTCAGACATAATCCAACGTCAGGCTTTTCTTCTCAATGATGAGTCCGACCATTCCGGCGACCGGCGTCAAATTCCGTCCGTCATTCGCCAAAAGCAATATGCATTCGGTGAACAAACACAGCTTAGCGGCTGGCTGCAGCGCGTATGCAAGAAAGCCTCGATAAAGTCAAGCATATATTCAGCCAAAGAGAGAACCAATGGCTCCTCAAACAAGAGCCTTGTCTAGACGGGAGCGGCTTCCATTACATTGGTTCACTTAGGTTTGCTCAGCCCCAGCGACTGTTGGTTCGGCCTGTGCAACGCGGCCGTCGACTGACTTATACATTGATATGCCGGCTAGCTTTTCATTAAGGCACAAAACTTCTCTTCATTTCTGAGTTACATATATCTGCGTGATTAACATACGTCTACAGTGTCTTGTCACTACTATTGCAGCTCTTATTGCCATCTAAGCGAGACCTCAACTAGATCAATGAACTACTGTTTATCACCAAGGGTTCACGACGACCTCACCTTTCCAATTTCTAACTTTGGCGCTATTCCTTAAACCAGCCGAAAGAAATTTTCCTTGTGCTTTCTTTCCGGGAAGTCTCTTTCGTGGTTTCCTTACCAATATCAAGATCGACAATTTATCAAGATCGACATCTACAACTTCCCCAAACAATTTACGCCCAGCCAACTGCCCTGTTGCGTGCAACACTACAACAAACTCGCCATCATGGCTCCAAAGCCTGTAGCCTCAAACGCATAGGTGCAGCGTCTTACTACCACGTTGAAACAGTTATGCCTGGACTACCCCGCTGGATTTGGAGTGCTCCGAGAGCTTTTGCAGAACGCTGATGATGCCGGGGCAAGAGAAGTGGTATGCCGAATTGTCTCTGAATATATGTGATTCATAGATTTTAACTGACTGTACAGCGATTCCATCTCGATGACCGATCATACACTACTACTGGTCTCATGCATGAAGCGCTGGCCCAATATCAGGGACCGGCACTCTTAGCCTACAACAGTGGTATATTTCAAGATGACGACTTCAAGAGTCTTTCAAGTCTAGGCGATTCTTTGAAATTTCTTGACGGTTCTAAAACTGGCAAGTTCGGTCGTGGCTTCAACACGGTATGTGAGAACATCCTATTTTAGGTGTCCAAGGTCGACTGACGTTGCAGGTTTACAATTGGACGGACTCACCTTCAATTGTGTCTCGGGACCAGTTCAGTATTCTAGATCCACATATGGAATGGTCGAGAGACCTGGGTGAGCATGCGGGCGGACCTCGATACAATTTTGTGGCAGATTGTGAAGACACGGAAATGCAAAATCATATGTCTGTCTTCAAGCCAATTATCACCAACCCCTGCGAAAGGTTTGATGGCACGGTAATTCGCATCCCCCTACGTACCGAAGAACAGAGCCGCAGAAGTGAAATCTCTGGCAAACACCCCACTGTACTCGAGGTACAGGAAGTCCTACAGAATTTTGCTTCCGAATTTGGCAAGGGAGGCTTGCTGTACTTGAAAAACGTCGAATCCATCACGATCAGCAGCTCCAGTATCTACACCAAAATGACAGTACTTGATATTGAAAACGCGCGGTCGTAAGTCTTTTTTCGGCATTGATTTTCACCTTTGTCTAACGTTTTCAGGCACAAACGTAAGGTACTCGACGGCATCAATTCGGCACTGGAAAACTCGCATTCATCATTCCACCATTCTTTTAAGCTTGGCTTACAGCTACAGACTGATGGGCTTACAACCGAAACTGCATTTTTTGTTCACCATAGCCTTCCAGGTGATCTGATGTCAGATGAAATGAGACGATGGGCTGAACAAGAGAAACAATTTCCCTGGGTTGCGGTTGCTGCACAGATTTATCCTCGCGATAACGAGCCTATCGGCTCACTATCCACCGTTGTGCCTCTTCCGATCCAACCGGGGCAACCTGTTCACATACACGGAGCCTTTCACTTGTCGCCAGACCGGCAACGACTCACATGCTCAGATCGCGAAGGCTTGAAGTCAAAAGATGATGCCACCAAATGGAACGACTGGCTCTTTCACAGTTGCATTCCGTCAGCATGGGTGCAGCTTAGTGATTTTATGGCGCAACACGAAGAAGTCTCCCAAGTCTTTCAGTGGTGGCCACAAGAATCGCTGGTTCCTTATGATTATTTCAATGGCGTCCTCGATGACTTTCTTCGCATTATCAATGAGAAAGCCTTGCCCATTTGGCCTACCGAAGCAGGCTACATGACGGCTACCCAAAGCTTTTTAAGCACGGCCCCTGTGGCTCCGTTACTGAGAGCTGCGCTAGGTCAAGCCAAAGTGCCAGTAGTTTATTCACTATCTAGGTTGTTATCACGCACCAAGCAATACTTCGTCGGTCGCTATCTCAGTGCAGAAAGCTTGTCTCTATTCTTCAAGCAAAATCCTATGGCTGTGGCCAAGCTGGATAGTAATGCAAAAGTCAAAATCCTCGAATATTTATTGCAAGAAGAGACGCATCTGGAGAAATTCTATTTCTTGAACCTATTTCCCTTCAAAAGTGGTGAATTCGGACCATTGGAGCTGGAAAGGACTTTCATTGATCGAGATGAAGCTGAAGCCAAGCTGTTCTGCCATCAGACCGATTCTGTCATCGATCTTGGTCAACTTCCCAAGCGGACCGTGAAACTTCTCCGAGACCAGTGCGGCACTATGCAACTAAGACCATACATCAGTTATCGCCCCTTCGAATACCTGAGCGTCTATTCCCTACAATTCGTATTCGCTGGACTGCCTACTGAACAGGATATGGTCATGCTAAATGAGGAAGCTTCAACCTTCGTCCACCACGCCTGGGCTTGGATTATGAATCATGGTGTAGAATTTGTTCAAGTCGCGTCAGAACTATGGTTGATCCCTCTCACTAATGGGCAATACCGAAAAGTGGTGCCTCGAAGTTCAGCACATAGGGCATTCAACGCTGACTCTAGCGTCACTGGAAAGTTCATGAAAGATTTCCATGACAAGGAGTCGAGTGTGAACCCTCTGATAGACTCTCGAATGCTCGGATCTGTCACTGAAGCTCTGCCAACTCTCATGCAAGCATCTTTCAACAATCCTTCCCTACGGATCGCGGATGCTGGAAACATCATTGTCTTCGTAGAATGGCTGAAGGACAACACCATTAGAGTCTCTAAAGCTCCACCTGCAATTAGGGAACGCATCCTAGAGATAATCGCAAGCAGTTTAAGGCTGAGTGTGAGCAATGTTGATCGACAACTTATCAACGGGTCTATCAAATATTTGACTGTATTCCGGAAAGTATTTTGGTCAAAGAAGGGCAAAAAGTGGTGAGTGCTACAATCTATTTGATGTGCTTGTTATTAACACTAAACAGGACGCTTGATATGGAATGGACAAATCTTGACGCAGTCACAACCTCGATCGGACTCTCCGAGGAGAAAGTCTGTCCCATTCCAGAGGTCACGGATGTACAATTCATACATGTGCCTCCTTTTGGCAATCTATCTCGAGTCAACCGTACGCTTAGTCTTCTGGGGTGTCTGAATCGACGCGAAGTCGTGGAGAAATTCGTGATACCAAACTGGAATACTCCGCAAACTCAAGACATGCCGGAGTCTTGCAAATTACAACTAGTCAAATTAATCTTCTCCCAATTTTCTTGCCTATCAACTCCGGTCCAATCAAAACTCCGGTCGCTCGCCATCGTTCCAGCACAAAGTGCTACGGGATCGAGTATATCGAAACTTTCTCTTGCAACAGACCTCATAGACCCATCCGCTTCAGACCTACTAGGAATGTTCTTTGATGACGAACAAGTTCGACCAGATCAAAAGTTCTTTGCACAGTATACTACTGTTATACGAGGTATTGGCCTAAAACGTGTCCTTGATTACGAAATGTTTCTTGCTCGAGTTCAGAAGTTCGCTTCATGCAATCAACCCATTTCGGAAATTAACAAGCGCGTTTGCCGGTTGCTAGGTTCTTATGGTCCGTCACCGACGGCATCCCGCATATCTCAAGCAGTAAACATCAAGACTCTGGAATGGATTCCTGTACAGAGTTTACAGGCTAAGGAGTTAGTCTTATGCGCCCCTAGCAAATGCCGTGGTGGTGATGACCGCCCACTTGTGGACTCTCAAATGCCGATATTTGAGGGACATGTCGGGAACGAGTGGATGACCGAGCTTGGTTGGCGCGAAACAATTTCGCAAGATGTTCTACTTGGTCAACTCCGTCATGGCATTGAAAACAAAAACAGAACGATTGTTGATGCGGTCTTGACATATATTTATGGGCTTGGCAACTTTGAGCTTTGGCAGACCGAGATCAATGATCTACCGTTTGTTTTTACAGGCAACTCTCATCTAATAACTCCATCAAAGGCCTTCGCCCCGTCGAGGACTCGCGCTGCCAATTGTGATGGTCTGTATCCCTATGCAGCAAACGTGGACAAGAAATTCTGGGAGGACCACAAACCGTTGTTACAACATTTTGGTGTTCGCGAAGGCCCGCTTGCTGAGAGTTTGGTCACAATCAGCACTCAGCTCGCAACTAAAGATGTCTTAGACGACGAAGAGGTGTGCGTGGCGGTTAAACTGGCAAAGTTGGCAAGTTGGGTTCCTAGATCGGACTTGACTGGCTTTAGGATTGTTAGCGATACCAAAAAGATGATACCTGTAGAGGATATTAGTTATCCCAATTCAGGCACTAGACGCTTTGTTTCAGATAAGCCTCTTACTCACCCCGACATCCCTCAATCTATTTCTGAGAAGCTTAAGATCGCCAAGCTTACCGATCGTATACGAGACGAAGAGCTAGAAATATCCGACGAGTATGAACAGCAGGAAGACATGACGACGTCTATCGTAAGAACTTTAGAGAGTTATGTCATCGGAAGTACCTTTAACGAGTACTTGGCCAATGCAGATGACACCACCACCGCAACCGTGATTAATTGGTTACTGGATACGCGGACGCACCCACAAGAGGGTTTGTACCACGATGATTTGAAGGCAGCCCAAGGGCCCGCTTTGCTTGTTCATAACGATGATGGTAAGTTTCATTCTAACTAAATGAGACGCAAACTAATTCCAGAGCAGTTTTCAGCGAGCAAGACTTCAAAGGATTCCAGAATGTGGGCTCTGGAAGTAAGACAGAAAATGTAGAAGTGATCGGACAATTTGGCCGAGGTTCTCAGACAATGTATCACTGGACTGATACCCCGATTATCCTCAGCGGGGAATACCTTGTGATCCTTGAGTAAGTCTATGCTTCTGTTTAGATATTAAGTTCTAACTATTTCAGTGCACAACGACGCGTCCTAGGCTTGGGAGATCATGGCAATCCAAAATCTGGTATTAAAGTCAAAATCAAGTTGCTTAGGGAAAGACACCCAAACCAACTGATTGCTTTCGAGGCACTTTGGGGTTATAGTTTGGATCTTGATGAATACCCAGGAACGATATTCAGATTTCCGTTGCGCCCATCTGGAGTCGAGTCAAAATTCAGGTTGAAAAACCCAGACCTCAGTTTATTAGGAGTGAAAACTCTCTTGGAATCTTATTTTGAAGTCGCGAAGGTGTCGCTTTTGTTCGTTCGAAAGATTAAGTACATTGATTTCACTATACACGGAAACGAGAAATGTGAATGGTCGGTAACCAGAAAGGACTCAGTCACTTTGGCCAACTCGTGGTCACAGAATGTCGAAATTTCACATGAGCAATCATGTGGAGCAGAGGGCCGTCAATCTGGCAAAGATACGTATAAAGTGGCCATCGAAGACATCGAGGCCGAAACCAAGGATTTGCCTTATACTTCGACACGGGTCATGAAACGAGTTGAATGTGGCTTTGCAGCGAAGATTTGCGCCACGATCAATGGAAAAATCATCGAGGCCAAAGCTGACCGACCCCATGTATTCAAAACACTACCTCTGACAATCCGGTCCGACTTCAATGTTGCTGTACATGCGACATTTGATATTTCGGGAGATAGGCGCACCTTTGTGGTGAGCGACCCAATGAATGACACGGATGGCTCTGCTTGGAACCGATATCTGCTCAGCGAAAAGTTACCAGAGATATTGTTACAGTTTCTCAGCGTGCTTGCCGACGAGATTGGACAAAAGGTGTTCGACTTTTGGCCACAGAGGGAAGTGCCTACTAGTAGCCACCTCTCCCTTCTGAGCCTCGGATTTTGGGAAAAGTTGACGGGTTGTAATTTATCCCTCTTTCCATCCGCCCAACCTTCTTTGAAACCTTCGAAACGACAAAAGTTGAAGATATATACCATTGATACGGCTGTATTTGATGATTTGACAGAAAAAGTGTCAGAAGCTTTGGCTCCTCTGCTTCTTACTTTACAAGTCAAACTCGTAAGACGTTTGCCGGAGTACGTGTCAAAGCAATTAAGGAAGATTGACGGAGCTCAATTCGTCGATGGTTCTTTCATACGTCGACTGTCTAAGACTACAGAGTTTCGAACCGCCCTGGAAGGTATGCTCAGTTACAACCCATCGGTTCTAGATGCTGTACTCAGAATTGCCCTACCAAAAGACGAAGATCAGCAGCTTGAGTTAGATGGATGCCATATTATTCCCCTATTAGATGGAACTCTTGGCACATTGAGAGTCGGAGACCAGATTTCGGAGGCAAAGGACTACTTTTTAGCACCAGCCAAGACTCAAAAGCTTTTCAAGTTCGCGTCTAGCCTTATGGTATCGGAGTCGTATGACAAAGCTTTCCGTTATGTTCTGAAAGCACGAACTTCTAATCTCAAGGCCCTCGAGCTCTGCTATGTGGATGAATTAATGGAGTTGAGGCCTGAGCCAAAAGCTGTGAGCAAGCAGGAAGATAATTGGCTCCGAGACTTTTGGAAGTTCTGGGACTCAAACCTCGATACATCGGAGGATGTTGAGCTCGATCACTTTGGTAACGTGCTGAAATCTAGGACCGGAGACGTTGAAAGCTATCGTCGTCTCTCCGAGATGGACACTTTGCCTGCGATCATTGAGCCAACTGAAGAAGAACACCTAGCGCTTATTCGCAAGATTCCGGGTCTAGTCTGTTTTGACAGAACTATTATGCCGAAGTCGCTAAAAGACAGCAGTTCATTGCACGAGTCTAAGGACTCAATATCACGACTTTTTAAAGCGTTTCACGAGCTGGCTACTTCGTCAAGCCTATCCGTTGGCGACTTTCTTCAACCAAACCTCTTAGAATCCGACTTCGAGGTAGACTTCTTCTCCACCTTTCTCATACATTTTCCAAACTAACGCACATTAGGTCTTACGAGATTTGATTGAACGTTTTTGTAAGATGAACAAATCTACCACTTCGACTAGTACAGTTTCAGATCCAATTCTTCAAGATCTAAGAACAATTCCTCTTTGGAAAAGCGCAGATCCAAACGTAAACAGTCTCTTAAGCTCAGTGACTGCGAAGATTGCTGAGCAAAAGGAATTTCTTGTGTCCTGGATCAAAAACGGCGAGAAATTTGTATCACATGACGAGGCGACCACATGGAATGACTGTATGGAGTTCCTGAAAGTTAAGAGAATTACTACAGCTCAACTGATCGACGATTACATCTTCCCTCTTCCGTCTGCCATATCGAAAGCAGATCTGCGTACCTACGGAGCTTTAATCTCGGCGCTCGCAGATTTCATTAACACAGTTCATAGTGGGTCTAACGTAGACTCTGCGATTCGGAATAACAATCTCGCGGTGGATGGAAATTTGGATATCACCCACGTTAGCAACCTATTCGAAGCTGAAGATGAAGTTTTCCGGGCTGCATTTAGGACCGAGGAGCCAACAAAACTTCTCCATGAAACTGTTCGCAAACATACTTTCTTCTGGCGACGAGCTGGTATTCGACATCGAGTCTCGGGTCGTTTTGCTGCGAATGATTATCTTGAGTGCTTGAATTCGATCGCCCGTCGACTCTCAGGACCTTGGGACTCGCATCTCGAGAACGACGCCGATGTCGTATTACGCCCCCTATGCAATCCTTCATCAAGTACGGATGGTTTCGATCTACAAGCTTGGTCTCGTCTGACGCAGAAAAAAGTGTTCATTTCAGATACACGATTTGGATCCGAGCCAGAATTCAGACGGTTGCACATGAGGACAATTGCATCAAGTCAGCCGGTATTGTGCCTCTCCGAAGTCGTATCTCACTATCACCATGCTGCGGTGTGTTGGAGTCAAACACCCTTCCCCATTAACACTCCATCAAAGGAAGTTTTTCACCGAGTCAAGTATGCAGGAAAGCCTCCAGTGGAGATGGTGTGGAGACATTTGGAATATTTACATTCTATCTGTTCGTCACTCGACATGACTTCTGCTCGAGATTTCTTCAAAGATCTCCAGGCAACATACATCTTCCTCCAGAACCACCAAGACACGGCAAAGACAACTTTTAATTCTCATCTTCACGGCTTGCCTCTTTTCCTGAACACTAATTCCTTGAACGGTCAGGGTATTACTCCTTTTGAAATCCAGTCTTCCTGGATTGATATAGATCATTTGGTTCTCGCTAGCTCCGTAGATGCAGGTCGCCTTCAAGCTGTCCGACCAGGATTGAGACAGTACGAGAACCTACTCAAGAAACTAGGATGTAGAGCTATTAATTATCCCATCGGAATCCAAATTAGTCCACCGCAGCCAGGATTACTCAATGGTCACACAGGAATGAAAGGATTCCAGGAAATGAGAAAGAAGCAACAGGGCTGCGACGTCACGTTCCGCACAGAGGGTCGTGAAATCAAAGCACATCGCGCAGTGTTAGCTAATATCTCCGAAAAATGGCGCCAACAATTCTTCGGTGGGTTCCCTGTCGAGTCTGTTTTTGAATTCGATCCGGCCAGCCAGGAAGACTTTCTCACTTTCAACGCGCTGTCCATTCTGATCAAGTAAGCCTACCAGGAACTCATCGACGAGGAGGAATTGCAGATTCTTGAGGAAGGGGATGAAGTGGACAACTACCAAAAGCTCCTCAGCCTACTGGAAATCCACAAAGCCGCGAACTATCAAATCATTATGCCGTTGGCAGAGTATATTGAGTATATGATCTTGCTGGCCATAAAGATCGTCATCAACATTGATAATGTGGATACAATCCGGGAAAAGGCTGGTTTGGCACAGGCGGAGAAAGTTGAGCAGTTCTGCGTCTCATTCTATGAGGCTAATAAGGACACTTTGAGATTCAAGGGGGAATAAGGTTAAGATCTTTTGTTGGAGTAATGGAATAGAAGATTCGTAACTAGCGAGTTTCTATGGCGTTTTGAGTTTCTTGTTGCTTCTGAGCTGTAGTTAGTGGTTCGGCGACGAGGCACCCATAAAAGTACAATAAATATGAGAAAATGTGTCCCAACAATTCTTTTCTAACAGACTTACTCAGCCTTTCCAATAGAAATAATTTCTAGTGATCAATGAACTAAAGTGTATATTGCTAACGTGATCGTTATTGTGTCAAAATTGTGTCGAAGAAGGTATCCGGGCAGACTAGTACTACTACTGGTGAAGTGGAATTTTCTTACATTTCAGATTTGTTTTAATTATCTTTACAGTATCATATTAAGATCAATTTAAACAAGATCCGCTTTCGTCTATCGTTCTTCCCATTTAGGAACATTATCCGTCGATGAGTACAAGCGTATCACGTGACGGCTACTTTCCGTTGGCAAGTTAACAAACGACACATCTCCCTCAAACCCAAACAACATTTTACGCGTCACAGTGATCAGCAACCGACTCCTTTTGGAAGCCTCTCAGTCCAACATCTAATGAGATCGCGGGATGAATGAGTTGCAAGGTTTCCAGCACAAATTTAAAGCAAACCCAAACAAGCCGCATCTTTCAAAAGTTACCAAGCGGCCCCGCCTTGTTTGTAATCCATGTCAACTTTCCAAACTTCGGTGCGACCGGAAGCAACCGTGTTCAAGCTGTTGTAAGAGGGACGAAGGCGCTCTCTGCAGCTATGAAAAGAAGATAGTCTCCTCGATGAGTACAGCCAGAAACAATGCGGCTGAAGACAGATTGTTGCATTTGGAGTCTTTGGTCCAGCAATTGATAGGGGGCCAGGGGACTGAGAAGTCAACAGAAGCTTCCGTGCATTCTACTAAAGCAAGTTCAAAGCAATTAAATGTAACGGCAAACAACGACTCCCCAACTACGACGTATTTTGGGTCCACCCATTGGTCAGCTATATTGCAGGACATTCATGCGCTAAAGGTTGCAGCTGGAACAGCAGTTCTCGATGCGAGCGAAGAGAGCCCGCCGCTCACAGAAGTGGTGGGTCACCAAAACAGCGATGTAATATTTGGATCATCTGGAAATTACTCTCTGCAGCAGATAATCTCCCAGTACCTTCCCGAGAAAATTGAAGTCGATCGCTTTCTTGCAGCATACTTCTCAGCGAAGACATATATTGCACCTTTCATTCACACCTATCATTTCCAACGTCAATATCGGAAGTTCTGGCAGGATGTCAACAAGGTCAATCCTCTTTGGCTTTCCATGCTATTTTCTGTATGTTACTTTTCGTCTCGGTTTGTAGCTTTGCCCGATTCAGTACGGAATCCATCTACAAACACAATCAGAGACTACCATAGCTTTCATACTGCAGCAGGAAAATGTCTGGTACTTGGTCAATACCACCGGCCACAAAAGTTTACGCTTGAGGCACTGCTTATGTATGCTCAATGCAGGAACTTACAAAGCCTTGATCCTTCTCGAGAAGTTGGTGCGATACTAGCAGTTGCTGTCCGTTTGGGATACGAAATGGGCTATCACCGGGATCCAGACTACATTGGAAAGTTCACTGTGTTTGATGCTGAGATGCGTCGGAGATCTTGGGCGGTCTGTAAGCAGATGGATTTGATGATTTCATTCATGCTCGGTATGCCTAGCAACATCCGCTTTGAAGCTTGCGATGCCAAATCGCCGCAAAATCTTATGGACTCCGATTTCGACGAAAGTTCCGTAACGTTGCCTCCGTCTAGAACAGAAATTGAAGGAACAAAGTTATTATGGTTTGCGGTCAAAGAAAGGCTGGTTGTCGGCTTCTATAATGTCTACTGCGATGCGCTTTCATTTAAGGAGAAGTCCGAAAGCGAAATTCTGCAGCTCGACAACGAGGTCCGAGGAATGCAAAAGACTATTCCCAAAATTCTTCGAGCCCGTCCATTAGCGGAATCACTAGCAGATGACTCATTTCTCATCATGTCACGGATCTATTTAGATTTCATATACCTTAAGAGTTTATGTATCCTCCATCGCAAATATATGAAAAAAGGAAATGCTTTCAGTACCGAAGTGTGTATTGATGCGGGGTCGAAAGTTGTTGATCAGTTCCTCGATATGAACAAGGAAATCTCGCCAGGTGGACAACTCTACGACGTGCGCTGGATGCTCAATAATTTTACGATGAATGATTTTTTGTTAGGTGTCATGGTTCTGTGTCTGGCAGTACACACCAAACTGAAATCTGGTAGTCAGATTACGACCATACCTGTTTTGATCGATAGCAAGCTACTCGACTTATTAAAGCAGTCGCATGCTGTCTGTCTGGAGAAGTCTAGTGTCAGCAAAGATGCTCAGAGCGTTGCCGGGGCTATCAAACTCACTTTGGCTGCGGCTAAATTGTCGAAGTCACATCATGAAAACAACACAGCTCCGGCTTCTCAAAGTCAAGTCGCCCATGCGGACGAAGTATCATTTGTTGACGAGGAAGCCATCGATTGGTTTTCACTTGAATTACCCGCCTGGACTGGATATAATTATAATCCTGGTGATGAGACAGCCTTCGATTTGATGGACACTTTATTAGATTTCTCAACCGTTGGTGTTGCAAATAATGAATGGTCTGAATTCGGTGCCTAATTATTCGTCCAATCTTGCAGGGAGCGAAAGTTTGGAGATGAACACTCGAGTTGTAGCACAACAAGGTTTCTAATTCGATCCCAGTTTACTTATCCAAGCTCTTAAGCAAAGTATCGCTGAGCATTTATTGTAGACTGCGTAAACTTGTCTTATCGATGTTAAACTCCTGCATCCAACGTACTTTGCTCAATTTTGGGCAAACTCGAGACTTGCAAGAAAACTGGTCTCAACATAGATTTCCGACTAGCCCAATATTTAATTCTGAGACTAAATGTAGTCAGAGGCTTGACGGCAAACTCTTTGCAGGTAAAAGGTCGGGATCGGTCGCAACTCCGGCCAAAAAGCGCCCAACCAAATCGAGAATCCGGGTCGGCCGCGACAATTACCGCTTTAGGTAATTTTCCTCTCCTTAAGTCCAACATCCGCCAACAACCATAGATCAGATGCTTTTCAGGTTTACAAATCAGCTTTCATCTCTTACTCAATCGAGTCCAAAGCTGTGTATAAAGTAAACCAAATTCCCTCTTCTTTACTTACATTCATCAACCCCAAGTGTACCGAACAAAATCATCACTAGAACCTCACTCGAACACTTCATTACATATGGATTCCAACCAGATTGTTTTCATTACCGGGGCCAATACTGGTCTTGGATTTGAAATTGTTAAATCTTTGCTTCAATCCGACGTTGCTTATACAATACTTTTGGGTGGTCGCAGCATCGAAAAAGCCAACACAGCAGCAAAGGATGCGCAAGCACAATACCCTGAAAGTTCCAGTACGATCGAAACTATTCAGATAGATATCGAAGACGATGATTCAATTAATCAAGCATTCGTTAAGATAATTGATGGATACAAACGACTTGACGTTTTGATCAATAACGCTGGTAAGCACTTTTCCACTTTGTCGAGAATGTTCTATGATAACTGATATCATGATAGGAGCTCTATTTGACCTTCGAGCGGACACCGACGGTCTCTCGATGCGCGAGTTGTGGAACAAAACTTGGAATCTCAATGTAACCGGAACTCATATTGTAACCCACACACTCATGCCACTCCTGCTGGCCTCCAAGAACCCACGTCTCTTATTCATCACATCAGGTACTTCAACCCTCACCGAGACTGCAACATCACCTCTTCCCATCGACAAGTCTCCACCCGCCGGCTGGCCCAAGTCTCTTGGTATGCCCGCGTACCGTGCCAGTAAATGCGGTATGAACATGTTGATGCGACAGTGGTTTCGTGTCTTGAAGGAGGATGGTGTGAAAGTTTGGTGTGTTTCTCCTGGACATTTGGCCACGGGTTTGGGAGGATTGGGGAAGGAGATGAATGCCAAGTTTGGGGCTAAAGATCCGGCGCTAGGTGGACAGATTATAAGGGAGGTGGTGGAGGGGAAGGAGGACGAGAATGTCGGGAAGGTTGTCAGACGGGGTGGACCTCAGCCTTGGTAGAAGGCGAGTCCAAATAACTGCCTCGTTGTTGCAGCTATTTCAGGCATAATATTTGCCATGGCAAGCAACGGGGGTATTAATTTAGCATTGAAAGGTCTTTTGCTAGCCACTCGTAAGTATATTCCAATATTCTTCTGTGAGTTTAGATATCTGCTCCTGAGTTCTACTCTGATGGTTTGTGTCTCATTGTAACATAAGTTCCCTTCGCCCCGGATCGAAACCACACTATGCTTTCTCTGTTTGTCTCTCTATCAACCAAAAATATTGATCCTCCTCGCATCTATCCATGACTTTCTCTGATAATCCGATTGCTTGAGTCATCCCATGTTCCTCAACAGTTTGTTGGATATATTCCAAAACACCAATTCCAGTTGTCCTCCCAGGCCCCATTGAAAGGAACCGTCTCTCCTTCCATCATAAATTGGCCATTGTACCCTTTGTCCCCTCCATATGGATAGACCCATTGAGTGAAAGAGTGACCGACAAACAGTGACAGTTTGGTATAGTAAACTAAATAGTAAAGAGGTTTGTACTCTCTACCTACTTCGAGCCAATTGATAACGTCATCCCAGTAAGCAACAGGATCGGAATTGCATCCCACCTTCAACCCTCCTACGCCAATATGGTTATAGCCACTGATGCCACCACGTTCGACGAGATCGTCCCCAAGTGTCGCCGTCTCGTTGTCAATCGCAGCGATGTGGTGGATTGACCAATTTGTTCCATCAGTGGCTATGAAAATTGGAATATCACTTCCCACGAGACTATCTTTGGCTTCTCTCCGAATTAGAGAGTCACTTTCAGATGCAAGGTCATCCAAGTCGGGATCGGTGTCATTTGATGTGATTGTGCTGTGAAGGATAAACGTAAATGGAAGTGTTCCAGCGTACGCCACGGCGATTGGCTCCGCGGTAGCATCTGTACCCCGACGTTCGATCATCGCTTGTGATGTGTTAGAAGGCACGCTCTCTCCATTAATGGTAAGATCTGTAATCTTCACATTGTTTGGAAATTTGGATAGAATGACATCTAGATACGAAATGCTCCTTTTCGTGGCCACCTAAAAGCACGTTAGCGCTGAACCATTTATGAAATCATCTAGTGAGTAAGATGAAATGTTAATAATAAGATACACACCTCACCCCGGCGAAACCCACAAGCTGCTAACGCAACAGCACAACTAGACTGAACAATGGAGTTCGCACACTCCCATCCATCAACCAACCTCCCATCAGCGGTCTTACACTCTTTGGCGATATTGAAAATGCTCTGGCCAGTTGCTGAAGCAAAGACAATTCCAGACTCTGCATGCATGCCCCCTCTAGCGAGCAAACGTGAAGTAAGTGCCATACCCCATGACAATGCTCTTGGTAAATAGTCAGCTGCATCAGCATTGCCAAGCAGTGAAGTAGAAGCAGCAAGGAGAATCCAGCAATGAAGCCGCATAGTGATCAAGTGCACAAAAGGTCACAATCGTGTCGAGCTTATGAAGAATCGCAAGGGGATTCTGAATTTAATGTTGAGGATAGAAAAAGGGAAATCTGGTGTCTGTATCCTCACTTTATACTTTGAAAGGCAGTCTTCCTAGTCATACTGAGGTTTTCTGTGCCGTACTCTTCATGACAGATACTCAGCCACCTCGTTCGTCGTGACCGGAATTGGCAGGTATGTTGGCTTTTGACACTAGATCTGTACATATACCAACATTACCAGCCTGATTGCCTTGCGCTATCGAATTGCGCTGCAGAACGATCTTTCGAGCAATACACGTGGAGTGAGGGCATGGGCTCTGAAGTCTTAGTCGAGAGACCGACTGTTAAATACCAACACTGCCTTGCAAGTCATTTATGTAAATTAACTGAGAATCGTCAATAGCAACAAAGCTCCATTCTACAGCTCGTCAAAGTGGTAACGAGATGTGCCTCTGACAGCTCACGATATTGTGTGCCATGTTAAGTCTTATAGATCTGGTTGGTTGAATCGGTCTCACCAACATTGGCAGAATAATTACCCAATCAATAACCCCTTAAATCCAACAAAGGACGCACAGAGTAATGAGATAAACCTCTTTCAATCTCTGGATCTACCTAGGTAGTCTGGTGTCAAAAGCTGGGCTTAAGCGACCCAGAAGTCTTCGACCTGATTTTCGTTTGTTGAGTTTGCTTCATCTCAGCAGCTACATCATACTCCACAATTTCGAGAGCTTTAATCGAAAGCAGAGACTTTTTGTTCCGTTTGTGCAATGATATTTATCACAAGTAGTTATGTTTGTTGTGGTGGCCCAGTTACAGTGGGTCTAATAACCCAGAAGAAGCATGGGCATCCGACTGGACATCTGAAATGTCACATCTCGGATCAAGACCGAAAGGGTAAATCTGTTGACAGACTTGCTGAAGATATCCCAGCAAAAAAGCCAACAGCACTATTGATAATCTGACCATTGACCTTTACCATGCTGTCGTGCATGAGATAAAGATGATACACTACACATGCTTGACAAATTTATCAATTGGTATGTCTTGTTTCTCTGGCAACTTCTCGCTTATTAAAGGGAGTCTCTCAATGTCAGTTCTCTTGGTGGTCCAGTACCAATTGGGAACCACATAGGACATCTAATCATTTTGAGGAATATCCCGACTCCGTAACTGCTTTTTGGGTTATTATTTAGTACTGAGTCAGTAATCGACAAAGTCACATGCGGGAGCGCGTCCTTAGAACCTGAGTGATATGTCCACCGATTACTTGCCTGGGGTGACGGAGTCTCGGTCCGTCAATCCAGGCGTTAACGTTGTTCAATCTAAAAAGATCTCATACCCTTGTCTGTCTGTTGATTTTTGCCCATACTCATGGATACCTACCAACAATCCACCACTTGGAGCTATTCGAGTGCGGCGCACTCGGTGAACATTATGAGGTACTCTACGATAGAATGAGCATTTTCTAGAAAGTCCAAGCAACTGCTGGTATACTTCGCAAAGTGTTTTCTTTTTGTTTTCCAGTTTTGTCTTAATTTCAGCCTGCGACCCCCTACGCCAAGATGTTGGTGGTATGTTTGGCGCTTAAGATCCTTGCTCATGGTTCACACCCATAAAAACTGCACAAAGGGTTTAAATCACGCACGTCTTGCGTTCCCATTTTCTGTTGGAGGTTATACTCTCAACCGGTATACCCAATAGCTCACCATAACCACCATGTCAAATGAATTGGGCGCGGATTTGCCTGCGGTAGCTTCTGAGGCAGTTGTCGTGCAAAACTTTTTCGCCAAAATTCTTACAGATGAGTACAACATCTCACATAATCGAGCTCAACAGATTAGCTCAAGATGGGAATTTGGAACAGGTCGAGAGGTTACTACTTTTTCAAAAGCTTCCTATGTTGGTATTTTTGGGCATGAAGCTGGCGAGATCTTATTTGCGAGCGTGCGCAGACGGCAGCAACTGTTCAAGCGCTCAAATGAAATGTCATATCGTTGTAAGTAAAATTATTCAACGTTCATATGTATTTTCATCTATTCTCCGCTGCCTCAAAATTATGGTCTTGACTGTGATTTTCGCCCAAATACAACATCCCTTTTTTGAAGTGTTTAGCTAACATGTGCGGTTTTTTTAAAAAGCGTTTTATACACGGTTTTTGTTCGTTGCAGCAGGTATCTCAGGCGTCATATTCTATGTTGTATTTCCGCAAAATGAACACGGGAATATAGAGACATGGGCTCTTCCATTGACGTTCTCTGTAATGGGAGTCATAGCTCAATTCTATGTCCTGGATTAGAGCCTCGTTAATTTGGAATGTTATGGAGGCAATCTTACAGACAAAAGGAAGAGATATATTCATCATTTTTCGTCCGTTCTGAGAAGACAAATGAACCAGAAAGCAAGACTAAGTTATCTAGCCACGAGGAGGGACCCGAAAAATAAAGTTAAAGGCTAGTCGATTACACATTGCAGCGTGTTATCTGATACCCAAACCAATGCATTGCAAGACTGAAAGAAAACCTATCAGTCCAATAATCTCAGATGACGACTTCTCAGCACTTCTAGGTGGTGCTGGTGCTCTTATCAGATGAAACATGGTAAATCAATTTAAAATATTTAAGCGGAGAGGGTGTTTTTGATAGCATGTTATTATTTTACACTTTGAGGAGAGTTGCGGTCAGACTTGCAAGATACTTGTGGTGCACCATTGCTAGTCCAAATTTCATTGCGGCCACACATCTAGATCGCTCCTAGCCCTCATCTGCTCAGGTTGAATCTCGCTTCTCGCAATACCATGGTAAGATACGCTAGCGTTGCTTCCAATAACGGTATTATTTCCCAAGGGAGCCTGATATATCATTGCATCCTCGTGTTTTCCCTACGAGTTGGCTTTCTAGGGAAAGCTCAAGCTTTTGGACTCTATAGATGGATTATCGAATCAATGTAAGAATATGGCGCTTCATACGCTGGCCATGGCAGAGTGAGTTTCCTGTCCGCTTCTCTCGACGGTCCTTGCTCTGGCGTCGGGACTGGCTGACAGAAGGACAAGATTCATTTCAGGGCTCGGCTCGGCAGGTTTTCAAGGGACAAGGAGGCACGGAGAGTTTGGGCTATTGTTTTCTCACCTGTGGAAGGAGGCTTATTCGCTTCTAGCAAAGTAATAAATGATTTGAAAGCAGTGATGTAGTAATCACGATGCGAATGGTCATGAATACGCTATCTAGGCACGAGCAGAGCTACATCCGCACCAATAGTGGCACCCCATTTCATTGCTGTAAATCCACCCTTCGATGGCACTTTTGTTGGCATCCACACCACATCTCTCTCTTGGGATGGCAGGCTCTTGTATAGTATATGACTATTCCAAGGACTGGTTAACAAGAGCTTGAAAGTGCATCCATAATCCTGGGTTCTTTCCACGACATCTGCCAACTGCTGTACTACTAGCTCGCTTTCTTCACAAAGTACCTCATCCTCCTCGAAGAAAGTGATTGAATCAATGATACAGAAAACTATGATATGTGGCGGAAGTTGATCTATGAGTAGGTAGAACATACTACAGAGATCATCGACTTGTTCGTAGTCTATATTCCTCATCTTGTCGATATGGTAGAGATCGAAGTTCGAATATGCGAGGAGTAGCTGGCTAAGTAAACTTCTCATCATACCACTAACCCCCGAGTCAGGATCGTCCGAACGCAAGTGCTCTCCGCAAAAGAAGGAAAGAGCAAAGGTTGTGCTTGGCTGGTGCTGAAGCTTAATACTTGAAGGTTGGATCGAATCCACGATCTTTGCGGAGACGAATGAGGTTGACTGCCTTCTGGCGCCTTTGCAATTGGCATTTATGAAGAGAGCTGTAGAACCTTCCTCTACTATCCATCGGTGTAGCTTTGGAGACTGCATCATTGCAACTATACGATCTTGGTCGGGTCGTGGTACGGCCCAGATTCCTCGGAGACAGGCTGCGACATCTCGGCGAATGACTGAGCTTTCGTAGTCGAAAGCTGACAGAAGCGCATCTTGGGTTTTGGAACGATCTGAATTGATGACTTATTAGCTTCCCTGGAATGATGGATTCTGCCGACTCATACCTGTAATTAATCTTGATTCGGAAGCTGCCTTGCGTAAGGGAAGTATCGGTCCTCTCGCTGTTCAATGTTAGTCAGAGCAAAGACCGAAAGTGGGACTGACAATCTCGAGTCTTTGGATCAATTCGAGCGTTGCTACTTAGAAATTTTGCCAAAACCTCGGTCAAGTCGGAGACTCGATTTTCCAACGCTTCAATCTTTTTGTGCGATTGATCCAAGTACCCCACAAGTGTCGTTTGATTTGCGCGCAACTCTATGCGTTGAGATCTCACTTCTTGGTTCGTGTTGACGCTTGTCTCATATAAACACATCCGAGCGGATTTTTCGAAGAGTTCAGACTGTTTTCTGATGGCTTGGATCATTTCTTTCAACTCCTCTCCGTAGGAGTCCTGCTTGAAGAAACTTTTGGATATTTTCCCTGAGCGCGGTCAGCTGGATTCCTTCCATCCAATTGTAAACAAAATACTGTAGGCCTTTTCTTTATACCACAAGACGATGTGGTGTAAAGCTGCTATGGTTGCAATATAGAGTGCTGAGCTACATTGATGGAGGTCTTGAGACTTCTTGAACACGCCCAGAGCTCTATTTGTATTTATTAGCAAGGTTGGGATCTCCGCTAAAGCATCACAGATATCCTGTCGAAGGTCATGCATACGCGCTGCAGCCTCTCGAGATATTAGCGACCACATCTCATACACTCGGGCTCTACACTAACCCCAATGATGAGCTTTACGCCACCACAAAGTATGGAGAAATACTGCGACTCTGACGGTAAAAGACTTGACCACGCCGTAAAGACTGCGTTATTCTTGCCGAAACGACGAAACCCTCTGCGGACTTTCCCCCATAGGCCGGGGACATTGTTGTAGTTCTCTGAAGCTATGTTTATTTCTTCGAGAACTTCTTCCCAGGTGTGCATCGCGTTGCTCGAGACGTCAGTCTTGAATTTCGTGCCGGCTGTCGTCTTTTCGTAGGATTCCATCGCCAGTTTGAATCTTTTACTTTCGCTATCTGCATCTTTGTACAATTCTTCCCTGAGGATTGTTAGTTTACGAGATACTGTCTAGTAGAGCAGCATACAAAGACAGCCCGTTATCGTCATCCGGATCTACTTGGTCATTTTCAGGCCTTTGCTCTTGCCTCACCAAACACAGTCCTGTCCCATCATGGACAGGAATTTGTGCAAGAGCAGTGGTTGCTTCTTCACGATTCCTCACTGCGTTGAAAGCAGGATGAATGTCTCGTGGAAGCTTCTTGCGCATATAAGTCTCAACCATTCCACCAAGTCGTGAGCGCCTCGGAGGCGAGGCAAGAAAATCACTACTCATGTTATTCGTGGCGTTATTGTCTCATGAACGGATTATTACAGTCCAAATTAATCTGGTTACAATGGAAGTCCTGCAAAATTTAAACATGATGGGCGAGGCTCTGGCCGTGGTGTTTAATTATGCATGACAAGGATACAGAGCTCGCTGTACCACCACTCACTCGGTGAGCCAGTCAGCTTCATGTCTGAAATACTGGAGGTGTGGAAAGAGCCCTTTTCGCAAGAGCGTGCATTGGGGGCTGTATTACTGCATGCAGTAGTTGCTGTCAGTCACACCACCCACCTCCATACTCGGTCGGGGCAGAGCCTTACTTTGTTTAAGAAAAAACCATCTTCCCCACCTCATGAGTATCAGCAAGATCGAGGACAATAAAACCTGCCTTAACTGAAAGGCCTCGACTCACACATCATAATCTGTGTATTCTCGTCGGCGACGCCGACTCGGCATCGCTCGCGCCAACATTGGGAATAAGGTTTCGACATGTCACCAAGAGCAACCACCGACATACAGGAAACAATTCCTCTTATATTTTCCAACGGCGTTGAAATGAGTGACAATGATGGGAAGAAGGAAATTGTGCAGCCTTTCAATTCGGGGTTCGAAAGCGCCAAGCCTGCCGAAAGCCGTGAAGCGACCAGCGACAACGATGAGAGCAATCCTCATGGCATCGTTCAAGCCAGTGCCCTCGACGAAAATTCGGAGAACTATGTAACCCAGCTCAAAAAACGCTTGGATTCAATAGAGAAGGAACTGCGTTCTGTGAAGAACTCGCGAAGGTAAATATTTTTCTTAGTCAATATCATAAATTCACTAATAACGCGGCTCATAGAGGCGATAGTGGGGAAATTGGAAGGGAAAAAAGGGATACTAGTAGCCCAGAAAAGGAGAAAGAGGATGCGGAACTACAGAAACGGCAAAAAGTCGAAATCACGCGAGTTCCGGCAGATCAATGGCGAAACGTCAAGACGGAGGGTAAACTTGATCCAAAGCTGAGCGTGCTGATTGTTTCGTCCAAAAGAACTGTCAAGATTGCACGGCGACGCAAGGACAATGACCAAAAGATGGGGGAGAGCGCTGCGCAAGACATCAGAAGCGCAGAGTTTTCACCTGTGGAGACTCCATACCGTCTTGCTATAAACTCCACATATCTACTGAAGGTTTTAGGGCAATGCACCGATACCAATTTCCCGACTGAGCAAAATGTCTTGGTACGCCCATTCAAACATCTTGTTGCCTACGAATCGGAGATCAGAGAATCGTTGAAAGAGGTTGAGACTATTTGCGATCAGGCAGAGGCCAGACTTAACCAGCACGTTGGAAACTCTACCTCTGGAAGGAACGTTGAAAATGCTCCCATGACTGCCAATGTTCCAGCTGGAGAAGAACTCACAGACGCCAATGCCAAAGACGAGAACACACTTGAGGAAAAAGCTCGCGAGGCAAGACGAAATAGAGACGAACTTCGCTGTCTCGTCGAATTTATGGATAAAGACATGTCAGATATTTTCGACATCAAGCTTGCAGCCTCCACCCACACTCTAGAAGAAGTCGCCTTCGAACATCTGTGGCAAGTTTATAAGCCCGGTATTGTCATCTATGGCTCGAATCAGCGAGGTGACCCAAATAGGTGCCAGGCCTACCATGTGCTCCATGTTACAGGTGGGCGAGTTTGTTTTGATAATGGCATTAAATCTTCCTTCCACGCTGTTAACAATCGACAATGGGAATCAGAGTCCGAAGGTGATGAGCAGTGTTGCGATACCGTCAAATCAACTGTTTTAGACAGGACAACCTTCATTATTGATTGCTACCTTCTTGACTTCGATGGATATAGGATCGGTCCAAAACCCAAAAGATTCGCTATCCTTCCGTACACTGGCAAACGTTCGGTGTTGTCCTTCGCTGTGTACCCATCCGAGTATGATCCTAAGAATGAAGATATTCGGAAAAAGCTGATTGAGAGGGGAAACCGGTTTACGAGCCTTGTCCTGGGAGCTCACAAGAAATATTCTGGCATGACACTTAGGGAAGCAAATCAGGTTACGAAAAGCATAAATCGCTTGGCCAATTATGTTATTGCTGACGTAGAGGTATTTCAAACCTGCACCACGTATGGAGTCATTTTGCTAATTGTACCGCAAACAGGTGAAGAGTGAGGTGATGATAGATCAAGCTTCCGGCGTGGAGCACTTCAAGAAGAAATTTTATAAATGGCAAATCAAATTCGGTGGCAGTATCATCAATCGTTCCACTGATGCAGACAGGAGAGAAGTCTTCGATGCTCTCCCAAGAATCAAGAACCAGCCCTGGATTACAGACGTCTTTGATGACTCTAACTTCGAAGAGGATCGTCGAAGTGAGTTTCTACGATCCACCGACGAGTTGGCATTCCGTCTCCTACGGGACTCCCCATTACCTGATAACTTCCTTACATTGCTTCCTCCGCGGGTCTATGGATATGCAATGCTTCACCACAAATGGTTTCCCTTAGATATCAATCTGATCGAAGATATCACTGAAGTACAATCGCAGAGGATCAGGTCTGGCTTAGAAAATTTGGTGTTGCCGAAGGGTCATAGGATGCTTCTTCAGGCTCTGATCAAGAACCAAGTCGGAACTCCCAAGAAAACATCTGGTAACTCCGATGACGAGATGGACGAATTTTCAATGGACGTTGTTAAGGGCAAAGGAAAGGGTCTGATAATTCTTCTTCATGGGGTTCCTGGTGTTGGTAAAACATCTACGGCTGAGTGTGTCGCCGCTCAATTGAGGAGGCCACTGTTGCCCATTACGTGCGGAGATATTGGCACCACTGCATCCACAGCACAGGTAACCCTCGAGTACTTCTGTGAGTTAGCGCATAGATGGAGATGTGTCTTGCTTCTTGATGAAGCAGACGTCTTCTTAGCCAAGAGAGAAAAAGGTGACATTGAAAGAAATAGCCTTGTGTCCGGTAAGTTGTATAGGATGTCCACTACGATTGACGCTAAATATGGTATAGTCTTTCTACGAGTTCTCGAATATTATTCCGGTGTAATAATCCTGACAACCAACCGAGTCGGCGAATTCGACGAAGCATTCAGATCCCGCATCCATATCAGTCTCTACTATCCACGCCTAGATCGCCCCTCAACAAAACAAGTCTGGGAGCGAAACATCTCCCGCCTCAGACAAAGCGGCCTCGATATTGACATTGAAGAAGATAGGATTCGGAAATTCTACGAACGACACTGGGCCGAGAATATCGAACACCCTTCCCGTCGCTGGAACGGCCGACAGATCAAGAACGCCTTTCAAACCGCTTTAGCACTAGCCAACTGGGATTTTCACGACGCGCAGGAATCTTTGAGGCTCGAAAGACCATTGTTGAAAGCCGCGCATTTTGACAGGGTAGCGGAAACTAGTGCCCATTTTGATGATTATATCAGTGATATCCATGGGTTGAAGGAAGAGGATACTTATGGGATTCTTGCTGAGCGGGAAGAGGTGAGGAAAGATACCAACCAAGGGATCTATCCGAGGTCCCGTGTGCCAGCAGGGGGTTCCAGAAAGCAAGCTCCATTGCATCGTCGTGGTGGTCGGACTTATTCATACGATGATTTCGACGATGCAAGTCCTGACGAAGATGATCTCGAATCCCGTGCTCGAAAGGTACCAACTGCTCACCGTGGCTCTAGGATTCGAGGAGATTATGGTGATGAAGAAGAAGATTATACAGGCACTCGTAGCAGGAGCAATGTCAAGTCCCGTCGGGGTGCAGGTCGGACTCGGGATCATGATGAGGACGAGATTGTTGAAGGCGATGATCTTGACGACGTTCAAAGGTTAGAGCTAGAACTTAAGCTTGCGAGGCTAAAAAGAAGAAAAGGATCGTCTCATGGAAGTGAAATAGAGGGTAAGGATGAAGAGTTAAATTATTGATCGCTACTCGTTCTACATACTAGAAGCTAGGGGAATAAATAGCTAAGATTATAGTAGTTAGTATTGTCTCTCTATCTCTTACAGCATTGTTTTTCTACTTCTTAAAAAATAATAAAATTAAGTAGATATAAAGACATTGCTATTGTAAGATACCATCGTGCGGCGTCCCGTCGTTGTGTGCAATGAAATCTGCGCCTTACAAATGATATGGTACCTCCTCTCTTGTGAGATATGCAGCTACTAACACACCACATCTGTCCTGCATTAATCCCCAACATATAACGAACAATGAGTGGTGGATATTGCGCAGGATATTGCGCAGGGCTGTATGCAGCATGCAAGTCATCGGACGAATTAGGGCGAATCGAACCAAAGTTAGTATAACCTCTCACCGAGTACGTCTGAAAGTGGTCATGGCATTTACCCTGTTATTTTATGGTCCTGTTGGTTACTATCATTTGTGCTTTTAAATGGGTTGATTCGGACACAGCGCAGCCATGCTGTTCAGGGATGAGTTGACCCGTTTAACCAGTGGGATAGGCAGATTTGGATTTCTGTGGTCAGAATAAATTCAAAATTGTCGTCTCATTTATACTGAGTTTGACTCTAAATCCAGGTGCTCTTCAATCGCCAGGACGGTGAAACGAAAAAAGAAAATCCTAGATTGTAACAGAAGTGCCGCACACCTATTTCAATCAAATTAACGATACTACTAGCAATAACCACAACTCGAGATAATGCTCTCACCACTCTACATAACTATTCTCCTCGCTGTAATTTACCCCAGCTACCAACTATACAACTCCCTGCGCTATCGTCTCCAAGCGCGTAACGCAGGATGCTCATCACCAAGCAAATACCGCCACAAAGACCCAATTCTCGGCCTCGATCTCTTCTTACGGCGGATTGAATCTATGAAACTCGGCGACACATTAGCACTTGACCAAAACCTCTTCGACACCTACGGCAAAACCGTGCAAACAAACGTATGGGGTACGAAACAATATGTGACCATGGACGCGAAGAATATTCAAACCATATGCGCTACTCAAGTCGATAGATTCGGGTCAGCGCCCATGAATAATGCGCCTTGTAAACCGTTTCTGGGGGATGGAATTATCACGGTAGATGGCGCGCACTGGAAACATTCGCGGAATCTCATCAATCCTATTTTTGCTCGGGCTCAGATTGCCGAGTTGTCTACGTTTGGTAGCCATGTGAGACGAATGATCGGGAAAATTCCAAAAGATGGGTCTACTATCGATATGCAGCCGCTTCTGAAAATGCTGTTCCTAGACAGTAACACCGAATTCATCTTCGGAGAGTCAGCTAACTCTTTAGCTCTTGAAACCAGTTCTGTTATAGCACGCCGACTTCCTGCGATCTTTGACGATGCACTGAAAGGAATGCGCAAGCGGTTTGTCCTTGGTAAATTAGCTTTTTTGGCTGGAAGTGATAAAGAGTGGCTTGGGAAGTGTGCTGAGGTTCATGCGATCATTGATGGTTTTATTGAGGAGGAGATTCGCGTTAAACAATTGGCAAAGCGGGATGAGCTTTCTAAAAAGAGTAAATCAGAGGAGACACCCTATAGCTATGTGCTTTTGAAAGAGTTGGTTCGGGCAACGGATGATAAGATTTTCATCCGAAACGAGCTGATGAATGTATTCTTCCCGGCTCGTGATACGACGGCTGCTATGACTGGGAATATACTCTTCCTTCTGGCGCGACATCCGGAGGTTTGGAATACCCTTCGGAAAGAAGTTTTGGCAGTCGGAGAACAGGAATTGACTTTCGAATTACTCAAGTCGATGAAGTATATGAATGCCGTTATGAGTGAAGGTAAGTCATTTATACGACGCCCATTAACGGATGACGAAAAGTTAAGGTTGTACTCTCTAGGTCTTCGTCTCCTGAATCCCGTCGCGCGAAGTTGGAAAACCTGCACACAAACCTGCATCCTCCCTCACGGCGGCGGACCAAACGGTGATAAACCCATTCTCCTCCAACCCGGAGATCAAGTCGACATGTCTTTCGCTTCCATGCATGTGGACCCTGATATTTGGGTGACTGACTCTCGAAAATTCAAACCCGAACGCTGGATTGGGCTAAAACATAGCTGGAATTTCATTCCCTTCTTTGGAGGTCGCAGAACATGTCCAGCACAGCAGAATGTTTTGACCGACATGTCTTATGTTTTGACGAGGCTTATGCAAGAATTCAAGTATTGTGAGAATAGGGATGAATACAAGAACTATGTCGAGGAATTCGTCTTTACGAAAGAGAGTAGGAATGGGGTTAAAGTCGCGTTTCTTTGAGTTTGGAGCGAGAAGAAATGGGCTGCCAATTCAGATTGATTTATATCAAAGCTCTTTAGTGAAACAAACTGGTTATTTAAAGACAATGTCTCGTCATTTGCAGTAATAATATGAATAACTTGTTTACTTTACCCGAACCTACCCCAGTGACTAGATGACCAAGTGTTTTAAAGAGTATAGTAACTTATGCGTTGTGTGAGAACATATGATGATAATTTCTCCACCTACTATGGAGAACGTTAAACTCGAAGCTTGAAACGGACGACTTCCAGATGTCCAGAGTACAGAACTAATACCCAACCAACGTTCACAGGGTTCGATATGAAAACTTAACCGCGAAAACGGTCGTGTAAGATGCTGACTTGTGATTGTTTGGTGATATAGTGCCAACGGAGTATCCTTCCTTAAAGAGCATACCGAGACTCTTGAGTTCGAAGCAGAACTATCTGATTTATTGCTAAGAAATCTTGCTGGGGAAGTATATACAATATTCTACACTCTGGGTAGTTTGAGCATAATTGAGGAATACTGGATCGCTAGACGAAAGTAGGCTAGCAACTGAACTTAGATGTCTCGGAGGGTTTTGACAATAAACAGTTCCACTATACTGTGATTTGGAAAATTGTTTCAGGATCCTAAAATTAGGGCTAGTTAGGTTCTAGTGCGAATTATAAGTGCTATAACACTGCCTTTAAGGCCTCGAATATCAACATAATTAGGAATAGAAACAAGTTGTTTTACTGGAAAACTAAGGCGAGAAGAAAATGATCACTAGAAGATATTAATTCAAGCTCCTTCTCTAAAGCAATTTGTCCTTAACGTTAAGCTGAGTATTGAGTTAATTTCTTAAGTATATAATAATTAAGTTATATAATAAAGAAATCTAATAACGAAATAATAATAACAAATTAAGACGTAATAGCTATATAAATAAAAATATAAGAAGAAGTATTTAATTAGTAGTAATAAAATCTATCTCGACCTAAAACCCTTTAAACCTTAAACCTATTATTACTATATTTAGATTAGATACAAAAAAGTATTTGAGATATAGCCCTGTGTGCCTTATAATCCTTATTAAATAAATTATAACACTACCTCTCTACCTAGTCTCTCACCTATAAAACAACCTCGTGTAAGACCTCCTTATCTCTAAAAAGAAAACTACACCACCTCCCCTGCGTACACTCTTATAATATTAAAGCTCCCCACGCGACCCCGAAAAACAAAACAAAGATACTCCCCGGCCCTATCTCCGAAAGTCGCCGAACTCGCTTAATCGCACCCCCGAAGATCCCGAAACCACCTGCGCTAAGTACATAGGTAGGTACCCACTCAAAACCATCAGGTGATTCACCATTCTACATCGGCGACCAAAAAAGCATATGATTCTTAAGCCCATACCTTATGTATATATAAGTACCATACGAAGTTCCATGATATCGGAAAGGAGGGAAGGAACATAAACAACTGAAAAGAGAAAAGCAAAGATGTGTAGAAAAGCAACTTGTCCAACTTGTGGTAAGTCAGATGTAGAGCGTGTTTGGGGATTTATACTAATATAAGGAAATAGGAAAGATATCATGGTACGGATGTGGACACCATGTTCCTGGTGTGATGGATTCGGTGCCTGAGGGGGAGAGATGTACTGTGAGTCCCCTTTACTTTGATCTTCGTGGGAGAGTTATAAGGTAATGGGATTTTGTGGCTGATAAATTTAAAGTGCGAACCCAAAATCGAAAAGGAAGGAAAGATGTATCCGCCGATCGCTGGGAATAAGTGATAGCCAAAACCCTAGAACGTGAAAATGCAAGATCTATAAATCAAAAAACGATCTAAAAATCTATCTATCTAATTCTAAATCTTGCTCCCCTTAGGAAAAGGCGCGCGTTGATATTGTTTCGGCCACGCAACCGGCACACCAAGATTATGCGCGACTCTCAATACCCACTCGGGCTCCCTCAAGAATTGTCTTGCGACTAACACGATATCAGCTTTCGCAATCGCGCCCTGTTCATCTGAGATCTCAATCGTATCAGCCTTCTCCACGTTCTTCCCAGCCTCCACGATCTCCTTCGCCGCTTCCGCCTCCGTGATCATGCCAACTGCGCCGATTAACAGATTCGTGATGCCCTCGGCGAGTAACGCGGCGCGGATCTGTCCTGCGATGCTGATTTGGTACTCGGAGAACATGGCGACGGCTTGTTTCTCGTTGTTACCGCCGGAACTGACATCTAGAAGATCGACGCCGAGGGCTGGGAGTAGTTTTGCGAGTTTAATTGTTGACTCAACATCCCAGCTTTCGGGGGCGGTTTTGTCCATCCATTCTGTGGCGCTGACGCGGACGAGAAGTGGCATTCCGGAGGGAATGACGGCGCGGACGGCTTCGATTATCTCGACGAGTATGCGAATTCGGTTCTCGAAACTGCCGCCGTATTTGTCGGTTCGCCGGTTGCTGATGGGACTTAGGAACGAGGAAACCAGATAGCCGTGTGCGCCGTGGATTTCAATCACATCTACGCCAGCTTTCACGGATCTGATTGCACTATCCCGGAATCCGTTCACTACTTCCTTGATATCGGCAATTGTCATTTCCTTGGGCTCTGCCCAGTTTTCACCCCATTTGATTGGGCTTGCACCCCAGACATTGCCGGGCCATCCACCAGCTTCCTCGGTGGCTATTATTGCCTTGCCACGTTCCTTGGACATCCACGGGGCGAGCGTACTGGCTTTTCGTCCTGCATGAGCGAGTTGGATCCCGAGTTTCTGGTTTTGTGAATGTAGGAAGTCGGCAATACGTTTGAGAGGTGCAATTTGGGAATCTTCCCATAGACCACTGTCTTCTGGGGAGATGCGTCCGTTGGGTGTGACGGATGTAGCTTCAACGATGGTCAAAGATGCACCTCGGTATGCGTAGGCGCCTAGATGGACGAGATGGAAGTCTGTAAGATGGCCTTTGTCGGCGGAATATGTGCACATTGGTGCGACCCCTATTGCTTGGTCAGTGGTGGGGTTGAAGGTGGGGGTGGATGTGGAGGAATTGAGCAATTGGCAGAGAAGCTGAGATCGATTTGATCAGTCACTTACATATTCTATTCTGGAAAGTAACATCTCGAATTTTCAGAGGCGAAAAGAGCGTTGGAGGATGCTCTGCTGTTGCTGTTCCTGCAGGTGGTGATTGAACGGGAGTGAAGTAGGGAGCATCTGGGGCTCCTTCACTTCGATACACCATGTCGACGTTGTAAAGCTTGATATGAGTAATTCAATGTACTGTTAATAAGAAGAACAAGAAAATGAAGCGTAAACGACCCTGAACTGAACAAGACACCATCTTTGGTGGGAACAGCTTTTATTTACCTTCCAGAATAATATTCTGCCGCGATGTCGTTATCGGAGTTATGAAGTCGGCCTTATCAGCCGAGGCAAAATATGTAAGCAAAGGCGGTGAAGGTCACAGTCAACCTGAGCACTTCACATCCCACTTCTCAAGCTCATCCTACACGAATTATTGGATTCCACCCAATTCAAATACGATGACAATTCTTCTGATCTCAACAACCATTCGGCTTTACGGCACTTCACGCAGTCTGCTTTGTAACCATTCTGCTCACTTAAGCACATGAGTCTTATTATTCAACGTCGCAGTACCAGTACTTGCAGACCACACCTTTTGTCGCAACAACACTAAGCAAGACTACATTATCTTTCATACCATCTTCGGTCTCTTGATCCGTCTCACATCGAGTTGTGGTACAAACAAAAGCCATGTGTTTCTTGCAATATATTGTGGTGCCATGAAGGAGTTACACTTCGCGCTCTCCGTGTCTGATTATCCTACTTTAATCATCCTGTTATTCTGCAATCCGCATTTTTAAGACTGAAAGCCTCAAGAAGAAGCTTCTCTATTATGCAAGACTTGGCTTGTCAGTCGAAATTGTTTACCAGGTTGATATATAGCCTAGTGGTTGATAGCGATGTTTAAAATCCTCTCTTCTTGCGTGGGGGGGCTACACCTTGTCCTTGCCGCAGCTTAGTGTTTTATCCACTTTCCCAGGAATGGAGGTCATTCGTTTTACCACGACCTAGGGATTCTCCAATGATGGCTGGTAACGAACACTTGGCGATGGATTGTGACGTTTATTCGAAATGATGCAAGTCTGGCTGGGGAAGTTCTCAGTGAGACTTCCTCCTATGCTGTTCACATTTCTTCCTTGCCTCTGGTTACTGTTACGATTTGAACAAGTTCTATGTGTCAAAACATAAAAGTTGCCGTAAATAAAAACAGGGCTGAGCAGATTCCAAAACTTCCTATCATTCTATTTATCAAATGTAATAATATATACACCCGCAGGCGACACAATCATCTGTTAGTCCTGAAAATGCATCCTGGATTTCATCAGCGCAAAGCTTTTTTGAGACTTGCTCTACGTTTTGAGTGCACTAGTCGAGTAATGAGTGAGAGTGCTGGTGGTGCTCAGAGGAATGAGTGAGAGCACACAAGTCCCTATCAACTGGGATTCTCTGCTATAATACTCTGGTGCCCACATCGCAGAGGATGATATCGATTTCTGTATCTGCTTTTGTCTGGCACGGATAACTTGCCGATACCAAGACTCTTCATGTCATTTATCCAGCGCAGCGGCTCCTTCGTCTCGCTTATTTAGGTGCCATATGGTTGATCGACAGATTCTAAAGATCTTGGCTTACACCTTTTCCCCGCAAAACCGTTCTGTGCCACAACGTCAAAGCCTAAGAAATTCGGGGGAAACCTTGTTTTACATGGATTAATACGGCTGTGCCGTACACATCTTCCGAAATGAAAATGTGACGGCCAGTTAAAGTATCCAGTTAGAGATGATTTTGCATCTGCCCCACACATCGTGTAATTACGTGAAATAAGGCTTGGACCGTGGCTTATCCACTTTCAAGGGTTAATCACTTAATTCAGTTGAAGGATAAATATCGATCGATGCCCTTATAGGAAACTCTGAATCCTCCCAAAAACTCACATCCATCAAAATGCAACTTTTCTGGTATCGAATTCTCCCCTTTCTCTCCTTACTGATTTCCATCTTCGTCCTCATCGTCATAATTCTCATAAATGTCGGTGGGGTAAATAGTGGGCATAGTAACTCCCTCGATTACAACCACGTCCAAAATGGAGCTTTCCGTCTCGTAAAAGTAAGTACCCTAATCCTACTCGCATTCATCGACTAACTCTCCCTTCAGTGGAGATACAACGCGACTCCCACACAACAAAGCTCTAGTAGTACACGTGGAACATACGATCTTGCAGCCGAGATATTCCTCAACAGAATATGCACCGGTTCTTCCTGGGGTACTACCCGCGGTAGCCTCCACGGCGCTTATCCCCCCACGTCTTGCTACAATACAAGACTTGACGTCCTCAGCCCTTCAAGTCTGAAATCCTCTGGATACACCGAAGCATTCCGACGACTAACCAATTTCAACTTCGACGATGTATATTTGACCTCGCCCTTCGCCTTGTACGTCGTAGCGGCCATCACATGTTTTGCGATGATGTTCCTAAGCGTCGTCGAGTCATTCAAGGGGTACAAGAAGGGCACCGGAAAGGGTCTCAGGATTGCGGGTCTCGTTTGTACTGCTGTATGTCCCCTTAACCACTTCTACAGTCCTTCGCTAATACCACACAGTTGACCTGGCTCTTCCTCCTCGTCGCCTCAACTCTCACCACACAACTCTCTCTCCGCCTCCGCAACCAGATCGCCTCGCAAACCCGCTTCTCTTCTAACGTCCGCACCCTCGGCCCTTATGGCAATGCGCCTGGGACGGAGGTTTGGCAGGTTCGGCTCACGGGTGTTAAGGTTGGGGCGACGGTGCTGGTGCTTACGTGGTTAGCGACTGTGTTTATGGGGTTGAATTTGGGGGTGTGGACGCAGGTTCTTGTTGGGGGGTTGGAGAGGGAGAGGGGAGAGAGGTTTAAGTGGAATACGTGGGGGTGGTGGGTTGGGAGGAAGACGGCGGGTGGGAATGGACAT